ACGGTTCCGATCGGTTTTTCGGCGAATCGCATAATTTTAAATTTTAAATTTTAAATTGAAAAGACCAGGGTTTTAAAAAAAAATTTTTTGAACATAAAATTAAAAAATACACCAAAAAAATTAAAAAAAATACTTCAATTTTTAAATTGAGTTTTTACAGACTTGAACATTAATTATTTTTTTAAAAAAAATTTCAACTGAATTTATTTTTTGTAAAAAAGTTTGAACATAATCCTTAAAAAAAAAAAAGGGCTGAACTTAATTTTTAAAAAAAAAAAAAAAAATTAAGTTGCCTACGTATCCTCTTTGGGGTTTAGCAGGAATCCAAGCCCACGTAGTTCTTACTTACCTTATACCAATTTCACCCCTTTTAACCTTAATCGCCTATTTGCAACCACCGGTTTTGATATTTCCGTTGAGGGACCCATCGTATAAATCAATATAAATCTCATTTTTCTTTTTAGGATTTCTTGGGCTCTTAGTTCGGCCTTGCGGTCCAATCATTCCACGCATGATTGGTGCTTTCCAATGAATCGGGTGTTCATACGAGATCGTATTTTCATCAAGTATGCTTCCTCCTTGACTTAAAAGCTTGTTCAACCGCACAAGGGGAGACCGGAGCTGCCTAAAACTTATTGTTTTGCCAATTAAAGAAAAAATTGGAAAAGTATTTGCCTGACGACTCCACCAATCTAAATTGGAAAATCAGTATCTGCATTTAATCATCACCCAAACTCAAAAGAAGTGGTAGATAATTATCAAATTCAGAAATAGAACTGGATTTTCACTTTGTTTTCTTTTTTGTCTTATGGTTAGTAAAATTTGTTGAAGCAACACCAACCACCACTTACCCTTTGGTGTTGGGAAATTCTGTTAATGACTAGATTGAGAAGAAGTAGTTAGAAGTAAGATGAACTAGAAACTTGAACAAAATTCATTATATAATTGCATAATAATTTTGTTTTAACTTCATGCATTACTACATTTATATTAAACATTATTTTCTACATCAAGGATTTAATACTCATAAATAAATAGTCAAAATAATCAAATAAAACAGTCAATTTTTACATCTAGGATCAAATACAATAGCAACAAGATCATTTTTTTTTCATTGAAAAAATTACAATCTTTTAATTAAAATCATTCATTTTCAAATTCTTGGAGTGCACTAACAAATATTTAATACACAAAGGTTAAAAATAAACGAGATGTGGGATAAATAAACCCCACTTAATTTTATAGGTAGCATCATTAAAAAATTTTAAAAATATCTAAAATTTTTGCACAAATATCCCAAATTTTGTGGATATAAATTAATTATCCTCAATATTATTGAGTAACAAAAAAAGCATAATAAATTCTTTATAAGAAAAAGGACTCGTTTAGTAATTCATAATGTTGAATTCCAACGAGTTTGGACATCCCTTTGGAAAAACGTTTTGGTCTTTTCTTATTTTCTTTATTCAAAATTTAGCCAACTTTTCATCACTTGGGGAATGTCCCATAAATATGAATAGCTTTTTAATCTGGAGAAATAAAAGATTCAAGAATTTTTAACCATCTTGTACACCATAAATTTAAAACATGGCATTCACATCTTATATTTGAAAAAAATTTCCACCAATATTTGGTTCACAAATTTTTTTAAGTCAAATAATGATTTAGTATATTGCAAAGCATTATCAAAATGAAATTTGAAAAAAAAATTTTTTTTGTCAACTTATATTCATCTAAAATTGAAACAACTATTCTATAAATATTATTTGTAGTATGTTTATCATCAAAAACACGAAAAAGCAATAATTATTTTTTGAATTTTCCAATCATCATCAATCCAATGACATTTAATGCCATATAAAAATGCATTTGCCAATGATCACTCCAAATATCACAACAAATTGAAACACGAATTTTCATTTGTTCTAACTCTTTTTTTCCTTTATTATATAAAAAAATAATAGTTTGTTTTACAGTATTTCTTGGCACTCTTTTAGCAAAAGGATTTAAAGCTTTTTGACAATAATTATTAAAACCTACTTTTTCACCAATTATTAAAAAACCTACTTTCACCAAAACTTAAAAAGATTAAATGTTCCATAGAAATCATTTTTGCTAATTCTTCTTATTGTATTTTTCAGAATATTGAAATAAAAGGGAAAGGTATAGAAGATGCGTTACCCGGAAATTTGTGTGTTGAGGACCGATTCAACTCCTATTTTGTTGAATGGTTTTGTCTCCAAATCCTTCCAAAATGATCCCATAAGCCCGCCCGCTTGTTTAAATTATAAGATTTTCCACAATTAATTGGCAAATTACATCGTACATTTTCTCACCTTTGAATTTTTTTGTGAAATGAATGGAGAATATGTCGGAAACTTTGTCTGCTCTTCCAACAATTTGTTGCCTCGTTGCTCCTTGCTCTTGCTCTTCCTCTTCTTGTAATGCTCATTAAATTCAGATTCTTGAGTTTGGAATTTCCAAATTTTCATTTGGGATATCCCTCAAAATTAAATTGGTTGGAGGAGATCATAGATGTCGTTTGTAGGGATAGCAGAATATGTGTTTTCTCCGATCTTTCCCTTTGCCCTTACCCGAATTTGGAGTTATCCTCCACTTGCCATTATATGATTAATAAAGATATAATTTTAAAAAATTGAATTTTAAAAAAAATTAGAGAGAATAATAACTTAATAAGAGAGATTGTAGAGTTAGAGAATTCTAATAAATGAATAATATAGAATAGAGTGTAGTATATGTAGAAAGAGAGTAAGTAGAGTGCAGTATATTGATTAGAGAGGAGTAATAGGAGAGAGTTGAGATTTTTTGTAATGAATTTGTAAAGAAATGAGGTATTTTATAATAGATTCAAAAAAATTATTTTTTTCAAAAATACCCTTGAAACTAGTCGTTATGTAAAGCCGTTATGGCTATTGGAAGGCGGTAATTAAGATGATTTCACAATAAAATTTAAAAAAAAAATTAAAAAAAAAAAAAAAAAACTGGTCTGATAGTTACAACGGCTAGAACCGCCGGTTCAAATCAGCGGTTCTAACTGGACTGGAACCGGAGGTTCCAATCCGGTTCCGGTCGATTTTCTGAAACCGCCGATTTCAGTTCCAGAAAATCTAGAACCGAAATCAAATCGGTTCGGTCCGATTCTAATTCCGGTTCCCCCGAACCGTAATTTGGCCATCTCTAGTCAAATGCAATGGCAGAGGAGAAAACTAAGGCCAAAAAGGAAAAAACGACGTGGAAATTAGCAACTCTCATGATTATACTATATGCACGCTTATTTAGGTCGTCGTACAATTTTGGTAGGTATGAGGGAGTGTGGAGAAATCTTGCATGAGACATGCATATTTATATGTAGATGTCAGATATATATATATTGAAGCTCTATTTTTTTAGCATTCTTTTTTATTTTTTTTAGCGCATTCTTTTTTATCTTTGGAAATTTTTTGGATTTTTCTTTTATTTTTCTATGTTTGCTTGGATGCTGTTATATTTTTTTTAAATTTTAAAATTAATATAATATCTAGATAATAGCAATAATATTTTGGAAATCTTAAATCTAATTTAAACCAACCTATTTTATTTGGATTTTATTTTCATTTTTCAAAATTTTAAAATTTTTAAAAATAATTTAGCTTTTTTGAAAATTTTTGGATATTTTTTCTTTTATTTTTTTATGTTTTGATGTTTTGATTGGATGATTATATTTGTTTCATTTTAAAAGTAATATTTACATAATAACAATATATTTTAAAATCTAATCTAATTTAAAAACTATTCTATTTTATTTGGTATTTGGTTTTCATTTTTTCAAAATTTAAATTTTTTTAAAGATAATTTGGCTATTTTGAAAATTTTTAATTTTATACCTGTATCTGTATCTATATATAATTAGTAGTTATTGGCTTCTATTATTGTTTTTGCATAAAATATATAATTAGTTTGTTTTTTATTATATACCTATATGGTTACTGCTTTGCTTTCTTTCTTTTCCTAGTGTGTTGTACATTGAATTTTTGTTTTCTTTCTTTTGAATAGGGCATCAATTAGTATATTTCACACATTTTTACTATATTTACAATCCAGTTATCTTCTCACGGGTAAGCATTAATCATCACACTCGTAGTTTGACTCAATATCTCTTGGAATCATGCATTTCCAAAAAGAGTTTTTTGCTTTCGTTATCGTTTCTACCGACAATGATATCCAATCAAAATTGTGTATGATTGAAATTATATGCTTAAAATTGTTCCATCTGACTTTGAAAAACGATTCTTTTCTTTTTAAAATCTCAATATGTATCATTGTTTAAGTATCAATTTGCCTTTATTAATTTATATTAATATGAACTCTTTCTATTTTTCAGTATAGCTTCAAGCAGAAAAGAAGTTGATACTGATATAAAACATTTTTTTCTTTGATTGTAGTGATGTTAAACGATTTAATTTTATTAGTGTATAAATCTGACCTTAGAGGATTGACTGAATTTCTTGAATGAAATGATAATTGAATGCAAAATATGATCATTGATATATATATATTCTAAATTTTATATTTAAAAAAAAAAACTATTAAACAAGACTCTTAAATAAAAAAACTATTAAACAAGGACTTCTACTATTAAACAAGACTCTTAAATTAGTTTTTCATTATTGGTTCACACTTAATTTAAATTTTTTGAGTTTATTTTCTAATTAAGAGATTTTTTTGTTTTTGTTAATTTATTAGTAAATTCAATTTATAAATTATAAATCTATATACATTAATAAAACAATTTTTTTTAAAAAATAATAATAAAGTAATAGTGCGGATTTCGCCTAGTTATATCTATAATATATAATCTTATTCACACGGAAAAGAAAAGATAATAGTGCGTCTCTTGTGCTTACCAAAGGACCTGTCGTTCCGTCGTTTCGGAGAAAGGTGTTGGTGTTTCATAAAAACGACGTATCGCTTGTCACTAAATTTTATCGCTAAAAAATTAGAATTGGGCTTCATTTGCGGATTCAGAGTTCTTCTTCTTCTACCTTTCTCCATGAATCCCTCTTCGACTCCATATCCCAATCAATACCTTTTCCCTTATCCCCCTCAAAACCCTAACCCTAATCCTATCCCTAATTTCTTCTTCTCCGCTGTTCACCAACCTCCACCACCACCACAACGACCACCACAACGGACCAACCGCCCCACCACCACCACAACGACCACCGCGGTCTCAATCTCAAGCTCAGCAACAGCAACTTCCTTCCGCCACAGCCACTCCGACTCTCGATCTCTCTACCACACTTTCTTCTCTCACTGACCTACTCTCTCTCTCCCAACAAATCCTTAGCTCTCTATCTTCTCTACTCTCTCCTCAAACTACCTCTCTAAAATCCCAGAATGCCAATTTTGTTGTCTGTCCCCATAATCCTCACCACCTCATGCCTCCAGAGTTTCTCTTTCTCCACTCTCTTCGTTGTCCATCTCCTCTCTTTGATGACACCACGTCTCTTATCGATTCCCTCCACTACCCAAAAACTGTGAACCTCCAAACGCCGCCTAAAAGTCTCTTTACTCAGTCGATTCAGGATTCCAACACAGAACTGTGCTTTTCTTTAGATAGTTTTTACAATGAGTTCGGTTCCAACTTCTTTTATAAAGATTGCCCAGGTGTTGTTAACTCCACTGATTTAGATGACTCAAATCAAACATTCACATTACCTGGTGTTTTATCAGTAGAATGTGCAAATTTTATTTTTTATCTTTTATTTTTTATTTTTGAGAAATTCAAACAAGTCTACATATAAACTCTGCAATAATATTTCATACCATCTTCAATATCCCAAATACAAGAAATTAAAAGAAAAGATAGAAAACTCACTTCATTTGACCAAATTCAAATGCTTAGAGCAATTATACAAGCAAAACATTAAAACACCCATAATCATATTAAAAAAAAAAAAAAAAGAAAAACAAACGCAATCTGATAGGTCCCGGTCAAAGCCAAGGAGATTAATTCTCAGAATGAGAAGTTTTTTGGTGTATTTTTCCTTGATGCTTTCTGCTGCTATTACAAAGGAATAAATAGAGAAAGTAATGAAACAAACTCAGACCTATTCTAAGGCTTGGGGCAAGTATTTTGATGTGGATTGCATCTCACCTTTCTGGTTTTGTTTATGGTTGAAGTAGCAGCACAACAATTGTTTGACATGCTAAGTGCAGCTAACAGTGAATTGTGGCCTAGATGCAAGAATCATTCAGTTCTGTCTGTTGTGGCATGATTACTACACATGAAAGCGGAGCACTATTTTTCAGAAAGGTGTTACGATGATTTTGTGCAGTTAGCAAAGGAAATGTTGCCTGAAGGCCATTCAATGGTTGATAATTTTTATCGAAAAAAAAAATTAGTTCGGGGATTGGGACTACCCATAGACAAGATTGATTGCTGTCGTAATAATTGTATGATATTCTGGGTTGTTGACTCAGAATTCAGAGACTGCAAGTTTTGTAATCTACCAAGATATCAACGGCGGGGTCAAGGGACTGGTAGAGTACAGAGAGAGAAGGCTTTCAAGAAGATGTATTTATGTTTCGATAATTTGGCAAGTCAATATGTTTTTCATAGTATTTTACCAGTTCATTAAATGTGGTAATATGTGTGTGCTTTCAAAGGAAGTGTCTAGGTAAGATATATTTCTTACATGCAGGGTGGCTGAGCATGGAATATATGTTTCAAAAAGGCAGAAGAGGAGCGTCAAAAACTCTAACTACAGAGCTATTATTTGATCATGATGGATCTGCCTTCGAAGCAATCACAATAACCAGGTACCACATAAAAAGTGATGATTCATTTGCCAACAAGGTAAATTACACTGTCGGCGGTTGTTAGTTTATGGCTCATTAAGTGATTAATGCATTCTATTTCAAAGTTTTAAAGCTTGAAAATCCAAGTTTTCTGGAAAAATTTTCAAAAGAGTGAATGTTGCAGTTTATTTTAGAATTTTGAAAGCCAGCTTTTTCTTTCAGAAAAAAAACGGAAAGAAAATTTCTCGTTTAAGTTTTTTCACTTTTTCAGAAAAAGTGTAGTGGGCTAAGCTTATTTGTGATAACGATGATGATCTACCCTATGTAATGGGTTTATTATTTTGTTTCTGGGGCATATTCAAATGAAGAAAAAAAACAAGCAGCTAGGAAACTGTAGAATAGGAACTGTATCCTGCTGATAGCTGCTTTTCCCCAGAGAGGGGACTGTAGCATGTGAGGTTATAGCGCTTGTATTTGGGACTTGAAATCTTTTAACCAATAATCATAAATTTTTGGTCTGGCATGTTATTTTAGGAGCTTGTCTGAAGGAGGAGCTTGTCTGAAGGTTGGCATCTTAGGAGATGCCAACCTTTATGTTGTTTTGCTGCCATGGAAACTCATTTGTTTCTCTTGTAATGCTTCCCTTTTATTGACTAATATCCTGTAAATTAAGATTTTTTGACTTTTAACAAGGAAACGAGCAAGACTAAGACAAGGCAGGAGTTATTGGCTGAAGAACGGGATTACAAACGGCGAAGAATGTCATATCGTGGGAAGAAGTTGAAAAGGACAACTTTGCAGGTAGGATGATGTTTTCATGTTGAAGTAGATGCTTTAACTAATTATTACACTGTCTTGTTGATTCTCAAAGCTGATTAAATCCTAGACTTGTTGAATGGCTGTTGTAAAATATGTTTCTGATATATGTTAGACTTGGGCGAGAAATTTATGACTGTATCTGATCACTGGATTTGACGAAGGAACCCAGCCAGCTAACAGTTTCTTTTTCTTGTTATTCTTCTACTGCGCATGGTTGTCATATTGAAGTACCCTGAGCTTTCCTTATTTTTATTTCTGTAATGTTTTCCTATAGGTGATGTGGGATATAATAGATGAATACATGGAGGAAATCAAGCAAGCTGGAGGGATTGGTTGTTTTGAGAAGGAGGCTGAAGAGGAACGGATGTCTCATAAACCATCCTCTGCTTCTAACATTGATATGGACGTTGATGAATTCAGAGAAGGCAATAGAGCAAGTTCTAAGTCTTCTGAAGCAATAAAGCTACTCCAAAATACTATGAAAAACAATCACAACCTGATCATAGCCTCAGATCTATAAAAGCCAAGGATACTCACCTTCAATATTAGCACGACAGGAACGCAGTCATGATACGGTACTGTGAACATATGTAGAATATCAGAGAAACACTGTCAAGGCAGACATGTGTTAAAGATTATATTCTGAAAAAGTCCAGAAAACATAGAAGTCATGGCCTGTTGCAATTGAACAGATAAGCCGGTTCAAAAAACCAGAACAAGATGAATTCAGAAGTGGAACTAACAAGATGATTCAGAAGTGACTAATAAGCATCGTGACAAAAGATCTTCTAGCAAGTCCAGTTATCAAAACAAGTCATCTCAGTATTTGTCACATTCTGCCAATAATTCTGGTAGACAAAAGGATGACGAGAAATTGGATGTTATGGATAGGCATCTAAGAAGCTCATATGAGAATCATAGCTCAAAGTTTCTGGCGAAAAATGCTTTTGAGGATAGATACAACCCTGCAGTATCTCATGACACATATCAAGATGATGTGTACGCTAACAAGAAGTATGTCAGAGCAGAGAAATTCCATAATTAAAATTGCAGCAATTCTGCGACCGCTTATCCTGAGAAAGCCTTAAGTTTTATGATATGGGTAAGTCATTCTGTTCATTCTTCTGTATCCTCTAAAACTGTTTTATTTGAACTACATGTGTAGGTTTGCTCTTAACACTGTCTTTCCACACAACTTTGCAGTAGGAAGTCATCAGGCTTCAGCAATTTTGTCTGCTTCTGTATCCTCCGTTGTATCCTTAACTGTTTTATCATTAGTTCAATTGACAATGAGTAGCAATCGTCAATTAAGTTGAAATGACATTACTGTGAAAACTATTTAATACTTACTTTATACTGTCATATTTTCCCATATCAACAGAAATAGTTATTAATAATGTCTACACCTGAGATGTTTCTTGTGTTTGGTTCAAAATTTTCAATTCCTTGCTGAACAATTCTTTGATGGTAAGATCATTGGTTAAAAAGGCAAAAGCAATTGATAATCAATCAGCATTGGTTTTCAGGTTTGCTTGATTTGAATAACTCCAGTTTAAAATCCCTTCTTCTTGAAGGAGAAAGCATTATAATGCATAACATTGAATTTTCCTAAATTTGAGGGGTTTTATCTCTACGTGCAAAATTGGCTTGTTATTTGAGATTTGCTTATATCTCACCTTTCTGCTTGTAGATTAAAAAAGAATGCTGCAATTTTTTTTTTTTTTTTTTTTTTTTTTTTTTTTTTTTTTTTTTTTTTTTTTTTTTTTTTGAAGAATATATTGAAGTTTTGGAGCCCAGTTCCTTGAAGATCTTCCATATGGTGCAGAAACAAGCTAATCAATGGAACAAAAGAATTATCATATCCAGTAAGATGATGACCTTTACGGAATTTTTTCCATCAGCCCTTTTGTTCTTTTATATCTCTAGTTTGTTTCTCATAGATGTAGACTTTAAAGTTAATATTCACCTGCTGTTTGCTCTTTACCATTATATCACACCCTGGCCATTATTACCTTCGCTGCGTAGTTTCCTCTTCTTAATATGAAAAAGATAATGATGCTAAATACATTTTTTTTTTTTGTTTACTATTTGTAAATCTTTCTTTTGTTTTGTATTCAAATGAATTTTAAATTTTTTTTTATTTTGGTGTTGAATATGGAAACATCATTCCAAAAAGAATGGGAAAAGTCTTGAAGCGCGGTTAGTTACTAAATGGATGGCACAATTTTGTTTATCCCAAATTTAAAAATGAAATGCAAACTCTTGAAATAAAGTTTCACCAAGTTCTTGTTTAGAAAGTGAACCAAGCATTGGCCTTAAGCAAAGAAAGGGATACCTTCGGGGCAAACCTAAAATTGCAGTTGTGCGGATTAGATTAGACATTTGTTACCCGACAAGAATTTGTTCTATCTATTGATTATTTGCCTTTGTTTTGGTAGGGGACAAATACCTTTTCTCCTCAGGTGAGTTGGAACTTAACATCCCTTCTGATGAGCATTTATTGCAAACTGCTTAATTTCACTTTCTAAAGTTCATGATTAAGTTGATAAATGCCCTCTTTAGTTCCTTTCTTTATGTTATTTCTAGCTCATCTTATTTGCTCAACCTACCTTTCCCAGCTTTTCTGTTGTTGCCAGCTAAAGAAAAACCTCCTTCAAGTAGTTCATGAAGCTTTAATTTCTGGGTTATTAGAGGTGATAGTGGCTTTTTTTTTTTTTTTTTTTTTTTTTTGTTTTTACCTCATTGTCATAGATTGGAAACAAATGCACTAAAAAATTAGAGGGTGGAAAAGCAGTTAAAGGGAGAGAGAGAGAGAGAGAGAGAAAGATGAGAGAGAGAGAGAGAGACGAGAGGAGATACAAAACGACATGAAGTTTCAGATTCATTGTAGAGAGAGATACAAAACGACATGAAGTTTCAGATTCATGTCTTTTCATGCATTATTATGTGGCCTCAAATAGTCAAATTCTTTTTTATCTTTTTCTTCTTTTATCTCCAACTCTTGTCCAAAGGTTGGGCATTGAATTAAGGAATCCTCTTAAAGTAGTTCATGAAAGCTTCAAATTAATTGTGGTTATTGGAGGTCATGGTGCCATGTTTTTAACATCATGTCATTAAAGGAATCATATGCAATAATACAAAAATTACTAATAAAGAAGAGGATAAAAAGAGAATGATAAAGGGAAAGTTGTCTAAGTGAAAAACTTTTAAAATTTTAATTGAAAGTTTGAATATTAGAATGGAGGCTATGGTCTTTGTGTTTACAATAACAATAACTAATATATAAATCTTTTATTTCTATTGTTAAGAAACAATATATTTTTGAAATAATATTTTTTTCTCGTGTAATAAAATACTTGTAATAAAATATATGAAAATTTAATTTTATTTCAACAAATTGTAATACGTTTCAATTGAGCAACTCCATTGAGAGTGAAGGGATTTGAATGTGAGAATTTTACTAAACTATTACACATTTGCAGAATAAAAATAAAATAAAATAATATACTTTTGGCTGACTAATAATTTTCCTTTTCTTTTACATGTCAAAAAAAAAAGAAGGAAAAAAGAAACTTGTCAGCCATTTCCACAGGAGAGAAACCGAAAGACAATTGGCACTTGGGCGATTCTGTGACTGCCAACGAAAAAGCCACTTTAGAACCCCACACTAAAAAGTCTTTCATTGCAGCTTTTCAGTTTATTATTTATTTATTATACTTATGCAGTTTCTGTAGCACGTTTTTAACAACTGCCAATAACCATTTTTATTTATTTATCTCCTAATTTGTAGATTTTCTTTTTTATCTTTTACATTGCATCCAATTGACTATTTCCAAATGGAGAAAATAAACTCCTCAAACAAACTACTTGTTCAATAAACAGCGCAGCATCACAAACCTAAGGACAAACCCACAATTAATTACTAGCAAATCAATGTTTAAAATACAAATTAAAGATAATAATCAATTAATTTTCGTAAGACAATATTTATATTACAATTAAGCATTGGGCCACTGCTCCTCCAAAATTTGGAAAGAGTTTTTTTTTTTTTTTTTTTTTTTTTTTTTTCTTTTTTTTTTTACTACAAAAATAAACTTATTATTAAACTTTATATTACGCCTCAAATTCTTATTTTCTGGCTTTAATAATTTGCATGTGCATATGAATGGAAAATTCTACCTCTTTAGTCCAACAATGAATGATCATTCTTCAATTAAAGCCTCCATGTTATCTTTCAACAAATTTTATTTACAAATATAAATTATCTAAAAATATATAATAATTAAAGAAATATCACTAAAATTGGCATAAGATTCAAATTCCTTGAATCTAATCTATATTCCTTGAATCTAATCTATGTGGATCTAAGAAATCTTTTTTTAAAGTATCTCTCAACAAATTTCATTTACATAAATTATCTCAAAAAAATATAATAATTAAAGAATATATCATCAAAATTTTCGTAAGATTCAAATTTCTTATTTTATATATAATTTTTTAAATCTCTTTTTTCCAAATATTAATTATTTGAATCTTTTCATTTACGTAAAAAGTGAGAGATCTCTTTTTTACCATAAATTTTTTCATCAATTTTTGTGAGCAGTGAGCCGCTATAAAAAAAATTTTTTTTTTTCAGATAAATAAATTCCAATTTGTTTAAGTGAATACATCCATAACTTTATGATTCCAAACAGTGAAGTTTCCATTTTATTAAAAGATTATTAAATTAAAAAAACTATTGGTTTTCAGAAAACGAGAAACAGACACGTCAGCAAGAGAGGCACAATGTAGACTACCCCAGTTCCCCACGCTATATATTCTGCCACCTAGTGTAACCCCTTCGTCTGAGTGTAACCCCTTCGTCTGTTCCTATTAATTCTTCTCTTTTCTCTCAACTGTGTGAAGAAAGTGGGGCAACAACGGCAATAGAAAAAAGAAATAGAAATCAAAGAAGAAAGAAACAAGAACGAGAAACCTCATGATTCATACAATACACCATCCTCTTTTTCAGCTCTTAATTACAAACTCATTTTTATAATTTCTTGTTCCTTTTCTTGAAATTCTTGTTCTTTCTTCAACTTTTATGGCTAAAAGTGGGGTTATTGAACCTATTCCTTATACTCGAATGGCAAACGCTTCAGAGTTAAAGGAACAGCTTCAGATACTGGTACAGGCAATTCTTGATGAGGAAGATTATAGCTTGGGAATTACTGATCAGATTATAAACATTTTGACTGCTTTGAAAAAATTGAAGTTGAAGAAGTTGAAGAATTCTTCTGATGATTCTTTGAAGGTGGTTGATGATTGTGTTGTTCCTGATGAATTTAAATGTCCAATTTCAAGAGAGCTCATGACTGACCCTGTAATCTTGGCTACCGGGCAGGTTAGGAATTCTTTTTTTTTTTTTTTTTTGTTCTTAATTACAAACTCATTTTTATAATTTCTTGTTCCTTTTCTTGAAATTCTTGTTCTCTCTTCAACTTTTATGGCTAAAAGTGGGTTTATTGAACCTATTCCTTCTACTCGAATGGCAAAAGCTTCGGAGTTAAAGGAACAGCTTCAGATACTGGTACAGGCAATTCTTGATGAGGAAGATTATAGCTTGGGAATTACTGATCAGATTATAAACATTTTGACTGCTTTGAAAAAATTGAAGTTGAAGAAGTTGCAGAATTCTTCTGATGATTCTTTGAAGGTGGTTGATGATTGTGTTGTTCCTGATGAATTTAAATGTCCAATTTCAAGAGAGCTCATGACTGACCCTGTAATCTTGGCTACCGGGCAGGTTAGGAATTCTTTTTTTTTTTTTTTTTTATTCTTTTTTTTTTTTTTTTTTTTTACTTCTAAGACTACTTGTTAGGGAATTTGGTTAAGAGGTTTTGAGTTTCCTTATTGGATTGATTTCTTTTTGTAAAAATTATTGTTGATCACACATGCAAGAAATAAAAAACTTGGTATCCATTTTTTTTTTTTTTTTTTTACATTCTAGACTACTTGTTAGAATTCTGGTTAGAGTTTTGAGATCCTATTGGATGATTTCTTTTTGTTAAAATTATGTTGATCACACATGCAAGAATAAAACTTGGTATCCATTGCAGAATTTAAGTTCTGCTTCGGAATTTACTTGTACCTTCCTTGGCCAATTATGCAAGAATTAAAGTTCGTAAGAGAATAGTATTAGTCTTAGAGAATTAAAGGTTTAACTTTAATAATATGGAAACAGTTAATTTGGTTCACCTTTCCTCCTTTCAACTATAGAAACATTGAATTTCAAGAAGGTTGAAATGAAGAGAAAGTGGGGCCCAAAGCAAGAAAATTTTGTAGATGAAGACTAAAGTTGATAATTAAGCATAATTTTCAGATGATAAGCTGGCATAGCCTCTAGCAGGCTTTTCGTTTGAATCTTTTACCATTGTTTTCCATGTTGGAGATAAGGTAGGTAGGTAGAAAAAAAATATCTACTTTCGGGGTGGCCTCTCAAACAATGATAAGAAATTGACCCTCATTGTGGTGCATTAATGAATCTGTCACCAGTGTCCTTATGCTGTGATTGATTCTAGCTTAAATTGTTTTGCCAATTTAATTTGTGATAGTGACATTGGAAAGCAGGACTTGTGATTAGTCTGATCAATTTTGGAGCATTTACGAATCAATATTAGCATCTTCTTCTAGGTCTTTGATTTGCAGGCTTGTAGTGCAATATCCATTTTATTTTTGTTCTTCCTGAAATATTTCTTGATTTGCAGACTTATGATCGACCCTTCATCTTAAGGTGGCTAAATGATGGGCATCGGACATGTCCTCAAACTCAACAAGTCCTTCCTCATACTATCCTCACCCCTAATCACTTGGTGAGAGAAATGATATTACAGTGGAGCAAGGAGCGTGGAATTAAACTTGATATGCCTGTTCAGGATGTTGATGATAATGTGGTTACTGATGCAGACAAAGGATACTTAAATTCACTGCTCAAGAAAATGTCGTCTTCCCTTTCTGATCAGAAATTAGCTGCAAAAGAGCTTCGACTGCTAACTAAAAGGAAGCCATCATTTCGAGCTCTTTTCAGTGAGTCTACTGCTGCAATTCCTCAATTACTAAATCCACTTTCTCCAGGGAAGGCTGATGCTCATCCTGATTTACAAGAGGATTTGATTACAACGATTCTAAATCTATCCATTCATGATGATAATAAGAAAATAGTAGCAGGAAATCCACTTGTCATCCCTTTACTTATTGAATCTCTAAAATTTGGAACTATGGAAACAAGAAGTAATGCTGCTGCTGCTCTCTTTACCCTATCAGCTCTTGATTCAAACAAGGTTCTTATTGGTCAATCGGGTGCTCTAAAATCTCTGATTGACCTTTTAGAAGAAGGAAATCCATTAGCCATGAAGGATGCTGCCTCTGCAATATTCAACCTATGCATTGTTATTGATAACAAAGGGAGAGCAGTTCGTGACGGTGCAGTTAAGGTTATTTTGAAAAAGATTATGTGTGGAGTACTTGTTGATGAGTTGTTGGCTATACTAGCAATGCTTGCTAGCCATCAGACGGCTGTTGAGGAAATGGCTGAACTCGGTGCTGTAAATTGCTTGCTCGACATTATTAGGGAAAGCACTTCGGAGCGCAACAAAGAGAACTGCATAGCAATCTTATACACAATATGTTTTAATGACAGAACTAAGTTTAAAGAGATTCAAGAAGAGGAAAAGACCTATGGAACACTTTCTAAGCTTGCAGAAAATGGCACTTCAAGAGCTAAGAGAAAGGCTAATGGTATTCTTGAGAGACTCGATAGAGTTGCATTACTTACTCATACTGCATGATACACTAGTTCAAAACTTGATTAATTGCTTTTTGTACATACTTTCATTCTTAACTCTGCCATTGTACACATTACTGATATTAGCTCAGTTACATGTAAAAAGTTCACATGTCAGATATCCTGTTATTGGTGTTCTCCAGGCAAAATTTTGGTTCATTTGGGGCTAATAGATGAGTAAAGGGCATTAGAATTTGTAATCTTGAAAGTTTTGTATACCGACACTGTCTTATTAATTACATAATTATAAAAGCCAACATAGGATTTTTAATGTTTTGGGTTTGATGATACTTGAAATGTTAGAGAAAAAAGGCCTACTGTTAGGAAATGATTTTCACAGATTAAGATGGTGACAGTGGCTTCAAATTTGAATTGTTCCTTTCAGCAACAACTTTAAGAGTGTCGGCACAATTTTAATATTTAATATACAAATGGATTTGGTTTTTCACTAATACAATAATTTTACTGTATCACATAGTGACAAATTTTGGACGGTGCTATGAGATTCAAGAGCTACAAGAATAATAATACAAAGAAAAGAAAGTATATGTTGCTGAGCTGACTCGTTATTCCAATCACTTTAGTTATCCCAACAAGGTAAGCATTTTTAGGGTTAGTGCTGATTCTTGATACCCCAACTTTTAGTTTGGGTTTGGTGAATTAGCCTTCTTTCAGTCAAAATATACTGCTAAACAACTAGCTACTCTTTCTTTTTTTCTTTTCTTTTTTTTTTTAATGCAAATCTTGATTTTCAGTTGAATTAGCAAGCAACACAAAAACCCTTTTGCTTTTTCTTTCTTCTTTTTTTTTTCTTAAAAAAAATATAAAAATTTTCTAAGAATTTCACATGCCATTTGGCTATCTCCTCTAATAATTATAAATTGGAATTTCACAAATCTAGATTGTATTTACTTATTTTAGGTTATGATTAAAATAAAATTCCCCTAATTTCCTAAGTTATCATTCAATATTTTGTAAACTTCATATTGATCAGTAGAGCGTAAGATTTTTACATTCTCAACCCTTTCTAGAAAATAAATTTAATACTCTCAATCTTACAAGAATTCTAATCACATACCACCTAAACCAATGCGTATACCAATATAATTTTTAACAGAGAAAATTATAACTTTTGCTATAAAATTATGGACCGACATAATTCTTTCAACGTCATCTAGAGGATCGATTTATACTATTTGAATGGCTTGAAACTATTTTTGGGATGAAACTAAATATACACAAGATGATAAGAAAAATGGGAACCACAGTTTGGTACAAGACATGAAAACCTCCATTATTGTACTTGTTTGGTTTTTTTTTTGTTTTTTTTCTTGATGTGTCAAAAGTTACTGTTGGAAGATGAATTGAATTGCAGGAATCTAAATTTTGTTGTGACTTTAGACAAAGGTAGTAGTTACCAAACGGTGTCATTTTCATCTTAAATGAGTGTATTTGGACTCAACTAGTCATGTAATTACTGTGTTGGCTTTCGGTTAAGTGGTCCATAAAAGAAAGAGAGAACAGTGTTCTTGAGATTGACAAGCAATACAGTAAAAATTGAAGATTATCAGGAATTCTGGACATTAATTAAAAAACTAATTATATATCCACATCAGCCAGAACTTAAGGTTAGATGGTTAAAAATGTACGTTTATAAATTAACTGCCCTTCTCTGCTTTTCTCACTAGCTATATATAATTTTTTTCAATTATAATTAATTTTAAAAAAATCATTTATCAATAATTTAAAATATTTTTTTTTGGGATTTAAAGTATTAATCCAGTGATTTTTTTTCCAAATAAATTAGTTGATTTGCTCTTTCTTTTTTTATTCTAATATTATTTATTCCCTTGGGCTTCCATCACTTGAGAATCAAAGACCAAAAAAAGGCTACGATATGTTATATGCATATTCTGATAGGGAATGTCCAAACCAATCCAATAAATAAAGTACAATGACATATGTTTTTGACCAAAAATGAAAAATGACATTTTTCCACTTTCATTTGATATTGCACTCCGAAGCTAATTTCTTATACATAAAAATAAAAATAAAAATAAAAAAACAGCCCTAAAACATTGTCCTAGAAATATTTTTGAGGTGTTGGAAATTTTCGAGGATTATTTAAGCAATTTTGAATTAATTTAAGAAAACATTCCTTATTTAAAAAAAAAAAAAAAGGTTGTTGTAAATTTTCGAGGATTATTTATAGCTAATTTTTGAATTAATTAAGAAAACATTCCTTATTTAAAAAAAAAAAAAAAAGAAAAGTCAAATGCTTAACTTAGGCAATAAAGCCACAAAAAACAGACATCAAAATTTGATTAGACTTAAGTGGTCCTTAATCTAAATTGTTAGTGACTTACAAAAAATGTTGAGCCACTGCAAATTAGGGTGTTAGGAAAGATTTCATGTCCTTTTGCGATTGCCCAGAAAAGCCCTTGAATTGGCACATTCCTTATTTAAAAAAAAAAAAAAAAGAAAGTCAAATGCTTACTTAGCAATAAAGCCAAAAACAGACATCAAAATTGAAATTAGACTTAAGTGGTCCTTAATCTAAATTGTTAGTGACTTACAAAAATTTAGCACTGCAAATTAGGGTTAGGAAGATTCATGTCCTTTGCGATTGCAGACAAGCCCTTGAATTGGAAAATATCATTAGAACATCAAGGCCCAGACAAGGCACATTATTTTATAAGTTCGAATTATTTAAGACTTGAAATTGGTAATTTGGTACCACAAAAGCACTCTCTAAGACACCTCTACAGTTCATATATATATATATATATATATATAAAATCAAACATCATTTTGTATTTGCTCATATAAGGAAATAGGATGGAGGAGATTCCCACTATCACTAATACCTTATCTCAATATTTCTCTTCAATAGGCAATGATCATATGCTTGTTCCAGTAAATAATGGGCTGAATATATAAATTTACTTCTCAATTTTACAACTTTAATTTTATGGCACCCTAAATTTTAAGAATGACATATCGTGTATTTGAATTTATGATTTTTGATAATATTATACACTTTTCAGCAATAATATTAATAAATTTTAACGTTTTTGACTTTTATATGCAAAATTTCAACGTGATATGCAATTAGCATGAATTTCAGAATAATAATTTTTATAAATTTGAATTTTTTAATGAGTGATTAATTGATATAATTTTGTAAGTTAAAGTGGTTAATAAAATAAATTTGAAAATTAAAATATTTAATAAATAATAATTTTTATAAATTTAAATTTTTTAATGAGTGATTAATTGATCTAATTTTACAAATTAAAGTGTTCAATAAAATAAATTTAAAAATTAAAATATTTAATAAATATAGTTTTATAGGTCGATGTGTTTATATATTCGACTATAAATAACAAAATTCATATGTAAATTTATATATTTGACTAAAAATAACGTCATTAATGTCCATATCATACTTTGCGTGGACTATTTATGTAAAGTTAGGCGCGTGTTGGATCCATGGAGAAACATTTATTGGTGTTGGATCCGGAGAAAAATTTATAGAAAAGAAAAGGCCATCAGGAATCCATAAATAAAATTAATTTTATATTCAAATTAAAAATGAAAACGCTCATGCAAAAATGGAAAAAAGGCCAACAATAGAAATAACTTCACCAAATTGTATAATAACCTTTTTTTTTAATTTTTTTTGTTAAGCCATGGAGACCGCCTAATTCGGCTCAAAATTTAGTCATAGTTAAAGCTAATCGTTCTTCCCTACAAGTGTATTTAATGAGAATCGAACTTAAGAGTTCTTCTCATGTGTTTAACTTGCGTTGCCAATTGAATCATATCCAATGTATTTTTATTTTTTAACTAGACAGTGCAATGAATTGATCGCTAGGGGCATATGTTTGGAATAGTCATTCTGGATTTAGATTTCCAGCAAAAAACCATAAAATGGTTTCAAATATACTTTCGAATGCACTAAATGTATTCATTAATTAATACATATGGTTTTTCTTCTATAATAGGTTAATTGCTTAATTAGCACCATAATTAATACAATTAATTAATTAATTGTTTAATTAGCATAAACATATCTATTCTCATATCATAGCTTGGTTTATAATTAACAATCATTAAACATTTTATGTAATAAGGAAACCAAAAAAAAAAAAAAAAAAAAATAAGAGAAAAAAAAAAAAATACAAAATAAGGAGCTTTGTCATATTTTTTCTGCTTCTTCTCCTTCTTCTTCTTCACAGACAAAAAAAAAAAAAAAAACAAAATAAGAGCTTTGTCATATTTTCTTCTTCTTCTCCTTCTTCTTCTTCACATACGCAATCTCTTAACCAAATGCAAATCTATGAAGCGCAGGCAGGCGCAAAGCATGAAAAGAACCCTGACATCTTCTTCTTCTACATTGAAAAACAAGATTAAAAAAAAAGGCAAATAAAATTCCAAAATAAACTCTGTATTTCCTAAAAAAATAATAATATAAAAAAATGGAAAACCATAAAATAAAAAATAAAGATAAAAGATCTGTGTCAATAATCAGTCTGGCCCAAATCCAAACTGGATATCTTTGTGAGCATACTTGGTCCACATTAGATGATCAAATAGGGTGAGAAGGGAGTTGGATTGATGAAATTGTCTTATTTTTGTATTATTATATACCTTATTAAATAATAAAATAAAATAATTTAAAAAAATGAAGACAGTGACCCAATTAGTGACAATGGAGGCCATTTATTTAATGTGATGTGGACCCTATAAGATGCACTAAAATTCAATTTCCTTGGTTGACACATATCCAATTATCCACCATGACCCAATTTTTCAACCTTAATTAGAGAAATGGGAAGTCCATCCACTAGAAAAAAAGTGTGCTCATACACCTAACTTCTCCACTGTCTGCAATGTTTGTCTCCTCATTTTCTTTTTTACTTCCCAAGGGCATGGAGGAAAACAACATAAAATATTTATTTTACAAGTCCTTACCCCAATACTAAATGCAATTTCAGATTAATGTTTAATTTTCTTATTTAGAAGCTAGAAAGGAGTGTCCATATTAAATTTACATAAATAAAAAAAAAAAAAGGGCAAGAAGGAGAAAAGAACTAACCCGCTTGTAAGAGTGAAGGAGCTCAGGAGGGATTTTATAGAGATCCTCGTCGACCGCTTTTGTAGGCCTGGTAGGCAATTTTGGACGTGGATGAGGAACGTCATTGTCGTTTTTACCATGCGACACAGTGTACATAGACATGTGTTGTTTCCTTGGCGGTTCAGTCACGTCACAGACTTTGCCTAGTTTCTTCTGCTCTTTCACACGTGGGACTCTCCTCTCCCTCCCCCTTGTCTGCCAAAAATTTTTTAACCACCCAAAATCATCATTAATACCATAATTATGCTTTTCTGCATCATCTATTTTGTCATTACCCACTTCAAAATTATTACCACTCAATCAATATGTTTTTTTTTATTTAACCCACACTTAGTAATCGGTGATTCAAATCCTACACTTTTTCTATTGTGGAAAGGGTTGTATTTTCTTTGGGGAAACATCAAATAGATCTAATGGTGTTGAAATGCAAAATCTTGAAATGGAAGAGAAGGAAAAGGAGGAAATTTAAGAACCTTTATTGGAGGACCAAGATCACGAGAAGGTGGTTTCTTGAGATCAGAAGCATATAAATCAGAAGAACCGTGACCATGCATGTACTGATCACATTCTCCAGAAGAGGAACTGTATCGAATCAATCCAGCTTGTCTTGCACTCTCGAAGTACTGAGTTATTGGCATTTCATTTGCATTCTCCCAATCTCCAAATGCTGGAATTTGCCCACTAGTCCTTTTCCACTCCTAAAACCACCCAAAACAATAGAAAAAACTTTAATCTCCATTGAAAAAACAAAAAAGAAAGCATCTTTTCTTGTTTTCTTCGGTTTTGAATATCCAAGAATTGAATTCTTGCAATTTAATTTTTTTTTAAAATAGAGAAATAAAAGCCCAAGAAATGGTCCCTCGGCTTTTGAATATCCAAGATTAATATTGAATTCTTGACATTGAATTTTCAAGAAGAAAAAAAAAAAAGCCAAGAAATGGTCTCTTGGGTCATGAAAAAAGCCAAGAAATGAAAGAGAGAAAGAAATAGCTTACATCCATGTTAATGTTGTGGCAAAGCAATCAGAAGAAGCCAAAGAAGAAGAGAAAGTTAGTGAAACAAACAAAAAAAGTGCAGACAAAGGCGCAAGAGAGAAAGATTGGAGAGCTGCTATCTAAAAAGGGAGATAGCGGAAAAAGGGGGTTTATTTGGGGATTCTCAAGAAACACTCTCTTCGCAAAGTAGATAATAATACCTCAGAATTTGCAGAGAGAATCTAGAAAGAAAGATACATTTCAGTTCTTTATAGCAAACAGTAGTAATACTATACCCCCAAAAAAAAAAAAAAAAACAGGAAAAAAAGAAAAATAGGTTTGGCTTTGCTTGGTTGGTCTTGGAGGCTGGTAGCTTTTTTGTCAACCTTTCAGATTATAATATAGATCTCACTTTTTACAACCCCTTAATTCTCGTTTCCCATATAAGCAAATATCTCTTGACCAGCCAAGTTATATTATTATTTTATTATTTTTTTGAAAGAAAAAATGATTTCTTGAGCTACATTCACGCTGGAGACAGGAGATGGGGCCCCATAATTTGTGGGGTTTCCATTTTTTTTTTTCACCTAGAATAGGGAGTTTTAACTGTTACAATAAGTGGGGGTGTGGGCTGAAAGTAATGGCTAAACTGAAAAGTAAATTTTCTTTTTAGGTGTCTCTGAATTTGAAAAAGCTTGAAATTGCTTAATAATGGCTGCGTTCTGTCAAAGGGGCAAATGTGTACTGTTTGGAGTCCTATGGGATTCTTCTTTCAACAATCTTATCTGCGGGTCAATTTTTTTACCCAACTTTGACTGTGGACAGACAACGACGCAGTTTTTTCAATTTTTAACCTTCTTCTAAATCATAGAATTTCACTGCTCACTTTGACCATGCACAGTGAGTTAATAATCATACTTAATTTATCTATAAATAAGGATTTTTTTAAATTTTATGTTTTTTTTTATTCGCACACATATTTCTAAGTTTAATCCGAAATATTATTTAGATAAAATTCTTCCGATAACGATTTAATTTTATAGTTAAAATTCGTCTAAAGATCAGTTTATTTTTATATGCTTCAACATGATAAAGTGAAAAATAAACAAAAAGGCAACTGAAAAGGAATTTGAAATTAATTCCAAAGAAGGGGTTAATGAAGATTTGAGTACCAAGAATTGTGGCTTAACATTCTTATAGAAATTTGATAATTTCAAGACAATAAATGAGAGTACATTTCCAGAACAATTACCATCAGTTAATGCATTCATCTGCTTGTTGCCCCCTCTTTTGACTGTCATATCATACTAAATTCATCCTTACCGGCGTAAAACCGTGAATATAGTTATTATATTTAATATAAATAAAAATAATATATATAAAAAAATTATTTATTATTATTTTAAATATTTAAAACGATTTATATTTTGACATAAATTATATGTTTTAGACGAAAGGAACATTAGTCAGAAGATACTGGAAAAGTATAAACCGGTGAACCAAACAAAGACTTAAGTAATTTGTCGTCTTGTGAAATTAAAATTAAAGAGAAAATGTTAGTGGGCCAAAGCTGTTATGATTTTGGTTACAAGTATTAATTACGCGGTTTGGACTTTGGTTGAGGAATGAGTAATTCCAACTGCCATACGTATTTTGACCAATGGACCAACCTCTCGCATGTGAAATTCTGATGCCTATTTTAAACTTCCATTTTAAAATTTTAGGATTACGACCCATACATTCACTCATTATTACTTTTCCATCTCTGGCTATGAATTAAAAATCTTAATTTTAGTATTGATTCTCAAAATTTTGCCTTTATTAGATTGCTTTCCATCTTATTAATCAAATTCTATATTTAGGGTAAAATCATAAATGAGAATTTCTTTTTTCCATTTATAATCTCCTATTTTTAGTAGTATATTTACCATTGTTGAAGGGATTTTGTAGGTGAAAACAAAAGGAATATGTCCTAATTTACCTTTTTTGGCTTGATTATAAGAGTAGTATTGTTTTTATATTTACAGGATTTTTTTTTTTTAGCTTAGCTTTTCTTTTTTAAGATATGATATTTATTTATGTTTTGTATTATTGTATGGAGTTTATAGTTGTCGGTTTTTTTCGCTTGTTAAACTCGAGCTATAGTTCTTAGTGTATAAAAAGACCTGCTAGCCGGGTTTAGTATTTAGAGTTTAATAATTTTTTTAATTTTTATAATTTAATAAAATAAAATATAAATTGCTGATAAAAAAATTATGTCTTCAATAGAGACGGTAAATATTAAAGAGAGGAAAAAGGAAACGAAGAAGATTGAAAGACGATAAATTTTATAATTTTCCTTAAATTTCTATTTATGGTTACAAATAAGAAATGCCTATCACATCAAACTACCAATTATAAAATATTTACATTTTCTGTGACAAAAAAAAATATATATATAAATTTTCAGTAGTAGACAGAGTGAGGTCATCATTTTCTAATATGTCAAATGACATGAAGATGATGATCGAAGCAATAGAATTTCAACATTAGACTTTAATTATAATTAGATGAAATAGATTGGAATGGAATCTCACTTTGTTTATTTTAAGATTTTTTTTTTTTTTTTGTGAGTTAAAGTTCTCTAAAATCTCATTTGAATTTTATTTTATTTTTATATTTAATATGAATAGCAATATTCAATAATTTTGTAGAATTTCAACATAAAAAACTTGAAGACATTTTAATTTTGTAGAAACATTTTTAAAATAAAAAAGATAATATTTTAAATTAGGCTAAGGTGGTAAATAAATTTTTATTTCCATTGAAAAACTAATGAAAAAGTGGAAATTCTACTTAAATATTAAAAAACTAGATTCTTTTAAGAAAGTAGAATTTTGTACTAAATAAATTTCGAAATTTTGTTTTCCTAAATCACTTTTTTTTTAGATTTCAACAATTAAATACCCTCTAAAACTCATTTTTTTATTAAAAAAAAGAATTTTGCTAAATATCATAAGTTGTGCTTGACACAATCTGTATCCATTTACAATTACATATAATATTAAAATTGGTAAAAAAAAAATTTAAGTGCATTACAGTTCTTATATCCTATTTGCACCGTAATTAAAAATTATGCCAAAAATATTAAATCTCCATAATTTTGACAATCTACATTGTGTAAGTAATAAATAATTTTAGTTAGACAAGTGAACCGATCTGCCAACTTTCTTTCTAATAGCATGTCATATTCTCATAATAACCATTAATACAATTTAGGGTTCTTCTTAAATTGTGCATTGACCTGTAAAGAAACTCTGATTTGGTAAGTACATAGAAATTATGCCCTACAATGTAAAAAGAAAATCAAGAAAAGAGAGTTTTGGTTAGGCCTCGTAGAGTGATATGTGCTGATCCTAAATTTGACTTGGAATGCCAAAGCGTTTAGGACATTGTGCAAATGCCAAAATGCCTAAAAAAGAAGCATAAATTAGGGTTTTTGGATTCGATTAAACGAAGCAACAAGACAAATTGCAACTTTGACATCAGAAACAAAGTCAAGAATGTGTTTTAGGTTTCTGACTTGTCTCTGTTGCCTTGCAACTGTGGCAGTAGAATCATTCATAATTTAAGAATGGAGAAGATTTGTCACGTGAACATCTTCCGCCCTAGAAATAAGAGAATTTATTTTTTTATTATAATTCTTATTTTTATTCACCAAATAAAGTAAAAGAATTGTCGCAGATGATATTCAAATAAAACTTTTCTAATATTAGTGGCTTTGAACAATAGTTCTTTTTCCTTATCAATAAATATTATTTCTAAATACTGCAAAAGAATTGTAAGATTGTACTTTTAAGTATTCTATTTTGCTCGATTCTTTATATACTTAATTATCAAGTTTTTTACTTAACTCTTTCCGGTTAGGCCAGACGTATTAAGGAATTTATTGGTTCGGGATTAGATTCCGAAGCCTATTAAGTTTTTCCATATTTTAATAATAAAAAAATATTTTTTTCTGTTCAAAAAAAATTCATAACTAAATTAAAAAAAAAAAAAGGAAATTTTAGTAGTTTATTTAAAATTTAAATGAGTGATAATTCAGTCTGTTTTTCTGGATGGAGCATCAATTTGAATACCTTTTCCGTTCTTATGGTTGCAACTTAGAAGGGAAGCCAATATGTTTGTTTTAGGCCCATCAATGTAGAATTTTGGGCTTCGCTTTGAGGGTTCTTTTATTTTAAAACTTTAATCTCTTATATGTTCGGTTTTTGGGTGCCGATGATGAATACTCAATATCATTATCGCAGTAAAACTTGTTTTGGGCTTTGATTTGGTCCTGGCCACAAACCCATGCATTAAATTTTAAATTGGTTGTTGTAATATTCTCTCGATTCCATTTTATTTTATATTATTTTTTTTTAAATAAAACGAGCGTTTTACTTAATTCTGTTTTAAGTGTTATTTTAAAATTTTGAAAGTATATTAATAATTTTTTCAATTTTATCTATATATATTTATTTTTATGTTTAATTACTCAATATCTTTATTTTTTTCATTTTTATCTATTTTAATTATATATAACTAAAAGTTTTTCATTTTATCATACATGAAAAAAATGAAATGAAAGTACTATTCTGACGATGTGTTTTAATATAAGATAATATTCGACTTAATAAAATTAAATAATAAGTTTTTAATTTAAAAAAAAATAATTTAAATATGCTATCATATATTTTTAAAAGATCACCGTATTTCAATCGTTTTTCTTTTTTGTGAAAAAATTAAAAGTTGGTTAAATGTAACAGTCGGAGCATATAAAAAAAATAGTGATAGCCCTACAGGTTTAAATGATTGAATTTTTCATTACTCCTATGGAATAGCTTATTATAGATTGTGCTACTACAGCTTTTCTCTCTCTGCCTTTTCTGAAAAAAAAAAAGGTTTTTAATTTTATTTTCAGTAATTCCTATTAGCGATGTTTTCAGATTAAATCATATAAATCAAGTTTAAATCCCTCCTTCCAACTATCTTAAAAAAAGCATTTTGCATATTAACTCAGTAATATCCAAAAATATTATTTTTGAGGTAAAACAAATTTTATAAACAAGAACAGTTTAAAGGACAAAAGTGCAAGTAGAGACCGAATGTCTATTGATCATTCAAGCTATTCATATCCATAGACCTTCAAAGAACAATTCTTATTTTGGTCTTCTGATTTTAGATTGTAAAGCTCCTCTTAATGAGTTCTTGATGTTTCTATTGTTTTTCTTTCTAGGTCAGAATTAAGCGGCTCATTTATTGGTTAGGGCAGCTGTTTTTATCTCTGATGCGATGAAACGATTGTGTCCACCATCTTTTCTTAATTAATAAATGCTATTGTTATAATTTAACATCCCATGGCTTTCTTTCAAAATAAAAAAAAATATTAATTCGCCATTATTTTTTCTATTAGAAAAATTATTAATTTGTTAACTATTAACTTTAGTGTTTCATAAAAAACTGTCTCAATCTTTAAAAATTAAAAATCAGAGTATTGAACGTTTCATAAAAAATTTATTTGCTCTCTAAAAAATAATTAAAAAATTATTGTCCAGCACACCAAAATTTAGAAATAAAATAATAATTGATCATGGTGATAAAATGATGGAATGTCCCAATCAAGACAGAGATGAGTCATTGTAGTAACAAGTTAGTACTTGTGAATAATAGCTATCACAAATACATAAATTGTTATCCAATCAATAAGAATAACAACAAGCACCTGGTTTCTGAAACTTAAATTATTCACCAACTTCCATCATTAAATGTGAAACTGTGTTTTTTTATTTGTATATATCCATATTTCTATTGATTAATTAACTTTAATTGATATTTAAATTGGTAATTTTACCATATTGAAAATGACACTATTATGTAAATTTTTGGGCATGTGCAATTTATGATTTAAAACTATCATTTTATCCAAAGTACATTATAAATATAGTTTAATTGCTCCACATAGTACAAAATTTAAATCGTGGTCCATATTAGGGAACAGGCAGGCCGACATGGACCGTCAAATCAATGCATATTGGCCCAATTGCAGAGCTATCTATCTATTATAGTTTGCATAATATTCTAAGAATAAATAAATAGTACTGTGTAGCTGGATTAGATAATCAGTATATTCATAGCTAAAATTAAGTCATATCTCATAGAAAATGCATCAATTTTTATATATGTAGAATCAATTCATTTAAATTGAAATAATTCAGTTTGATCGATCTTACTCAGAAATTTTCCTAAGCCTTATTTTATACAAATGACAATTTTTATTTCTTTTTTTTAATTAAAAATTTCGAACTATATCAATATTATTATTTAATCTAGTATTTTCTTTTCAGTTTTTTTTTTTTTTTAATAAAAAAACCCTATTTTTATCTCGGCTCAGACTATTAAAATTACATTAAGATTGGAAGTATGAAAAAAAAGAAAGATATCCAAATGCTGAGGACTAATAATTAGGAAGCACATAAACCAAGAGATGGAATCATCTGGACCACGAACAAATATATTGATAGTGTTTCAACATAAACTTAGTTACAGCCGGCTTCCCTAGAAAGCGGAGGGACCATTAACCATAGTTTCTTTCATCAAAGTACAATCTCCTTTTAGGTTTCTGTTAGAGACAGTACTTGAAATTAATTTAAATTAAATCAAAACAGTACAGTACATAACCTATTATATAAATATATGTAAAACAGCAAGTAGTGCGTTGGAGAAATGGGCGGCGTTGCATGGACTGAAGAAGAAGATCGCTTGCTCAGGATATGTATAGAGCGATACGGTGAAGGGAAATGGCATCGTGTGCCTTTATTGGCCGGTAATTATTTCATTTCATAATTCAAATTTAACTCGTTAATCAGTTTATTAACTTTGGATTTTGGTTTATTAAGGTTTAAACAGATGTCGCAAAAGCTGTAGATTAAGATGGTTGAACTATGTTAGACCAAATATTAAGAGAGGAAATTTCACACAAGATGAAATTGATCTCATGATCAAGCTTCATAGGCTCTTGGGCAACAGGTAAGTTGATCAAATAAGTAATTTTTGCTCTAACTATTCAAATTGACGCGTGATGTAGTTCTTATTAACGGATTATGTTGTTATTTTGAAAAGTTCTTTTATTTGTAACTTCAAATGAAAATCGAGAAATTTGCGGATTTACAGATATAATAAGTTAAAATACAAATTGGTATTTGAATTCTTCTTTTATTTTGTGAATATTTTGCCTGCAATATAAGTTCCAATTATTTGAATTTCTGGATTTGTTTTAGAAAATTTTTCAATTTGTTGAATTGAATCGAGCTTTAAATTGATTTATTTAAGGCAACTTTATCGAAGTTTCAATTTTCAATTGGGCACAATTTTTGTTTTATTAAATAGAGTTAAATTGAGAGATTAACAGATGTTAATGGATGCTTAATTAGGTGGTCATTGATTGCCAGCAGACTTCCAGGAAGAACAGCAAATGATGTAAAGAATTACTGGAATTGCCACATAAGCAAAAGACTAAATGCTCAAGAAACCAAACAGAAGCAAATTACAAGAAACCCACCACAGCCTGAAAATCCTGCAACAAGCCCAAGAAGCCCAGAAGGCCCAAGTTACTTGCAACCACAACATGTAGAACCCAGTAGATGTAGCCCATTAGCAGCAATCCATGTGACTGAAGACGGACAGGGCCCACGTGTGATTCAAGAGAAGGAGAATTGCTATTCTGGATTTGAAGATCGTGGGTTTTTTGCTGACTTGGAGTTGGAGTTTGGGAATTTTTTTGAAGATAATAAGGTGGCATTTGGTAATGATCATTTCAGCAGCAAAAATGAGTGGGATGACTTGATCTCCGACCTTGATTTTTGAATTGAAAAAATTTGTAATTTGATTAGTTGTTTGGTAAAATTTTAGTAGCATTGCTAAGAAAAAGAAAAAATTTGTAATTTGATTAGTTGTTTGGTAAAATTTTAGTAGCATTGCTAAGAAAAATTCTCAAACTTCGTTAATGGATAATTTCTATCTACTTCTAGTAGTTGATTAATACCCTTACAGAATGTTTATAACGTATTTATCTGGTGCAAAATCAGTCATAATTTATATGAATGAAATGAGTCAAACGCTCCCTCAGTCTTTATTATGGAACTTATCTTATATGTAGTAGCTAGCATTTTTAAAAAATATATACTTCTTTCCGCGAATATATACTTTCTTTCCGCAAATATATATTTATACAAATGAAAGGAGACTAAAAAGTTCAAAACTTAAAAGCAGTATTCACTGTTCAATGCTCTTTTGACGCCTTCCTCGCGACGTCGTTGAAACCCCTTCTAAGCAAAGTAGCTTCTTAATTGTGTTTTGCGCGATATTCTTATGTATATATATATATGTTGCCATTTGAGTCTCTTTCTATATGTGCGGAGAAAAAAGCCTACTGGAGTCAACATAGAGTTTCAACTCTCAGGTAATAAAATTGTGTTCATCTGAAGGTTTGAGCTTTATGATTTCTGGGTTTGAGTTCTAATTATGAACTGAAAACAAAATTTTGTATAACAATCTGGATTGATTAGTTTATTTGGAATTCGAGTGTTTAGACACAGCTTACGAGAGTTCTTTTTTTCCTGGGTTGTTGAAATCGTAGGATAATTCTTATATTTGTTATTCTCTTTGGCTGAGTTCCATTTTGCAATAATTCTTCTTCTTAGGCATTCAGGTCAGATACAGGTAGTATTAATTCAATGGCTTACGTTCCTCCACATAAGCGGCATTCACTGGACAAGGAGAGGCAGTCACCAATTCCAGAGACATTTGTTCCTCTCTTCAAGAGAAATCTTAGTTTGAAATTACCAGAGACATCAATAAATAGGAGCGGAAAGATTGTATATGCAGATCATGCCATATATAGATGGTTTGCCATTGGTTTGGATGATGATAACCAATTTCCTCCTTACATTTGTCTTAAGCCAGCTTCCGTGGAATCTGTTGGGCGCAGATCAGGAGAAAAAACTCTAGTCTTGGTCAACAGTATTGAACCTGATGGTTCGTATGTCCTTTTTGGGATTATTCTCATTAATTTTCTAGATAATGCAATGAGATTAACCTTTATTTTTTTGTTACAATTGTGTCTGTTGTAGAGTATTATGAAGTGAGAGAGAATTATTTGACAAGTCCCTGGGTAACTATAGCAGAAAAAGTACAGCAAGATCTTCTAACTTCTTTTGAAATTTTGAAGAATGAAATGGACTATCCAGGGTTGGAAATAGTTAAGCCAACATTGGTTGCTAGATTTTGTAAAATTCTTTTTCATGGGTAAGCAATCCAATTCCCTTGATTGTTAGTTTCTTTTATTTCATCTACTAGCCTGAAATATTACATTTTACTTGGCCTTTTTTTAAAACATAAAGTGAATCGCTACAAGTTAAATATAGAACCACATTTGGTTGACTAGAGGCTTTTGCTGCTTTAAAATTCTTTGGGTGTATCAACTGGGTAAGCAATCAATTCCGGCCAATTGTAAAATTCTTTTTCATGGGTAAGCAATCCAATTCCCTTGATTGTTAGTTTCTTTTATTTCATCTACTAGCCTGAAATATTACATTTTACTTGGCCTTTTTTTAAAACATAAAGTGAATCGCTACAGCAAAGACACAGCCCCTTTTTTTTTTGGTTTTGATATATTATTTTGTACTTCTTGGTTATGCATGTTACAGAAACTGTCCATAGTGAAACCTGCAAAATTAGCGTGACCTTAACTTGTAGCCTTAAAATCCTGGAGACTGATCAAATTAAATTGCCTTGACTCAATAATGAGTTTTTAATAGTTCTCAAAAACCCACATCATCAATTATGTTGTACTTGTGTTTTGAAGCCCTAATAGTTAAGTGTATAAACTATAAAGTGTGACTTCTTTTTCTCAAGAACAAGTTTCTGATTGAGTAGCTATTGCATTTGCCGAGGAAAGAGAGAAATTTTTTGTTGTCTAAAAATTGCAGAACTTCTTAGATCACTTTGGTTTCTTACAGAAACTCCTATAGAATTTTTGACCTTTCGGTTTTTGAAACCGGAGTCAACTTCCTGGATCTTGGTGTTAAGGTCGACTACAAACATGTTCTATTTCTCCACCTCGTGGTGTTTTATGAATGGGTTGAATATACGAATCTTTCCTGGTGTTCAAAGCCTGGCTTATGTTGTGGAGGAGTTGCCTGAATAATCTAAAGTGTGTGATTTTGGTGTTTGTGCCTTACTTGCTGTTGCCTTGCAGTAGGAAGTTTCTGGGAGGGGCTTGAGATGTGGAAAAATCCTATTATTCTCCTTATTAACATTCTAGTACATGTTGCAAATGTTTCTTCCATCAGTATACTAACAGACGGGCAAGCAAAAATTCATCACATTTGCTTTTTTTGGTGCAGGAACCCTCAGGTAAGCTTAGCAAACGTTGAGAAAAATCAGGTTAATGAAACCATTTTGAAACGATTGAGAAGTTCAATTTACACAAATATTCCACCTTCATATATGGAACTAATGATAGATGAAGTTGTTCCTAAGATTGGGGTTGATTTTGAACAGGAAAAGGAAATCTATCATGTAAAGGTATTCCTTTGCTGCATTCTTCTTCTTTCTACCACTCATAATATCTGTTTCAGCTTGCTAATGGTATTTTGTTGTCTTGTGTAGTTGTCTGATAACACACGGCCTGATTCAACTGTTTCATGCAAATGTAGTGTAAAGACAGATAGATGTGGAAAAATCCTATTATTCTCCTTATTAACATTCTAGTACATGTTGCAAATGTTTCTTCCATCAGTATACTAACAGACGGGCAAGCAAAAATTCATCACATTTGCTTTTTTTGGTGCAGGAACCCTCAGGTAAGCTTAGCAAACGTTGAGAAAAATCAGGTTAATGAAACCATTTTGAAACGATTGAGAAGTTCAATTTACACAAATATTCCACCTTCATATATGGAACTAATGATAGATGAAGTTGTTCCTAAGATTGGGGTTGATTTTGAACAGGAAAAGGAAATCTATCATGTAAAGGTATTCCTTTGCTGCATTCTTCTTCTTTCTACCACTCATAATATCTGTTTCAGCTTGCTAATGGTATTTTGTTGTCTTGTGTAGTTGTCTGATAACACACGGCCTGATTCAACTGTTTCATGCAAATGTAGTGTAAAGACAGATAAAAAACTACTACTCTACAAGGTAGTTTTTCCATTTGATTAGCAAGAGTACTGTCCCTAAATGGTGCTATATATGAATTATGATAGGTGCGGGCTTTGTTGACACTGGTATAATTCGCGGGTGCCTTTCTGATTTAATTGATCCTTTTCACTTTCACATTGCATATGTTATTTTTAAAATGTACTTCTGCTTGTTTATGGAGGTTGCCTGAAAAAATAGGCATTTTCCCTGTAGGTTGAACTAAACCAAGTGCGCCGGATGGTCACGGATATATCATGCCTTGATAGGAATCTAGACCTCAGGCTAATGCTATGCACCAAGAGGATCCTAACTTCTCTTACTGTAAGTTAATCTGCCATCACTTATCAAAAAAGCATTTGCCATAGCCAACCAGAGAAGTGCCTGGGGCCCATACTGTGGAGACCTTTGTCTTATTATTTGATGACCATTTTAGTTATCCTACATTTAGTGGCTTCACTGTTTCAAGGAATGATGGAAACTATTTCAATTAAATGTAAGGGAGGGTAAAAATCTTTGCCCTACAGATTCTGTTTTATACAACAACATGGGAAAGAAATCATGGAAGGCAAAACTCTTTTATGGGCTTGAACAACCTAGATTGGCTCTAAAATTGGCGGAGTAAATTGAGAAGATTAAAACCATATCTGTAAACCTGCTTCTGTTGCAGGATAAGATTGAATGGAACATCATTCACCTATTTTTCTGAGAGAGATTTTTTCATTGAACATTGTAAAATTTCTGATACATAAAATAGTGTTTCATATGAAGAGCTTTAGTAAATGCAAAAGAACTATCATGATATATTTGATGCCATGATATCCTGAAATTGAATCAACTAAACCAGAACATGTGTTTAACCTGCATTTGCCATGTACGGACTTTAGGTCAAATTTTTACACCAAAGAGTGCCTTTTTATAGTTAGACTAATTGTATGTACTATTGCATTTGCAGGTTGATGAGATGAATAAAATAAGAGATCTGATTGATTCTGCAGTTTTGGATTCAGACGTGAAGGGTGGGTTGAGATGGCCCCTGGGGAAGGCAACTTCTGGAAATAGATACAGTGTAGTGGGGGTTTGGCATACTATAGCTAAAGCCTACAAAAATCCATCAGTTAGGCTCAAAGTAAGACATGCCGATCGATTTGATTTTAGGACTGGAAGTGGAGAATCTACAAGGGAAGTTAATCTGAAGTTGAAAGGAGTAGTGTCACGATTGCAGGTGAGTTATTTTTGTTCAGTTTGAAACTCCACTATGCTTAGCTAACATGATGTGCTTATATTTACATCCTGAAATCTTAGGACTTTTCCCAAGTACTATTAGTTTTAGCTTTTCCCAACTGAAAGAATTTATTGGTATGGTCATGCTTCAGTGAGTTGCAGAATTCTATATACATAGCTTTCTTGTTGCCTATTTTGATTTTACTATTTTCTTGATAAGTTTTGTTGACTGTTTAACAGTAATTGATATATTTTTTCCCCCTTGAGAAAACAAGTCTTGTTAGTTAGTCTCTGTCTCTTCATTTGGCAGATCTTTCTTTGTTTACAGCTTCAGTTCTTTCAATTTTCAGGAACAGGGAACAGAAAGTGATGCAGTCTCTAATGTGCTTAAAGACAACTTAAGGCTGATATGGGAGCACTTCTTAAACTGCAAACGGTTTTTATCATGAAAAACATGTTATCAGTTCACCTCCTCTCTGTAAATAGTGTTCGTTTTTGAATGACAGTTGAAGAATGTAATGTTGTTTTTTTGAAATGGGGAGGGATTTTTGAAGAAGACAATGTTTTAAGTGTTTGAAGGATCTGCTTTCGCCTCTTTAAATGCAATAATGCCCTGTAATTTTGTTCATCTCTCTCTGTTGTATTGCTCTTCTGGATAAGCTTTCTTTGATTTATATTTGTGGCTAGAAATATTATTATTTACATTAAATTTTAGGCCAAGGTTCAGACTATTTTAAACCAAATGAATTAATTTTTTTCCAAAATTGATTTTTGAAAAAGCTCATATTTGTGCATATAGTTTGGAGGTGAAGATTTTGATGAGTCATGTGGTGGTCTAGAAAGTGGGAATGATCAATTAAACTTTATTAATGAATAAAATGATTCTAAATTAGTATTTTCTTCATCTATTTTTATCTTTTATTTTTTTTAAAAATGTATTTAAAATTATTTATCATTAAAAAAAATTGAATATTAATTATTTTTTAGAGATATAATTATTGAGATTGTAATAATTTAATGAGATAAAAAGTTTCATATAAAAAAACGAGATAAATGGGTAATTTAATTAAATTAATAATTATTTTGTTAAATTTAGACATTTTAAACGGCATAAGAGGAGGGAGAGTTTATTTCTTAAACTTCATTATTAATTTGAGATGATCTATCCAGAAATACTGATATAAACCGTTTTAGAAAAAATAAAAAGGGCAGAAAGGGAAGAGAATGGGCACAAAGAAATAGTTTCCTCAAGAAGGGAAAGCTTGCCTAAACAAATGTAATTTTCTCGTTTCCTTTCATCTCAAAACTAACCCTTTTAGCTTCTTCCACCATGAAACCCAATCTAATAACCGCCAATTCTTTTCGAGTTTCCAATTCCTTAACTCCTAGGATTTCAATTCCATTTCCCAGACCTTCAAATCCACTCTCCAATCATTTCCTTTCAACAACGTTTCACTCTTCCAAACCTTGTCGTTTCTTTCCTATTTGATTTTCAAATCCCAAACAATCCACTTTCATTAATGAAGCATCGCCAGGTTCTACCGCCGAATTGGGTGCCATTTCAAATGAAAGTCTAGGAGAAGAGGAATTGGGGAGGAATTTGAATGTGCAAGTTGGAAATTCAATTGTTCCCTCGTATTTTCAGTCGTCGACTAAGCTTAGTTTGAGTGACCAAGCTTTCTTTCTCCTATCGTTTATTGCTTGCACGGTATAAAACTTCTTTCTTCTGGGTTTCAATGGAACTTGTAGCTTATACTTTTAGCTTGTGTTCTGGATTTTATATGATAGGAGGAGGAATGGAGAAGAGGAATTGGGGAGGAATTTGAATGTGCAAGTTGGAAATTCAATTGTTCCCTCGTATTTTCAGTCGTCGACTAAGCTTAGTTTGAGTGACCAAGCTTTCTTTCTCCTATCGTTTATTGCTTGCACGGTATAAAACTTCTTTCTTCTGGGTTTCAATGGAACTTGTAGCTTATACTTTTAGCTTGTGTTCTGGATTTTATATGATAAGAGGCATTAGCTCAAAATGCCGAACTCTAGATGTAATCAATCTTTTTCTTTTTTCTCAAGTTAAATCTTCAACTGAGCAATGAACTTTGAATTGCCTAAATGCTAGCCTTTTGTTTTTGAATTTTTGATTAATAGCATGGAAACCTTTTTGTTTGGTATGCAAATTTGCAATCTATCTGAATTGGAAGGATTTGAATTTTTTTTTTTTATGCATATCAGTTATTTAGTAGTGTGTTTATAAGAAAACTAGCTGCTTCTGATGTTCTAATTTGGGTCACAGGTGAACTTACAGTTCATACTATGGTCATGAATTGGTGAGAAGAGAAAGTAAATAACTTTTGGCCATTCTGAGCAGTTGTTTATCTTGGCATTTACCACTTGCATATTATGGTTTTATTTAGCTAAAGTGTGACTAAGAGCTTAGAAACTGTGATTACTTGATGGGACAATTGTCTTCATTGAAAATTTTCCTATCAAAATCTTCTTTGGTTTTATTTAGCTAAAGTGTGACTAAGAGCTTAGAAACTGTGATTACTTGATGGGACAATTGTCTTCATTGAAAATTTTCCTATCAAAATCTTCTTGTATACCATACAGAAACTCGTCTTTGTTCTATTTCCATGAATTTGTTGACATCAAGCTTTATTAGTTTAACTGCCTGCAGACTTCTATAGCATTTACAAGCCTTGTCGTTGCCGCCATCCCAACAGTCTACGTAAGTCATATGACACATCAAACTATATTCAAGATATCTGAAATTTCACACAAGATGAAATTGATCTCATTATCAAGCTTCATAGGCTCTTGGGCAACAGGTAAATTGATTAAATAAATAATTTTTGCTCGTAACTATTTAAATTGACGCGTCAATATAGTTCTTATTAACGGATCATGTTGTTATTTTAAAAAGTTCTTTTATTTGTAACTTCAAATGGAAATCGAGAATTTTGCAGATTTACAGATATAATAAGTTAAAATACAAATTGGTATTTGAATTCTTTTTTTATTTTGTGAATATTTTGCCTGCAATATAAGTTCCAATTATTTGAATTTCTGGATTTGTTTTAGAAATTTTTTCAATTTGTTGAATTGAATCTGGCTTTAAATTGATTTATTTAAGGCAATTTTAATTTAAGTTTCAATTTTCAATTGGGCACAATTTTTGTTTTATTAAATAGAGTTAAATTGAGAGATTAACAGATGTTAATGGATGCTTAATTAGGTGGTCATTGATTGCCAGCAGACTTCCAGGAAGAACAGCAAATGATGTAAAGAATTACTGGAATTGCCACATAAGCAAAAGACTAAATGCTAAAGAAACCAAACAGAAGCAAATTGCAAGAAACCCACCTCAGCCTGAAAATCCTGCAACAAGCCCAAGAAGCCCAGAAGGCCCAAGTTACTTGCAACCACAACATGTAGAACCCAGTAGATGTAGCCCATTAGCAGCAATCCATGTGACTGAAGACGGACAGGGCCCACGTGTGATTCAAGAGAAGGAGAATTGCTATTCTGGATTTGAAGATCGTGGGTTTTTTGCTGACTTGGAGTTGGAGTTTGGGAATTTTTTTGAAGATAATAAGGTGGCATTTGGTAATGATCATTTCAGCAGCAAAAATGAGTGGGATGACTTGATCTCCGACCGCTGACTTTGGAAGTTGGGAGTTTGAGCCTGAAAATCCTGCAACAAGCCCAAGAAGCCCAGAAGGCCCAAGTTACTTGCAACCACAACATGTAGAACCCAGTAGATGTAGCCCATTAGCAGCAATCCATGTGACTGAAGACGGACAGGGCCCACGTGTGATTCAAGAGAAGGAGAATTGCTATTCTGGATTTGAAGATCGTGGGTTTTTTGCTGACTTGGAGTTGGAGTTTGGGAATTTTTTTGAAGATAATAAGGTGGCATTTGGTAATGATCATTTCAGCAGCAAAAATGAGTGGGATGACTTGATCTCCGACCTTGATTTTTGAATTGAAAAAATTTGTAATTTGATTAGTTGTTTGGTAAAATTTTAGTAGCATTGCTAAGAAAAAAAAATTCTCAAACTTAGTTAATGGATTCAGCAATTGATGATAATTTCTATCTACTTCTAATAGTTGATTAATACCCTTACTGAATGTTTATAATGTATTTGTTTGGTGCAAAATCAGTTATAATTTATATGAATGAAATGAGTCAAACGCTCCCTCAGTCTTTGTTATGGAACTTATCTTACATGTAGTAGCTAGCATTTTTTTAAAGTATATACTTTCTTTCCGCAAATATATATTTATACAAATGAAAGGAGACAAAAAAGTTCAAAACTTAAAAGCAGAATTCACTGTTCGATGCTCTTTTGACGCCTTCCTCGCGAAGTCGTCGAAACCCCTTCCAAGCGAAGTAGCTTCTTAATTGGGTTTTGCGCGATATTCTTAAATGTGTATATATATATGTTGCCATTTGGGTCTCTTTCTATATGTGCGGAGAAAAAAAGCCTACTGTAGTCAACATAGAGTTTCAACTCTCAGGTAATAAAATTGTGTTCATCTGAAGGTTTGAGCTTTATGATTTCTGGGTTTGAGTTCTAATTATGAACTGAAAACAAAATTTTGTATAACAATCTGTATTGATTAGTTTATTTGGAATTCGAGTGTTTAGACACAGCTTATAAGAGTTCTTTTTTTCCTTGGATTGTTGAAATCGTAGGATAATTCTTATATTTGTTATTCTCTTTGGCTGAGTTCCATTTTGCAATAATTCTTCTTCTTAGGCATTCAGGTCAGATACAGGTAGTATTAATTCAATGGCTTACGTTCCTCCACATAAGCGGCATTCACTCGGCAATGAGAGGCAGTCACCAATTCCAGAGACATTTGTTCCTCTCTTCAAGAGAAATCTTAGTTTGAAATTACCAGACTCTACAATAAATAGGAGCGGAAAGATCGTATATGCAGATCATGCCATATCTAGATGGTTTGCCATTGGTTTGGATGATGATAACCAATTTCCTCCTTACATTTGTCTTAAGCCAGCTTCCGTGGAATCTGTTGAGCGCAGATCAGGAGAAAAACCTCTAGTGTTGGTCAACAGTATTGTACCTGATGGTTCGTATGCCCTTTTTGGGATTATTCTCATTTATTTTCTAGATAACGCAATGAGATTAACCTTTATTTTTTTGTTACAATTGTGTCTGTTGTAGAGTATTATGAAGTGAGAGAGAATTATTTGACAAGTCCCTGGGTAACTATAGCAGAAAATGTACAGCAAGATCTACTCACTTCTTTTGAAATGCTGAAGAATGAAATGGACTATCCAGGGTTGGAAATAGTTAAGCCAACATTGGTTGCTAGATTCTGTAAAATTCTTTTTCATGGGTAAGCAATCCAATTCCCTTGATTGTTAGTTTCTTTTATTTCATCTACTAGCCTGAAATATTACATTTTACTTGGCCTTTTTTTTAAAACATAAAGTGAATCGCTACAGCAAAGAGACAGCCCGTTTTTTTTCGTTTTCGATATATTATTTTGTACTTCTTGGTTATGCATGTTACAGAAACTGTCCATAGTGAAACCTGCAAAATTAGCGTGACCTTAACTTGTAGCCTTAAAATCCTAGAGACTGATCAAATTAAATTGTCTTGACTTAATAATGAGTTTTTAATAGTTCTCAAAAACCCACATCATCGATTATGTTGTACTTGTGTTTTGAAGCCCTAATAGTTAAGTGTATAAACTATAAAGTATGACTTCTCTTTCTCAAGAACAAGCTTCAATTTTTTGTTGTCAAAAAATTACAGAACTTCTTAGATCACTTTGGTTTCTAACAGAAACTCCTGTAGAATTTTTGACCTTTCGGTTTTTGAAACTGGAGTCAACTTCCTGGATCTTAGTGTTAAGGTCGACAACAAACATGTTCTATTTCTCCACCTCGTGGTGTTTTATGAATGGGTTGAACATACGAATCTCTCCTGGTGTTCAAAGCCTGGCTTATGTTGTGGAGGAGTTGCCTGAATAATCTAAAGTGTGTGATTTTGGTGTTTGTGCCTTACTTGCTGTTGCCTTGCAGTAGGAAGTTTCTGGGAGGGGCTTGAGATGTGGAAAAATCCTATTATTCTCCTTATTAACCTTCTAGTACATGTTGCAAATTTCTCTTCCATCAGTATACTAACAGACGAGCGAGCAAAAACTCATCACATTTGCTTTTTTTGGTGCAGGAGCCCTCAGTTACGCTTAGGAAACGTTGAGAAAAATCAGGTTGATGAAACCATTTTGAAACGATTGAAAAGATCAATTTACACAAATCTTCCTCCTTCATATATGGAACTAATTATAGATGAAGTTGTTCCAAAGATTGGGGTTGATTTTGAAGAGGAAAAGGAAGTCTATCATGTGAAGGTATTCCTTTTGCTGCATTATTCTTCTTCTTTCTACCACTCGTAGTATCTGTTTCAGCTTGTTAATGGTATTTTGTTGTCTTGTATAGTTGTCTGATAACACGCGGCCTGATTCAACTATTTCATGCAAATGTAGTGTAAAGACAGATAAAAAGCTACTGCTCTACAAGGTAGTTTTTCCATTTGATTAGCAAGAGCACTGTCCCTAAATGGTGCTATATGTGAATTATGATATGTGCGGCCTTTATTGACACTGGTATAACTCGTGGGTGCGTTCTGATTTAATTGATCATTTTCACTTTCACATTGCATTTGTTATTTTTAAAATGTACTTCTGCTTGTTTATGGAGGTTGCCTGAAAAAATAGGCATTTTCCCTGTAGGTTGAACTAAACCAAGTGCGCCAAACCCCAGAAATATAAAAAAAAAAAAAAGGGGCCCCCCTTTATTATAACCCCTTGGCTTTCCAAGACTTACCAAGGAAAGTAGTTTTTCCCAATTTAGAATTAAGCAAGAGCACTGTCCCTAAAATGGTGCTATATGTGAATTATGAATAATGTGCGGCCTTTATTGACACTGGTATAAACTCCGTGGGTGCGTTCTGATTTAATTGAATCATTTTCACTTTCACATTGATGCAAATGTAGTGTAAAGACAGATAAAAAGCTACTGCTCTACAAGGTAGTTTTTCCATTTGATTAGCAAGAGCACTGTCCCTAAATGGTGCTATATGTGAATTATGATATGTGCGGCCTTTATTGACACTGGTATAACTCGTGGGTGCGTTCTGATTTAATTGATCATTTTCACTTTCACATTGCATTTGTTATTTTTAAAATGTACTTCTGCTTGTTTATGGAGGTTGCCTGAAAAAATAGGCATTTTCCCTGTAGGTTGAACTAAACCAAGTGCGCCAGATGGTCACGGATATATTGTGCCTTGATAGGAATCTAGACCTCAGGCTAATGCTATGCACCAAGAGGATCCTAACTGCTCTTACAGTAAGTAAATCTGCCATCACTAATCAAGAAAGCATTTGCCATTGCCAACCAGAGAAGTGCCTGGGGCCAATACTGTGGAGACCTTTATCTTATTATTTTATGACCATTTTAGTTATCCTACATTGAGTGCCTTCACTGTTTCAAGGAATGATGGAAACTATTTCAATTAAATGGAAGGGAGGGCAAAAATCTTTGCCCTACATATTCTGTTTTATGCAACAACATGGGAAAGAAATCATGGAAGGCAAAACTCTTTTACGGGCTTGCAACCTAGATTGGCTCTAAAATTGGCGAATTAAATTGAAAGAATTAAAACTATATCTGTAAACCTGCTTCTCTTGCAGAATAAGATTGAATGGAATGTCATCACCTATTTTTTTGAGAGAGATTTTTTCATTGGACATTGTAAAATTTCTGATACATGAAATAGTGTTTCATATGAAGAGCTTTAGTAAATGCAAAAGAACTATGATGATATATTTGATGCCATGATATGCCTGAAATTGAATCAACTAAACCAGAGCATTTGTTTAACCTGCATTTGCCATGTTACGGACTTTAGGTCAAATTTTTACACCAAAGAGTGCCTTTTTATAGTTAGACTAATTGTATGTACTATTGCATTTGCAGGTTGATGAGATGAATAAAATAAGAGATCTGATTGATTCTGCAGTTTTGGATTCAGACGTGAAGGGTGGGTTGAGATGGCCCCTGGGGAAGACAACTTCTGGAAATAGATACACTGTAGTGGGGGTTTGGCATACTATAGCTAAAGCCTACAAAAATCCATCAGTTAGGCTCAAAGTAAGACATGCTGATCGATTTGATTTTAGGACTGGAACTGGAGAATCTACAAGGGAAATTTATCTGAAGTTGAAAGGAGTAGTGTCACAATTGCAGGTGAGTTATTTTTGTTCAGTTTGAAACTCCACTATGCTTAGCTAACATGATGTGCTTATATTTACAGCCTGAAATCTTAGGACTTTTCCCAAGTACTATTAGTTTTAGCTTTTCCCAACTGAGAATTTATTGGTATGGTCATGCTTCAGTTAGTTGCAGAATTCTATATATATAGCTTTCTTGTTGCCTATTTTGATTTTACTATTTTCTTGGTAAGTTTTATTGACTGTTTAACAGTAATTTATATATTTTTCCCCCTTCAGAAAACAAGTCTTCTTAGTTAGTCTCTGTCTCTTCATTTGGCAGATCTTTCTTTGTTTACAGCTTCAGTTCTTTCAATTTTCAGGAACAGGGAGCAGAAAGTGATGCAGTCTCTAATATGCTTAAAGACAACTTAAGGCTGATATGGGAGCACTTCTTAAACTGCAAACGGTTTTTATCATGAAAAACATGTTATCAGTTCACCTCCTCTCTGTAAATAGTGTTCGTTTTTGAATGACAGTTGAAGAATGTAATGTTGTTTTTTTAAAATGGGGAGGGATTTTTGAAGAAGACAATGTTTTAAGTGTTTGAAGGATCTGCTTCTCTTTAAATGCAATAATGCCCTGTAATTTTGTTCATCTCTCTCTGTTGTATTGCTCTTCTGGATAAGCTTTCTTTGATTTATATTTGTGGCTAGAAATAGTATTATTTACATTAAATTTTAGGCCAAGGTTCAGAGTAATTTAAACCAAATGAATTAATTTTTTTCCAAAATTGATTTTTGAAAAAGCTCATATTTGTACATATAGTTTGGAGGTGAAGATTTTGATGAGCCATGTGGTGGTCTAAAAAGTGGGAAAGATCAATTAAACTTCATTAATGAATAAAATGATTCTAAACCAGTATTTTCTTCATCTATTTTTATCTTTTATTTTTTTTAAAATGTATTTAAAATTATTTATCATTTTGAAAAAAATTGAATATTAATTATTTTTTAGAAATATAATTATTGAGATTATAATAATTTAATGAGATAAAAAGTTTCATATAAAAAAAATGAGATAAATGGGTAATTTAATTAAATTAATGATTATTTTGTTAAATTTAGACATTTTAAACAGCATAAGGAGGGAGAGTTTATTTCTAAAACTTCATTATTAATTTGAGATGATCTATCCAGAAATACTGATTTCAACCGTTTTAGAAAAAATAAAAAGGGCAGAAAGGGAAGAGAATGGGCACAGAGAAATAGTTTCCTCAAGAAGAGAAAGCCTGCCTGAACAAATGCAATTTTCTCGTTTCCTTTCAGCTCAAAACTAACCCTTTTAGCTTCTTCCACCATGAAACCCAATCTAATAACCGCCAATTCTTTTCGAGTTTCCAATTCCTTAACTCCTAGGATTTCAATTCCATTTCCCAGACCTTCAAATCCACTCTCCAATCATTTCCTTTCCACAACCTTTCACTCTTCCAAACCTTGTCGTTTCTTTCCTATTTGCTTTTCAAATCCCAAACAATCCAGTTTCATTAATGAAGCATCGCCAGATTCTACCGCCTCAAAACTAACCCTTTTAGCTTCTTCCACCATGAAACCCAATCTAATAACCGCCAATTCTTTTCGAGTTTCCAATTCCTTAACTCCTAGGATTTCAATTCCATTTCCCAGACCTTCAAATCCACTCTCCAATCATTTCCTTTCCACAACCTTTCACTCTTCCAAACCTTGTCGTTTCTTTCCTATTTGCTTTTCAAATCCCAAACAATCCAGTTTCATTAATGAAGCATCGCCAGATTCTACCGCCGAATTGGGTGCCATTTCAAATGAAAGTCTTGGAGAAGAGGAATTGGGGAGGAATTTGAATTATTTTGAATGTGCAAGTTGGAATTCAATGTTCCCTCGTATTTTTCAGTCGTCGACTCAGCTTAGTTTGAGTGACCAAGCTTTCTTTCTCCTGGTCGTTTTATTTGCTTGCGACGGTATAAAACTTCTTTCTTTCTGGGTTTCATGGAACTTGTGAGAAGAGGAATTGGGGAGGAATTTGAATGTGCAAGTTGGAAATTCAATTGTTCCCTCGTATTTTCAGTCGTCGACTAAGCTTAGTTTGAGTGACCAAGCTTTCTTTCTCCTGTCGTTTATTGCTTGCACGGTATAAAACTTCTTTCTTCTGGGTTTCAATGGAACTTGTAGCTTATACCTTTAGCTTGTGTTCTGGATTTTATATGATAAGAGGCATTTTAGCTCAAAATGCCGAACTCTATGTAATCAATCTTTTTCTTTTTTCTTAAGTTAAATCTTCAACTGAGCAATAAACTTTGAATTGTCTAAATGCTAGCCTTTTGTTTTTGAATTTTTGATTAATCGCATGGAAACCTTTTTGTTTGGTATGCAAATTTGCTATCTATCTGAATTGGAAGGATTTGATTTTTTTTTTTTTTTTTATGCATATCAGTTATTTAGCAGTGTTTTTATAAGAAAACTAGCTGCTTCTGATGTTCTAATTTGGGTCACAGGTGAACTTACAGTTCATACTATGGTCATGAATTGGTGAGAACAGAAAGTAAATAACTTTTGGCCATTCTGAGCAGTTGTTTATCTTGGCATTTACCACTTGCATATTATGGTTTTATTTAGCTAAAGTGTGACTAAGAGCTTAGAAACTGTGATTACTTGATGGGACAATTGTCTTCATTGAAAATTTTCCTATCAAAATCTTCTTATATACCATACAAAAACTCGTCTTTGTTCTATTTCTATGAATTTGTTGACATCAAGTTTTATTACTTTAACTGCCTGCAGACTTCTATAGCATTTACAAGCCTTGTCGTTGCCGCCATCCCAACACTCTATGTAAGTCATATGACATATCAAACTATATTCAAGATATCTGAAATCTATATACACCAAGTTTGGTATCATTTGCTAGATTTAATTGCAATTTCTTATAATTTCTTGCTATTTCATGGCTCAAGTGCAATATAATTGCTAATTCCAGTCCAGCAATTGGTTCTATAAAAATTCCTGTAGGATCCTTTAATTTTTAAGACTTTCATCTCTCATTTACATCATTTTGGCAATTTGTCAATTCAGCTGAAATTCATGAAGGGATTAAGCTTTTAGCTCTCTTACCATCCAATATTTGTTATCATCTTTATATTGGCGAACCTGTATACACAAGCTTAGAGCATAATTAAGCTCTCGCACGTTTGGACATGTTGACCACAGTTTTTTTTTTCTATGATAAGAGATTTTATGGAAGCTTTATGCTTTGATCATTTGACTATTGATTGATGCTCCCTAGTCATTGGTGTCTAGTTTTGACCCTAACTCGTGATACAATTTTCTTGGGCGAAGAGAGAAAGATTACATTTTGCAATATTAGGGTTTTTGTTTCTTCAAATCCAATGTCCTTTTTACATTCATTTCTTGGAATTTATATTTCCTACATGTTGTGTCCTTATGATTTTGCTGTGACTGTGGATCCTGTTTGTGGAGCATAATATTATATAAATCATCTTGTTTATCAACTGATGATGTTGTTTGGCAAGTATGGGTTCTTGTTTATCTATTTACTCACCTTTTTGGTAGGCAATGGGAAGAGCTGCAACATCTCTTTCAAAGTTAGCAGACGTAGCTCGTGAGGAACTTCCTAGTACAATGGCTGCAATTAGGCTTTCAGGCATGGAAATCAGTGATCTTACATTGGAATTAAGTGATTTGAGGTGATAATCAAATCCTCATTGTTCACTCTGCTAATATTTCTGTTGTATCTACTTCTCCCTGTTGGCCCTCTTTTCTGTCAGCTTATGCACTAGAATTGAGAGTTTCCTTAGTTATCAATGGAAGCTAAGACCTGTCCTGCTACCCTGTGTGATTAGAGCAACATGGTAACTACTAATTATTCTCCATTTGCACTGCACAGAAAACAACTTCTGATTGTACAAGTTCAAGGACCTGTATGTTTTTCACCTGTTGTTTGTGTCAAATAATTTTCTTTATCCAATTTGACATGCAGCCATGAGATAGCTGATGGAGTCAACAAATCAGCTCAAGCTGTTCATGCAGCTGAAGCTGGGATTCGACAGATAGGCACCCTTGCTCATCAACGCACCATCTGTAAGTTCTGCTTTCCATAGACTTCCTACAGTAAAAACTTTTTGGGTATTTTATAAAAGGAGAAGGCCAAGTTAAGTTTTTGGACCCTTAACCTTCTATGTTCACTCTTTATCAGGACTAATATTTGTGGGTTTCATCTATCAGCTATGATTCAAGAGAGAGCCAGCCTGCCTATCATCTCCCTGCAACCTGTTGTTGCTGGGGCTGCAAAGAAGACTTCTGATGCTGTCGGCCAAGCCACCAAGTCATTCATGAATATTTTCTCTCGAGTGGAGTTCAGTACAGATGATGAGGATGATAATGAAATTGAAAGGATAGATATCTAAGAGTTTTACTTCGTCTGATTTAAATGATATCCTTGTGTAAATATCTTGAAGAGCTGCAATGGTAGATACTGGTACGTGGATATTGTAAATGCCCATTTCCTTGTTAATTTTATCTACGACCTTCTTCTATATTCAAGTAAAAAACATTTGTTTAATAAATATCCTTCCACTAATTAAAATTAAAATAAGAAATTCTCAACTGAAGAATTTACATTTACATGGTCTTTGGAATAAATTTGAATGAATTCCATTTGCAAATGAATTTTATTAAAATAATTCATTTTGTAAATGAATTTAATTTATGTATGGACAAATATAAAATTTTGTTCTAAATATATATGAATGGCTAAATAACTATATTGCGATCTTAATCTATTTCTTCTTGCAAAATATGTTAAACGTGTTGTTTTTCTTTAGTTTCTGTACTTGATGTTGACATTTAAAGTTGGCACCGTCCTAGAATAGACACTGGACCACTCGAGTTTATAAGGGTTTTAAACGGCTGCATGCATAAATTGAACTGAAAAAACTTTATTATTTTAAATCTGTGTCACTTTTAAACTTTTATTTTAATCTATTAAATAATTCAATTTATAAAATTATATCTATTAAATTCTTTAAAGTTGCATAGTTATTATATCGAATATTTCAATTTAAAAAATTAGACCAATTAAATATCTATTAAATAATTAAAAAATATGAAATTATTATTTTAAAAGTCATGCTAATTTATATATTAAATGAATATTTTGTATATAAAAATTAAAAATTCTAAAAACTATTGCTATTAGTGTGTAAAAGTGTGTAATGTTATTAAAATTTACATATTCAAGTGCATAATAGGTTATTCACAAAATTTAAGGCACCGTAGAGTTAAAATGGTAAAATACGGAGTGAATTTATGCATTTAGTTAGTTTTAAATATAGTCTAATTGTTATATGAATACTATTCTCATGGTCATTATCGTTTGCCATATTTTTCAACTCTGGGTACCATACATCGACGGAGCTAGGGCCTAGGGGTGGCCATATTACGGTTCCGGGAACCGGAACCGGTGGTTCGAACCAGTCTCGAACCGTAACCAAAATCGGTAGGAACCGGAATCAGAGATTTTTGGTTCGGTTTCGGTTCCAGTTTTGTTGGAACTGCAAATCGGTCAGAACCGGATGGAACCGCCGGTTTTTCGGCCGGTTAGAACGGTTCGAATCGGCGGTTCTAGTCGTTAGAAACTGTCAGTTTTTTTTTTTTAAATTTTGTTGTGAAATCTCTTAATTGAAGGCTTTTTTTTTTAAAAAAAAATAATTAAGTTCAAGTCTTTAAAAAAATAAATTTAATTGAAGCATTTTTTAATTTTTTAGGTATATTTTTTTTAGAAATAACTTTCACAAATTTATTAAATTTTAAAAACCGGTCTTCAAAATTTAAAATTTAAAATTATGCGATTTAGCGGAAAACCAGTTGAAAAACCGATCGGAACCATCGGTTTTGAAACCATACTGTAACCGGAACCGTTCGGTTCTAAACCGAAACCGGAACCGGATATTGTAATGGTAGATACTGGTACGTGGATATTGTAAATGCCCATTTCCTTGTTAATTTTATCTACGATCTCCTTCTATATTCAAGTAAAAAACATTTGTTTAACAAATATCCTTCCACTAATTGAAATTAAAATACGAAATTCTCAATTGAAGAATTTACATTTACGTGGTCTTTGGAATAAATTTGCATGAATTTCATTTGCAAATGAATTTTATTAAAATAATTCATTTTGTAAATGAATTTAATTTATGTATGGACAAATATAAAATTTTGTTCTAAATATATATAAATGGCTAAATAATTATTTTTCGATTTTAATCTATTTTTTCTTGCAAAATATGTTAAATGCGTTGTTTTTCTTTAGTTTACGTACTTACGTTGACATTGAATGCTGCCACCGTCCTAAAAGAGACACTGGACCTCTCGAGTTTACGAGGGTTTTAAAGAGCTTAATGCATAAATTTATTTTTGAACTTTATTATTTTAATTTTGTGTCACTTTCAACTTTTATTTTAATCTATTAAACACTTCAATTTATAAAATTAGATATATTAAATACTTTAGGTTGCATAGTTATTTTATTGAATTTTTCAATTTGAAAAATTAGATCAATTAAATATCTATTAAATAATTGAAAAATGTATGAAATTATTATTTCAAAAGTCATGCTAACTATATATTAAATCAATCTTTTGCACATAAAAATAAAAAATTCTAAAATCTATTTCTATTTGTATGCAAAAGTGTACAATGTTATCAAAATTTGTATATTCAAGTGCATAATAGATCATTCATAAAGTTGAATGTAATAAAGAGTTAAATTGGTTCGGAGTGAATTTACGTATTTGGTAAGTTTTAAATTGATAGGCTAGCTGTCATATGAATACTATTCTCATGGCCATTATTGTTTGCCATATTTTTCAACTCTGGTTACCATACATCGAGGGAGCTGGAGCTAGAGCTAGGGGTGGCCCTTGCCCCCCTAACGAATTTTCTTTTAAAAAATTATCTATAAAATATTAAAATTTTTTATTTTATTTTAGTAAAATTTTTTAATTTCAACCCCTTTAATTCTTGAAATTTTTTTAGGTCCTTCCATTTTTAATTGTTGGCTCCGTCATTGGTACCATATTATTCTTGAAATTTCTCGTTTCAAGGCTTTTGATTTTCTCTCTTCATGAGCATTCTTATAGATTATTCGCTAGCAAGTATACTAGTACTTGAGGCACCCCTCATGGATTAATTGTTTGAAATTTTATGCTTAAAATATAAAAAAATTTAATTTAAATTGATAATTTAAGTAATAATATAAAAACACCCTGAAATTAGTTAATTTTTCTATTATTTAATTCAGATAAAATAATTTTTACTTTTTTATTTATTAATGATATACAAATTTTATATTCTCATTTTTTTTTATAAATACATTTTATTTCAAACATTAGAAAATATTATATAAATTTTATTACATTTTTTTTAAATAAAATACTAAGTTTAAATTGTTATTTTATACTCTTTGAAGTAATATTTTTTAAAAATATTTATATACTCTATTAAAAAAATTTTAACATCAAATATTTTTAATAAAAAAAAAACAACGGTGTACATTATATTATGCAAAAAAGGAGAAAAGGAGTTACTTATCCCTGATGTGTGGACCCTTCCATATATCAAATTAATCAGAAATAAATTTTTAGTTATAACGAGAGTATTTCTAATATTTAATGAAAGAAAAACAAAATAATAACAATATTTTGAACAACAATTTTAAGTTAACATCTTGGTTCTTTGTCTTAGGAAACATTTATAACCTCTGACCGGCACAAACGCATGGTAGTTGACGGTTGTGAACGAAAGTAGAGAACGAAGGGGTGTGACGGGATGAGGATTTGGGTGTTGGGCTCTAAGACCACTTGTTGGGCTCCCACAACCAATTAAGAGAAAATCAACGCAGCGGTATAATTAAAATTGTGATACACAGAAATTTATGTGATTCACTTAGGGCTACGTTTACGAGACAAACTCCGAATAATTCTTTTATTATTAAAAATAGTAGGAAGAGAGTAATATAAAAATAGTGGCACTCAAAGTGTTTCCCAAAAACACTCCATAATAAATTCCTCACTATTTTTCTCTCCCTAGTTTTAGAAAACCTATCCTAAAACTAGATAACTTTCTCTACATTTTTTTTTCTTCTTTCTGCTGTGTGTTCTGTGAGCTGCAACTGCCTCTATTTATAGGCAGATTAACGCGTAATTGACGAGTCCACCGTCTGATGCGTAATTAACGCGTCCGTTAATTAATGCATCAATTTCAATTCCTTCTTTTCAAAATGTGTGTGGGTCCCACTTGAGTAGGCATCGACACAATAAATCTCCCCCTGCACACTCAAGTGGGACGTTAGCCATCATCATCTTGCAGCTAACCGACAGTATTCGAACTTCTCTTTGGATGAATCTTCGTCAACATGACTGATCCATTTTTTTCTGTATGGATCTTCTCAAGCCGTAACAGCTTCATCTCCAACACATCACTGATCTAGTGATATCTAACACCAATGTGTTTTGATCTTGAATGGAAGGAGGTATAATTAAATACTACTATAAAATTGTTTGTTATCACTCTCTTTATACATCTTTGAAGAATAAGAATATAATTTACAGATTATTATATAATATATATTAACTACTCAAAAGAGAAAAATTATTTATACATCAAACCATTTATTTATACAAACAGATAAAACGATTGTTATAACCATTATAGCTATTATTGCAGAGAGCAGAGACATAGCGAAAGATATAATCTTTAATTCCTGATGTGTGACACTATAATGAGTGAGATCAATTAATATCAGATTTAAATATAATCTTAGAGACTATATATATAACCAGACATGTTATTAAGGTGTAAATATTATGTAACACGAATACAATCTAACAATAATTAACCAATATTTTCGAAACAACAATTTAATCAGCTTAACATTGTGGATTTCTACTTCGTGCTTAGAACATTAATATTATAAATTCGTTAGAATCGAGCGTTGGCACATGGACACGCATGGCTAGTATCAGAAGCCGAGTCTAGACGAAAAGTTATGACGTAACTGATTATTGGAGGAGTGCACGCGCAATAGAAGCGATCGGTTGTGCAGTGGGTGAGGATGATACTCGGTCAGGAGGACACTGGCTTTCTTGCGCCTTCTCTCTAAAATCACCATATTAAAGCGTGAGAAATAGTACATGAACGAACACGCCGGACTAAAATTAAATTTAAAGTTACACTTGTGTAATATAAGACAGTGAACACATAGAGAAAGTGTTTAATGGGTGTACTTCCACAACTCTATGAGCAACCGTTGTGACCTCTCTGCCATGTTACATAAAATATCCGAACTCACATCTCAATAAAGTAATTTATACTTAAGAGATATCATATTGAGGAGGAAAGAAAGTTAATTATAAATAGATGGCATCTCGTTCTCGCAATAGTGTTTCGCAGCACCACGAGGAGATGCAACATCACATACACTTGATAACTTTCAACTTCATCATAGTCTTCATGCTCGCCATAAGTTTTGAGACACAAACTATGCATGAAAATCGATTATGATTGATACTTTGTCAATACTCATCATCAGCTTATCTCTCATAGGTTTCTGTCATTTGTCCTCCTATATATTGTGGATTAAAGAAAATTATGTTGTGAGAGCTTGAGATCACCTGAGATCGCACGCTGGATATGAGGATAACTATTCATATATAGGTCGCTTCGAGAAACTTTTAAAACAGCACGTAATCTGATAGTCTGAGTGCCACCGTTTTGTATTTCTGTCGCGGTGTACATTGAATGCGAGTACAGGGGAATATTAAAGTCTAGTTAATTTTCAATCTCATGCTGTCCTTCATAAATGCTGATGCTAGCAGGTGTAGCCAACTTAGGAGGTATTCTGGTCAGACATCTCACATAATATAGATTACACTACATGGACCACTCACCACTATTGGGGCTATAGACCTCGATCAGTGACATATATGACACAAGTCTACACACACAGTAGTGTACGAACTTCTCCTTGTGGATGAATCTTGTCAACATGACATGATCGCGATGATAGTTGTATTATCTATGATAGGAGAGTAACTATATCTTCAAGGCACGAGTAGATGAGGCTTCACTCATGCAGATACAGAGATCACTTGAGTCTTATCAGAGATTACTACCTAAAATCTCCACAAATGATCACTGGAGTGTCCATGTGTTTGAGTACATATGGACTGGAAGATGGACGAGGCAATTCTTGTTACCTAAGAGAGTGATTCATTTCGACAGCATACTGGTATCTGCGAACCATAATTATGTAAGATGATGTAGTTTTGCGAATGAGCTTCTCCATTCTTTCGAGCCTTACACCTAAAAAAGAGTTGTGCATTTAATTACACTTTTTGAAGTACGATAATATCACAAGATCCAACTGATACTCTTGCACCATACAACTCATCTCAATTCACGTAATGAATTATATATCTATCTATGAGGGAACTTTCTATCGTAACCTACTGAAATTTTTATGCATAACAAACGAATGGCTACTTTCGCCTAGAGTTCCCACACTGCATATAAAATGGTCAAGGACAGCAACTACATGTTACGGTAGTCACTTGTAATTACTCTTCAAGCTCACGAAAGAAATGATATGTCATGAGACACAAGCCAATTGAAGTCAGAGACTAATGAAGTAAAACACAAACATATAAAGAGACAACAATGATATAGCTATGTCTACACTCTCTCGCCATAAATTGATAGTATGCACAGATGTTCATTGCGGAGATTTAAACACATTACTACCACAGGAACTATAGTGGATATCATCAGCTTCAGATGTACAAATGACTCACACATACAACGCTCTCCATCACAACACTCCTCTTATCATCAGACAACAAAAAACACATCAGATAGTAGACATTGCATCACATAATCGTTGTCACGAGAACTCACATTGTTAACTTGCACGCCTGCTACAGCAATGTCGCTGTAAACAAAGAGCGTTCTCACTCCAATTTATCAAGAGATTTGGATAACCATATATTTCGCATGCGTAATTTCTAACAGAAAACCGATGAGACGCGTACTTCTATGTTATATTTCTTCCTTTCCAAATCTCCATGTAGGAAAGGTAGTCCTCATTATTTGCTTTCGATTTCCAAGATCAGAACTAAGTCAGTGTCGATATACGCATGTCAACTCTCGCTCATCAACTAATAATGGATGTCTGATATTCAATATGGCTGGTACCAAAATTTATAGAGTCAACTCATACTACTGTACTTTTGATTTGAATGACACTTACACACATATCTAAATATAGACACTAGGAGCGACATTCTATTCAGATTGGGAGCATGTGTATCTTTCATAGCTGAGGATCATCTGAACATCCCACGTGTATCTTCAAAGCTGTGCTGACATTTCGAACTGCAACATCTATCAATATGTGCATCCTATTCCGAGAGCACGAGTACATTCACTAGTCTTCATAAATTATCACATGAGCATAAACTAGAGTCAATCCAATATACAGTTCTGTCAAATGAATAGCCTTCCATATATTAACATAGGCTTCTGCAAATGCATTTACAGGATGAGGTTTCAGCACTCGTCACTTGAATATACAGTGATCATACTGCAATTGACTGTGATATTCTAGTAGATGGTTTGTCACGGACTCTACTAGACCTTCTTAATGTTTGAGATCCTTCTGGTGCTGGTGGCTGAACATGAACACCATCAAAATCATCTTCCGGTTCATTCTGATAAGGAACTTATGGATTTTCTAACTCTGGCATTTGTTCTTGTGGAACATTTTCTTCATCTCCAACTTGTCTTTGTTCTGTTGCTGGAGGAACTATTTGCGCATCTGTTGAATCATCATCAAATCTATCGGCAACTTGCTTCTTAGTTTTTTCAACATCTTCAATAGTCTGATTTTCAACAAATACAGCATCTCTACTTCTTATCATCTTTTTCTGGATTGGATCAAAAAATCTATAGCCAAATAATTGGTCTTGGTCATAGCCAATGAATACACACTGTCTAGTCTTGACATCAAGCTTAGACCGTTCATCCTTTGGGACATGTACGAAGACTTTGCAACCAAACACCCGCAAATGATCATAGGAAACATCCTTTCCTGACCATACTCGCTCTGGAATATCATACTGTAGAGGAACACAAGGTGAGCCCTCCTGACACATACTCGCCTCCTGCTAATATCATACTGTAGAGGACCCACCAAGGACGATGAGCTTGCAACCAAACACCCGCAAATGATCATAGGAAACATCCTTTCCTGACCATACTCGCTCTGGAATATCATACTGTAGAGGAACACAAGGTGAGCTGCTGTAAGAAGAGCTTCACCGAAAACCTTTAGACAACTTTGCATGTGAGAGTAAACATCTGACTCTCTCCATCAAAGTTCTATTCATCCTCTCAGCCAAACTGTTCAGTTGCAGTGTCTTGGGATGTGTTGTTTGATGTCGAATGCCATGCTCTTTGTAGAAAGCGTCAATTGGCCCAGTGTATTCTCCACCATTATCTGTCCTGATGCACTTCAATGGTTATACCTAGGTCTTCCTAGAATGGTCATCGATAAATATCACAAAATATCGATTTCCAACATATGACATCGTCAATGGTCCACACAAATCTAAATGAATCAGATCTAATACATTCTTCATTCTGGAAGGAGGGATAATCTTCAAAGCTACTCTGTTTTGCTTTCCCGCCATACAATCAGGACACTTGTCTAGGTGAACTTTATCCAATTCAGGTAGTATGTTCTTTCTTACCAGAGTTGTCATTCCTTTCGCTACCACAAATGAACATTTTGTGAGCTTCCACTGACCATTTCTGAAGGTGCTACAGAAACCTTCATCATCAAATCTACCAACTGAGATTTGAAAGCATGCTCGAAAGCTCATTCCTCATCAGTCTTGTCTTCCGGTTTAGTTGAACTAAGTACGGGCAGATGCATTTTAGTTACCATAAGGAGATCTCTCATTTCTCCATATATGGTAATTCGCGCCATTTAGACTGATCATTTTGCTTGTCCATTTGTCCATTTTGACTTGTGCAGAATATCATCACCAACATAAACCGTATACGTGAACAGTAGTATACGTGAATAGTGACCGTGAATAGTAATAGTATACTCAAATAGTAACTGTATGCATCAATAGTAACTGTACACATAAATAGTACTATGCGTGAATAGTGCTGGACTTACTTGAAACGGACTCAACAATGGTAACGCCAATAGTACTGTTCACCGTTAACCTTCAGTTACTATTTTACTATTCATCACTAAGTCGATTCTGCAACGTCTTTCCGAGCGGACAGCACCAATGGACTCGTCGTAATTTTCTCTTCGTCGTCGTCGTCGGTATATTTATTTTCAAAACATATCACGTCACTAAGTCGATTCTGCAACGTCTTTCCGAGTGGACAGCACCAATGGACTCATCATAATTTTCTCTTCGTCGTGGTATATTTATTTTCAAAACATATTCACGGATCCGGTACCGCTATCTGACTGGTTGGACTTGCCGAAACCTTCAGCTCTGATACCACTTGTTGGGCTCCCACAACCAAATAAGAGAAAATTAACACAATAGTATAATCAAAATTGTGACACGTAGAAATTTACGTGGTCCAAACCGGTTCGATTCCGGTTCCACCAGTTTTGGAACCGTGAATCGACGGTTCTAGTTCCATCTGAAACCGGCTGGAACTGTCCAAAATCGGCCGGAACCGGTCTGAAACTGGCCAGAACTGGTCTGAAACAGGCTGGAACTGTGGAAAAATCGATCAGACAACCGGCCGGAACTGTTGATTTTGGAACCATTGAGGAACTGGAATCGGAACCAAAACTGTTCGGTTCCAAACAGTAACCGAAACCGTTAATTTTCGGTTCGGTTCCGGAACCGTAGCCACCCCTATGTGTAAACCACATTAGCACTTAATTATTAAGCACAAACAAAAAATGTGTACATAATTTAAACTGTACTTTCATAACAAAAATTTAATATATTCACATAATATTAAGAAATCCTTATTTTCTTATAGCATGACATAGTGTATTTTGAAACATTAATTGTCCAACCACAATAATATCTATAAATGATATATGTGTATAGACTAAATAGAATTTCTTCAATCTTGTTTTATATCGTTAAAGTGGAGAATTGAACTAAGAGTGCCACTTTCTTGAAATTTTGCCAAACTAAATGTTTAAACTAAAAATCAAAATAAGAGTATACTCAACTTTTTGTTTTGACATTAATTTCAAAATCACCGATTTAAGCAATTTTTTCTATGTAAAAAGAATACTAACAATTTCAAAATTGTTACAATAATTTTTGTCCACATATTTTTTTTCTTTTTTTGCCTATAAAAGGTCCTTTGCCCTATGCTAAAGACCACAACAAGCTCTTAAACAATTACTACCTTTCTCTGAAATGGATAGTCTCTCAACAAATACTTTCTCCCCATTAGATACGAAAACCTTTAAAGATGAATCAAACATGGTAGTTGAATTCATTGAAGAATATTACAAAAATATAGAAAAATACCCAGTACAAAGCCAAGTTCAACCTGGCTTTCTCTCATCCAAATTGCCTAAAACACCACCGTATTACCCAGAACCATTAGAGGATATACTTAAAGATGTTACTGATACTATCATACCAGGCTTAACTCATTGGCAAAGCCCTAATTTCTTCGCTTATTTCCAAGCAAATGTCAGCAATGCTGGTTTTCTAGGAGAAATGCTCTGTTCAGGCTTCAATGTTGTTGGCTTTAACTGGATTTCATCTCCGGCGGCGACTGAGCTTGAGTCTCTTGTAATGGATTGGATGGGAAAATTATTAAAGCTTCCATCTTCATTTCTCTTCTCCGGCACTGGAGGCGGAGTCTTGCATGGAAGTACTTGCGAGGCTATAGTGTGTACTTTAGCTGCAGCGAGAGATAAAGCATTACAAACCATTGGATGGGATAAAATTACTAAATTGATCATTTATGCATCTGATCAAACGCATAGTACCCTATTTAAGGGTGCTAGATTAATTGGTATCCCTTCCTCCAATATTCGCAATCTACCAACTTCATTTTCTACTGGGTTTTCGTTATCACCTCAAATATTATCAGATACAATTGACAATGATATTAAATTTGGGTTTTATCCATTATTTCTTTGCGCGACTGTAGGAACAACTGCATGTGGAGCAGTTGATCCTATAAAAGAACTGGCTGAAATTGCAAAAGGATATAACTTGTGGTTTCATATAGACGCGGCTTATGCAGGTAGCGCTTGCATTTGCCCCGAATTTAGACATTACTTGGATGGTGTTGAATCTGCTGATTCATTAAGCATGAACCCACATAAATGGTTACTCACTAATATGGATTGTTGTTGCTTGTGGATTAAAAGACCAAATCTATTAGTAGATTCATTATCTAGTGAAGCTGAATTCTTGAAAAACGCTGTTAGTGAATCAAAAGCGATAATAGACTATAAAGATTGGCAAATTGCATTAAGCAGACGATTTAAGGCCTTAAAGCTTTGGATTGTGATACGCAGACATGGATTAGCTAATCTTATGTATCATATAAGAAGCGACATCAGCTTAGCGAAGCGGTTTGAGTCATTTGTAAGAAATGACAAGAGGTTTGAAATAGTGGTGCCAAGAAAGTTTGCGTTGGTTTGCTTTAGGTTAAAGCCTAGGAATGGAACCAACGACGGCCGTGAATTGAATACGCAGTTACTGGCAGCGGTTAACCAGAGTGGCCGTGCGTTCTTGACTCATGGACTGGCCGGAGGATACTTTATACGGTGCGCTATTGGATCGACATTGACTGAAGAACGACACGTAGATGAATTGTGGAAGCTTATTCAAGAAACGGCTCAAACAGTTTCCTGCTAATGAAACTGTCATAGTTCAGTTTTATTTACATGCATGAATCAATAATTAAATCCTATCAGGACAAAGAACTGTTTTGCTTTATTTTGATAGTGATTTGTTTTTAAAATTTATTTTTCTGTTGTTGGCAGAAATTGAATGCCGATGGGTGCGTAATGATTTAATTATACGGAAGAACTTACTCAGTTTGAATGATGCAATTTTTTAAGCAGATTAATAATTATAAATACAATCACAATCATAAATCATCCTGTATACGGAAGAACTTACTCAGTTTGAATGATGCAATTTTTTAAGCAGATTAATAATTATAAATACAATCACAATCATAAATCATCCTGTATACGGAAGAACTTACTCAGTTTGAATGATGCAATTTTTTAAGCAGATTAATAATTATAAATACAATCACAATCATAAATCATCCTGTATACGGAAGAACTTACTCAGTTTGAATGATGCAATTTTTTAAGCAGATCAATAATGTTGTGGGTCCCTCCGACATGTGGGGCCTACACTCTTTGAATGAAAGAAAAAAAAAACGTGTTATACTGTGCACACGTTGCAACACGCTTTCTTTGAAAAAAAAAACGGTGGACGCGTTAATAACGCGTTAATAACGCGTCCTTCATTCTTTATAAATAGAAGCAATTGCAACTCACAAGATACACACAGAACGAAGAGAGAAAATGTAGCGAGTTATCTAAGGGAGAGAAAATAGTGAAAAAATTATTATGAGGTGTTTTTGGGAAACACTTGTGAGTGCCACTATTTTTGTATTACTCTCTTTGTGTACCTCTCTTTGCTGTACCTACTATTTAAGTAGTGGGAAGAATGATTTCGAGTTTGTCTCGCCGTGGACATAGCTCCTAGAACAGCGTTGATGGTAACTACGTAAATATCTGTGCATTATTTCTATTTTTCGCTGTGTCCACTATTTTTGTATTACTCTCTTTGTGTACCTACTATTTTAATAGTGGAAGAATGATTCGGAGTTTGTCTCGTGGACATAGCCCTAAACAGTTGATGGTGAACTACGTAAATATCTGTGCCATATTTCTATTTTTTCGCTGTGTTATTATTCTCGTATTTTTATTGCCGGTATCCTAATAATAAGTGGTATCAGAGCTGATGCCTAACAAATAATTATAAATACAATCACAATCATAGATCATCCTGTATATGAATACAATTCTCATGGCCATCTCAAAACAACCACAATCAAAAACTAGATTTCCTGATACAAAGACAATAAAAAAAATTAAAAGTATTATCTCATATAAATATTTAATCGATTGAATTTTACAAATTGGATTCAATAATTTTATAAATTAAAATGTTGAATAGAATAATTTTATAAATTGAAGTATTTAATAAAAATAATTTTATAAGTTAAAGTATTTAATTAATGAATCAAATTAAACAAGGGTGCCAAAATATTTTTTACAGAAAATTATACAAGGTTGAGTTTATACATTTGTCCACCCAAATTTTATATAATTACAGCACATAAAATCCATGGGAATACTATACATAATGTATATATATAGATTTTTCAACAAAGGAGAACTTCTGATATATACTAGCTAAGCTACAAAATGAACTCTCCTTCTTTCTCATGGCAATGAAGGGTACTGTGCTTGGTCACATGGAGAGTGAAGTAGAAGTCTTCTTCTTCTTCTTTTTCTTCTTCTTCTTCTTAGGCTATAAATTCAATTGTTTATTACATATCCTAATTTATAGCCTCAACAGGGATTATTTCTTTAAACTGGAACTGCCTCCAATGACATTGACATGGAAGCTGCAGACATGCTTGTTTCAAGCCTTATCGTTTTATTCTGCTATAAAGAAAAGAAAGAAAAATTCATCAATCTAATCAGGAATTAATTTGCAATTTTATACATGCGATATATATATTTATATATATTTCGTAACCAAACCATGTCAGCAAGTGTATTTTTCCAAGCCTTGTCCATCTCGTCGAAGACGACATCCATTGTCGGACGACCTTTGCTCGATTTTGCAACACATAAGACTGCAATCTGTAATATAGCTTCAAAATCTGATCTGTTCACTTTCCCATTTAGTCTTGGATCTTCCATATCTGTAACCGGACGCTTTCCCAAACATACATCTTTTGCCTGCACAGAACTAATTAGCAATAAAGAAATAAATAAATGGAAGAAACAAAAGAAGAAGACGATGTCTAATACCTTTCTTGTGAGCTGGTCTCTGGCATCAAGATCCAATTCAATGACTTTTTGTCCTGATAAGAGTTGGAGAATAACTATACCAAAACTGTAAATATCGCTAGCACAGGTTAGCTTGGCGTTGCTCATATATTCAGGATCCATATAGCCTATGGTTCCTCTAACATCTGTAAATACTTTGCTCTCTTCCATTCCCAACATCTTTGCCAACCCAAAATCAGACAGCTTTGGGTCCAAATTCTCAGTTAAAAGAATGTTTGTAAGCTGTTAACAAATTTATAATTAAGCATCATTAGCATCATTAATTAGATACATCCAAGTGAGAATCATGTTGCTTAATTGATTAATTACCTTGATATCTCTATGGACAATGCATCCATCTATATAATGATGGAGGTATCTCAGCCCAAGTGCACAGTCTCTTAGGATCTTAACTCTTCTTTCCCATGTTAAAAGTGTGTCCTTTCCTGAAAACATAGGCAAGAACATGCAGCAAGAAAGGGACAAAATTAACTAAAAGAAAGGTTGAGATTTAAGATTCTTACTTAGGAGATGTTGGGCTAAATTTCCTGCTGAACAATATTCATAAACTAGATATCGGTCAGTTCCATCGATGCAGCAACCGAACAAACAAACAAGATTTGGATGTCTAACTCTTGAAAGACCTTCAACTTCACGTTGGAAAGAATCGGAGGTGTTACTTTGATGTATGTGTTTGATGGCCACAACTTGTCCACTAGGCAAAATCCCTTTATAAACTTGGCCTGCACTGCCTCTTCCTAAGCTTTTTCTCTCATTGCTGTAGTTTAGAGCATTCTCAATCTCCGCCTTGGAAAATCTGTAAAGGCCAGACCAAGCCTTCATATCTTTGGATTGACGAACAGGCTTAGGATGCCTGCTCTTTCTCCTGCTCTTTGTTACGTACATTGTCAAAACAACTACTGCTATAAATACAGTAATTGCCACAAGAACTGCGAATACTGCCTTCAATGTAGAATCTGATGAGGTAAAAAGAAATCTGTGAGTGTTCAAAGAACGAGTAATATTAGGGGAATAACGTCAGGAGGGTAAGAATAGTTTTGCTTACGCTTGATTTTTTCATAACCCACATCTGTTAATGAACAGAAAAATTAATGTCAGCAACCAAAACAAAAGGCTGAAGGTAATTATAGGTCAAGCCATGAGACTTACCGAAGGCATCTAAGGCTGGTAAACACCTATAGAAATCATCAATGGTAGATGGATCACCCATATTCGTAGCTGCAATAGAAATGACAGTTGCTACAGCACATATAGCTCTGTCTTTCTTGTCTGCATTTACACTTTCTAATAGACCCTTAGTTGCGTCCACTATTGCATGGATGCAATCAGAGCAAGCATCATTGAAAGAAGAAGAGTTAAATTTTGAACACTTATCTAAGGCATTTTCGTAATAAGGATCATCGTTAATTGATGAAAACTGAAAATTCGAACAAGGACTACTTCCACTGTAAAGATAATCAAAGCCACATAAATTCGGTGAAACTGAGTTTTGTTTATGAAATGGACCGTTGCAATTTGTCCAGTTAACTTGTGGAATGAAAGTATAATCATATCCTCTGTTGAATATGTTCCATGCTAAGGCTTTGGTTAGGACATTAAGCACATTCCTACAACAAATTGTTGTGTCAATACTTCCCAAGACCTGGACTTTCTCCTGATAGCCTACGCACTCCCCGATCGGTTGATAAGGGAATTTCTTCAAGTCTAATGAGCAAAAAGCTGCAACAACAAGAGACATCGTGATTAACATTGACAAATATATTTGCGCTTATAACTATAGAGAGAGAGATTTATCTGAATACTACTCTGGCCTGAGCATGGATACAAAATACGAAGAAATTAATGAATACCTGGATCATCCGGCGAATGTAAATCTCCGGAGGAGACATGAATAATTGAGATTGCTACATTGAAGAAGAAGGCGAGCCTGAAAAAAGGGTATCCTTTGTTGATCATATCCATGTAATTTGGTGGCTTGAATTCAGTCCATATATAAGGTTATATTAATTTTTACTTCAAGAAAACATGCAACTGAAAGTTTTCTATGGCAAGATTGTGTCCATGTACTTATAGATTAGCTAGTCTGTTGGTTGTATCGTGATTGTTCAGAAACCAACATTTCTTGGTGATTACAGCTAGCTGTAACACTCTTGCGATCACCGTTGAAGATGCTTCTGTTTTTGTTGCTAATTATGATCAATCATGATATGGAAAAAATTAATTATTATGAGATTATTTAACAGGCTTAATCACTTAATTCATCTTTGGTAGTATCAACTTTAAAAATAGAAATGAAATATTCTGAGTAATATACATCTTCAAGCACATCGCCGCATCGAAAGGATGTGTCTTCCTGTCAGGAAGACAAATACATTACGGCAATCAAAGAGTTCGTTTTCTTTGAAAATTTTATGTATATATATTATATATGAGTAAGCGGTGCAATTATGTAAATCTATCATTTCTAGGCCATGTTCTGCCACATCGTCTGAAATGAAAATACAACGGTTTGAAACGAAAATACAATGGTTTGAACAGAATGACTAACATGTTAACAGAATTATAATTTAAAGAACGCACATAATTAGTTTTTGAACATAAGGGTCTCCATATATTAATATGGCTATATAACCTGGAGACCAATTTACTATTCACTTAATAACTTTATATAGTATTAAATATCTTAATAATAACTTGTAACTTCAAATTCAAAATCAAATTTATAGAGTCGATGCAAGTTTTTCTTTAAGGATTGTTGTATAAATAAGTTTAGTTGAAAGGCAATTGAGTGAAGTTGATCTTAAGTATTTTAGATATTTTAATTTGAAGAACACAACTTTTGATGTGAAAAATAAATATGGATCGATCTCAAATAAAATATTGAGACTGTAAGTTCTAAAATATACAGTATATTATTTCAACATTTTAGCTACTTTAATTAAACCCTTAAAATACGGGTAATTTTCTTTCTTAATTTATATTTATAAAAAAAAAAAGGAGGAACGAGGAAGAGTAATTTTTGTAAGAATGTATGAACTCAAAATAGGCCCAATCAATAATATTTTATGTTGCTCTGGGCCTAAAATATATCCCATCGGAGATTAGATGTGAACCCAGTTAATAGATCCACGTTACGTTGCTACGTTCCACACGATTTCTTATCCAACTTCACACCATTCCAAGGCCGAACCCCGCGCTCTTTTTTTCTGTATGTGCATCAACTCTTATACCTGTCATGAAAATTGCCTTCTTCTCCTCAAGGTTAGTTAGTACCTATTCTCCCTCTCTTTCTCGCTCTGTGTGTGTTCAGTTCTATTACATTTTAGAATTTGTTGTGATAGTAACTTGTCTGATAATGCTTTTATTGTTCTTGTAATTAAATGTTTCTTGCTAATTTTAGTACAAGATTGTGCTTGTGGAAAGTTTGCAATCAATCTTTTCTCTGTACATACCTTTTAAGTAATTAGATTTTCTTGGTTTGTTAAAGTTCATTTCTTTTCTCAAGAATGCTGACACTTTCAATGCCAAGCACAGGCAGGCAAGCTAACCCAACTTGGGATTTTTTTTTTTTTTTTTTTTTTTTCTTTTTAAGTTCATTCTTCTTTCTTCAAGATGGGCTGACACTTCAGCCAAGCAGCAGGCAAGGTCATCAACCCAATCTTGGTGGATTTTTTTTTTTTTTTTTTTTTTTATATGACTGTCAGTCATTTAATTCTACTGAATATTAATATATAATCTTGAATTTAGTATATAATTGGCCATTGCGATCTGTAGAGATATGATTCGTTGTTGGTCGTTGAGTATATTCAGTTGAAGGAGGAAGGTGTTATGCTAGCGTGATAGTTTAGTCCAGAAAACAGAATGAAAACTACTGATATAAGCCATTCTTAGATTGCAATATGAAAGTCTTAAGAGTAGAGATTGGAAGTATGCGTTTGCTTGCAAACTCAATATATTGTTCTGAAGAAAGTATTAAGTAGTCATACATTCAAATCGGCATGAAGATTTCATTGAAGGAAACGTATTTCGCGCATCGTAGTGTTGAAAATTTTGCCTAATAGCATGAAGTCAAAAGACTGTTCGTGTAAGAAGTGATAGGAACTATTGTGGACCTTGTGCTTAGAGATGCTTCAATCAATTCTCTGGCTGGACAAATAAGTTTCCCTTTCATTTTAGTAGTACTGCTGCGAGATAAATAAGGTAGCTCCAGTTTTCTAATGGTGATTGCCTTGTTAAATTTCTGATGCAAAAACCAATTATTCAACTTCTTTTTTGTTTCCACTTTTTGATATTAATATCACTTTTCAGTTTTTTTATTTTTAATTCGTCCTGGCCCGCGCCAGTCTCCCGGTGTTTTTTTTTTTTTTTTTTTTTTTTATATGATGTAGTATTTAATTCTACTAATATTAATATATAATCTTGAATTTAGTATAAATTGCATGGTTTGTAGAAAGATCATGAATTTTCTTGTTGGTCGTGAGTTATATTCAGATTGAAGGAGAGAAGTGTGTTATTGCTAGCGTGATAGTTTAGTTCCAGAAAACAAGAATGAAAACTAACTGATATAGCCATTCTTAGATTGCAATTGAAGTCTTAAGAGTAGAGACTTGAAGTATGGCGTTGGCTGCAAACTCAATATATTTGTCTCATGAAGAAAGTATTAGTAGTTCATACATCAAATCGGGAATTGAAAGATTTCATGGAAGGAAGGGACTTCATTTTCGCAGCATAGTAGTGTTGAAAATTTTGCCTAATAGCAGAAAGTCAAGAAGACATGTTCAGTTGATAAGAAGTTATAGGAACTATTGTGGACTTGTGCTAAGATGCTCACATCAATTCTCTGGCTGGACAAATAAGTTTCCCTCATTTAGTAGTACTGCTGCGAGTATAAATAAGGTAGCTCCAGTTTTAATGGTGATGCCTTTGTTAAATATTCTGATGCAAAAACAATTATCAACCTTCTTTTTTGTTTCACTCTTTTTTGATATACATATATTTTCATTTTTTTTTTTTTTTTTAAGGCAAAAGAAGTGCTTAATTTTCTGATGTTGAGTGTGTCAAACAACCTAAAAGAAAAGGGCCAGTTGCAGTTCTTGAAAGTTGCCGGCATATTGGCATGTGCCCTGTTAGTCATTCCATCGGCTGATGCTGTTGATGCTCTCAAAACTTGTGCTTGCTTGTTGAAGGAGTGCAGGTAAGTCAAATTTCCTGGCAGCCTATAGTTATGAAATCTACCCTCTCTCTCCTTCTCTATGCATTTGATCCTCTAAAATTTAACCACTTGGGAACAGTATTTATATGTTAATGATGAAACTGAACCTTAAATGTGACTTTAGCTTTGCTTAATTGTAGCCCACGAGTCACAAGTTGAAAGTTGAAACTATCAAAAAAACATCCTTATAATGCAAGGGGAATGTTGCATGCATCTAATCCTCCCCAATAGATGCAATAAGGAAAAGCTCCATACACTAGAACACCATTTATACTTGCGGAAGCATTTCTCATCAAATATTGATGCAAGTGTTGTTCTTCAACAAAATTTGATTTGTTTTAGACCCTTTAATATCTGATTTAGCACTAATTACTTTATATGCTAATTTTTTTTTCATGAACTCTTTATCTGACTTAAGGCTTACTATTTGTTAGGTTAGAATTGGCTAAATGCATTGCAAACCCAGCATGTGCTGCCAATATCGCTTGCCTTCAGACATGCAATAATCGGCCTGATGAGACTGAATGTCAGGTGAGTTCTGTTCTATTAAGCATTCATGGATATATATATATACCTGTAAACAAATTGTCGGTGCACCATAGATGTATAAACAAGCATAACAGTCTCTGCTAGAGCAAGCTATCAGAAAGATTGTTGCACACTTGCACTACATATATGGCTGACCAAGAGAGTAGCATATGTAAATGAAAGCATGTCCTCTCTCAGTTCCAGCTTTCAGTAAGTTGGTCAGCCTAATAGCTTGTTTGCCCTTTATTGTCAGTGGAAACAAATATGCTTATCATGAATACCCTTCCTTGTAATTTTTCAGATTAAATGTGGGGACTTGTTTGAAAACAATGTTGTTGATGAATTCAATGAGTGTGCAGTCTCAAGAAAGAAGTGTGTACCTAAAAAATCTGATGTTGGGGAATTTCCAGTCCCTGATCCAGCTGTTCTAGTCAAAAGCTTTAACATTGCAGATTTCAGTGGAAAGTGGTTCATTACTAGTGGCCTAAATCCTACATTCGATACTTTTGACTGCCAATTACATGATTTCCATAGAGAGTCTAACAGACTCGTAGGAAATTTGTCATGGAGAATACGAACTCCAGATGGTGGCTTTTTCACTCGATCAACTGTGCAGAAGTTTGTTCAAGATCCATTGCAGCCTGGAATACTCTACAACCACGATAATGAGTATCTTCATTATCAAGACGATTGGTATATGCCTTATTATTCCTGTTCTACTACTATCTTTATATTACGCTTCAATTTTGCTGTGGCTTCAAAGTAAACTAGCTTGGATCCATCTTTCCAATATTGCACATTTTTTCCAATTTGATCCTGTGGGCTCTTCCAAGATTTAAGAGCTACCGAACAATGGCAGTTTGCAAAATATGGATCTCAAAAATATTTTAAGCAGTTTAATGCAGAAGAAACACTGCCATTTTGTGGCTTTTTCAGCTGTCATTTGCAAACCACTTATCTATTACTAATTTAAATGCGCTTTGTGAGTGTTGCTTGAGTAATTTTTACAGTGGACAGCTGTGCGTCAATCTATTGAATAATCAACATAAAGTATTTTTTCTCCTACAGTTTGCTAAATTTAGCCAGAATAACTAACCAGCAATATATTTTATGCATCCAGGTATATATTGTCCTCCAAGCTAGAAAACAGCGAGAATGATTACATATTTGTGTATTACAGAGGCAGGAATGATGCTTGGGATGGATATGGTGGTGCCGTTGTGTACACAAGAAGTGCAGTTTTACCGGAAAGCATCATACCTGAATTGGAAACAGCAGCTAAAAAGGTAGGACGAGATTTCAACAAGTTTATTATAACAGATAATACTTGTGGGCCTGAGCCTCCCCTTGCTGAGAGAATAGAGAAGACGGTAGAGGAAGGGGAAAAGACCATTATAAGAGAGGTTGAAGAAATTGAAGGGAACGTAGAGAAGGTGGGAAAAACAGAAATGGCCCTGTTTCAGAGATTGGCAGAAGGGTTTAAAGAGCTGCAACAAGATGAAGAATTTTTCGTGAGAGAGCTAAGTAAGGAAGAGATGGATATATTGAATGATCTAAAAATGGAAGCAGGTGAAGTGGAAAAACTCTTTGGCGAAGCATTGCCTCTTAGGAAATTAAGATAGAATCATCTTAGAAGAAATCTTTTGTTATAGATCATACCTAGAATAATACTAATTCTTTGGGAAATGTCAAGCAATATTGCATTTATGCCTTCTGAAAAAAAATCCAGATTCCAATTTTTAAACTGTATTTTGTTGCCTGTTTTTCATTGTCCTTTTTGTTTTTCTGTGAAAGAAGCAATATCAATAGCTTACTCAAAAACAAAGTATCACAAGAATGATAATCAAAAGATCAATTGAAAGACTACTCATATCATATTTCTTAGAACTTTTTAGGACTTTTACATCACGGCATTACTTGAAACAAGAATAAACAAATACCAATATAAGCAGAACCTTAAACAGTCCCAGAACAAGGACTAGATCTTACTTGTCCAAATTAAAGCTAGAAACAAACCAGAAGGAATAACAGGTCATTAAATCCTCCATAGAACCCTCTACTTCAAGAATGACTAAAACTAGTAGCAATAGGTATGACAATAACAAGAATGATCAGCAACAAAAGTATAATCCCAATACACAACCACTTCCTGCTACTTCTCTGATAATCTTTAGCAGTCTTGAGCTCTTTTGCACCATCTTTCACATAATGACTAGCATTTAACACATGATGCTCAATATCATCCAATTGCTCTCCTTGTGCTTCCACCATAACTGCCATATCCAAGAACACCTGGTGCAGTTCTAACAAGCTCTTCTCAATCTCTTTTGCTGCGTCATGCCTATCCTGTATTTCCACTACTGTCTCCAATACTTTCCCTTTCCCATGCTCTTGGATTGCGCGTTTCAAGAACTCTTCACCTCCGTTATCATCAGAAATTATCTTTTCAATTACTTCCTCATCAGGATATTCTCCAGTAACTGTAAAATATCTTCTTCCTACAGTTTCTTTATACTCAGCCATCATTTTTTGCCTTAATCCTTGAAAATCCATCATTAGCTCTTTTAACTTTTTTCTCAAACCATTGGTGACTGCAATTCTGGTTCTATAAATTGGTGTTCCTTCTTTAAACGCAGATAATCGCCTGTTAGCTTCATTAGCCCTGTCCATTTCTTCTAGTTGAGCTCTGATAGCTCTTGCTTTTTTGAGTACAGTAACAATATCTGCATTGATTATATTGCGCAGAGATTTTACAGCTTCTGATTTGTGTAATGATTTGCTTTCTTCATTGGATTGTTGAAGACTGTCAAGAATTTCGCGGATTGATCCCATTTCCTTCTTGACAATCTCAGCTTCTTCAAGGAATAAACCAAGGTTCTGATCCATGGTATTTGATGCATTAGCCATTTCCACATCAGGGTCAGGTCCAGCTTCTAGATCTTTCATGGCTTCCTTCTTTAGGTCTACATAACTGATGAAGGATTTGGTCATTAAATCATTCATCTTTAATTATTTAACCTGAAACAGAACACACCAAAATAAAAATTAAAAAAAAAAAGTACACACGAAATCATTTGTTAGGGATATCAAGCAAACAAATCCTTCATTTTTCGGCTTTAGTAGTTTAATTTAACAGTAAACAGAACAAAAAATCAAATTGATATGAACCATAAGAAATAGGCTAAACACTGAAACTGAACACAAAAATTTTTCTTTGAATTAGGCGTACAAAAATTAGGCAGATCAAGCATGCAAAAAATTGAGGAACAGAGAAAGAAAAACAGAATCTTCACTTTATTAAGCAAAAAACAGAATAAAAATCAAATTTATGACATAGTCATAGAAAACTGAAAATAATGAGATACCAACTGCAAAATCATAGACAGTTTATATATATGTGTATGCGTGTGTTGGTAAAAGCTAAAGCATACCTTTATGAGCTAGTAAAATCAAAGCAGTTGCTTAGAGAGCTTGAGATGGAAAGTGGGGTTTAATATTTTGTAATATGAAATAGAGAGACGAAAAAGGTAAGAAATTTAGTTAATCTGAGCTTGGGAGACGGAAAGAAGGAGATGATGATGTTGGTTTGGTTTCTGATATGGAAATTCAAGCTCAGATGATACTGGATTTCTTCTGTGGATTTGAAATGAGTTAAATGAGATACTTAAATGGAAGCAAAAAAAGTATATTGTAAGATCTGAAAAATGTAGCCGTTTGTAGGTTCCCAACGGCTATATTTCTGTTCCTTTCCGTTGCTCTATTTTGCTTTTTTGGGCCCATTGTATTTTAGGCCCATAATAAACACGGGCTCCCTTTTGGGCTACGGTGTCTTTTTCCCCTACTTAGGCCCAAAAACGTTAGGTTCTATTTAGATTTTTGCATTTTTATTTTTGTATAATGACACGGAAAAAATAAATTGTGAATCAATTATGGAAATCGCAAAAAAAAAAATTGTAAAATTTAAAATATGTTTTTTATATTTTATCAATAACCTGTTTTTACTGTTTTAATGTGCTCACTTGCAAATTTCTTTATAAATTGAAACTTAAACAGATTTAGTCTTCAATCCTTTCTTGTCATCAAAGATTAATTACATTAATAAGCCCATTATTTAACAGATAAATTTAAATAAAATAATTTAAGCATCTTTTTTTAAAGAATTTCAATAATTAGTTGATGGAGAAAAAAAGGAAAAAAATTATAAATGATGGTGTTTTTAAGAAATTTAGTGTTAGAATCGTGTGATGCGCAGAACAATATTAAAAGATAAAAATATTTTTTATAGCTTCAACACAAATATAATACGAAAATTAGACAGTTGACACAAAATATAACATGTTTAACCCGTTTAATATTACTCCATACACCAAGGTAATAATTAAAATAAGAAATTAAGTATTTCTTATTTTATGATTTGGGTTATTTATGTTTTAATTAAATTTTAATTTAATTTAATGTATTTGGTTTATTTATGTTTTAATTAAATTTAATTAATTTAATGTTATTATCCTTGATTTGATGTAATTAATAAATAAAAATACATACACCAAGGTAATAATTAAAATAAGAAATTAAGTATTTCTTATTTTATGATTTGGGTTATTTATGTTTTAATTAAATTTTAATTTAATTTAATGTATTATCTTGATTGATGTAATTAATAAATAAAAATAAAAAACAACTTATATTCTTATAATTGCTATCATTACGCCTTATCTTTTTACAACCATGAGAAATAATTATTATCATTTTTATACTTGACAATTTTAAAGACTTACTCTTAATTTTCATATAATGCAATTACAAATTGTTCTGCTTTTATAGATAATAGATATTCTAACTCTTTTAAACTTATTAATAAAAATTATAAGTACTTTGTACGATATAATCCTTTCCAAAATAAAAAAACTTTTCAAAAACCCTAGTTATGGACGAGGATAGTCTGTTTCGATGATTGGTCGTACCAAGACGACAGAACGATGAAAAGAAAATTAGGATCGGGCCCACAGATCGGAGAATCCTCGTGGAATGTCTGCTTTTATTAGTAATTAAATACCTTCTTTTTGTCTTTGTAAGCAGTCTAAAGTTAAAGAATAAAGTTTTTATTTGGTGAATTATAAAATATAAAATTTACCTTGATTCATTTTTTTTTTCATTATAATTCAATCATTTTTTTTACAGATTTAATTAGAATATCAATATTGAGGAAAGAAAAAAAAATCAATATATATATATCACTTTCGTGGTATAATTCGAAAGTAAAAACATATTTTTTATTTTTGTATGCAATTATTAATTAGATGAGAGTTTTTTATGATAAAGTGATCTATTTTTGGCAATAAAAATATGAATATAATTTAATTCTATACCTATATATATTAATATATAAATTTTTAAAGTACGGTTGATGATCCGAAACATATTAAAATATGAAAATATTGTAATATTTTTTTTCATGATAGTTAATTTTTTATTTAGTAAACATTAAATTCTCATCTTTAAGAAAGAAAAATATTTTTTAATCATTAATGAATTTGTAACTTTATAAATATATTTATTTTAATTCAATAATTATCAGTAATTACTATTGACTATCATTACCCGTGATCAATAACGATGACAGTTTATTATTTGTTATGTCTTTTTTATCACATTTAATAACAAGATTTTAAAATACAAAGTTTTATAATTATAAATTTTTTATGGTTTTATTATTTAAAATTTTAATATTTTGCGGTAATTTCAGTGCTATAACTAAATAATTGAAATAAATTATTTAAAAATATTTTGTTCAAAAAAGTATTTATCAAAAATAAATTATTTTTTGTAAACAAACCATCCTAAAATCTGATCTGGTAATTTGTTATCCCTAAACTTTTGGATGAAAATATTTTTTCACATCTTAAATCGAGGAAAAAATAAAAATAAAAACAGATTAGAGATCCCTAATTGCTAATGGAATACAAACCCAAAAGCTTATCTAAATTAGCAGCCACCAAACTGCCAAACAGAGCTCTTCTGGTAGTTAGGTCAATCACAATCACTCCATTTCTCTGTACATTTTATTTTGGTACTTCAATTCCAACTTGGGAACCCAAAAAACAACCCAATTTTAAACGTCTGCTTTCCTATTTCCTCCCAAAATCTCAGACCAACCAATCAACAATAAAGTTGCTTCTTTTACTTCATACCAGTTGCTGCCTTTGCTCATACTTAAATATACAATCACTATTCACTATCAAACTATAGCAGGAATTAGTGATGGGGGCAGTGAAGGCGGCGATTGGTGATGGAGTGCTCACTTTCATGTGGGTTTTCTGTTCTTCAATGTTTGGATTGTTCACTAGCCTCATAGCCGCTGCTCTTCGGGTTCAAAATTATTTGTGGGCTACTCTGTTTATCACTACCGTTCTTGTTTTCGTGTTTGTTTACTTGTTTGGCTTGATCGCTGGGTTCTTGGGTGGAGCCAGTTTTAACCCTACTGGTAATGCCGCCTTTTATGCTGCTGGAGTTGGTGGGGATAATCTTTTTTCTTTGGCTCTTAGATTCCCTGCTCAGGTGACATTCATTATCGTATAAAACATATCTTTCTTTATATATTTGCATATAGGTTTAGTATATACTAATAGCTGAATTCGAATTGTCCTGAATCTTTGGCTCTTAGATTCCCTGCTCAGGTGAATCGTTGGCTCTTAGATTGCCACTGTTCAGTGAATTTATTTAGATTTTATTTTTATTGTGGGCTTGCTATATTGTTTCTGTAGAGGCATACATAAATGAGTGGATTTTACTTTCTTTAATTTTTAGTATCTTCCGGTTTTTGGGTCAAATTCAACCTTTTTTCTTTTTTTTTTTTTTGGGGGGGGGGGGGAATTTTTCTTAAAGTTCTCTAATGTTTTTTCTAAGGCAAACAGAAAGAAACATTATTATATTGTTGCTGTTTTGTGTGATTGTTGTTGAAAATTAAATGGAAGAAATAGCTTTATAGTGAGCCAATGTTCCAGAAAAAGAGAAAGGGTTAAATTCAGAGGGGGGGGGAATTTTCTTAAAGTCTCTAATTGTTTTTTCTAGCAACAGGAACAGAACATATTATAATTGTTGCCTGTTTTTGTGTATTGTTGTTGAAAATTAAATGGAAGAATATAGCTTTTATAGTGAGCCATGTTCCAGAAAAGAGAAAGGGTAATTCAGAGACGGTGATAGATGTACAAGAACTTGTTTCTCCAAAAAGACAGCAACTTTAAAGGAGCGACTTAGATTTATAATAATAACAAACAATATGCTTAAGAACTCGTATTAAGCATGTAATACCTTCTTGACAGGCAGCAGGTGCTGTGGGTGGGGTACTGGCTATCTTGGAGGTGATACCACCACAGTATAAGCACATGCTTGGAGGTCCTTCGCTGAAAGTTGACTTGCATACTGGAGCCATTGCCGAGGGAGTGTTGACCTTTATAATTACCTTTGTTGTTCTGTTAATTGTCCTTAGAGGTCCTCGCAACTCATTTGTGCAGAATTGGCTGATTGCAGTTGCAACTGTAACATTGGTTGTCACAGGTTCCAAATACACAGGCCCTTCTATGAACCCTGCTAATGTGAGTAGTCCAGCTTTCTTTACATGTTCCAGATTCATTTTTTGCTTTTCTTTTTATGTCTTAAATATGTGCTATGGTTTAAATGATGTGTCAATTTTGCCCCTTTAGTTTCTAATAAGAAGCAGAAATTCCTTTAAATTATAAGCTTATTAAATGCTTTCAAGGATTTGTTGCTGTATTTTGTATAATATGCAATTAGGTACTGGTTTTATTTGTGTTGCATCTTGTCAGTTTTGAGTGTAACTGTACACCCAGCTGCTCTGACTTTCTTGCAATCACCCTTTTTGTTGCTACTCTATCCAACTCTCAAAAGTTCTGATCACTTTCTTTTTCATTATTCCATCTGATTTTTTTTCCTATTCTCAGAGTCTTACATTATGGATTATATTTATATTATTTGTTTGAAGATGTGTAATACACTGCTTTAACATTTATATGAAATCATTGAAGATGATTTTCACATACTGTCTCATCACACTAATATGTTATATCGATTGGAACTGGTACCTCTTCAATTTGCTTTAGTTTTGTTCTTATGTCCCTTTAACATTCTAGCTCTTGTGCTCTTTCTTTATTTGCGCATTTATTGACATTGCATTGCTGAGTTGCAGATGTTTAGACATAAGGTTGCAAACATGCTTGGTCAGTCTATTCTCTGTCCGTTCTATTGGCATGTGGCTAGTTTGCCTTTATTCATATTATGTGATATGTTTATTGAGTCATCCATTTTATTCATTGGAACCAAAAAAAAAAAAAAAAGAAAAAAGTAAATCAAGAAACATATTGAACTTTGAATAGAAGAAAATGGAAATAAAGGATTTATATCCAACCTCAACTAGTTTGGGAAATTGGGATTAAGGCTTGGTTTTTGTTGTTGTTGTACTGAACTTTTGAAGGCAACCTATCTTGGAACATGGTTTAAGGGTAGCTACATGATGGCGCATTGGCACTTATGGGATATACTTACTGAAAAGAAGAAGGGTTTATCTTTTATTGGCATATTTTATGGTGTATATATATTTTCAAATGAGAAAATCATCATTCATATTATGTAGTCCTTTCTGAATGACAGGCTCGGACTCCCACTCCTTGCCCACCTCTGATTATAACAGATTAATAATGCAGTTCTAACAAATGAGATAATAAATCGCTATATTTGATAAAGCACTTGGTCAATGAACATATTATGAAATTGAAATGGACATCTCTACATAATTCTGTCAGTGGAAGATTTCAAATTGCATTCATCTTTTTATACCCTGATTAAATCTTTTCTCTACAGTATTTTGGCATCTTTATTAAAAAGTAAAAAACATTCGTTGGTTTAATAGTAATATTCCAGCTTAACTAACGATGGAGAATTACCTTATTGCTTTTATATTGACCGGATGAGAAGCAAGTTTGCTTTTTACCCTTCTATGATTAGGATCGGAGATTAATGGTAGGAAGGGAAGGGAAAGGAAAGAAATATTAATCTTATTTTCCTTGTCTGTTGGTATCTGGCTAGTAGAAGTGTAAATTTTAGATTTAGTGCATCTATATTAATTAATAATTATTCAATTTGTCAAGACTATGGAGATAAGGAAAACAAATAAATTGTCTTTTTTGAAATCCTTTGGGACACTCACTCTCTGATTTAATATAGACGATGATGTAGGAAGTTCTTTCTTTGTCTTAATGATGGTGCTAACCAGGAAAATGGTTGACTTCTGTTGACAGTAGTGGTTGTCTATGGAAGTTGAAGACATGGATTGTATAACATGGAAAGTAACATCCATAGAGAAAAGTGGAGATGTTGATAGTGAGGTGGAACTATAATCTCACTGCTGGGGTGGAGATGGTGCAATGTTGTAAATAGAGATTGGAATATAAAATAATCGTACAAAGATATATTTGTTTTGAAACTATAAGGTTTGAGATTATTACATGCTGTATTGATCCAAAAATGATTGTTATTGACTCATGCAAAGGTCTTTGAGAGATATTGAGGATCATGGGAATTTTAGGGATAATTCGGGGAAGGAAATGAAATGCCACGACAAGCGTTTGATCTCAAAGTTTACTTTTGACTGTAGGCTTTGAAGATTAAATTGATAATGGCCTCCACAATAGTTTTTACAAGTTAGTTCCAGTAGATTTTACAACCTGCCTTTCGATGTTATACTTTTAGGATCTGTTACCTGCCTTTTGCCCTTCAGGATTACTGTTTGATCAGATTAAACTCCTTTGCGATTTGTTTGACATGGGACCTGGGTTTTTGCAGATTGATCTCCCATCTTTCATATTATGTTTTACTCTCTTCTTCTCTCTTGTATTGGCATTACCTATTTTGATATTAGGCTAATTGATGATCAGTCTACTTGCACTGCTCTAACTTCTAATGAACTAAATAAATTGTGGGATGATGTAACCTAATATGGTGTAATGTACCAAGCCACATCTTTTAACGCTAATCTTTAAGCATATCATCTTTTCCTTTAGGTTTTGGGAGAAAAGTTAGGGAGCTTTGCCACAATCCTCGTTTGGGTAGGATTTGAGTTATATATGATAAAATCAGATTGCTCTCCTGCGGAAAGAAATTACTGGGTCTTCCAGCAAAATTGCCTGCATTAGGACAAGTCATATTCTCTATGAATTAATTGTTTATTACTTTAACTAAGTCTTTACAAATGTACACCAAAGTTATTTGCTTTTCACATAAACTATCATCAGAAGAATCTGAAAATATAGGTCTGGGATACTGAGTTGGCTCTTCAATTCAACTTTTTAGACTTCCATCCTGATACTTTTTACTTCTTCATGGATTGGTTTAGTAAGGATGCAGATTGAGTTCCCTTGATAGCATGCTTATCCCTGATGGAAATGATGTATTTGTCCTTCTACTAAACCAAAATCTTTTTACTTTTTAAAAAAAAAAAAAATTTGGTGTTCCGACTAGCAACTTTACAGTCTAGAGTCAACTTGAATACCATTGAGCCAAGGCTCATTGGTGAAATCTCGTTTGGTTATTGAAGGCTCTGTTAGAATGTCCATATAGTTATATAAAACATTGTAAATGTGTATATATGTGTTTATATGTGTATATCACATATGTTTTTCAGTTTGCCCTTTCCTTTAAAAGATCATTTAGAAACCTTACTAAATATTGGAATCATTATTTCTGCAGGCTTTTGGGTGGGCATACATAAACAAATGGCATAATACATGGGAACAGTTCTATGTGTATTGGATTTGCCCCTTCATAGGAGCAATATTGGCTGCTTGGGTCTTCCGCTTAGTCTTCCCTCTGCCAGCACCAAAACAGAAGAAAGCCTAGAAGAGCGCATTATGTTCATCACATGGTAGATAAGCATATGCTGTAATAAATACTTTCACATTTTTCAACTCTTTAATTATTGAAGCGATCTTTAGTTAAGTTGCTTTATTGCTTGTATTCATGGAAATTGACAAGTCTCTCTTCTTTCTTCCTCTCCCACATGTTACTTTCTTTCATGCCATTTTTATTTCTTTATGTGACTTTATTTCTCAATGAAATATGCAGAAGATTTTGCAGGGCAAGTAGGTAGGATAGGCGCATGCAAGTAATGCCATTTTAGTGCATATTCATTCCTGGGGAATGAACTGTCGGATTGAATTGTCATAAAAATTACAAGATGATGCCTTGTATATCAATTGGTGGAGAGTGAACTCTGTTAAGCAGTTTTGGTACTTGCCAAAATCATGCATATCAGCCCTTATATGGTTGTACAGGTCGGGCTGAGCTTGAGCTCACCAAAACTAGGTTCGGCAGAGCTCAGCTCAGCCTACACAACCATATAAGGGTATGCTCTAGCTGGATCAGTTCATTGTAAAATAGCCAAGCTCGAACAAGGCTGGGGCTTAAAGTTATGGCAGAGTTAACACATATCCTTATATTTGCAAAGGTTAACTCTGGAGTTCTCGAATTATAATGAAGCTATGTGATGAAGCTAACACATAGATCCTTCCATCTTAAAAGTCTGTCATTTTCAAGAAAAGATGAAAATAACCTTGTTTAAAAAAATTTCGAGAGTCTTTTAAATTATAAGGAAACTATCGTATAAGTATTTGAATTTGGATTTATTGCCAAGTCGTATTTTCTATAATTTTTTAGTTTTTATACTTATTTTAATTAACATAAATAATTTTTGATAAAATTTGTTAATTTTGAATTATTTATAAAATGTTTAATATATATTTAATTGAAATGTAAGAATAAGAAATATTACCATATTAGAAAGCTAAAACCACTTTTCTTGAACTTTACACTACAATCTCCGCTCTCTCTTTAAAACTCAAATTAAAAAACTATAAAACGAAGTCACCCCCCGCCTTCGCCGTTCCCATCACAAACGCACTGACACTAAATTGAAACTGCAACTGCCATTCCATCAGACGACATCGTCGTTCAATCCCTTCTTCTTCCTCTCTCTCTCTGTCTCCAACTGTCAAGACATTATAGTTTTATGGACTCGTAGATCTTCTTTTCATTTCCTCTTCGACTCCAGAATTCATCTCTGTAACATTTCTTTTCCTTTTTTAAATCTTAAACAAGGAGAGCTGGATCCATCACAGGAACCAGCGCAGTCCTTGAAGGCATCCGCCGCGGCCGCCACTTCCAACGGCCAGATCCGCTATCGTTCCCCTTCCTCTGCTGAACTTCTGGAGACGGGTGCCTCGGCCGGCACTAACACTGCTGCTGCCTCTACTTCTCCCACCCACTCCGAACACCATCTACTCCACCAATTGCCGTTTGAGAAAATGAAGCGCCCGGTGTCTCGACATGAGCCTTTGTCTGAAAAGATCCATAGGTACCGAAGCGTTCTTCTGGTGATTTCGATCCCGCTGCTCTTGATCGCTTTTGTTCTGTTTTTCATGCCTAGTCGGTCTCCAACGGCCGTTTTGGAGGAGTACGAGATTATTAGTGGCCGGAAAATGTCGCCCAATTTGAAAGATGCCAGGAGATATGCGGTTATTTTTGACGCTGGAAGTTCGGGGAGTAGAGTGCATGTTTATTGTTTTGATCAATACAATAATCTCGTTCCAATCGGCAGAGATCTCGAGCTTTTTCTCCAGGTGATAGCGATGAACCTTTTCTTTCGATGATTACTTCTGTACTAGTTAGATCTGAGTTCATTTCATTAAATTTGGGGCATAAGAGAGACACAAGTCTTTGCATTGCATTCGTAGTCTGATTTTCTTATATTTAAATGTTTGATACGTTAAGCACATTTCGGCTTATATTTTGGAAGACGCTTGTGAACTTTCTGTTTCATTATAGCAAAACGAACTCCAGTATTGTTTCTGGTACAGTTCTTTAACATTTTGTTTTTATTTGATGTTTCTCATAGATTAAACCAGGTTTGAGTGCGTATGCAAATGACCCACTGGCTGCAGCAAATTCCCTTCTTCGCTTGCTTGAACAAGCAGAAAGAGTTGTGCCTAAAGAGTTGAGACCGAACACACCTGTTAGAGTTGGGGTGAGTGGATTCAGATAGGATCTTCTTTTATCTTTTATCATTTATTAGAAATGTTATTTTGATTCTTTAATGCCATTGTATACATTACTTAATTTGGCTTTTCAATGTCCACTTAGGCTACTGCAGGTTTGAGGGCTTTGGAAGGTGATGCATCTGATAGAATTTTGGATGCAGTAAGTTTCTATACGATTTCCTATTTGTTTCTTGTGTTCAATTGTTCTATCCTCGTCATCTAATTATAGCATTTGAATTCCCTGCTTTAAGGTTAGGGATATTCTGAGAGATAAGAGTACCCTGAAAACAGAGGCAGATGGAGTTTCTGTGCTGGATGGTTCTCAAGAAGGTTCTTATGAATGGGTATGCTACCTTGACTGCTAAAAAAGATAATTTCATTCTGGCCTCAATTCTTACCACAATAACATTACTGATGCGAGTCATTCGCAAATTTTAAAACTCATTTCTTTATACTGTTAGGTTTCTAATAACAGATATACGTAGCAAAGACAATAATGGTAATTTCTTTAGGAGTAGGCGATGATTAGGGGGTGTAACATTACAACGACATTGTGTTGTATTCCCATAATGAATTGAGCATTGGCAACATAATCCTAGACTGAACTGTGGCACAATCACAACTCTAGGCTCATAACTCTGGAAACTTGCACTGTTTCCTAAATTTGATATCTCTTTGGCTCACTATTGGGTGTGGCTGAGACACCTAGGTATACTTTTTATTCAAGTTTCTAGCTCATCCCCTGGGCTTCCTGGAACTACCACTGCTTCATGGTTGGCACAAGGAAATTTCTGGGCTCTTGCCTATGTTGGGGGAATTCTAGTAATTCTGGCTACATATTATGAGCTGGAAACTTCGTTTACATTTCACACTGAGTTTTTGGCAACTGCATAGTGGCCAGGGGAAGAACTCATTTTTTAATCTGGTAACTACTCTTTAGCAAATGTTGTCTTTCACACATGTTTACTATTGCTCCTTAATGATCCACAACCAAAGTAAAACTTATGTATACCAGACCTCCATGTGATAATTTTACTTTTATAGCCTTCTAGCCTAACCATGTTTTCCTGGCTATTTTCAGTACTGGCTCATTTAACTCATGAGCATGCTACAGTTTGGAATTCACTTTATCCTCATTGACGACCTACAATAAGCTGTATGATGCCACACCAGTGGTGGATCTATTCAATTGGTGCCCCTCCCCCTCTTTTTTTATTAAATTCTTTTAAGTATTCGAATAAAATACTCTCACTTGACAAAGTTAAGTGCTAACAGCATCGGTATGTTATTTTATTAACTACTGTCAGTATATTGAGACATACATTACTCATTATGTTGGAACATTTTTTACTGTTGTATATAAATACCTTTAAATTACTGCAAAGCCAAACTGCTATGGTTTCCATATAATTTTGTGTTGTAACATTAAGGATAAAAAAATAAATTAGAAAAGATTATAAAGTATAATGAAACACTAAAAAGGTCACTATCCAATTCCACTCAAATTACTTAAGTTTATAATATAATCGAATAAAATTAATACTCTCACTTTGACAAAGTTAAGGTGCTAACAGCATCGGTATGATATTTATAAATTAACTACTAGTCAGTATATTGAGACAATTTACCATTACTCATATGCTTTTGAAAAACCAATTTTTTTACTGTTTGTAATAAAATACTTTAAATTACTGCAAAGCCAAACTGCTTATGGTTTCCCATAATAATTTTGTGTTGAACCATTAAGGATAAAAAAAATAAAATTAAATTAGAAAAAGATTATATAAAGTATAATGAAACCACTTAAAAAGTGTCCACTACTATCAATTTCCCACTCAAATTACTTAAGTTTATATAATATATATATATATATATATATATATATATATATATATATATTAATAATATATATAATATATATATATTCATCTATGTTCTCTCTTCCACAGTAATCTTTCTTAATTTCAAAAATATATTATATTATTTGACAAATTATAACAAGGTGTGGCATAATTTCCATTTCTTTTTAGTGTTTTTATATTTTTTTATTCATTATTTAAAATATGCCCTCAAAAATAATCAATTGAGAAGGTCAATTGTATTATTTCAATTCACTTTAAAATTGACTATATCCTTTAAAATACCTTCATTTCTTTATTATTATTTTTTATTTTTTTCTGGGGTTTCCACCACTGTGCCACACACCTTCTTGTTTGGGAAGAGTAAATGTGGTAAACAGAAGGGCACCTGCAGTCCCAGAATCACAGCTATGGCCCGCGATTTGCTTGAAAATGGACTCTTTTGAACGCAGTGCTGAGTTTCAATTTATAAAACTGCTCTAAATAAGACCCTCATCTATGTTCTCTCTTCCACAGTATCTTTCTAATTTCAAATTATATTATATTTATTTGACAATTTAAGGTGTGCATAATTTTCCATTTCTTTTTAGTTTTTATATTTTTTTTATTCTTTTTTAAAAATTATGCCTCAAAAATATCAATGAGAAGTCAATTGTATTATTTCAATTCACTTAAAATTGACTATATCTTAAATACTCTTTTATTATATTTTTTTATTTTCTGGTTCCACCACTGTGCCACACACCTTCTGTTTGGGAAGATGTAAAGTGTAAACAGAGCACCTGCAGTCCCAGATCACAGCAATTGGCCCATTGCTTGAAATGGCTTTTGAAGCGTGCTGAGTTTCTAATTATAACTGCTCTAAATAAGAATAATCCCAAAGTTTTGGTGGAATTACATAAGAAATGCAACCTATTGAGACGGATGATTATTTTTGCATAATCTAATCTAATCATGGCAACTTAGTGCTCTCTTGTACTAATTCACCCCGTATCTATTTGTATTTGCTCTATGCCTTTTCCAGGCTTGATGATGGTGGAAATTCATTTATGTGCTTTCTCCTTATTAGACTATTGCCTATGGTGGCCTATAATGTGTATCATTGAGCATTGTTTTCCCAAATCATGGAACTACCACATGCATGATACGAAAATATGAATATGTAATGTTGGTGCCATGGTACATTTAAAGGTCATGACCAAACAATTCAATTGACAAATGGAAGATACAAATCTGTACACTTCTTTACTGCACTTTTACTTGTTTTGCAGGTGACGATAAATTACTTATTAGGAAAATTGGGCAGTTCATATTCTGATACAGTTGGAGTGGTTGATCTTGGGGGTGGATCTGTTCAAATGGCATATGCTATTTCTAAAGCGGATGCTGCAAAGGCTCCAAGAGTATCAGATGGAGAGGATACATATATAAAAGAAATGCATCTGATGGGCATTGATTATTACCTTTATGTTCACAGGTAATAAATTGGTTTTCTGATTATCTAACTGACAAGTTCTTTGATCAGCTCATGGGCCTTCTGTAACAGTGAGTCCCTTATTTGTATTTGCAATTTTTCAAAATTTCCTATTGCTATAATGTTCTGAATTTCTCAAGTTTATTATGCGTTTATTTGGCTATTCATGGTACTGTGAAGCATTAGGAAATTATTTCTTACTTTGATTTTGTCTTTGACATTTGCAAATGCAGTTACCTTCACTATGGCTTATTAGCAGCTCGAGCAGAAATTTTGAAGGTTTCTGAAGACTCTGAAAATGGGTGCATCTTGGCTGGTTATGATGGTAAGTTAAAAAAAAAATCATTGTTATGCTGTTTGCCTGTTATGCCTATCTTCTGTCATTCAAGGGAATAATTTATTGTCCCATTGTTTTTGTTGCATAAATGCCTTTCTAGAAACTGATATTCTTTGTAAGCTATTTGTTTAGATGATCATGATACACATTGCCAACAATTCTGTATAGAAAGATTACACTATTTACGACTTTGTGGTCCAAATTACGTGTTTGAAACAGTTGTTATTTAAATGCTTGAACAATGGAGTTTTTCCCTTTTTTTTTTTTTTGCTACAGAATTTCATTGGAGATGTACTGATCTGATCTATTTGCATAGCCACATATAATTGGCTGTGTAAAGTGATAATGGAACATGTTATGTTTGCCAGTGTTGCTCATGGATCATCGTCCTGCTCCTTCCCTTCGTCTCTCTCACTAACACATTTTAGCTATAGGAATGATGTAGATGCAAAATAAGTTACTTTAGTTTGGGCCAATGAAGCACTAATAATGAATATTGTTTTCCTCCAAAAATTAAAGGGGTTTACAACTATGGAGGACTGGACTACAAGGCATCAGCTTCTTCTTCTGGTTCTAGCTTTGAAGAATGTAGGAGCCTTGCATTGAAGGCTCTGAAAGTTAATGAATCAACATGTATCCACATGAAATGCACATTTGGCGGAGTATGGAATGGTGGTGGTGGAGATGGACAAAGAAATTTGTTTGTTGCTTCATTCTTTTTCGACAGGGCTGCTGAGGTATTAATAATTCTTAGTTTTGGTTGCTGAAGAAACATTGGAAATTGCAATGTATTTATCTGGCCTGGTACGTTAATCAAATTATTTATTTCTACAGGCTGGTTTTATTGATCCTGCTCAACCTGTTGCCAAAGTTCATCCTGCGGATTTTGAGGAGGCAGCAAAGCGTGCTTGTGAAACAAAACTTGAGGATGCAAAATCTACATATCCCCGTGTTGATGAGAAACTCCTGCCATACTTATGCATGGATCTTGTCTATCAGTATACATTACTCGTAGATGGATTCGGTAAGTTTCCCATGCTTGACTAGTTGTGAAAGCTCATGATGGCTCGTATTCCTTCTGATCTTTTGTTGTCTGGTCATTCTTGAGTAGCTCTTGAACATTGGCAAGAAATTACATTGGTGAAGCAGATCAAGTATCGTGATGCTCTTGTTGAAGCTGCATGGCCACTGGGCAGTGCCATAGAAGCTTTATCATTGCCATAGAAGCTTTGTGATCATCATCAATACAAGTCTAAATTGCATCTGCATATTCCACACATGGAAACTCATGGCATTTGGTTCCTTAACATTTGCAGTTATTATCAGAATCAGTAGGGTTGACAATGCTTCAGAAGTCACCGGCAAGCTGAGATGGAAATCTGATTTTGGCCTTATATATAACAGGAATAATGAGAAAAGAATAGCTCCATTTATCTTCATTTGTAATTACGTTATAAAATGCGATCATTTATGATTTTTTAGAGAATGATTCAATTCATTTAGTTGAGTTTGTTTCAATTAACAAACAAAATGAGCATACGATTGCTATTATTGTAGCAGTAAGGATAATGATTTTCCTTTGCACAAATTTGCTGTATAGACTCCCCTGGGGTTGGAATTGGGTGTGGACTCATTTAGGTGAGCTTCATTAAAAAAAGTTACCTTGCCCAAACAGGGTTCCAAATGTGGTCGTATAGATTAAGGATCTAAGTCTGACCAACTATTTCATGGGATGGATGGTTCGATTGAAAATAAATTGCATTCACGTGTAAATTTTAAGTTAAAAATTTAAAATCTAGAGGCAAAAATAAATAAAATATTTTCATCATTGTTCGAGACGAATTATAAAAACCATTTATACAATATTTTACTCAATCTTTTAAAAGGGTACCGAATACTGAAAAAAAAAAAAATAGCAGCCTGAATCGGCAACGTTTAGTTTTACTTTAATTAATATTTAAACCGCTGTATTATAATTCAAAGGGCTTTGGATGGAATTCTAGTTGACATCTTAAATACGGTCCGATTTACTAACTCAACTCAATCGTCCCGTCTCGCCAGAAAAGATTCAAAAGCGAGCAGAAATGGCTGCAGGGCAAATCTGACAACTCCTACTGCGGTTCCTCCACTCATTCTGTTCTTGGCTAATCGGGGAAAACCTTACTCTAATAGATAGAGGTACAATATCTTATTCATGCAATTGCTAGCTGCAAAGTACAAGTATATTTTCTTCATTCAGTTATTTTCACAAACAGTTGTGCTCCTTGTGTTGTTAGCCATATATTATACTCCTCGCTCTTCTTTAAAAAGTTTAACCAAGTCTAGAAATGAGGGGAATTAGATCTATAAGTTCAAACTTGAGGATATTTTCAATTCTAGCTCGTGCCCACCTCATTTCATCGCATAATGTGCCAACTGTTACTGCAATTTCAACCATTGAAACTACTGCTAGAAGGCCCTTGATTTCCATGTTTTCAGTTTCTTCCTCTTGTTCAAATCTTGAAACCCTGATGGTACCAAAAGTGTCGAATAACCAAGAAGAATGTTTCAGTGATAGTGATAATAGTGATGCTGATGAGGATGATGTTACTCGGTTGAATTTAAGAGATGACGGTCTTATTCGAGATGTGACTACCATTGTTAATATATTGCATGAACTGAGTGACAATCCAGTGGAAACGAAAAACAAGATTGAAAAATGTGGCGTTACAGTCTCACAAGAGCTGGTACTTGAGGTCCTGTCTAGAGTAAGAAATGATTGGGAGGCTGCATTTACTTTCTTTCTATGGGCTGGCAGGCAGCCAGGTTATGCTCATTCTGTGCGTGAATACCATTCTATGATATCTATACTTGGTAAAATGCGAAAGTTTGATACAGCATGGACATTGATTGATGAGATGAGAGGGGTTAGGACTGGTATATCTCTTGTTACGCCTCAAACTTTAGTAATCATGATTAGAAGATATTGTGCAGTGCATGATGTTGGCCGGGCTATAAACACTTTTTATGCATATAAACGATTTAAATTTGATGTGGGGATGGAGGAGTTTCACAGTCTTTTATCTGCTCTTTGCCGCTACAAGAATGTGAAAGATGCTGAGCACTTGGTGTTTAGTAATAGAGATGTCTTCCCATTTAACACTAAGAGTTTTAATATTTTACTTAATGGTTGGGGTAATATCATTTGTAGTCCTCGTGAAGCAGAGAGAATATGGAGGGAAATGTGCAAGAGGGGTATCCAATATGATGTTGTGTCATATGCGAGTATTTTATCTTGCCACTCAAAGGCAGGTAATCTTTATAAGGTGCTCAAGCTGTATAACCGAATGAAGGAGATGGGGACTAAACCAGATAGGAAGGTTTACAATGCTGTCATCCATGCTCTTGCAAAAGGTAGACATGTGAAGGAAGCTATCAATCTGATGAAGACAATGGAAGAGAAAGGTATTGCTCCTAATGCTGTTACTTACAATTCATTGATAAAAACATTGTGCAAGTTACGAAAAATAGATGAGGCTAGGGGACTCTTTGACGAGATGTTAAAATGTGGCCACTCTCCAACTGTACAGACTTACCATGCATTCTTGCGTACTCTAAGGACAGCAGAAGAAGTATTTGCGCTCTTGGAGAATATGAAAAAGATGGGCTGCCAACCGATTAATGATACCTACATCATGTTGATTAGAAAATTTTGTAGATGGTGCCAGTTTGATAATGTCTTTAAGTTGTGGAATGAGATGAATGAGAATGGGATAAGTCCTGATCGTAGCTCATATATTGTGCTAATACATGGGCTCTTCTTAAATGGAAAATTGGAGGAAGCTCACAAATATTACACAGATATGAAGAATAAACAGTTATTACCAGAACCAAAGATAGACGAGATGCTTCAGACTTGGTTGTCCAATAAGCAAATAGCTGAGTGTCAGGTGACAGAATCTAAAGGTACTCGATTGGATTGTAGTCAATTGGGCAAGCAAAGCAGAGCTATCCCCAACAAAACTAATCATAATAACAAATTTCTCCGACAAGCTGAAACTAGAACAGTTGTGAGAGAGCGAGGATTTTCCTTTTGGAAGCAGTAGGTTTTCACATAATATTCAGCATGTAGTTTGTGTATTCTACAACCTACAGCGTCAAATGCTCCATGGGCTCATACAGGTGCACTATAGTTTCTGTTCTAATTGATACATAAAAAAAAGATACTTTCAGGTTATTCAATTAGCAAAGAAGTTTTGGTTTTTGAATCCTTTTATTTGTATAACTTTTCTGTAATATCAGTTCATGATTTACAACATACTTGATGTTGTTTTTCTATCTTCCATATAGATGCTCCTGAAGCTTTTTAAGTTATCTTAGGAAGTCGATTGAGCTATGCTGTGTTACTTTGTATTGCACATTAAAAGATTTCCACCTCATGGTACATACTCAGGCAGCCAAATAATAATGGCAACCATTTTTTTTTAGTTGAAAAAATTGTCAGAATTTCTGGGAAGTGCCGAATAACAACTATGAGCATAAATATGCTTGATGAGAAGTGACATTATGACATTAAATTCATTGTTTTGGTACTGGTTGTTTTCCACTTTGTCTCATCTTAAAAGCTATGTGGCCGCTTAATGACCTCTTGAATTTGTGTGTACTTCTTAAACGAGCAATGTATTTGAGAAGATTTTACCACTAACTTTTGGAAGAACTTAAATATTTGATGGTGCTTGTGCTAACTTTTCCATTGCAGAAAAAGTTGTTGGTTTCGTTGACAATTAGTCATGGAATTTATTTTTCGTATATTAAGATGTTTAAGGCTTAAAGAAAATAGTGTTTACAATTGACCAATGATGAGCTGTTGAATTTTCCAATGATATCTAGATGTTAATAGGTCACAATTAGATGGTTCAATATACCCACCTTTTTGCAACTTAATGAAGAAATTTTATTGCTTGATCTACGCTTTTAGATGATGTGTATGTAATGCTTTCTTCATTTTAATGGTTTACCTTTAACTTGCTTCACATGGATGCTCTGTGGTTAAAAATTGCCATACATCCCACTAGTAAGCATGCAATTTTATTAGAAAAGAAAAATAGCCTCATCAAACTTTTTGGGACTGTGATTAAAAAGAAAGTTGCAACATAGAATGTCAAGCCAAATGAACTAAAATGAGATATTTTTACCTAGCTTTTTTTGTTGATTTCCTTATTGTTATTATCAGTATGAATATGATAAAGATCTTTGCCTATATGTGATGGGAACTACTAGATATACGTTGTAATAGAAAAGGTAAATAGTAACATGGACTGATTTGATCATTCTTTTTTGGTTCCTTGTATTTCTTTCTTCATCTGCTTGAGGATCAATTTGTGTAACTTAAGTGAGTTTAGCATGTTCACCAAACTGTTCAAGGGAAGTAGGTGTTCAACGTCATCACCGGTAGATTCTTTCCTAATTACCAGCATTCTTGAGCTGTAAATGTACGACTCATCTAGAAATATATCTTCCATTTGTGAAACTCTGTGAAAGAACAATGCTAAGGATTTCAAATATCTCAATTAATGTGTTAAGTTGTTATGCTAATAATTTTCTGAAAAGCTCCGCATCAGTGTATCTTTGTGAAATTTCCAGAATGTTATATAACTGTTTTTCTTCCATTTTATTCCTTTTTTACCTTCTCTTGAAGGGAGATTGTACTCGCAACTTCTGTGAGAATCTAGTTTAGTGGGCATAAGTGCCACTCAGTTCAGTTATGATGGTTCTTTCAAAAGTCTGAAACCGGTGGCCGGTGGGTTAATACTATGGTCTGTGGGCACACTGTGGGTGTTGGTGAAGGGTATTTTGGCATTTTGATGTTGAATCAAGATTTGGCACGATTGAATGGAGTTTGAGTTGGTAATTTGTGATGCTTCTGTGAAATATGAAGTCATCTTTTCCTTTTTACTTTACTGGGTTATACAGATTGAAACATGCGTTGACCCAGTGTTTATATGCTGATGAAAAATGAAGTCATATATTTGCACCTAGCATTTTTCTTCCTTGTTATAAATGCATAAATTTCAACAAAAACAGTTGATTTCTACCTATTTTACATTTTATTATTCTTTTGTATGTGTGGTTCTACAATTATATAGCTTAAGCATTCTAATCCTTTATATGTTATTAATGGAGGTAGGGACCAGCAAATTAATGAAAGTTCAAATCTGCATTCTGATCTTAAATCTTTTTAGTTAGAGAAGTTATAATCTTGCTTAGACTCTATTTATCTTTTCTAACTCATCCTTTCAACGTGTATGGCCTCTAGACTGTATAGAGTTCCATGTTAGGCCTAACCCAGTATTTAGTGTCTGGCATTGGAAATCTGGTGCATTGCCATTTGGCATGGGATTGCTACGTAGGTATTAGATTAGGTGAACTACACGTGGAAAACTACAGCATATCACTCTCAAGCCTTTTTTTAGTTGAAAGTCTACTAGTTATTGCATCTTGTCTATACCATAAATTCTTGCTATGCCTCTCTTGACTAGTCCAAGGCATTTATTTATTTATTTTTTTTTTTTTTTTTTTTTCTTGCTAATGCTTCTTGACTAGTCCAAGTTTATTTATTATTTTTTTTTTTTTTTGTGATCTTGTAGTCAGTCAAATCCTTTTTTTTTTTTTTTTTGTGATCTTGTAGTCAGTCAAATCCTCCTAACAGCTTGATGTAACATTAATGACCAACCACTTGTTTGGTTAAGGTATGTGTTCAAGCTGCTGCGCACTAGATTTTGATGGAAAAAACAAAAGAGGCAGAATCAAATTCTTCCATATATATATATATATTTAATATTACATGATTTAGGATAAGGATGAAATTATTGGCCTTAATTGGGTCTGGGATGCGCTTACTGAGGGAGTTCTCATTTTCATATCCACCTTTTTGGTTGGTCTTTATTGCCACTTTTTATGCAGGTAAATTGAAAGTCAGGAGTCTTGCAACGAAGTGGAGAGATGCTTTTGACCAATTACATTAAGGTGATAACTCTACTTTACTATTAAGTGTTTTTATCTTTTTGCTTTTTTTTTCTTTGTTCTCCTATCTAAAAAGTTGAGAAACTGAGACTGAGACAAACACTTTGGGCTACTTTGTCAAGGTTACAGCACAGATTTATTAATATTATTATTTGCATATTTTGACATGTGGGTATTTGAATTTCAGCCAAACAAGTTACCTAGCATAAGGGAAAGGAGAGACGAACCTTTGAAAATCTCAGGTACTTATGCATTGCATCACACATGACATAATAATATTTTTTTTCTTAAATAAAAATAAAAATTACTTATTCTTTGCATGATAACAGACATAAAAGTGAAGCTCATCAGCCAAACAAAAGCATCTTTGAAGGATAAATATCAAAGTCTTAAAAGAGTTGTGGATAATCATTAAAGCTTTTTTTTGCTTAATTGTTATTCTCAACTCTTTAGCATATCATATGCATATGCTCTCAAAGTTTTATCTAATTCCTATACACCTTGTTTGTCTTATTCTCCTTCTTTTGTCCAATTTATATGCTTATTTTTTAGCTTAACAACCCCTTTGGCCTCATTCTATGGTGGAATTCTCCCCATACTTTGGAATTTCCTTTTCCTTTTCTTTTTTTTTCCTCCTTTCGGTGTTCTTTTTACTTGTTTATTTATTTTTGAGGAATGCCGTGCTCTGTTTGGCTGCTGAGAAACTTGACCATATATAGAAGTTAAAAATGCCAATTTCAATTTTAATATTATTGCTTGCTTGTTTTGCAATTCTTTTCTTATCTTGTTTTGTTAATGTACATTCAGGTTTACATTTATGGAAATTAAGCCAAACGTTACATGATTAACACATTTAAATTAGGATAATTCATTGATTTTGGATAATAGCATGTCATATGAATAGAAAAAGGTGTATAGCAAAACCTAAGCTACAAAGAGAGCCAATTTTAATATTTAGATTTTAAGTGAGGTAAATGGCAATTTAATCAAATTAAGGAGTGTTTGTTATAAATTTAGGTGATTTAATTGCCTTTTTTTAATCTCTGTGCAAAAACATAATACGAACAGATAAAATGGACAAAGAGATATTTTATTTTATTTGGTAGATATATTGGCAAAATGTATGGTGATGCTTAGAAAATATAATTATAATAAATAGCAATCTTGTTTGGGATGAGGGAGTCATGAAAGTAGTTTTGACCTAGCTAATTGTGCGGTTATGACTTTGAATTTTAGGGTTAAGTTAGATTCTTCATTCTTTGTTTGGTATACGTTACTATGACTAAATCAAATCAAATCAAAACTCACATCTATAATCAATAGTTTACTATAGATTGCACGTAACCAATGTCGTTTTACGTTGCACGTGTGTTTATAAACTGTTCAAGCATTGACTCTTTTTAACCCCCCTTTTTTTAGTTCCATTGTCAAATGCTAATTGTATAATAATAGATCACAAACAAAAATTCTTGCTTCAAATGCTTATTCCTTAATCAACCCTAATGTGAACGCTAATTTGATTAAATTAAAATCAAAACTTAAAAGAAAGTAAACTTTTTTCAAAAATAATAATAATAATAATAATTTATGAAAAGAGAGCGCTGTGGAAATTTACGTCATTGCGTGCATCTGTTTTGGAAAATTTATGCCACGAGTGAGACATAAATTGTGGATAAACTTATAATTAGGTTGTTCTTAATCACATAATTAAGGGCGTGATTAAAATTTTAATTAATGGTCATTAGAAAAAGATTAAAAACCATGGTCAACTGTCAAAATCATGAATATTTCTAAACTATTGTGCTTCATGTGCTGTTTTTTTTTTTGTTAATTAAGGGCTAATATTGTTTTGGGAAGCCGCATAACTTGAAATAGAGCAAGTCAAAAGAAACTGAATTTTCAATTTACAGATCAAAATATTTAGTTTTTCAGCAATTTTCTAAGTATGCAAATCAGGATATTTTTATATATAAAAGTGTATTGTGGATGATTTTTTACTAATAATGTAATTAAATCACAATTAATTTATCTATACTAATATGAGGAACAACTCAACTAAAATTGTTTAATTTGAACTACAAGCAAACAATCTATTGTATATATTGCATTTATACGATAAATGAGAGTTTTCGAGTTGGAGCAGACTATTCATATTATCTTGGTTCATTGAACCTTTTTTTTTATAAAAAATATATATTGCAGGCGTCTACGCGTCTCCTCGTCAATTTTATAAAGAAAGTGCTGCTTTTGTAGTTGGAAGAGCGATGGGATCGTCAATAATGTAGCATACGACATTCAATTGTACAGTATTGGCCCTAATAGTTTGGTCACAAACTCACACTTTTCCTGAACAAGTAGAACAGGAAAAAAAAAAAAAAAAGAAGCACTAATAGTTTGGTCACAAAACTCACACTTATTCCTGAACAAAGTATAACAGGAAAAAAAAAAAAAAAAAGTCTCCGATTCCAATTAACCTATTCCGCCTCTGAACGTTCCCATTTCCATATATCCACTATCAAAAAAAAAAAAAAAAAAAGTCTCCGATCCAATTAAATCCTATTCCCCTCTTGAACTTCCATTTCCATATATCCATATCCTTATCTATTTATATGTTTGTTTCTCCTTTTTTTTTTATTGTGGTTTTGTCGTTTGGTGTCTGCGTCCACTGTTTGAGGCCCCATCTACGCATGCCAAAGCTTATGGATGAGACATTTACATTCTTTTATTCCAATGTCCTTTTTTTCTTAATCAAAAAATATATCTGTTGCTGTTAGCTTCCGTATACTGTACTAAGAATCGATTACATGAATAATTTGGAATTAAAGATTAGTCTGAGTTTTTTTTTTTTTTTTTAGTTCCAATCTAGAGTATTTAATAGCTAGAGTTATATTTTAAATGGGATTCAAGTTTTTGCCTGACGATAGGTTCTTGTGTATTTGCATGAGTTGAGATGTGTTCTTGTGTACCTGCATGAGTTGAGATGTGTTCAAACTGCTTCCATCATCCTCTCCCCTGTATTTGTATAAGTATAAAAATTTAGTTAACATATTTTAAATTAATAGGTATCAATATTTGGTTTTTTAGGCAAATTGCTTAAAGTTTGAGAGATTCAAATTCGATTTCTGTGGGAGAGGAAGGGGAAAGAGAGAGGAAATTGGGAGGAAACTTATTGGACTTGACTAAAAAGTTATCGAATTTGAAAACTAAATACACTTAGTTTGTAAAAACTAAATATGACTAAATTTGAGGGGGCGATTTCTTTTTTTTTAATGTCTTATGTGTTACGTTTCAAATTTGGAAAAACATTTAAAAAAATATTTTAACATTTAAAATATATACTGATAATAATTATTATCAATTTGATAAACGTTGAACGAGGGTTAGGGTTTGGCCAGGGGAGAGGATGTTTTGAGGAATAAAAAATAGGCAGAATACAATGCAAAGGCAAGGACCAAGGAATAATAATATGGATGGGCACAAGGAACGGCTCTCAAATTTTTAGGTTTCACAAAACGACAAAGGAGGGGTAACACGTGTCAAGCATATATCTAAAGGAAAAGTGATGTCAGGAGATGAAGTTCATCCTTAGATATCAGCCGCCATCTTTCCTATACGTGGAATTAATATTATGAAAAAGACAAACAAAGCTGAGAAAAAAGAAAAACCCAATCATATATCAAAACCTACACCAAGCTGGCATCTTTTGTGGGTCCCAAGCGCTTAACTGATCTCTCTTCCCTTTCTTTCTTTCTTTGGTCGAATCCCTCCCTGACCCTCCATTTTCCACATCAGGACGAATCTCCTCAACCATAAATTGCCTTCTCATCCTCTCCTCCCAAGAATTTCAATCTTCTTCGCCTCTTCTCTCTTATTTTCACTCTATCTCTTCCAATCCTTTCCTTCTCCTTTTAATTTTCAGCTTGATTAGACATGAAAAACCCACAATCAAATTTGCCACCAGGGTTTAGATTCCACCCTACAGATGAGGAACTCATCCTCCATTACCTAAAGAAGAAAATATCTTCCGCCCCCTTCCCTGTTTCCATCATTGCAGATGTTGATATCTACAAGTTTGATCCATGGGACTTACCAGGTTTGTTCGATCATTCTTTTTATTTTCCTGTATTATTAGACACACTCAACTATCATAATATACTAAAATCGTTTCTGTTGGATTGATTTATCAGATAAGGCTGCTTTTGGAGAGAAAGAATGGTACTTTTTCAGTCCAAGAGACCGGAAGTACCCAAACGGAGCTAGACCAAACAGGGCAGCAGCCTCTGGTTATTGGAAAGCAACTGGGACAGACAAGCTCATAGTTGCATCTTCTATTGCTGGGAGTTCTATAGGAGTGCAAGAGAATAACATTGGTGTTAAAAAGGCTCTTGTTTTCTACAAGGGTAGGCCCCCAAAAGGAATAAAGACTAATTGGATTATGCATGAATATAGGCTATCAGATACCCCAACTCACAGCACCATCAGACCAATCAACAGGCCTAAAGATTCATCCACTACTACAATGAGGGTGAGCGCTACAACTTTCTCTTTCTTTCCTTCCTTGCTCTTTCTTTCCTTTTCTTTTTCTTTTTCTTGGCAAATAATAGATGGATTAATTGTTATGATAAATTTTCCAATGCCACTTTGCAAAGTCAATAGCTTCTTGGTTAGGGATAGCGTGTACTATTTAGTTTTACTTGTACTATATTTTGTTTGTTATGTGTTTTTGAAGAGGCATATTACATATGCTAAAAAAGAGAGAGAGAGAAAGCACTTTCTATTGCATTATTAATTGATATTTGCTTTGCTATATTTATTTGATCCAATCTTTATATGGATCTTAGTTTGTTTAGCATATACATTGTTTCTAACATATGAAAACATTTTTCACAGCGACTTAGTTTTCAATCATTAATCAATTCAGTAGTAGTCGAATGTTAATCTTATGATATAAGTAACCATGAACTATTTATAAGTTAAAGGTTTGAGATTTAGATAATTATTTTGAAGCTAATAAAGATTTTTTTTTGGTGTGCGTATCAGTTAGATGATTGGGTTCTTTGCCGGATTTACAAGAAAACCCATGCTTCGCCTCCACCAGCAGTAGCAGCAGCAACAACTAGTGATCAAGATCAAGAAGATGAAGAAGAAGAATTTGTTCAAGAAACTCTTTCGCCAAGCTTGAAGAATCCCATAATAAGCAACAAACCGCTTATGCCCCAAAAATCAGTTTCTTTCTCAAACCTATTAGATGCCATGGACTACTCTATGCTAAGTAGTTTCTTATCAGATAACCAGTTCAATCCAAGTGGGTATGATTCAACCCCAACATTATTCAATAATGCAACGAGTTCAGATCCTTTCTTCAACAACTACAACCCTCCTACCGCTAATGGCAGCGGCAGCGGCGGCGGCGGCGGCAGCAGCAGCAATCGTTTCTTGCTTCAAAAGTTACCACAGTTGAATGGTCCATTGATGCCAAATATGGAAAACAAGCTCAAACGCCCAATTTCTACTGTTGATCAAGAAGACATGCATAACCCATCAAAGAAAATCATCAATTCTTGCTGTTTCACTAACAGTAGCAACCAAACTGATCACATGCCTCATCACCATCAATACAATTTCTTAAACCAGCCATTCTTGAACCAGCAACTGATTTTGAGCCCACATCTTCAGTTCCAGGGATAAAAATCAAATTGAAGTTCTAAATATTCTAGGGCAAAAAAAAAAAAAGCAAAAAAAAAATCAAGAACTAGCCATTTCTTGTGTATATGTGATATTTTTGTGCTGCAAAATGACCAATTTGAACTGCTTAATTGATTTGGATATTTAATATTTGTGGTATCAAGAAGAAGATACCATTTTGATAGTCAAAAGAATGTTGGAAGATAGAAAAAGACAAAAAAAAAAAAAAAAAAAAAAGTTCAAAGAATGTTGGAAGATAGGGAAAAGCAAAAAAAAAAAAAAAAAAAAAAAAAAAGGATATACAAATATATGTATGCATATTTTTGTAGAAGATATCAATATATGTATAATAATAATAATAATAATAATTAGTTGAATGCCAACTAAGATTTAACATTTGGAGATTTGCAAGTGGTTTGATCATATATTTATGACGTTTTTGATATTCTTTAATTTAATGGAATGACGATAAATTTAAAATTAAATTGGTCTTCCATTCACACGTTCACGTCAATTTGATTCGTCTGAAATCATTTTATAAGAGATTATGGAATCATTTTGTACTGAACAAAGTAACGAAATAGCTTTCACACTAAGCATGCAGTAATTGTACAGATTGGTGGAGCCAGATCCATTTCTAAAATTTGGCTAACAAAATTAATTATGAGTCTGATCTTTATATATATATATATATATATTTTTTTTTTTTTTTTTTTTTTTTTTTGAATATGATCTTGAATTTTTTTAATTAATTGCATCTTTCTTCAACTCTTGGGTATTTATAAAAATTCAAGATATGAAGTTAAATCTTATTATTTCAATTTATGATATAACGTTCCATGCTTTGGATCCGTTTCTGGAAATATACTTTTTTTTTTTGAATATGATCTTGAATTTTTTTTTAATTAATTGCATCTTTCTTCAACTCTTGGGTATTATAAAAATTCAAGATATGAAGTTAAATCTTATTATTTCAATTTATGATATAACTGTGTCCATGTTTGGTCCGTTTTCCTGGAAATATACTTTCTAGAATGTATTCTGCAAATTGAAATTGAAATGTATTTACTAATACGGTGAATTGATAAATGAATAACTTCTCCAACCGTTCTTAAGCAATTTACTTCCCTTGCATAAGGGAAGTTAAATGATCTAGTTTATGGAAAGTAAAATTGATAATATGCAATCAAATACAAGCATCGAAAAAATTACACTTTCCTAGTATATTTACCTAAAGCAAATATCTTCTGTATATTTTATTTATTTAGGACTTTTTCTGTCTGAGAATATAAATCGTTTTAGGGTAATTATTTAGTTCTAAAATATAAGACGTTTTAAGGAGTAATAAATAATGTTTATTTAAATTTTATTCTTATTTATATTGGATAAAATAATTAGCTCAATAGATTATCCTTAACGTTGAGATAAAAAAAATAATTCAATCAAATTACTTTTAATTTTATAACAATTTATAAAAATTAATTGTTATTTAATCGCGACATATAAATTTTAAACTATGTATGTTTTGTAGGAAGGGAGTATATAGTAGTATCATTGACAAGGCACATGCACATGTTTGAAGTGCTACAAACATAAAATACAGCAGTAAATTTTAGCTGTGAGTTAAGGTTTTAGAATCAGAGCAAAGAAAGAGATTTCGAAACATAGGTAATCACAAAGGAACGAACCTTTATCCAGTGCATTGCACCATATTGATGGTAATGTAAACCACATCCGAATGTTCGAAAATGAACGATCCTCGTACGTTAAAATTAAATCTTTACCACTCTATTCTAGGGGTTTACCTCCGTTCCTCATTATTGATGGCAACGTATAACTATTGCTGATTATTAATTATTTTTTTCAACTTTATCTATATTTATTATATGTAATTTATTCGTATATTTACATTTAAGAATGACAATTTAAACATTATATTATTTTTTTAAAAAAATAAATGAATTTCAATCATTTTGTTAATTATTGTTAAAAGAACAAATGTTACTATTAAAGTGGAACAGATGAAGTATAAGTAAAATAATGATTATTATTAGATGATTTGATAAGAAATTTTAATGAAAATTAGAAGATGAATTTCAAAAAATTAATAGATTTTCAAAATTGGTGGTTAGATATTTTGTACATCACCTGGGTACCCATGAACAGTAAACAATTTAAACCACTAAATCTATCTCCAAAAGATAGATTATCCATTTAAAAAATTCACTACAAATTATATACACGTCTGAATAAAATAAAATCAAAAAAATCTCAACATAGAACAGAAGGGAGAGATCACAATATAAATAATATAGATCTAGCCAAACATATATAAGTCTATAATTTATTTAATAAAAAAATAAAAATTCATAAAAAAAACTATAAAATTTTTCAAAATATTTATTTTCACGTTTAAGCTGTTCCACGCCTAATTTATTTATACAACCTTTAATTTTTGTTTTATCTATTAAATACTTCCATTTATAAAATGAAAATATTAAAGGCTTCGATTAATAAAATTATTTATTTAAAAATAAAAAAAATTTGTTAAATATTGCAGTGTGTAAACGCGTGTCACACTCTGTTCTGTAGTGTTCATACTTCGTTAGTATCTTCTCGACGCTCATCAGTCATAAATCAATTCACTTCTCTGCTGCTCAACCACCATGGAATTCCCTTTCGGCCACCACTCTCACCACCACCACCGGAGAGACGATGATGAGGACGAAAGAAGAGAATACTACCCACCACCAGATTCTGCTCCACCACCACCAGCCCCATATCTAACAGATGATCAATATGCACCGCCGCCGCCGCCCCCCTATTATCAAGAAACTCCATATCCACCTCCACCGTTTTCTAGACCCCATTATGAAGAAAATGAGTATGCACGTCCACCACCACCCGGAATTCAAGAAACCCACGTGTATCACACATCTCACAATCAAGAACTTGACTCCCCTCTTGATTATCCACCACCAATCCAAGTGACCCATGTTTCTCATGAAAGAATTGAGGATGAGAGTGAAACGCACCATTCTTTTAGACCCCATTTGCCATCTTTTATTCAGCAACACATTCATCACTCTGGCACTGCTCCTGGGCTTGACCTTTCTAATAAACCTACCTATAAGGTTTATAGCAAGGCTGACCCTAATTATCACCTTACGATCAGGGAGGGGAAAGTGATCCTAGCACGGACCGATCCTTCTGATGACTTTCAAGTACGAAAATTTCAAACTTTCTTTTCATTTTTGACCTCAATTTGACTTTTTTTTTTTTTTTTGCTATCTTGTTTTGTTTGTTGATTTTAGTATTTCCTTTTGGTTGCTTATGTAATGTTATTGGAATTTTTTGAATGTATCGTTTTTGTTGTTTTCTCGTGATTATCTGATCTGATCATCTGATCCTGTTTTCTGCAATTCAAAACTCAATCAGCGAAGCAACATCATGTGATTTTATTTTACAATGTTATACAATATAATCCATTTGTTGATTAATCAATCATGTTCTGATTAATTGATTTGATCTCCCTGTTTACCCTTTTATTTCCTGAATTTGTATTTGGAGCTGATTTGGTGGAATTGTGGTGATTGTTGTGTTGCTGTGGTAGAACTGGTACAAAGATGAGAAGTACAGCACAAGAGTGAAGGATGAGGAAGGTTTTCCCTGCTTTGCTTTAGTTAATAAAGCCACTGGTCAGGCCATGAAGCATTCCATTGGAGACACTCATCCTGTAAGATATCTCTGGAATTTTAATCTTCAACGTTGCATTTTTATGTCTTCTACTGTCTTTTAACCCTTTCATTTGAAATTTAATAGTTTGTAATGTGTTGCATTTTTTTTCCTCCTTCATGGTTAGCCCTAGCAGATGTTGCAATATCAATGAATTGGTGTTTTATCCTAAAAGTAACCATTACACTTTGCCAAAGAAGAAAAAAAAGATCCCCATCATATAATTATTAGTTGCATTCCCTGTTGATAAGGGAAGTTTGAGACTCCTGTATATTAGATGACAAGAAACAGAGTTGATGACTTTTTTTTCTTGTGACTGTTAAATGTAACATATGTTGATTATTGTTGATCTCATGATTGTAATCTCCATGTTCTGTAAGTTTCATCTATTTAAGATCTGATAGTCAGTGCTGTGAAGACATTTTTGTAGAAATTATAAATTCGTAATTCTGAAAATTGGATAGAGGGGGATTGAACATGGTGAAGTTTCCTCTTTTCTTATACGGCTGATCATTGACATGCATTATAACATGAAGATGAATGTCACCTTTAAAATGAGAAGAGGGCCTCTCTTCACTAGAGTTCCTTCTAGAATTATCTGCACCTTCCTGGAATCTCTTCTTGTTCTCTAATCGCAAACCATCATCTCTTTAGAATTCTTCTTGAAAAGATCAGGTCAAGCCTATTTCTTTGCTGTCATTGTACTCGAATGTTCACAGTTGTTGAAGCTTACATTTATGATTGACTTTTAGCAAATGTATTTAGCATCTTTGCTTTCAATTGGACCTTATGTGGAGAAGGACAAGCATCATTTTGAGGCTTAGAATGTTGTAGGTCCCTATGTGTGCAAGAGAGATTTTTATGGGGGTTCATCTTGCAGCTATCTAGGTGTTATTAGTGTCTTTGTTGCATTAGTTCTCTTTACGTCAGTACTCTTATTCTAGAAATTGTCGTTACTTCTTTGCTCCAATTATACCAGTTGTACCCAATTTTATTTAACAGTCTGTACCGGAGCAAGTTGGTGAGGGACTTTGTTCTTTGTTGAGTAAAAATTGCAGCACGTAGTAGGATATTAACACTTGTTCCAAAGTTCTTGTAACAATGTCCTCCATGATGCGGTGCTTATCCGCCTGCAAACTGACAGATTCACACACCCTTAAAATTTGTGTGTGTTGCACACATGATAATGCCACCCAGCATAAACACACAACTAATCTACCACATGACCACATCCGTCTTGTTTGGTGTCTCAAATGTATAGTCCTATGCTTTTTCACACTGTAAGTGCAAGCTTTACATGGTCCAAAATAGATGGCCTAAGTTTATATTCATTGCAAGTGCAAGTTGGTTTCAACTCAAGCATGGAAAGCTTTCGAAGCTTCTCTTATGCCACCGGGGAGGTGCTCAAGGCTAGCAGGCATGGGTACCATGTAGATATTTTTTATCTAATGACAGACACAGATTCTTGCCAGATTTTAATTTCTTAGTCAATCAAGAAATATTGCGTCTTTCACTTTTGGATAATAGCTTTCAGAATTGACTTCTCCTGTGAACACTATGGTCTTTGTATGGCAATACAATGTGGCCCTTGATAAAATACAATTAACATACTTTTCCTGAATAACTTGCTATGATGTTACCAAAGCTAAAACTTGTATGAATGAAAATGTGTCTGCAGGTGCAGCTGGTTCCTTATAATCCAGATGTGCTTGATGAGTCCATTCTATGGACTGAAGGCAGGGATTTAGGTGATGGCTTCAGAGCTGTGAGGATGGTGAACAACATTCACCTTAATGTGGATGCTTTCCATGGTGATAAGCATTCTGGTGGTGTCCGTGATGGTACTATTATTGTGCTCTGGAAATGGAACAAAGGAGATAACCAGCGATGGAGGATCACTCCACACTGTAAGTTCCCTCAACTTTTAAAATACAAAGAATTGCAGATCCTATAGAAAATATTATTTTGCTAATTACTTTCTTTAAATGCAGGAATATTATATTTTGTGAGTGCTGCAATTTCTAGCAGCTATATCAGATTTGCTAAGTGTTGGTTGGGAGGAATAAGGAATGTTATCAGATTTGCTAAGTGAGGTTTTGTTTTCTTTAAAATTTGAAAAACTGTTGTGTGGCTAAGACTATAGTACTGCTACTTCTGCTATATGTTATATTTATGTGCAACTATGTCTAATATGTGAACTGTTGTAAACATATATATGCTTGTATAGTTGCTATGAACTTTATATATGATATATGTTATTATTATTATTGTTATATTCTCTTGTAGTTCCCTCTGCAGTCATTTTCCTCGTTCAACGACCTTCATTTATTTGAGATCTTTAGGTAGAAATTGCTAAATTGCATATGAGCTTTTGGTGGGGCTAGTGACAGTCTAACTCTTACCAGTTATCACTTCTTTCTGCTGCTTTGGAGGCTTTAAAGCCCTAATTTTAGAACACTCCACCTCTACCCCACAAAAAAACAAAAAAAAAAAAAAAAAAAAATATATATATATATACTATAATTAAATATATATACTATATATATATAATAATAATAATAAGATTAAGTGAGTCCTGGATAATAATAATAAGATTAAGTGAGTCCTGGCTGACAAGTGTCTTAACTTTTTGAGTGTTGAAGCTTCCTTCTACAACTAAACTAAGATCAACAGTAGTGGACTATGGACCTACTTCTTTCAATTATTAGATAGGGCAGAGCCCACACCTTTGACCTCATTAAAAATAGCTTAAAGTGGGCTTTGTGGTTTTCATTTGAAGATGTTTCAAGTAATGCTATTTTAGTTTTTTTTATATAGAGTCAGAGGATTCGAACCTGAATTTATCGTCAGGGCCTTTGGTGTGCAGTACTTAAGCATTAATCCATCTGATTTTCAGATATTTATTAATATATGGAACCAATTTGGGTATAAAAGATATGATTTTTACTTTTATTTTTAAAAAAGTACAGATATTGAACATTGATTGGATATTCTGAGAATCTTTCAAAATTTGGGTTAATTAATAATAAAAATGAAAGATTATGAAAAGCAAAGTTTAACTTGTTGTATGATATGAAAGAGTCTTTTCCAACGTGATTTAACATTCATAATAGTCTCTTTATTACGCTATCTTTAGTCAAAATATTATTTATTATTATTATTATTATTATTATTATAATTAGTCTTATTAAGTGTTACATGTACCATTTCTAACCCATAATATATATGCCAAGTGACCTTGGAATTTCAACTTTCAGATATAAATGCTTTTGAGTATCAAAACCAAACTCAGTATATTAATTAATTTATTATTATAATCACAAATTACAAGTAATTGTGATACTATTTTATATTTCCATTAAAAATAAATAAAAAGCTTCCATTCTTGTTCCCTTAGTAATAACCAGAAAATGACACTTTCTCTTTTCTTCTTGTTAGTCTGTTAATCTGGTAATTATGTTGTTTTATGTGTAACTCTATCAATTTATCCTCAAATCATATTTGTACACGTAACCCATTTCTTATTTTCATTATATAGTACTTATTTTGCTTTTAAAATATTTTAAAATGGGACTAACATTTTTGTTTAATAATAAGATGACAGTATTTGAAACGACATAATAAGAAATCTCCCTTTCAAGTATTTAAAATGAGAAAAAATCTCTAATTTCTAGATTGTCAAGTAAAAAATTAATCTTTTTTACCCTAGGAGATAAGATTAGACATTAGACATTCTAATCATTTATAATTAATTTAATAATATGATTATAACATAATATTAGTTTAATATATCCTAAAAAGGTCTACTAAAACACCCTACCAAACCATAAATGAAAAAGTCAAATATATTGACTTTAACATGATTAGTGTAAAGCTAAACCCACTTTAAATTAAATTAATAAATAAATAGAAGATTTGGAGATTAGAAAAGATTATCTTTAAAAGAGCATGTGAGAGCCATGTGTCATAAACCCTCCTTTGTCTCAATGGTGGCCAACTGTCTCAGCCCGTGAAACAGTGGCATTTAGCTTTTGGACTGAAATATTTAAATTACACTATTAATAATTAATTAAGATTAGCAGAGATGTGATAAAATAATCCAATTTTGGCCCAATAAATTACAAGATTAAAAAATAAGATTGGGAATTTGATTTTGTTTTTAATATTATTTAATAATAATAACTTGTTTGCAAGGTTAGATAAATGACATCATCTCCTCCATTTCCAATGGCTCAGATTAAGAGTATAAGGACCGCTTACAATACCCAAATAAACTATTGGTTGGATAAAACTTGAAGTTAGCTTTTTCTCTATCAAGTTTATTAGAGTTTGTTCCATAAGAAAAATCAATTAGTTTAACTTTGAGATAGATAAAATAGTGAAGATTTAAAAAAAAAGTCGAGATAAACTGAATTTATTAAAGTAGAAATTATAAATTTATAATTCAAATTTAAGCGTGAGAAGAAATTAAATTAATCAAGACCCTTTAAACCCTGAAACATCAGTTTTAGTCGCGACTATAATTTTACTGGCGGACAATGCATGTGTTGCATTATAATAAAAATTTGATTACGATTTATGAAATTTTCTACTATATGATTTATAAATAGGAAAATTGTAGGAAAAAAAAAGACAAAAATGAAATATATGCAACAATTGCTAAAGACAGGCTTCACGTTAAGGACAATTGTTTTTTATTTCAATATCATTATTATCGAAATATATAAAGTCAAAAATTTAAAAATTTAAAATCGTCGTGTATTACCATTGATTCGAATATGAAAATAATTTATTCATCATTAAATTAGTAGCCCGGTAGAAATAAATATTTAATTAGTAATGCATAACCTCATGTTTATTAAATTATATATGCCGCTTGAATTTTTGATTTTTTTTTTTTATTTACCAAGAAATATTACTTCTTAATAACTAATCATATTATTTTTCTTTATTTTTGGTAAAATGTAGGGGTTATAATATAGTACACTTGGTACATAGAATGATGCAAATGTGGCCCAACAAGATAATGCCATGAAAGAGATGGATCTGAGGTGTACCAATTCGTCACCGATCGTCACTCATCGGTGTGGCTTCTTTGCTTTGCAGTTTCGTTTGGGCTTAAAAAGTCAACAGTTTTTAAGTTACATATACAAATAGGATTAGCACTTCCTCAAGCCTTCTCTTTGTAGGGTCCACGCGTTATACTTTTATTTCTTCTTCTTTCCCTCTTTTTTTTCTCTTTTTTCTATTTATCCAAAATCACTTTTTATTTGTTTTTGGTTAATTTTTAATTATTACACACTTACCGGATTTCATTCCTTGTCTTGCGTTCTACATTTATATAATTGGTTTGAGGAATTCTATTTTGATTCGTTCAATTAATAATTTGTTGGTTTGGTAGTCATGCGCCTTGGTAAACATATATTCAGGTAACTGCAATTTCTTTTTTTTTTTTTTTCATTTTGCAGAGGAGATATATATTTTTGAAAATATACATCTCTTTAAGTTTTGGGGTGGTCGCTATCAAAACTCTTCTGTCGTGTAATCCACAATGTTCTTTCTCTCTATTTAACCTCTTAATTAATAAAAAAATAATCTTTTCAAATTACTAATGTATATATACTTTTTTAAAAAAATTTTGACTTTTTAATTTCAAATTATATTATTATATAACGTTATGTTAAAAATGAAAAATTATGAGTGACAATCGCAATTAATTAAAATCTTCAAAGGTAGAAAAAAAAAACAAGAGAGAAATAAAATTTACAATTTTTGTCAACAAGTGATAAACATGATACAAATCAGAAATTTCTGTGCATAACATATAATACTGAAAAAATAATAATAACAAACTTTGAAGAAAAAAAAAAAGTGTGCTGAGATGGCAAATTTAGGCTGATAACTGTGAACGCAAAGAGGGAAAGTGGAAAGCAAGATCCAGCTCAGCATGATCAACTTCAAAATGTCAACACGTGGAACGAGATTTGCTTGCCCCCCACACCTAATAACAAAATTATAACTGTTATAATCAATTAATCATATATATCCTATAATATAAATATAAATCCCACTTGATTAATGTACTACTAAACTCTATTCCCTAACTATATTATATAGTCTCCACTTGATTAACGTGCTACTAATCTGATAACTACATTGTGATTAATTATTAGGGTTCTTCAACAATTGATTGCAATTAGAACACGGGCATAGAATTTTTATAAATTGGTCGATTATTATTTTCTTTTTTTTTTTTTTTCTATTTACAAGGTCTTCGCTCTTAATTTAGGAAGATATTTTCAAATAAAATTCTCACAACAGTAGTAATTTTAAATTTCAGAATTCATTTAAGAATTTAGTTTAATGGCTAAAGCTGACGTTTTGGAATTTAAAGATTTCAAATTCAATTTTTAATCGTGTTCCTCTAATGTTAACAATGTAGATAACCAAACTTATAAAAAATTTGTCTGTATTGTCAATTTGATTAAAAATGAGGGGAAAAAAGGAAATAGACAAAAAAAGTGGCTAGGACTGAAATTGTTTATAAAAAATAATTTGGAGCAGTTGCGGTTAAAACAGGAGGAGTTGATGTTGGAACCGTAATAGTTGATTTTCCAACTGTCGGCGCCGAGATGTTTACTTTGTTAGGCTCTTGATTTGGAATTTGGAAACATTTACATTTATACTGTACAAAAACTATTTTTGCAACTAAGCTATATGCCTATCGATCTATGCTTACAAATTTTTAGTCAATAATTGTTGCTATTAGATAGTCAAAATTATGTTTTAATATATAAAATCACAACAAGAATGCTAATTAAGAAATTTTATTATAAATAAATTTTAATTGAATTATATTATTTTACTGAGTGTTCTAAATACAAAATCATATAATTTAATCATTAAACAAACAATAAAATTTCAATTTACAATTATTAACTAATTTAAAATTAATTATGTGAACATTCATAGTGCAAACCAATATTTTATATTTTATAATTCTTTTTTCGTGAATTTATGATTTATAATTTTTGAAGTAGAGATAAAACTTTTATTTAGTTTTCAAGGATATTTATGAAAATTTTGAATCAATTATATTATAAAATATTTATTAAATTTCGTGCATTGACATTTTGGGTAAGTGGAATTCAAACGAAGATTCTAAATTTTTTATTATCTTTTCTTTTTAATTTAACTCAAGGTCAAAATATGTTCTATTTTATTTGAAAAATATGGAAATGATAATTAAATTTAAACTTAATTTTTTTAAGTTAAATTTTGTGAATAATTATTTTATTACAAAACTAAAATTGACTAGTTATATTAAATTCAAAATTCTTTTCTTAATATTGTGTGGTGGAGGGTCCAAATTAACCATCACTATATATATATATATTTATGAAGAATGAATTAAGATTAAAAATAAATACATATTTCATAATTATGTGTATATAAAATAGAAAAAGAAAAATGAAATTGGAAATAGATATAAGGACCATCTATGAAAGATTTAATTATAGTAGATAGAATAGTAAAGAAAATAAATTTATAATTAACTAAAATATTTGCAAATAATGAAGACTAGTAAGCCAACTGGCAAATGAGAAACTTCATTGAAGTTTCTTCTTTTTGATCTTTTCTTTGGTTTCTTGACTTTTGAGTTATAATATATAGTTCCCTAGATTCCCTCCATTTGTATGTGGAGGGAATAATTATCCTCTTTTGATCCAATTAGAAGCTCCTTTTGTTTTTCACATTTGGGAATTTTAAATTAAGTCAATAATCATTATCTTCATCATTTTTTCAAAATATTTTAACAGATTTTTAAAGTTTCTTCATTCATCTATATCTATCTAAAGTTTAATTCTTAATTCTTAATTATTTTACTTTTTTTTTATTACACACGTATTTTAATGCTCGAGTCCGGATACTATGTCAATAAATAATTTTAATACGGCGACTTTAAGTGTAAAATTAATTCATGATCTTATAAGCAAAATTGGGGAGATATATTTACTTTCACTGATTCAATTATCTGACGCTCTTGTTTATTTTCTTTTTGAATAAAGAAATTAAATTATTTTAATACAGTCGAATGGCACGTGGTAATAAGCTAATCAAGGTAATAAGCTAGCGAAGCCAACAAAAGAACGGCAGAGAGAAATTGACAAATTCAGGTAGATACAGCGGTAAAGCTAACAAGGTTTTTTTGAAACTGTTCAAATACGTATGCTTTGAACTGAGACTTGATTAGAAGAAGGCTAATTATGGATTAAATTAGAATTAGATAACATTTAATTCCTAAAAGGTTAGGTATTTTTAAGCAGATAAAAAGGACTTATATATATTTGTACTCTTTTCTGTGTGTCTATTTACACTCGCCACTTGGTGGAGAGATATGTTCTCCGAAGTGTGTGTGAGGTGTGAGAGAACACTATGGAAATGATAATTACCAGGTTGTCAAACTTAATTTTTTGTTGTGGAGAGTTGGTAGAAGGTGTGTGTGTGGAGCTATGAACTAGCTTGGTCTATTACAAAACTAAAATTGAGTGAGTGTTATGACTCTTAAATTCAAGGATTGATTCTTTCTTAATATTGTGGTGGTGGAGGGTCCAAATTAACCATCACTATATATAACGGCTATATCAGCGGTTCTATGAAGAGTGATTTAATGTAGAGTATCTCACAAGAGAGGTGACTTGTTTGAGAGTGACGATAGTTTTCATTACGGTTACGTTTTACTCACTACAACTGAAAAGAAAAAGAAATAATTGTACAGTGTGGAAATACCTGTTGATATCAGGACCGATTCTCATGCAAAGACTTTAGAGTTATAGTTAGATAGATATATGTAACACGGAAGACCTAAGAGTTTTATTTATATATAGATATACCATATATATATTTGGGCACTAAATAATGAGATCATAGTAGCCAACTGGCATTATATTTTGAGTAAATTCTCTGATGATGAATGTCTCTCTGTTGTGTGTGATATTGACTTCCTGGTTTTCTCTCGGTGCGTTGTGCTTGACTTTTGAGTTATAATAATATAGTTCCTAGATTCCTTCGCATTTGTTGTGGGGAGTTTCCTATATTATGATAGTGAAATTGGTGTTGTTTGTTGTAGATTGTGAGATAGTGTGAGAGTGTGAGGTGGAGATAATCCATTATCTTCATCATTTTGATATAAAAATAATAAATTTTAACAGATTTGTGAAAGGTGTTGGTAGTACATTGTTCACTAATTACGGCTAATTTGTCACGTTAACGTTTTATATGGGTCTTATATTGTAAGTTTAATTATTTTCTAAACGTTAAACGTTTTTTTATTACACACGTATTTTAATTGGTGGAGGTGAGGTTGTAATGGTCAAGTGTACATAATATTACTTTGATAAATACGGAGACATTGGTCAAGATGTTACTTTGAGAATTATTTCATGATCTTATAAGCGAACTCGATGTTAGAGAATTTTTATTCACTCGGTTGTCACACGCTGATTCATATAGTGGTGGATCTAGAGCAGCTAGCTTCTCAATTTTCATTATATATTTTTCGCTATTTTGTAACTAAAGAAACTCTCAAAAAACTAGTAGTGTTTCAATACATGGTGGAGAGTCGCTGCAGAATAGTGTATATTGGTAGATATGTCACACGGTTTGACCATCAACGCGCTAATCACAGCTAGCGAAAGCAACAAAAGAAACGGCAGAGAGAAATTGACAAAATCAGGGGTAGATACAGCGGTAAGCTTAACAAGGTTTTTTTGAAACTGTTCAAGATAACGTATGCCTTTGGAACTGAGACTTGATTAGAAGAATGGCTAATTGGATTAAAATTAGAATTAGATAACATTTTAAATTCCTAAAAGGTTAGGTATTTTTTAAGCAGATAAAAAGGACTTATCAGGTAGGTATCAGATACCCGTCATTGATGAATTATGGAGTCGGTGGTTTTTTTGGTTCCGAAAATCGCAAATTTATAGAAGGTAATTGGGACGTCAGTAAGGTGGTAGTGAGTGAGAATATTCTACACCTGACTGTTGGAGTGTGTTTATAGTTTTTTATATGTTAATTTTTTATGGTTGTGTATTTGGTATATAGTATTTTGTTATATAATATTTAAATAATGAGAATGGTACACTCACTTACGACAAGTCAGAGGATAGTTAGGTTATGACGGAGGACAATATAACTATCGAGTGAGATCTGCTTATCTATATAGTTCTGTGTTTTGATCATTCAGCTCATTAATTCCTCTATAAATATATATGTAGTGGACTTATGTCAAGAAAACAACATTTCGCGTCATCAAAGACCCACAATAGAAATAAAATACAACTATATATGAGGGATGTGGACTAGACCACCACAGTGTTGAATCCTCTCTACTCCATAAGAAGGGCCTATGCTCTTCTCGAGGTAGGACGCGGAAGCGAGAAGTATATCTAGGCTGGTCTCTTATCGTGGGTTCTCTCTTCTCTCATAGAGCGCTACTCTACTGTGTAGCAGCACTCGTGGATATTTTGCCTGTCGTGCTATATTACTCGTTCTCAAGACTCTTGTTCTCTCTCTTCTTTCTCGGCTTTTGAGACAATGAGTTCATTGTTTCTTTCCTGTATTTCTTTCTTTTTTAATATATTATTTATGAGAATGTAGTTGTTCCTTGCTATATATTTCTCTGTGTGTGTGAGTGTCGTGTGTTCAATTAGTTATATATTTAAATGACTTTGATTTAATTTTTTTAATGTGAAATTAAAGGTTGGAGGGAGAAGAGGGTTATAGAAACATGCAATATGGGTCCCACTCCCACACCAGCACAGAGAGAGAACAGAAATCTTCTTCTGGCTCTTACCATTTCTTTTTTCACATTCATTTTCAAACAGGTAGATATTGCTAAGAAAACAACATTTCCTCATCAAAGACCCACAAATAAAATAAAATAAAAATAAAAATAAAACCCAAGTGTTGAACTCTCTATTAGAGGCTTCTCCTATACTGCAACAAAAGTTCCTTGCTGTCCACGGATCTTTCCTCATCAAAACTCCTCTATTTAAGCTCTATATTTTGCCTGTGCTATACTTTCTCAACTGTTCTCTCTTTCTCAGCTTCTACAAATCTTCTCTTCCTGTATTTCTTTCTTTCTTTATATATTATTATAAATATCAGGTTCTTGAATTTTGAGTTCTTGTTCTTGTTGATATATTAATGGAAGAATCTATTGTGGTGAACAAAGGAGAGCATGTTATCGATCTGCCACCTGGTTTCCGATTCCACCCCACCGATGAAGAGATAATAACTCATTATCTTACTGAAAAGGTAATGAATAGCAGTTTCAGTGCATGTGCTATTGGTGAAGTTGATCTCAATAAGTGCGAACCATGGGATTTACCTAGTAAGATTCCTTTTTCTTTCTTTACGGCTCTTCATTCTTGTCAGTGTTATTTTCTTTCTTTTTTTTTTTTACTCATTTCTTGAATTTTCCCGTTCTTGATTTGTTGTGTATGTGAATTGAATTTTCCTTCTTGAATTGTTCCTTTGTTGAATAACTCTTGTGTACGCAATTTGATTTTGACAGAGAAAGCAAAGATGGGCGAGAAAGAATGGTATTTCTTTTGCCAGAGAGATAGGAAATATCCAACCGGTATGAGAACTAATCGAGCAACGGAGGCCGGATATTGGAAAGCTACAGGAAAAGATAAAGAAATCTACAAAGGAAAAAATTGCCTTGTTGGAATGAAAAAGACTCTTGTTTTCTACAGAGGAAGAGCTCCTAAAGGAGAAAAAACCAATTGGGTTATGCATGAATATAGACTTGAAGGCAAATTTTCTTATTACAACCTACCTAAAGCTGCAAAGGTAACAAAATTCAGTCTAACAAAAATAAATTTAATTAAAAATTCTTCTAATAATTAATTGCTTGAATCATTTTACATTTTTATGTTGGTAGAGAGTCTTTTTCATTCCCTTTTCTTTTACTTTATTTTACTTTAGTGTAAATGAAGAATCTATAAAAATATGCTAATAAAATTTATTTATGCTTTTTTTTTTCACAGGATGAATGGGTTGTTTGTAGGGTTTTCCATAAGAGTACCGGAATCAAGAAAACTTCAATTCAAGAACTTCTAAGAGGGAATTCTATAGGTGATGATTTCTTGGATTATTCTTCACTCCCACCTCTAATGGATACTCCTCTTCATTCTAACCGGCCTAGTTCGAGCTTCAACGGAGATGAAGATAATTATGATTACAAGACTATAAAAATATCATCATTTGATGGGAATTACTTGCCCCACCTGTCTACTTCTATTATTAACAACAATAATAATAGTAATCTTCAACTTCAAACTCAAAATCCCACCTACCAAACACTTCAAAACTCCATTTTTCACCCTCAAATTTCAGCTTCAAATAATCCTATCTTCACCTTCCAAACAAACCCAAATATGTCTGGTTATTTTCAAAACTCTAGCTTTGATGGTACTAACCAAACCCTTTTAAGAGCTTTAGCTGGGCAAGGAAAAGAATGCAAGACTGAACAATATTCATCTAACCAATCTATGGCTACTCTATCACAAGAAACTGGCCTTAGTACTGATGTGAACACCACAACAGAAATATCATCGGTCGTGTCCAAGCAAGAAATTGGAAGCAGCAAGGTTTATCATGATGATCTTGATCATCAAGGTCCATCATCATCAGTTGGCCCCATTGCAGATTTAGAAGTCTTGTGGGATTACTAATTAGTGAAATATATATAGATATGATCGTTGGAAAATATAGTTGTGGTGGGGGTGCATATATGCCTGTGTTTTTACTTAAGTATTTTTAGGTAATTTCAGTAGTTTTTTTAAATGTTTTTATTGTTGAGTTCAGATGATCAATACTTTTGTATAGATGATTAATTATAGGTTTAATTAAATTCATGGTGTCTAAAGCTTTTCGAGATTTCATTTTTAGTCACAGATACTCAAAAAAAAAAAAAAAAAAAAAAAAAAAAATAGTAGATGAAACGGTGCAGTAATATCTTAACTCCAGATTGGCACTTGTGCAGACATCCTAATCAATCAATTAATCGAAAGGTCTTAAATTCTTGATGCATCTGATATATATAAGTTAAAGAAATTCTTTTCATAAAAAATAAAAATTCTTGAAAAAAATGTTTTTCTTTAATTATGCGCTTATGTATATCCATTATTTTTTCTTGCTTATACATTAAGAATGTGCAGCCAATTACACTTCTTCTCTTTAATGAAGAAATGAAAGGGAAGGAAAGGGACTGTGATGTGGTTAATATATAATTAATTAATTATGACATCATATATATTCAAAGCTGATTTGATTTCGACTATTTTAGGATATATACACATATATACAACGAATCAATAAATTTTAGCCCCCAGTTTAAGATTAAAAAGAAGAAGAATCACGTGAATTATTCCCTGAATCTACGCAGCAGATGCCTCTATGTAAAAGATTTTTAATACTAATTATAACATTAACATTAATTATGTAATTAGGTTTCTTGAAAAATTGCTTAATCTTCTCTTCCGTCCAAAGAAACTAAATAATTAATATATTATTTACATGTAAGTGTAACACACGGCTCGCTTTTATGTTCTTGTGCATAATTAATTATTAGTTAAAGCTAAATCTATGTCCGTTAGGCAAATTAGAGCTATGCACCGCTCTAATCTACCTAGCAAACTGAATTTCAATCCTAAGAAAAATTGAAAAACTGGGTTCATACAATAGTAGTTTAATAGTCGAAGGTCTGTCTTCTAATACAGAAATCATATAAACATTACAAATAAAGCGTAAGATACGAGAATTAAATTGAAGTCATTTGTTATGTTTTAATGAAGTTGAGCTAAAAAGGGATAACAGAAAAGAGAAAAGGGTGATGACAGAGAAGAGAAAGAGTTAAAGGTAAGAGTAGAATCAGTTATTGAAAGAGAAGAAAGACGAAAGGTTGATTATTAATTTCTGAAATGGAAAATGCAAAAGTGTAACGATTATCTTACTTTCTATTGAAAGCAAAGCTTTTTGGTTTTGGGGAGAGACTTGCAGGGAAGTTAACCGTCCATTTTGGTTACTTGATCCAGTGAAAGGGAATTAAATAGCAAGTTTTTTATTCTAAGTAATTAGTAAGGAAGCAAGAGAAAAATTAAAGAGAGTATATTCTTTCAATCAAGAAAGTTAAAAGAAAAGAAAGAAACCCTTATTTGTTGCATGAAAACATGGAGACACCAACCAATCAAGATTCTACACCTCGTTTTTCCTACATCGCTGTCGCCTACTAAAGTGAACATATATATTCTGCAATTCCTTCTCCTTAAGCTTATCTCGTTTTAATGTCATCTCATTCCCTACTAATTAACTCATCTCATTCTTCTTCTCCTTCTTTTCTTTTTTTCAGTTTCATATATCTATTTATGTTCTTGTCAATTAATATCAATCTAGAGTTATTATGAAAAGGGCAACCAACGACTTTCAACGAGACAAGTTTCAATTCCAAAAAAATATATATGTGGTGAGAAAAATCTAAATGTAATTAACTTAGTGAATTCTTTTGAACGTTGGTGGTGTGAAGATATAGATATATGGCTTGTCAATTTATGGCTTTTAGACATGAAGGAGCTATCTTAAGAAATGATGGGTTATTACACAAAAATATTTTGACTTTCATTTTATCGGTCTTTTTAAACCTAATCTCCTATCTATCACCTGCTTTGACAAAGAGTTTCTAGCATGCAGGTTAAGTATTGTTTAGGTAAATTTCACATGTCATTAATGAAAGCAGCATCAATATATATTGCATTACTAATTAATTAATCAATCAATTCCCAATTTGTTCTAGAATACCGCTATTTTATACTAATATATTTATTTTGTCTCGAAATATAAGTTGTTTAAGGTTTTTGCACAGGTTAAAAAAGCATTAATTCTCCTAAATTATAATAAATTTAAAAATAATTTGATCAAATTTATTATATATAATGTAAAGAAAGATAAATTTAGAAAAACATCAATTGTCAGTCTTTAAAATACTCAAAACGACATATATTTTAAAATAGAATAATCTCCCATAAACGATTTATATTGTTTGATTTATTTTTATCACGAGCTACCAAAATGAAAGAAAAACAACAACCGAGAGGAAAATTCAAAAAAGAAAAAGAAATTAACCGACATTCCCTAATCTTTGATCAATTTCTACAAGAATAGATTAAGAAATTTCTGAGCAGTTTCCAAGGGAAAAAGAATTCCATAAAGCTTTTGTGTACGTAGTTGGCACCACATGCACAGAAATTACAACTTGAGTTCAAAATTTTCATGTGAGCATATAGTGTTTGAATATATGAAGCTTCTTAATTAGATGCATGTGGTAGCTGTTGGTCTTTTCCTTATTAATTATGACACAGTATTAGTCTATATATAATATGATTTATTATATATTAGTGCAAATTTTTAATTTAATTAGTGCAATTTAAAATTTCATATGTTCAAATTTATTTTTACAGTGTCTTTTTCCGTTAAAAACATAATATTACTTGCAATCTGATATTATCTGATCTGGTCCAATTCGAGACCTACAAATTTGGTCCAGAATTAATTCAAAGTCTATTTTTGTAGGCCGGTTTGATATGCAATTCAAACCGAACCTGCCTAAAAAAAAGCACGATCCAAAGTGGTCTAACTCGCCTGACTCAACCTAGTTTCCCCGCCGCCCTCAATCACCCGCACAAGTATCATTTTAAATTCAGGTTATTGTTAAAACATAAGAGTAAATTATTATTTAGTCCCCATAATTTAGTGAAATTTACAAATCAGTATTTTTATCTTCTTAAATTAATTAAATCGTTCTCTTTTAAAATTGCCATTCAACTAAAGAACTCTTTTTTTTTTTTTTTCTTTAATTAAAATTTGATGAAATATCAATTTTAATCTTAATGAAAATTGAAATTTTCTTTTGCATACCATCATCTAATCAAACCCTATTAATTTTATCCTAAAGATCACCAATCTTAATTCATATTAATTAGGAATAAAAAGCCATGTATATGTTTAGATTAAATTTTATCAAATAAAATTTGAATTTTGATCTTTGATATATAAAATATTCATTTGCTTTTCTAGTTGACTAACCAAAAATGGTAAAATTTTCATAAAGTATTTACAATTAATTAACAATAATAAATATAAAGGAAATTTTAAATGGAGCCCTAAAAATAAATATTTTTATAATAGAGACTAGTACTAAATAGTAATTCAGCCAAAACAAAATTGAATTTCAAAATCAATCAGTAATTAGAAAGTTAATGCATCACCACTCACTGCATTTAAACCATCCAAAGTCACTGAAAATTAGTATATATATGATTTAAATCACAAAATCCTTGCGTGATATGAATTATTAATTAATACTATTTCCTACGTCATATGTACTACAAATAATTAATATTAATTACATTATTATATTAAAATTTCTACTATTTTCTTAATTGATATAACACGTTTGTTATAAATCATTTTCATTGTAAGAATATTTAAGTTAATGAAAATGAAATTTGTTAATCAAAGTCATTCAAATATACAATATATGGTGATTTTTTAAAAATTTTAAATAATTTTTAATTATAAATTATCACCTCTCTTTCCTCAATCCTATCCTTTCATGGGGATGTCCCACACTTGACAATTGACAACAAAAAAAACTAAAAGGCTTAACTGTATATCTAAAGTTAAAAGACATGTGCCCCTGCGCTTTTAGCTTTGCACCTTTACTTTCTTTTCTTTTTTTTTTTTTCTTTTTCTAATTCTATTTTTCTGGTTGGAATTTCCAGTGAGATACCCATATTATGAGATTTGAATGACAAAATTTAAATATTTTATATATTTAACACATGTATTTATTTAATAAAGAAAAACATGTCACAATATGTGAAATTGATAAATATTTTTATGACTTTAATTCTATAGTTTTGAAAAAGAGAAAACCTAATATTTTCATTTTTTTTTTTTTTTTGGATAAAATATAAATCCTTTTTTTTTTTTTTTTTTGCTAATGATAAATATATAAATCCTTTAATTTTATTTCAATAATGTCCTTCAATTAATTAGCTAATTAATTAATAATATAGAACTTAACCAATTAGCTAAATTGACCCAGACCAGCTAATACATATATATATATATATAACAAGATCATATGCATAAATTTATATATCTCAAAAGTCAATTTTCCCTGATGTAGTGATTTGAAATACTGGACACATCCTCTCCGCCAAACTATTAAGGATTTTATATTGCTTAAATTCCTCTCATTATAATTAATCAAACCACCTAACCCAAATGTGGGAAATTGAATTTCCAAGTGAAATTTCTTTTTTTTTTTAATGGAAATATATATGTACTATATATTATATATTATTTAATATCTGCCAATGTCATTGTTAAGGACATTATCTATTATATTAATATATAAAGAAAATAATTAATTTGTCATCCTTGCAGTTTGACAATGTTAATTAATGGTCTCCGAGGCTTATCTCCGTCAAATCACTTGGTTCTTCCATCTATTTTTTCTAGATTTTAACGTTAAAACCTTTAAAAAAGACTAAAATACACTAACACGTAATAATGGAAAATAATTAACTCATCTCTGAGATTTGACCAAACTAACTAAGTTATCCCTGTAGTTTAGTAATATTAATTAATGATCCCTGAGATTTACCTCCATCAAACCATTTGGTCATTTTATTTATTTTCTCTTCGGTTTTCTATTAAAAACTAAAAAAAAAAAAAAAAAAAAAAAATACTAAAAAAAAAAAAAAAAAACTAAAATATCATTACAGTATGCAGGAAGAAAAAGAACAAAAAACTAACCGTATGTTATTGGTTTTGTATAACAGATTGATCAGTTTAAGTCTTATTAAAACTTTACAACTGAAAATCTGGCGAAAAAAAAACGGTTATTTTTTTTTGTTTTCTAACAATATTTCTTTACTATTCCTATTGTCTATTCTTCATTTCATAGTTTGTAATTTGTAATAGGAATTATAATAAAATCAAACTTGGTTCTCTTGAATAGTGATACCTAAAATTTATAATGCCTATTATTTTATTGAAATTAACTCGATATGTATTTTCTTTTTTCATTCTTTTTTGTTGGATGACTCAAGACAGTAATACACATTATGTTGATCAAAAAAAAATTTTTTTCTAGGTGAATTTCAAATAATCAATTGCACATTATGTTGATCAAAAAAAATTTTTTTCTAGGTGAATATCAAATAATCAATGTAAACCCTGACTCTTCGTTTTCCTTCCACGACAAGGAAATTCTAACCTAAGTTAGTTTAGTCTTTTTTTCCTTTAAGTGTCAAGTATTTTAGTCTTTTGAAGGTTTTAACGGAAAATTATGGAAAAAATATACGAAATGACCAAATGGTTTGATAGAGGTAAACTTCAGAGACCATTAATTAATATTGTCAAACTATTGGATGATTTAATTAGTTTGGTCAAATCTTAGGGACGAATTAATTATTTTCTCTTAATATAATATTTATATAGTTAAAAAGTTGATTAATGGTTAGGATGACTTTAACCCTAACTTAGTTTTTGATACCATTTATTTTCCATATAGTTTAATGAAAAATTTTATTTTTACTTTTTATGATCCATCTTTAAGATGTTTTGGATGTCAACTTCAATACATGTACACAAAGAGTCAAGAGACACTATTAAATATTATGTAATTTCGTAATTCTAAAAAAAAAAAAACTATTTAATTCTGTCGGATTAATTTAAAATGATTTCTGTAAAAAATTTAAACTTTTATTCAGAATTTCATTATTTTGTGTTTGATATAAAAAAAATATTTATTTGAATGTAATAAATTCAATTTTATAAAATTGAACATAATTTTATAAATTATTTATTTTAAATTAAAATAAAAATTTGGAGAAAATAATTTTAAATATGAGCCATAATGTGTTGAACCATTTAATATTTTTCTTGTAGATTTTCAGTTTATATTGGACCGTAGTAGAATTTAGTTCACAAAATAGACATATAAAATTAAGATTTAGATAAACAAAAACTAATAATAATGTGATACAACCGAATTAATTATACGTGGAATGAACAAAAATCGCATATTTTTAATTATTATATATTTATTTTCCTGCAATATTAGTATAGATTTAAACTTATTAATAAACAATTTAATTGAATTTATTTTCAATTATTTAAAGAAAATAGAGGGTTAAACACATAAAATTGTTGTCTTTCCGAGGGCCTGTGAAAGTTTCTAAATCCATGGAAGTTTGTTTGCTGAACGTTTGGTCAGCAACAAGCTTTGCTCGTTTTTACATAAGCTGACGTCATCATCTGTCCTATGTATTCGGTTAAATTGCCACGTCGTCAACAGATCATCCGATTCCGAGGTGACGGCGACGTTTCATGATTGGCCTGGCCTCATTCTCGATCACAAACTCTCTTAATTTTGGCGTTTCATTTCCTACTGCAAATGAAATGTTTTATGTTTGAATACTAATTTGTTCAAGAGTGTAATAAGTGCATTACGTATCTATCCATTCTTCATTTGCTTTCACCAAATTTATACTAACATCACGACAAAATATTTTGATACAAAACTTTCATGTAAACGATAATCCGTATATTTTACGCATCAAATCAAATGATTATATAATTAGATATTTGTTTATGATTATTATTTATAAATTTTTCTACATAAAAATTTGTATTTTCAAGAGAAAAAACATCGTATATTTTTTCATAAGAGGAATACTAATTGCTGTTGTTCTTAAATTGACTATAATAACTTAATTATTGCAATCACTTTGAATAATCAAATTCCCAGAAAAAATATACCTTTTTAACTCACATTAATAATTATTATATTTTTTTAAACATAATTAAGGTATTTCAATCAATAGAACAATGAGGATTAGATAGTCACTTTAAGGATCAACGGTCACTAGTGTCCCTCTTTTGCGTAATATGATGGAAAATTTTGTAATGGATGTTCAAATCAAACCATTATAAAATCTTTCTCCGAATGACAATTTGAATGATCAAAGTTTATTATAAAACTCAGATAAATTAAATTAAAACACTAAAAGAATACTAATTTCTTATTTATCTCTTAATAAGTCCAAATTTCACAACTAAAAAACTTTCAATGGTGATATTATTATTATTATTTGTCATTGCAAGCATGGATTGAATGATATCTAAATTGTCATTTCTTATGGCTTGAAAGACTAGATTCAATTAATTAATTATCTTGATAAATGATTGAAGGTGTGGAGCCACCATAAATAATTATGAGATTTGAATAAGAAAGTGAGTATGAAAAAGTACTTGTAGAAATGCTACTCGAAAGTCATTTGTCATTTGTCATTACCATTTTTATTTTCATATTCAAAACAAGATCAAAGGATTAGGCTTTTTTCTGACAAGGATTGATGGCTTTCTAATCTCTAGATCTAGGTGAACTATTAACCAATATAATAAATTGAAAATTAAATCAAAATTAAATAATTATACTTTAAAAAATCAAAATATGAAATAACCCTATTGCATTCTCTATGACTATGTACAAATATGACTAAAAAAAATAATTAAATACATTGATTTCAATTGTCTGGTTTTTATTTTATAGTGTAAGAAACCAGTATTGCAAACCTTTGAATTTTTTTTAAAGAATAAGTTTCTTTCGATTTTATAGGTATGAAAAAAAAAATTTGCTGTTAATTTTTTTTTTCTAATTATTTATTTACAAGTCATTCTTTTCCTTAATACTATTTTAAAAAGAGAGAAAACCTTTTTGGGCTGAAGATTTGGGTTGGTGATTGGGCTTGGATCTGTCACTTGACAGAAATACAAACACAGTCGAGTCCACATTCACAAACTGCCGCCGGTATCCAAGAAATTAATTGCCGGCGATCATAAGCTGTTCTGCATAAGTTTCTCTTGAAGCGGGTGTGTCGTCCTCGTGGAAATAGCAAATGGAAGTCCAAAGAGGAGGATTAGAAGAAGAAGCAACGACGATTACTCTTTTGATACGACATCTTCCTGAAGCTATTCCCTATGAAACACTCTCCAGGCTCTTCTCTCACTACGGCTCTAGCTCTTTTCGTCCTTGCTCCGCCGGAAGGTATTCACCTCGTAAACTTTGTTCCTTTGTATAATTATTTTTATCCTTTTTCTATTTTTGTTCTTCTCGTTGGTTTTATAATTTGTGGCCTATGCAAGTAGTTAAATTCGTGAATTTTATCTGGTGGAATTAATTAGGATAGGCTGAATCTTACCTTAAATTGCGTATAAGTGGGTCCTCGGTAGAATGCTTGTTCTGTATTATTCGTTTAATCTTAATGCAGACTGAGGAACTGTGCATTTGTGGATTTCAAGAATGAAGCTTTGGCTTATCAAGCACAACGACAGTTAAATGGGTAAACTCTAGTCATGTTCAAAAATTGAGTTTGTTTCTCTTTCCTTTGCTCTTTTGCTTGTACCCTAAGCATTCATGTTGGTGTATCTGAAAGAGATGAGCTATGAACTAGTGTCTTCTAATGGTTGATTAGGTTGAGGTTTCTTGGTAAGGTCTTAGCAGTGGAGAAAGCTAATAAGCCAAATAAGGATAATAAAAATAACCAAAGTGAAACTCAGTTGGGGAAGGATCATACAGCACCAACTTCTGTGAAAAAGAACGCTTCTGTAACAGGAGATTTTGCCGATGGTTCCAAGTCCACGCCTGCTACTGAGCCTATTGCTCCAAGGCTTGGTGTAGATTATCCATTTCCTCCTTACCTGGAGTAAGTTCTCTCTTTTTCGAACTTTTGTTTGTTTTGATTTGATTCCTTTTGTGATTTTTTTTAATTAACGGTTGGATGGTTTGCACATGTATCTTCTTAGTTCACGGAGCACACATGCGTAATGGTTTGCACATGCATCTTCTTAGTTCACGGAGCACACATGCGTAATGCAAAACTCCATATCGACTTGCCACATTATTTTATGTGAATGGATAGAAGGGAAAGAGTTGGGAATTTGCCAAATATCCAATAAGGCATACCATTCTTTGACTTTTAAGGGGAAAGTAGATTTTATAAGGTCCCTGGTTGCTGCTTGCTTATTTTGGTGGTTAGATTCTTGCTCCTGGAACGTAGAGCTGTTTGCAAAGCCATAGAGAAACTAGCTATTAATAGGACATTGCTCTGCTATTGAGTTTGTGCCATACTCTTAGCTAATCAATTAAATGCTGAATTCTTGCGGCAACAAAATCGGCATCATTACCCTTTGCTATGCTACTAAATCATCTAGATTGGATTAAATATAGTTTGATTCTGCTACAGGTATGCTTATCCTCCTCCAGATGGAAATATTTTGACCAACATTGTTAATGCTCTTATTGCTGTTCCTCGGTTTTATACACAGGTTATATCCAATCTCTTATAAAGCCATGTAACAATCTTACATATATTTCTTCTTCCAGTTCTGCAGTTGCATTTTGTTATTATCAGTTGCAAAATATTGGAGTCATGCTGTTCACAAATTAACCTTTCATATTTAGGTGTTGCATTTGATGAACAAAATGAACATTCCAGCTCCATTTCGGATGGCTCTTCCCACTCCACCACTACCACCTTCGGCACCAGCACCTTCACCCCCACCCCCACCACCACCGACTACTGTTGCTGAAAAGCCTCATTTGGCAGATTTATCCAGCAGTGAATCCGAGATTGAGTCTTCAGATGAAGTATGTTGATTCTTCTAAAAAGTTTGTATTGCGTATGTCCAAAATCCGCACATGTTTAATGGTGAAAGTTTTGGGGCCACCTTAACTGGAAGCCTGTTTTATTGTTTGCCAGAGTATATAGATTCTCTCTGTACTCTATGTTGACCATATTGAATCCGAGATTGAGTCTTCAGATGAAGTATGTTGATTCTTCTAAAAAGTTTGTATTGCGTATGTCCAAAATCCGCACATGTTTAATGGTGAAAGTTTTGGGGCCACCTTAACTGGAAGCCTGTTTTATTGTTTGCCAGAGTATATAGATTCTCTCTGTACTCTATGTTGACCATATTTTTGTTCTGTTTAAAGGAAAGTCCTCAATGTTTTTGTCTGATCACTATTACTGAGTCCAGTAGAATGTGATTGTTTTAACCCTAAATTTTTTCAGGAGGTTGACGACAAAGCCTCCTCTCTTGGAACTTCAAGAGCAGTTAAATCAGGGCGAAAGCGCGTCAGACGAGAAGCAATTGTAGGTCCTGCAGTGGATAAAGATGTTGCTCATGAGGCTGTTGGAGTGAAACCTTCTGCCCTGGTCCCGAAAGAAATCCCTGTTATAAAAAAGAAGAACCCTGTGTTGCAGGTTATTTTCTTTCTAACAGAAATTATTGTTAAATTATCTGATGATTTATAATTTTTCACATATTTTTGTTGTCTTTTCACAGATTAAAATTGCTCCAAAAGTAACTCAGAATGAACAAAAGGATGATAGTATCGTGAAAGAATCCGAGAAGCCAGACAAAGAAGGATTGGATCATAAAAATTATGCAACTCCGGAAGAATTAGAGAGCAACAAGCTGGCTCCAGAGGAAATTCTATCACTTCCAAAGTTTAAGGTACCTAAGTTGGAAATTTTACGTGATTTTATAGTTAAAGGGATGGATATAATTTACTAATATATTGAAACTAGTCCAAACTAATAGATAACTTATTTTGTGGAAAAGTTGCTTGTTTATTATACAAAAGGCTAAGAGAACTCAACATGATGTCATTGAAAATTAGCTGCCATGGCGTCCCTCTTTTTTGGTATATGGGCCTGTGTATGCTAAAGTCTTTACACATTGATTTCAGTTAAATGTCTGAATCTGATTACTTGTCACTTTGGAAAATATAAATAATATTTGCAAGTGGTTGTAATAAGCTTTGGATTATGCAGAACTATACAGTTGGGAGTCCTGCATCTGTGTTGTACATAAAGAATTTGAGCAAGGACGTGGTTGCTGATGACTTCTTCTACATATTTGGTGAGCTAAAAATAGATGTAGCTATCTCGTAACTTATTTCTAGCAACCTTGACAAATATGCTGGATGTTCATATTTTGAGAAATGATTGTTCTTCAAATTCATCATTCATGGATCCTTAATGCTGAAGTTTTTTTTACTTTTGCTTTCTATGTATGTATGTATGTAATACTGCTCAGAGACCTAGGCTTTTGGCAATATAAAGAAAATTCTTGCTGATCCTGTCATTGCTTTGAATAAACTGTAGGGTCATTATTTGGAAGCATTAATGCAGCTAAAGTTGGCCTCAATGTGAAGTTAATGCAGGTAAGTTTGGTGAAATTAGTTATCTATAGCAATACTGATATGCCTTTTGCTTCGTTAGTGATGATTTGTTCTTTAAAACAAAAAGGAGGATCCATTAATGTTAATGGAAGGATGAGTGCAATGGTTAATGGAAGATAGACAGATAAAATTCACATAAAGTTAAAATTTTCTTGTCCATTCCATAATGGTAGGAAGCATGAATCAGGAGAGATTGAGGAAAGGGAAAAGAGTTTAGGCTTGAGGAAATCTAAATTCAACAGTGTGGACTTCATCAATGGTCACTAGAGTTCTCATTAAATCACTTTGAGGTTATCAAATTTCAATTGGTCAAAATAAAATAACTCCAGTTTCTTTTGGGGTATTGAATAGATCATTCAAACTGGTGTCTGATCAGAAAATGGCAGAAACCTAATGTGGCATTCAAACAATTATTTTTTAGTCTTATAAATGGGGGATTAAAAATCTTCTAACAAATCCACTATGTTTAAAAATTAAAGTGTGGTTGCTTTTGACCTTGGAACTAACTCAACATTTGAATTTCAGGAGGGAAGAATGAGGGGTCAAGCTTTTGTGACATTTCCATCAGTTGAACTTGCCCATCAAGCTCTGGTATGTATATTGTGGTATCATTTGTTCCCCAGCATATACGAACTTTCCATGTACCCTTGGTTTATATAATGGTTGGATACTTTTGATTCATTATTGCATGTTTTCATAAACATTTTCACACCCTATAGGTACAATTATAACAGGAGTGGCACTAACTATCTTTCTCCATTTTGCAATTTGGAATTAGATGAAAATCTACATCACAATGGCTTCCCTATGTGTCAGTAGTGTAGTGAGTCAGTAATGATGCACTGATATTGTTCAATGAAATCGTGGTTCATGATCTTGCAGAATTTAGTGAATGGATATGTCTTTAAAGGCAAGCCAATGATCATACAGTTTGGCCGGAATCCTTCAGCTGGCAAGGCAAATTAGGTGAGATTTACCATGATAGAGGGAGCTGCTTACGCCATTACATCTAATGGTTTTTTCCTCAAAGATTGGTTCTGCATATTCTAAAGGAAGCTGGAGTTAAGTCTCAGACTGAGATCATTAATGATGCAAGGACACAACTAACTTTTTGCCATGGGAACCACTTGATTTCTATGGACCTTATAGAGAGGCTCTGTGGTGGCAAGCCTTCCACCGATTATTGATAAAACTGCCAGCCACAGGAGGAGTAAAGATGGAACAATGTGCTCTAGAAAAAAAGAAAAAGGGAAAGAGAGGAAGGAATGGTCCAGCGCTCAGCTTAAATTCTTCCGTTTACTTGTTTCTTTCTTTTATCTTTAGCCCGGAAATTTTGGTCATTGAGAGATATCCAAACAGTGACTGAAGGTATTCTTGTACATATATAGTACAATAATTTATACTTGTAAAAATTTTTATGTTTTGATTTCACATATTATGAAATAATTATTCGACTATTTAGCAGCTAACCTGATGAATTACTTTTAGTTAAATAGTCCTATATCATGATTTGCTTCCTATGGGCTCACTTCTAGTAACTTTTGTTTAACAATTATGGTAGAAAAATTCCAACTTTTGGTAGAAACCTTCTCTTTAACGTAATTGAGGCTCAATATATATATATAAACTTTCTCTTTTACGTAATGAGGCTTCAATTATATATATATATTATTATATATATATATATATATAATATGTGCTAAGTGAATTTAGAGAAATCATTAAATATTTGAGATCATATACAAACAAAATGATATATATGTGCTAAGTGAATTAGAGAAATCATTAATATTTGAGATCTATACAAACAAAATGAGAATTTTGAACTGTACAGAAAAAAAGATAGAATTTTGAAAACATTCTAGTAAGAAATTTCAACAAAGATTTCCAAATAATTGCTGGTGGATCCTTAATTATGTTGAGGTTAACTGTACCTCGCTTTCTCCTCTTCACGAACACAACTGCAGCAACAACAAAGCCAAGAACTAAAACAACCCTTCTGTTTCCTAGTTCTCATTATGTATTTTCCACATTTAAACAAGAAGAAAATCAAGAAAAAGCAAAGCACTTGCGCTCACTTTTACTCAGAAACCCAACAATCCACCAAATCACTCTACAAGTCCACTCTCAGCTACTCACCACTGGCTTATTGAACCATTCCATGCTTCTCTTGAACACTTTGCTTAGATGCTATTCTCTTAGTGACAAACCCCAGCTAGCTTTCTTGCTTTATAACCAACTCCAACAACTCTACTTTCACTCTCCCTCATCACTAAACCCTCCTTTTGATAGCTTTGCCTATACATTCCTTGCAAATGCAAGCACTAATTCTTCTTGTCTGTTTACAGGAAGACAGTTTCATAGTCTTATAATCAAAGTGGGTTTTCAATATCATGTTTATGTACAGACTGCTCTGCTAAATTTATATTCAGCTAGTGGGGTTTTAGGTGATGCATTTCTCGTGTTTGATGAAATGCCTGAGAGGAATTCTGTTACTTGGAATGTGATGATTACTGGATTGGTCAAGTGGGGTCAGCTTGAATTTGCACGTTCTCTCTTTGATGAGATGCCGGAAAAAAATGTTGTATCTTGGACTGGAATTATTGATGGGTATGTTAGGACAAATAGATATAGTGAAGGTTTAGCTTTGTTTCAAAGAATGATTATCTTTGAGGGTATCAAACCAAGTGAGATAACTATTCTTGCTATTTTACCTGCAATTTCAAATATGGGAGAATTAAAGGGTTGCAGATTGATTCACGGTTATGGAGAGAAAAGTGGATTTGTTGCTTCTGATATTCGTGTTACTAATTCAATTGTAGATACTTATGCAAAATGTGGTTGCATAGAGAGTGCATCACGATTTTTTGAGGAGATTTTAGTAGAGAGGAGAAATTTGGTATCTTGGACATCAATCATTTCTGGATTTGCAATGCATGGGATGGGAAAAGAAGCAGTGGAAAATTTTGAGAGGATGGAGAAAACGGGTTTGAAGCCAAATCGAGTAACGTTTTTGAGTGTTTTGAATGCATGTAGTCATGGAGGATTGGTTGAAGAGGGGCTCGAGTTTTTTGAAAAGATGGTGAACGAGTATCAGGTTGGGCCAGATATTAAGCATTATGGATGTTTAGTTGATATGTTGGGAAGGACAGGAAGGTTAGAAGAAGCAGAGAAATTGGCTTTGGAAATCCCTGGTGAAATTGTCAATGCTGTGATCTGGAGGACTCTTTTAGGTGCATGCAGCTTTCATGGTCATATGGAAATGGGTGAGAGGGTAACGAAGAGGATAATGCAAATGGAGAGAGGATACGGAGGAGATTATGTGCTCATGTATAATATCTTTGCTAGTGTTGGAAGGTTTCGGGATGCTGAAAGGCTGAGAAGATTAATGGATCAGAGAAATGCCTTAAAAGTTCCTGGCCATAGTTTTGTCTGAATAATTGCAAAATTAGGCCAGAGAGATTTAGACAGATATTATCTTTTGCTTTACAATTTCTGATGTAAAGGAAAAAGTTGGCTGTTCATAAACGTGACAGACCAAACAGATCATCATAGAGATGCTTCTGGATTGGCTTCTAATAATTCTAGTAGTCAATTCTTCTTTTGAACACAATTTTAGCAGCATCTTGTTGAAATGATGCCTTGAAATGGAGATGGCTTACACGAGAGAGAGGCAGAGGCAAATGGTAACGTACTTGGCAAGAAGAGGATTCGCATAACATTTGTGAATTATACACAGCTAACGTTGTCAAACAATGAATTCAAGATGAGGCTACAACTGGAGTAAATGCATTTTCGTTCTACAACATGGAAGGTGCTCCTGTGATTCCCAAAGCAGACATGCATATTTCTCTGTTATGATTCTTTTTTCTCCCATTTTTGTACCTACCATTTTTTTGGAATAAATTTCTTAATAATACAAATCTTTCTCCAAGGTTTTCACTTTCCTTTCCTGATGTTATTCCAGTCATGCATAGGCTCAATTCTTTTTGCATATTCGTATTAGACTAGGCGATACTGAGATAGAAATGGCGCTTTTCATGATATTGAAGCAGATATTTATAATATCAAAATAACAGTATGTCAATAATAGTATTTTGACATCAAGTTATTGTCCCTGTTGAATTAACCCGGTGGTAAAATACTTTTCAAAACCATTAAGTCAAAAAATGTGCCCTAGTCAGAAGATATTCATCACATGGAAGAAGTTGTCAATGCCACTCTGATTTATGAAGAGGAATTTGTTCTTCTGCCAACCATCTAATGCCAAATCCCCAAGATAGAAGCAATACCAAAAAGTAACAGAAGTGTGATATCACCTCCCAGCAGAATGGATGACCTGAAAAAACAACCACTGTTTTAGTTTTATGACAAAACTCTCCATTCTCTTGGCCTTTAAAAATTATCATGCCAAGAATATTATCTATAATTCATTTTAAAATGAATTCCCCGTTTTGAGTTTATTTATACCAAATGGAGCATTAGTGGTTGGAAAAGAAAAATAAAAAAAATAATCCAAATTACTGCGTGAATTAGCAAATAATTGGACTTGAGATTCTCTGTAATACCTGAGCTTCTTCCTGGATTGCTGTACATATGCCATTAGAGGAGGAAGCATACCAAACAGGAAACAATTTGCATAAACTCCAGCAAAATCAAGGGCTTTCGAAAAGGTTGAGGGAAAGAAAGATCCAATTAGAATAGGAATACTGAGTACTAGCATTGTTACGAGCGTTCGATGGAATGGATCGGATTCAGCCATGCTTGATGGCAGTTTATCTTCCAAGGCAGCAGAATAATTTGACCCGCCAAATAATGCTCTCCCTGCATTTCCACCATCATACCCACCAAAAAAAATCACTAATCCAACTCTTCCAGTTCCATCTCCATTTACAAGTATTTGAGACCCAGAGCTAAATTGCTCTTCAGAATTCATTTTCATCAATAGCAAATACAAAGTATCAAGAAGCTGTTTCGGAAAACTAATAGCATATCCTATCAAGCTAGTTGCCAGAGCAGAAAATGCAAAACCCTGAACAGCAGGTAAAGCAGAAGGATTGACAGAAAGCAAAAGGGAGATAGGGTCAATGAAAGAGGCAACTCTGTTAGTCCCAGAAAGCCCTAAAACAATCAAATTCCATGATAAAACCATAATTAAAGGAACAGCTCCACCAATTAGTATTGCCTTTCTAGCTTCAGAAACACTGTTTCCAGCTATCTTACATATAAAAGGGGTGATGACATGAAAACCTAATGTGAGTACAGTTACAGGTATAGCAGGCAAAATTGATGAAATACTCCATGAAGATTGAGTAAAGGAACCCAATACATTTGTTCTAGCCACAAATAGCCCAATGCATACTAGTGCAGTTATTGATAAAAGCATGAGCAAGCATAAAAAACGGTTTGTCGTATCGATAACCTTGAACGGAAAGAACGTAATTGCAATCCCAATGGCAAGCGGAAAAAATGCATTAGCCAATACGAGATTCATCCTTGGAAACCATTGGGACATTATTGAACCAATACCTGAAACACAAGCTACTAACAGAGAAAAACTCAAGCTAGCATAAACGACAGCCACTAAAGCACCAAAACGACGTCCTAATGCTTTAGTTGCAAGACTAGTAAAGCTTACCTCTGCAACCCCATCTTCTTGCATGGCAGCAAAGCTGAGTTCAGCAACAAGAATAATAGAAGAGAGAACATAAACCCAGGAAAGAAAAATGACAATGCTTGATGGAAATGAACCTGACCTAATTGTTGCAGCAGGCAAACCTAGCATTCCAGGACCTACTGCAGTTCCAATAATTAAACTGACAGCACCCCAGAAACTCTTTTTGTCCTTTTTTAGGGTTTCTTGAGGTTTATTCTTTCTGATAAAATTGTTATTGCTTAGTTTATCAGAATGAGAAATAGAGCACCTGAGAATGAGTGAGGGGGGGATTTTGATTTTGAGAGATGGAGTGAGCTTCTTATTGGGTGATGTAATATGGAAAACGGAGAATCTGGGTTGGTGAATATAGTATAAAAGATTGAATCCTGAGTTTGAAATTGAAGTGGGTTTGGTTAGACAGGAGGAAAAACGAAGCATTTCTCAGTTTTGGGATGATTAGAAACTGGAATCTTTGAAATGAGAAATGACACATGCGCATACGGCTTTACTCAGAATCTTTGGAATCTATTTGAAGACCCGGTTTAATATGGAATAGAAAGCTCACATCTTCCTAAGAAGTGTCAACAATACTGTTTGACCTTTTTTTTTTTTTTTCTTTTTTTGTTTTTCTGGCAACCTTTTTGTTGACTATTTCACGGGAATTTTTTCCTAATGAGAGCTTCCTGGATTTGCTGTCAGTGGCCCAATATTATATTTGGGCTTTTAGCCCACTAAATTACCCAATGGTGTAAAAGATTTTTTTTATCAGCAATTCATATTTTATTTTTTTAAATTATAAAATCAGAAAAAACTTATGAAACTCAATAAACTAAGGTTTTCTCTGCACATCCAAAATTACACTTGAGTTTGATAGGTGAAAAAATTTGATTACCAAAAACTCCATACAATAATACAAAATAGGCGTAGATATCTCTTATTGAGATAAAAAAAAATAAAATTAAAAAAAAAATTGTAAATATCAAAACAATACAACTCTTAGTTATTATATCCAAGCCAAAAAAGTTATCTCGGCCTCAACACATTTTTTTGCTAAGCAACCTGTGAAATGATTGCTATTTCTACTAACATGTCTGAACTCAATATGATTCAATCGGGTAATAGTCGAATCAAATTTATTAAAACTGTTTCACCATTTTCATAGGCATTTCTGCTTTTGAAGAACCTAATACAAAACATTTCTTGAATCTGACTCAATCATCAATTGTGTAAAATATTGATTTCTAGCTTGATAATTGCATATTTGTTTTGTAATGAATTAAGGTTCTGGATTTTAATATCTATTTTTTAAAATTAATAAAAAACAATCAAATCATTAATACATTAAATCTTGATAATCTTATTTTTATACGGTAAATAAGATAAAAAGTGATAATAGAGAAATAGTATTCTCAGTGTTATAAAGAAAAAATATAAAAATTTTCTTTTTCCCCCTTATTTTCCATCTTTATTTTTTTCCTAATCCAAATATAGAAATTGGCTTTTTTTTTACCAAAAAATTTCTTTTTTTAATATAAAATTTAAGCTAAAGCTCAATTTTTACAAGTGGATTTATTTATAATTACCAAGTTTTAATTAATATATAACATAAAACTGAGGTGGAAGATAATAATTCAAAAAATGTTGAAACTCATTTTCCTCCACAATTTCTCACCAATAATTCTGAGTTGTCAAATACCACAAAAAATTAAAAAAGAAAAAAATAAAAGAAGTTGTCCATTTTATCCAAAGTATATCCAATTTCTAACAGTCAAGGTAATAATAGGATGCCACGTGTCCCACATATTTCACCTCATGTGCCTCATATGAGCCATAAAAACCGGCCAACGAGATAAATAATCTTAAAACGACACAACCTTATCCATTGACTCCACCTCCTTGTCTTACTGGACATCTTACACCGTTGGATTCACATCCTCTAAGTAACCAGTCATGAAATCCAACGGTCCAAAGCCAATCTAGATGTCTATTAGTAACAGTTAACGACTCCATGAAAGAAACACCAGGTTGTGCTTTTTGTTTTTTACGTTCTGGCTTTGATTTGCTTTTGTAGCTTTTTAAAATCGCTTTGAAAAAAAGTGTTGTTTTCATTTTCTACAAGCAAGAAGAGGGAGAGAAAGAGACTCACTTTATTCAAAGGAAAAAAAGCGAAAAAAGCAATTCAAAGCCTTTACATCTAAACAAAAACAAAAATACATACATATACCATAATACCCATTTCAAATATCAAGATTTTTTAATCTGTATAACTATTTTTTCTTTCTCTTATAATTTTCTATTTTTCTTTCTTTGCTGTGGAAAATCATGGCAGATGTTTTGAGAAAGACCAATCTTGTTTCTTCTTCTTCTTCTTCATATATTGGTTATAGGAAAGTGCAGAAATATAGCAGTTCTGTTGTTGCAAAAAGTTGCAGACTTCCTTCAAAAGTGACTCCTCAAGCTTTGAAATCAACGACGTTGCATAATTCTGATTTCCTTGGTAAAAGTGTTCTTCTTCAAGAAAATCTGGGCAAATCCAAGAGATGGAATTATCTTAAATTTTCAATTAAGGCTCAGGTTAGTTAAGATCTGATTTTGGTTTACTTTTTCTTTGTCAGTTTTGTTTTCCCTTTATAATTAATTGCTTAGATAATTAGGGATTTTGGCTTGGAAATCCGAAAGATTTAATTTTGGAAGAAGAAAGACTTTGAGTTTTCTTTTTCAAGATTTGTTTATTTGCAATTAATTAGTTTTCTGTAAAATCGATAACCTTTATTCAATTATGAGACTTTCTGATATGGGGAACCCTAATTTTGATAAATTTTCTTCCATTTAGGTATATCTGATTAATTTTTTCATTGCCCTTTTATTATGGATATTACCAGGCTGGCCTCAGGCTCAAGAAGTCCCAAACATGGTGGGAGAAGGGTTTGCAACCCAACATGAAGGAGGTGACCTCTGCACAAGACCTTGTGGACACCCTCTTGAATGCTGGGGACAAACTTGTCATTGTTGATTTCTTCTCTCCTGGCTGTGGTGGCTGCAAAGCTCTCCATCCCAAGGTATATATACATATATGTGTATAAATTGATGCAGATACTAATATTTTAGTTGCTTTTTTTAAAACTTTAAGTGAATATTATCTATTTTCTAAACTAGGATATGGATTGCTTTGTGGTGACAGATATGTCAATTGGCGGAGATGAACCCAGATGTGCTGTTCCTTAATGTAAATTATGAGGAACACAAATCTATGTGCCATAGCCTCAATGTCCATGTGCTTCCATTCTTTAGATTTTACCGAGGGGCTCAAGGCCGGGTATGCAGCTTTAGCTGCACTAATGCAACGGTTAGTTTTGCGCCTTTCCTTTTGGTTCTTTTGCTGATTTTAGTTATTGCTATGCAGTGATTGATTCGAAGTCCCACGATTTGTTGCTTATCTTTAATTCATTGATGATTTGTCTCACTTTATTTGTGATTATCAATTTCTTGAATTGTGATTTATGATCATATCTAAAACAGTATATTTCTCTTCTAGATCTAAGATTTTATCAAAAGCATATCTTTCAAGGCCTCAATGTTACTATTAATCACAAATTTTGTTAGTATAGATATTGTTTTAGCTTGGAATTGCTTCAAAATAATAGCTAGTGCAATCTAGTACCTCGTGTTATTTGTGTGACCCTGGATTTTGTTAGTCTTACTTCATGTTTGGTTTAGTTATGTTAAATTCTTATAGAATATGATTCGTTCATCATGAACATCAAAGTTTTATGGTTGATTTTAACTAAATGTTGGTTGTAATCCAGATCAAGAAATTTAAGGATGCATTGGCCAAGCACACCCCGGACCGATGCAGTCTTGGACCAACAAAAGGGCTGGAGGAGAAAGAGCTCATGGCTTTGGCTGCAAACAGAGATCTCAAATTCACATATACACCAAAACCAGTCGAATCTGCTCCAGCCGAGGAAGAGACAGTGCCAGCAATTGTCCCATCTCATTCTATTTCAACCCTGCCTCTTCCCCTTCCCCTGCCCATGACAAGCCTGGAGCCTCAAGATTTGGAGGAGAAAAACTTAGTAACATCAGGGAGGTGATAGCTCCTGCAACTCTTCCGAATCTCCTTGTACAGTTCTAGTTTGTGCTATGTAAAATCTTCTTGATACAGGTAGAACAAACTAGTAGAGTGAAAGTCTGTATTGTGTATCCTCACAGAATTTCAGGCTTTTGGATATATTTTTTTGGTCCTGGCCTGCTGGCTGCTGCTACTTGTATGAGGGGTCTGTCTGATGTGAAAAGCTTGTCTTTTTGTATTTTATTTCTCTTTCTTTTTTTTCCCAACTCTTGTTTGGAGAACACAAAATGGTTAGTCTTGTATTCTGGATCTTTATTATGAACATAATACCAATATATTACTATTTACTAATATTATATCAGCCTCCCATTTTTTAGTGTTAATTGTTTTGTTCTTGTTCAGAATATAAGTTTGGTTTTAATCAGACGCCCAAAAATTGGCTTTAAATGCGGGATGAAATAGTTACATGCCAATCGTAAAGGGTGATCATTTGTTTTTAAATAAATAATGATTAAGGCTTTGTTAGCAACAATTTTTAATAGCTTTGCTTTTAGCGTTTGGCTTGATCAGAATGTTAATTGATATTTTTATAGTATTTGATAATATTGTATTTGAATTAATTCTCAGTTTGGAAAAATTAGTTTTTTTTTTGGTAGTGATTAGCTATTTGAGTAGTGTCTGATTAGCTTTTCATAAAACGTTAAAATGTAATAACGTTTACTTGAGTTAATTTTTGATAAAACACTGTCTTTATCTTTAAAAGCTAGTTTAAAACGCTATGTTACCGATGTTTAGTGTTTTGATTAGAAGCTACTTAAAAATTTTTTGCCGAACACAGCCTAATCTCCATGATCTCTATAACATCCAGCTTTTAACATTTTATGAAAAACTACTTAAACAACTATTATCTATTTAGATAAACGCAGATGAAACAGCTAACGGCTATCAAAATAGTTATTAACATGACTCACCATATAAAGAATCCAGAGAAGTTGCAAGAAACACTAGGTAGTTTTAGTTTGTGGTGGCCCCAAAACTGCCTTAACTACATGGTAATGGAAGTGATGAGGCCAACAGAAATTATCAGAACCATAGTTTTGAGTGTCCATTTCCAACATGGTGGACCACATGAGAAGATGCTAAAGAAAGGAAAAGAACATGGATAAGGTTGGGTGTGCTTGAAGATGAATCAACGTGGCCTAATTTTCTTTACACAATTTATGGATATGGGGCCTAAATAACTTTAACATCTGAGAAGACTTTCTCTTCTGTAATGTTTTCTCTCCATCTGTCCTTTTCTATTAGAGGCAACAGTGAGTTGTGGGGGAACTTGTATGATTGATTAACACTAGTTTAGACGAGTTAGGAGGGAAAAAAAAAAATCCTAAAGCTCCACTCTTCTCCTTCCACGTGTCCTTACACTTATTCAGTAAGTTTAACACAAATTCTGATCCTTTTATTTATTTGTTTATTTAAAATAAAAAAATAATTATTGAGTGTTCAAATTTCTCAAAATTTTTTATTTTGGAAAAAATTTACAATTGAATGTCTAAAAAAAATACAATCTAGTATATGATATTAAGTTCGTACCAATAAAAAAATTTAAGTGACGTGAGTTACACTTTTTATAAATCAGCTGTGGAGGTGGATATCGTAATCTTATATTATAAAAACTTTTTTTATTTATATAAATAAAATATTGATTTTTAATATTTTCTTGACTTCGTCACATACTAATCAAATACAAAAAAAATCAGCAGTACATTATTAGAGGGTGGGTATATATGGAACTATGATGGGTTCTGCCCAGGCTTCACAAATATTTGGAGCCCAAAAACCGACCCAACTATATTGCCTAAACCCAAGTCCAGCCACATAGTTGCTTTTTTAATATATAACATTATATGTTAACTTATAATAAGAATAGTGCTCCTTTTATTATTATTATTATTATTATACACTAATTTTTTTATAACATACGATTATTTGAATTTATTAATTTTATTCGTAAATCGATTTTTTAAGATAATAATTTTATTCGTAAAATGATTTTTTAAGATAATAATTTTTTAAAATTTATTGTTATAATATCGTAAACTATCTATGTTACTAATAATATAAAACTATAATGAAATATTAATATAAAAAAATACAATGGCTATTTTGACTAAAGAAATTTCAAATAACAAAATGTCGAATTAATTTAAAGAAATTTACATGAATCTCATATCATAATTTTACTAACTCGGATTTGGTGCTTTATTTGAGTATGAGGAGAGAGTTCATTACTGCAATTTCTGGTTTATTTTATGCATCAGGAGATCCAAGATTAACTGAAGTCATGGCTTTTCGTTCATCCTTTCAATGGATAGCAGAAAATTTGGCAGTTCCGGATTCCATCTTCATTGATTCCCATAATATTTCGCAAGCTCTTTCTTCTTCGCATCATAATGTTTCTAATTTAGGAATTGTAGTGGATGATTGGAAGTTTCTTTTGCAAGATAGATTGGATTTTAGTATTTATTAGATTAGGAGACAAACAAATAGAGGAGCTCATATTCTAGCAAGAGCTTCTAATTATAACTATGCTATTTCCATCTTTGGGAGTTTGTTTTCAATTGCTTGATGTCTTATTATTTCTCTAATTAATATATTTGCATTTTTCTCTTTAAAAAATCACCAACTTAAAATTGAAGGAAAAAAAAATTCTATATATTGATTTAAAATTAATTTTTTCCAATTTAGTTAACTTCTTATCATTGAAATATAAAAAATTAATAATACAATTTACAGATATTCAAGTATGAAATCTAAATATTAAAACAAATTATTTGCTTAATTATAGCCCAACCAAAGAATAACCAGATGTCAAGCTATATAGAAAAACTAAATGAGTTAACCTACCGCGGGTTAAGGCTCAGTTGACCGTAAGCTAGACATGTAAAAAAAACTCTTACTTGAATTTGATCCCTACTAAATGCATTAGTAGGAAGAGGCGGACAGCCTTAATTGTAACTAACCCCCGAATCCAATTAAACGGTCCCTGAAAATATTTATTAGTTCTATATCAACGAATTGACAGCCTAAAAAACATCAAGTCACAAAATTCCATTATCATCGAAAATTTTTTTGATAGCCAAATTAAAAATGTTTTTTTTTTTTTTTGTTAATATACCAAAAAAATAAAAAATTTAAATTAATGCATCGACCATTAACAATATAAAGCAAGAGCTTCCAATATACGTTTAATTATAAAAGTGAAAAATTATTAATAGCAGAATAAAAAAAAAATCCTTGATAATAAATAAATAAATAAATAAAATTTATTTGATAGCTAAAAAACTTAAAATCAAACCTTATATTGAAAGCAAAATGAGTTTTAGTAGCTTATACTAATGATCACCATTAGTATTAGTTGCCTTGATAAAGTAATAATGATCACCATTAGCCTAGCTTGAGGAGCAGAAAGAAACATATAGCCAAGAACAACTTGCCAACTCCTAGATGAAGTGTCGGCAAGTCATCCTTGGCTGCATGATGCTTTCCGAGCCAACATGCAAGGCTGTTAGTGAGATTATAACAGAGAAGAAAGAAACTATCTATACTGTTACTGTAAAGGTGAAGTGAAAGAGTAGAGGGTGTTCTGTTCTATATATATAGAGTAGAAAGAGAAAGTTGAAATGGAGGATGATGATGATGAAGATGATGATATATTATCTCTGCAATCGAGGCAATGAGGATAGCTCTTACAATGGGATCTTATTTTGGCCCCATTTACCTTCCATCGCTCTCCTAATATTTCAAGTAGTAGCTCAATTTGCCATTTTTCATTCTTTCTCTAAAAGATGTATTGTGTATTTATATTATATTATGGTATAATTTTTTTTGTCAATAAATTTATTTCTTCTGTTCAATTTATGAATGCATGTAGGTATTTTTAGATCTAAATAATTTAATGATTTGAGATATGTATAAGTAAGAGTTATTATTCTCGATGGGTGAGAGGATAAATTGAAGATTTAGATCTTTTGCCATTTGTTTGAAATAAATAAATTTTATAGAATCTGTTTATAAATTTAAATTGTGTTTTGTATGAAAAATTAAATAGTAGAAGTCAATTCTATGGATTTAAATATAGCTAAATTAAATACTAAAAAAAATACGGGATTTTCAAATGAATTTTATAAACTTCAACTATTTAAATTTTATGATGAAACTTTAATAGACTTATGATAAAATTATCACTCGAAACTTAGAGATGAAGGATTCTTTATTATTATTATTATTATTATTATTATTACTTTTACAAATTTCAAGAGCTTATATATAGAAATGGCGTGACGGAGTGTGATGGAACAGATGTTTCAATTATCATTTTTGTCTCATTTGTCATCAAAGTGGAGCGAAAGAAAATTGGAGCCAAGATGAGGATAAAATAAAAATTCTTAGTATTGCAGAAGTATAGATAATTTTATTTCCATTTTAACAAGAATATTAATTTTCAATGTTTGAATTTTAAATGTTAATTATTAAAATTAAAAATATTATATAATATTTTATGCTCATTAAACATCTAAAATATATTACTATATATTACAAGATTAAATTAAAAAACATTTTTGAAAATTAAAAAGTGAAAGTAGAACTTTACATAACATGGATATTATTAGGTGATCAAACTTGACGAGTATAATTATTATTAATGTATTTGACTTATTCTAGTATAATTTGAAATTTATAATAGCAAAATTAAAAATTAAATAGAAATTAATTAATTCCAAAGAAAAAAAAAAAAAAAAGAAGTGAATTAAAAATTAAATAGAAATTATTAATTCCAAAGAAAACAAAAAAAAAAAAAAAAAAGAAGTGGAAGTGATGAAGTGTGCAAGACGTTGATGATCTAGGGAAGAGTATAGCACTCAATACAACGAAAAAAGAGAGTTAAAGATCTCATGTTCTTGGTTTGCCAAAACAGACATATAGTATCATTCCTTCATTTTCACTTCTCTCTCATGTCACAAAGAGCTATTCTTCGATGAATTACAGAAATAATTTTTTTTTTTTTAATGTTTTTAGAGGAGTGGGTGTGGGGTTGTGATTGATAAAGATTTTTGCAGAGTCTAATGATTTGGACCCTTGTATATTTTTGCAGAAAATGAGGAAATTTTTTAATAAAAATACCTTACCTTAAAGTGGGGCTTACCTCATCATATGTGGTATGCTGATACATAACGATAATTACTAAAAGAAGAAACACATTTCATGATTTCCAAAACAGGAACATGCCAAATCTAATTTATAACACTAGTAAATAGCTAAGGATCTAGAAAATCAAATTAATTGGGGTAATGTATAAAAATAATAATTTAGGAGGGTAAAATATAAAAATTCAATGGAATAAATATAATTATATATGCTAAAATATATAAAAACAATAAACTAAATTTCAGTGGGCAAGTGCCCCGTTATAGATCCGCCTCTGTCCACGCCAATAATTCTTTAAAAAAATAAAAATAAAAACTTTAATATATCTCTTATAAGTATATAAATTTTATATGTGTTAACGATTTTATTTAGTAATATAAATATAAACGAGAGAAGTTGAACTTAATTCGTCTATAATTTATAATTAAAAAAAATACTTTTTTTTATAAATTCGAACTCAGCTAAACTTAAAGCAGTTTATAAATAGTTTGACTTATTTATGATTGTAATTTTAGTGGATCAAATTGCTCCTTTTCCTTCTCTTAGGATAAAATTTGAGGACCTAGAAAATTACAAGCAAGTCACGATCGGAAGGAAAAAGTGTACATGTTTTGTCATTTTCATGAAAAGCTCATGTGATTTGGGTTTGTCACCAAATTAACCCATATGGAAATATTCATCGTGATGATGTAAAAATACCATATGATTAAGAAATTAAAAATATATATTTTTTATATTTAATAGTATAAAAAAATAGGGTTTTCTACAACCAAGTAAATCTATCCAAAGAAGTATATGTTGTAATCATCTATTTTTGGCCCGTGAAGAACAATAAATAAATCCCCCCCCCCCAAGAAGACAAATAAATAAATCCCCCCCAAAAAAAAATCCCCCCCCCCCAAAAAAAAAAAAAAATTAGTTATTTTATTTTAATTCAAACACATTAAATAATGATTAGTACAATTTCATAGTTGTTAGATTGGAAAACCCAAACCAGAAGAAAGAAATAGGTGGCATTTGTTTTTTCATTTTAATTTCATATTGGCTAGGAATATTGCATGTGAGTGTCATTTCCAGTACAAATTAGTAAGTTTCTTCCATCTATTTTATGTTCATTGTTCTTTGAAGCTATTAATTCTTGTAACTTGCACCTTATTTTATTTCTTATTCCTTTCATTGCCTCAAAGGTTAAGAAAAATTATATGGTTGGATGCATAAATTCACTTTTGTAATTTTTATAAAAAATATTGTGGCACCTTTAATTTTTATTTTGACCTATTGAGCACTTTAACTTATAAAATTATATATATTAAATACTTTATTTGACCAATTAAATACCTCAACTTATACAATTAGATCGATTGTAGACTTGTTAGAAAATTTAAAAATGTAAAATTGTTGTTCGAAGTGGTAGTAACCACCTATGAAACCAACTGTTTGTATATAAAAGCTAAAAAATCTTAAAATTTACTTTTCTTAGTGTAAGAAAGTGTAGTAAAAAGTGAAATTTAGGGTTTCACAAGATTTTTTTTAATCAAAGTTTATGGGTTAAATGATGTATTTGGCCAAAATTATATACATATAATCTCGTTTGGCCAAAATCAACCACATAATCCTTGCGTTTATAAAAATAAATTATTATTGTCTTTTATAATTCGAAAGCAACTTTCTTTCAGAAAAGAAGTTATTTTGAATTATATGAGCACCTTTTGATATTATTCGGAAGCAGAATAAATTGATTTGAAATAATATTATAGACTTCACAGTAGAGAGTAATACCTCCTTTATAGAATATTCATTGAATTAGTGAAAATTTTTACCATAAAGAAAAATTGAATTTGGAACTTTTTACTTTAGATTTTTTTTTAATATATAAACTTTTTACCATAATGTCTCTGAATCTTCTTTGAAATGGGACCAAACAAGTTAATTTGTAAAATTTTAACTTTGTCATGCACAAAGTGGCTACCAAAACAGAATTACACAACCAGTAGTTTCATTATTGATATGGGCTTCAACATCAATTAGGCCCACTTTGGATGTTTTACGATCTAATGTCCAGGCCTGAATTACCGAAACATGAAACAATTCAAGTATCATTGTAGGCCCATTAATCATCAAATGGCCCAGATGATTGACATCCTTGCCCATTAAGTTTTTGGCATAAGTTAAATTTGTTTGGTGTACATTTGCAACGTTAGTATAATTAGATTTGTAATAATAATACTATCAGATGGTTAGATGAATAATATCATTTACGTGTGAATTTATAGATTTGAAATTTAAAATCACCATAAATTGTAAAAAAAAATATAAAAATAAAGAAAAAATTTAAATTAGAGGAAAAATAAAATAAATTTATAACAATGTTTTTATTGGAAATAAATAATTTAATTTTTCTCCAATATCTAAAAACAACAAAAAAAAATGTAAAAATCCAGTCATATAAGAAAAAAATTTTTTTTTTTTCAAAATTTTCTTTTTCCTCTCATTTTCCTTCAGCCCCTTTTCATTTTTCAGACAAGGTGTAAATATAAAGTTGTAGTAGTAAAATAGAACTTCAAAGAACTTCTTAATTCTGATTGATTAGCTACCAGGTTTTAGGGTTTTCTTTTTTTTTTTTTTTTAAATTTTCTAAAAATTTCCATTTTCTTAAAAATAAAAAATAAAAAAGCAACAGCAGAGGAGACAACGTACGTACTTCACCTTGTACAATAATAATAGTAACAGTTAACAGTTCATATTTAAGGCAAGCAACGGCTTTTCTTAGTTCCGAATTTCATAACCTTACCGATCATTAATTAGAATTATTCTATTAAAAAAAAAAAAAAAAAAAAAAAAAACAAAAACAACACCATCACCATGGAGCTCTAATTGTTTTTAAAAAAAAAAAAAAAAAAAAAACAACACCATCACCATGGAGCTCTATTGTTTTTTACAGATTTAATTAATTATTTCATGTAGATATTATTATGATTATGGTAATAATGTAATAATCCAAATTCAAATACATTTGTAATGCCCATCCCTTTCCAGCTCTTGCCTTTTGCTTTCCCTTTCTCTTTCCTTTGTCTCATCTTCTCCACAAAAGTGAAAAGAAAAATATATATATACCCCTCACAGACTAGTTACTGTTATTATATCATCATTATTTGTATATGGCACTGTACATCTTCAAACCCCAAAACTTAGGGTTTCATTTTTTCTATTATTTTTCTCTCTAAAACCTCAAGATTTGACTGTTCACATTCTGCCATTTCAAGGTACTGTGTTTGTGGTGTTATATTGATTTGTTTTTATTTTTTGTTTATTGGCTTATTATTATTATTATTATTATTATTATCGTTTTAAATCTGATGGTGTGTGATTCTCTGCTCAATTTTATCAATTGGTTGTTCAGTTTGATGGTTAGTTGTATACAGGTATTTTCCTTACCGAGTATGGTTTTTTAGGGTTTACTAGTTGCGTATTGGTTTTTTGACTTTAAAAGGATTTGCTTTTCTGGGTCGATTTTCATTTTTGTGTACGAGAATGTCTATGTAGATTTGATTTTTGGAGGGCTATAGTGATGGTATCTCCTTCAGGATTCTTTATGGTCGATAGTAGAAAGTAATGATTTTGGCTCATAGTGTATGTGTTGATGATGTAATTTAGTGTAGTGTCTCTTTTGCGTACAGGACCATGAAAAAACTGTTGAAACATAATTATACTTGTCTGTTCACAATATTCAATTTTTTTAAGTGGCCCTTTTGTATTTGTGGAATTTCTGTTTAGAATTTATTATGATTGATTTTGTATTATTACATTTTATTGAAAAGGTTCATCATTTGTGAAGTTTAGTTACCATTATTTATATGTCTGCATTATCTTGAAATCTATGGTTACTTTTCCAGTTGATCCTGACAGTTCGGTTTGATGAATGCGCTGAGGAACTTAAGACTGAAAGTCGATGCTGGCAGGAGCTTGGTTTCAGAAAATATCTAACTTGGTTGGGAACAGTCTAAGCATGTTTTGACATCTTAGAGGAGCTCGTGTGGTTGTATTAAACAATTGCTAGATGGAGTTTTGATAGCCTCCTAGGTGAGGTTGAAAAAACACAGGGTAGCTATTACCTTTTATTTTCTTCCTTTATTTTGTATGGTGATGCTTGGCTGCAGTTTTCAGATTTACTGATGCTATTTTATCTGACTTAGTACCCATCTTTGCGCTTGTGGAACTTGATTTTCCCTTAATATATCTAACTTGGCAAGGAGTCATCCTTTCGGTTGCCAAAAAAAAAAAAGGAAAAAAAAAGGCTAACCCAGAAAATAGCTAACACGGGTGCCCTTTGTTGTGTGGCCTCTGGGCCACATGTAGTAAACTCACCTACAGGGGGTGGGGGCTCTCTGAACAATCACGATGAGCCACATTGGCGGACAAACTCAAGTTTCTCACCTCCTCCACTAAGGATGTGGGATTGCAGGTTACATTCAGATGTTTTACCAAATGGATCTCATGGAGTTCACAGTTCATCGTTATCATCAAACAGCAGAGGAAGCAGAAGTTGGGTTGGGAGCGAAGGATTAACCAATCATCATCATTCTGTTTCTGACGGGGTGCTCTCTTACTCTGACAGCCTGCCTGATAATGTTCAGGAACCCCGGTGGACATCACCAATTCAAAAGTTTAATTTAGGCGAGGGTACTGCCTCAACTATAGGAGGTACCTTATCTCAATTGTTTTCCAATTATTAGAAGCTGAATGATCCAATTTATTGTATACCTGTTTACAATTTTTATTTGTAGTCTGTGCCAGGCACTATAAATTTTTGTTTGGTGCAGTTTGATCCCTGGTTCAATGGAATGTTAAAATCATAATGGATGGTGCTATCTGATTTAATTATTTTGAGAATTTAAAGCTTTGCTGCATTGCTCGGCTAAAGGGAGATTTTTCCATTATAATGTTTTTGGTTATCATTTTTAGTAACTGAACATAAATAATTGATCTTTTTTTTTCTTTTTCAAATGATTTCTGCATGCTGAAAGTATACAAGATGTTTGTTGTTTGTTGTCTTGGAAACTTTACTCTTCTTATTGTAGGCAGTGGGTTTTGGGGGGTGGGGGAGGGATTAGCCCTCGTTAGCTGCCGTTCACCATCCCTTCCTGTGAGGTTTCTGTTCTCTACTTTGTCTTGCATTTCAGATCCATTCTATGCCTCATCACATTAATTCGCATTTATGATTCCTGTTCTTAGCTTGCTATAGCACTCTTTACATCTGCTGCATGAGGAAAAGTCAAACAGAATATTATGCTTGTATTTCATTGTAGTTTGTCCATAGATTATGGCACAATTAATCTAATTAAGCTGTAGAAATTGTTTATTGCAGTTGTCTATACTCTATATATATATATAAAATTTCCCAATATTTCTATGTTCCAGATTTGCTATTTCTTTTAAATTGTTTAGTCTGTTTGGAATTAAAATTTGCATCTTATTGCTTCCTTTTTTATTCTCTTTTATTTATGTCCATTTTCCTTGAATATGTATTAATTCTGCTAAACATCAAGAATATCGCTTTTTTTTTTTAGGGTGTATCCATGACCAGTTCCTGAAGGTATCTATATGATATTTTGGGGGCTATGCAATGTTGAGTTCGATCACCATTAAGAGATCTTTCAATGAAGTTCTTGCTTTTATACTGCCATAAAGATTTCTATGATTGCCTTGTGGTCATTGATAGAAATGGTGCCAGTATAGAAACGCCTGTGACCCAAGATATTCATTAGGTAGCTAGTGCATTGGATGCCATTAAATGATACCAATGTCAGGAATTTCGTAGACTTGTATTTTAGCATGTTGTTCAGAAAATTGCAAGATACTATGAATCTTGAAGAGGCATCCTGGTAACTGCATAATAAGACATTTACAATATGTCCGGATCCATCTAAGCAACAGTTTTTATCTGCATGGCTTCTTTTCAGGCTAGTTAGTAGTAACTGAATAATAATTATTTCTTTAACTTAATTATAGAAAAATTAATTGTAGTTCTTGGCTTCCGACAAATTGTACCATTACAAGATGTACCAAGTTCATACTTTATCCTTGTTCCCATTCCCTTGTCATGTTATTTTCAAACTGGGACTTCCTTTTTGAATGACAATATACGTGAATATGGTTATTCTGGCTTTTAATTCGGTAGGCATGGTTGGCCTGTTAGCTTTCTCTTATACTTCATTTAAGAATAATTGCCTTCGGAATGATAAACAATTATTAGGAAAGTAAGAACATGCCGAGTACGATTTAGGATCAGAACTCAAATAGATTCCCTTGCATATGTGCCTGCCCCTGCTTGTGTCTCTTTGTGCATTCATGAAAAGCTGCTGCTTTTCATTTGTTATGTTGCTGAATCCTGCAGTGTTATGTTTTAATGGTCTTTTGCTAAGCATCTGATGAACTTAAACTTGTGTTCTCAATGGCCAGGATCAAGATCTCAGACGTCTTGGTTTCCTTGCTCCGCTGAGGTGAATTTGGTTTCAATGCTTTTTGGTTGGATTCCTGTCAAAACTAATAATTTAAATAAATAAATAAATCCCATCAGCTAACATTTTTCCTTTCCTGGTGTTTGATGCTTTAGAGGCGATTTGCTGTTAGAGCAACTGGTAGATCCCCCAGTTTTGGGTCCCCATCCTCACTTTCTGAGTCCAGCCATTGGGAATCGACTAGTAAAAGGCCCTGTGCTTTCTCCAATCGTAACTTTGCAAGCAGACGATCTTACATGTCAAAAACTGTTTACCCTCTAGTATTCCGCAACCCTGTTTCAGATTGTGAAACCTATGTTGAAGCTGATATCAGCAATATTGGTAGGTTGACACCGAGTGAGGATCTGATATCACCATCTCTTTGGCCCGATAATAGTTCAAGTGTTGAGTACAAGTTCCATAAAACCCTTACTGAACTTCAAAAGTTGGAGACATCACCAGACCTGAGTGTGAGCTTGAGAAGAGAGGGATTTAGGTGGAGCAGTGCAAGCAGTTATGATCTGGGGCTTGATGGCGACAGGTTTGATGTGACAGAGCACATGGATGTGGAGAGTCTGAGATCACTTAGCTGTGCGGCGCCGGATCAGAAATGTGGAGTTTGTGCAAAGCTTTTGTGGCAGAAGTCTCCCTGGAGTTCTCATCGAATCATGAGAGGTGGTGACATGCCTACTGCTGGAGTACTACCCTGCAGCCATGTGTTCCATGCTGAATGCTTAGAACAAGTGACTCCAAAGACCCAAATTCATGATCCTCCTTGTCCCTTGTGCTTGAAAACAATTGGAGCAGTTGAAGAATCTTCATCAGTGTCAGAGCCCTTGCAGGTGGCCCTAAGATCCATACGGAGAAGTAGAGGCATAGTATTATCTGAGACCCAGGGGAGTCGCAGTAATACTGAAGCCTCTACTCACATCAAAGACAGCCCGAGGAAAAACTGGCTTGGGGCAGTGCCACGGCGGAATGATATACGTTCTTCCTTAGCGAATCGCCTTAAAAGGCATTTCACATTTAGGGGTAAAGCAAGTAAAGATATTTTCAGTTCTAAGATGTTCCAAAAAATGGGTTTGTCATCTGGGCAGGAACCAGTTCGACGCCAAATGTCTATGCAGTAGTCTCGTGTATGTATCCTCTTCCGAGGAGATTTAATATTTTAGTTCTTTGGTGAACCTTTCTCTTCAGTATATTTTCTGAACTTGGGTTCACTGTTTTGGAATATGATTAAGAACCCATGGGTATGTAACTTATTCCATTAATTAAGTTGTGGCACATCTTGATTCTGCGCTATATCTGATATTTTATACAGAAATTGAAAAAGACAAGCGATGGCCATCTCTTCTTTTGCATATTTAGATTATTAAGAGGTATTACAGGCATTTGATGTTCACAGGATAATTTTGGAAGTCCCAAGCCTCAGAATTTGTAGTATTATTCACTGATTTGGCCAGTTGAAAACTTTAGAAATTGTTTTTAGCTCCAGGGCATGTCAGTTTCAGTTCATGCAAGCACCAGTAGGTGCTTGATTTTGCATTATGCATGCACATGCTGTCCCCTTTGAAAGTAGAAGCATGCTGACTTAAACACCTAGATAGAGACTAATTCCAGGAGTCTACAGGAAGCCCAAGTGGGGTTCTCCATAATTCTGCCAGGGAAGGGAAGTACCTTTATAGCTTCATGTGGCTTATAGTTGTCCTTGGCAGGAAATCTTTGATTCTTTATGAAGCGTGTGAAACCCTTTGTTTTGGATAAATTATAGGTCTCAACTACCAACCAAGGTATGTTCAACTTCAAGTAGGTCCACTGACTTTACTTTTCAATTGATACTGTTCTGCAATCCTGAACGAGTGGCCATGTGATCCCATGTGCAGTTTTGGAATATAAATCCTAACTAACCTCAGTTTCTATTTGTTTAACATGCTTTGATATTATATGATATGATATGATAGTTTTCAAGACGTGTCATCTCTTGTGGGGGTTCTTCATTGTAGCCAATTGAAGCTTCCAATGTCTAACATACTTAATAGTTTTTCTTACCTAATGCCAGTTAGTTATCCCTACATAAAGTTTGGACCTCTTATGTGCAGAAAGTGACGCAAAAAATTAACCTTTTCATTTGGTCTAGCTTATCCACATTAGACAACGCATTGTAATTTTCTTGGACGGTTATTAGTCTGCCAAATAGAAAGCAAGGAACATGCATTAGGTGAAAGAAACGTTTTGTCATTATTCTTCGATAAATGGATGATTGTTTGTATGTTAATTGGTTTGTTCTTTGCTAAAACATCTTTCATGTTTGAAATGGTTTGATAATATTCTACGTGAATTTTCATATGCCCATTTATAAATATGATACATAATTGAGTGAAACTTTGCAGCACTTGAAGAGAAACTGTGCAGATAATCTGCTGTGTTATGTCTATACCCTAGTCTACAATCTTTGTAATGATTAATTAATACTTCTTTTAATTGTTCACAAGTTCCTTTGAGCTGTAAAGATATAGTTCTTGATTTTTTTTTCCCTAAAAAAATAGAACTGCAGTATCGAAATTATGAAGATTGCTTGGGGTAAAACTAATCTGAAACACGATGAGAGAAAGATAATCAGAGATGCACCAATTTTCCCAGACACAGCTTGGTGATGGCAGACAATTTGAAGGTTAAATAATAATATAAATAACTATTCTGGATCATATTAAATATAATACAATCGTTAAACACAGATTTTAAGCAAATTGCAAATCTTGCCAAAAGCTATTCTGTGATTGTCTTCAAAGTGGCGGAGGGAGACTGTTTGTTTGAAGCCTAATTAACCTAATTATGCTGCGGTTGAAACCTAATTAACCTAATTATGCTGCGGTTGAAACCTAATTAACTGCCAATTCTTTCTCTCCATATGCTTAAACCTCTAATTGTCTTTGACGGATGTCGTTTTATGCTTTGTCGTTTCTGCAAACATCAAAGCAGCATCTCTTCCCATCCATACAAGATTAAAGATTCAAAGAACTTAGTCGGTGCAAATCTTTTTTTAACTTTACAGTATCCAATCATTTTTGTCAGAAATATTTCTTCTTAGTTATCTGAAACTTTTCCTACCACATATCATGCAAACCTATTGGAGCTTCCGTATAAGCATCTTAGGCTTCTTGAGAGGGAATATAGAATTAACAATGCAACAAGATAAAAAGGAAAAATAAAGTTTTACAAGTCTTTATTTCTCAAGCTTATGTTTTCTTTTTTTTTTTTTTTTTTTTTTTACCAAGTCTTTATTTCTCAAAGCCTTATGTTTTCTTTTTTTTTTTTTTTTTTTTATTAAATTTTTTACAATACAAGCTTTATCTGTTCTAATGTATTTTTTTTTTTTTTTTTTTTTTTTTAAATTTTTTTACAATCAAGCTATCTTTTTCTAATGTATTTTTTATTTGTTTTTAAAATGGCAGCAAAATTACCAGCTCCATAAAATACTAAGCATAGAAGAGGTGTCAGTTTTGCCTTTTTTTGTCCTATAACTTAATCCTTCATATATGGCCTATCTGGTTGGCAGCATTAGTTCATAATTGTTCTCCCCTGCTTTACACTCCTATAAATACAACTTCTTCCTACAAATTCCCTACCTTTCCCCATACAAATTGACTTCTGCCATTTCAAACTAATTTCTCATTGTAGCTTCTTGAAGCACAAACCCACCATCATATCTCTTGTGTTACCACTTACAATATTACAACAAAAAATCATAGTACCGAACTGTAAATTAAATGGACTTTCTTGGAATTTACCTGATAACCCTCCTAGCAATTTCCAGAAAGATTCATGGCTATGGAGGTGGATGGTCTAATGCTCATGCTACTTTCTATGGAGGTGGTGATGCTTCTGGTACAATGGGTAAGACTTGATAACTATAACTAAATAAATAAATGAACAGATACATTTATCCATATATATAGTTGTTGATTCAAGAATTGAATTCTTGATTTGCTGTAGGAGGAGCTTGCGGTTATGGAAATCTTTATAGCCAAGGCTATGGGACAAGCACAGCTGCTCTGAGCACTGCTCTATTCAACAATGGATTAACCTGCGGAGCATGTTTTGAAATTAAGTGTGTAAATGATGCAAGATGGTGCTTACCAGGTTCCATCATTGTCACAGCAACAAATTTTTGCCCTCCAAACAATGCTCTGCCAAGCGATGCAGGAGGCTGGTGTAATCCTCCTCTGCAACATTTTGATCTTTCTCAACCTGTTTTTCAACATATAGCTCATTATAAAGCAGGAATAATCCCGGTTCAATACAGAAGGCAAGACACTAAAATTTTCTCTAATGGTTTAATCTTTAGGGGGTAAATGATTAATTAAAATTTTCTTGTAAAATTAAAGCTCTCTACTTTGTTTGCAGGGTTGCATGTAGGAAAACTGGAGGGATAAGGTTCACTATAAACGGTCATTCGTACTTCAACCTTGTCTTAATAACCAATGTTGGTGGTGCTGGTGATGTTGTGTCTGTCTCTGTTAAAGGAACTAGAACTGGTTGGCAACCAATGTCTCGTAATTGGGGCCAAAATTGGCAGAGCAACTCTTACCTTAATGGTCAAGCACTATCTTTTAAGGTTACAATAAGTGATGGACATTCTATCATCTCCAACAATGTTGCTCCTCCTAATTGGGGTTTTGGCCAAACCTTTACAGGGACACAGTTCTAGCTTAGGTCTAACAAAACTGACCACATTCACTTCAGAGACATAATTAGAACTGATTCATCTGTATACTTCAAAATTAAAGTGTTAAAGTGTATGTAATTTAAAGACAACGGTGTCATAGCAATGGGCCCTTGTAGCCACGGCCTAAATGCTTTCTTTGTTTTTCTCTTCACACCCTATGAAAGGGTTAGTCGTGATCTGGTGTGAAATGGGTATCTGCCAAATCATTTTTCGGGTTTGGCGGACTAAATCCCATATGTCATTATAGCTGGTATTGTTTATTTCTGGTTTGACTTTCAGAATGTAACGAATAAATTGCTAGTGATGATGGTGAGGAAGTTCAGAGTAAACTCCAGGGCTTTTAGATGGGCAGCGTACCCATGGAATGATTTAACTTGAAGATGGCAATAAAGCATATTTCGCTGTTACCCCTATTTCATCTCCTTAATGGTATTGTAATCAACATTTCATAATCTTGTTTACAGAGAACTGGAGAAGTGTATTTGATAAAGAAAGAATGAAAACAAATTCAAAATTCAATATTACATGAAAAAAGAAAAAGGAAGCAACAGTATACACTGGTTAAGTTATATTCCATTTCAACTCATCCACAAAGCCTAAAAAGACACTGGCTTTAAACTTGAAACTTGAATCTTGAGCACAATGTTGGCCTACTCTCTCCCTCATGAAGCGTTCTTCACCATGTTTGACCTGCAAATTACAATTTATATAAAGAAATCAACTTATCTAATAAAAAATCACAAACATATATAACTTTTTATTTTGGTGGTTAGCCCGCGTCGCCATCACCGCCCAATCGCTATAACGAAGTTGGGCTCTGACCGCAGGCAGTCTTCATCGCAGCATCGGATCTTCGATTGGACCAAAAGCAAATCCCTCTCCCCCCTCTATCCGTTGCATTAGCCGCCGTCATCCATTGAAAATGGAAGGGTGGCTCAGGAAAGAGTACGGAGAGAGATTCTTGGCCTCAAAGGGAGACTCCTCTGTCAGCTCAGATAAGATCAAGTAACGATTTTTTTCCGGCTTAGGGTTTTTCCTTGTTATAGTAGTTCCCTTAGTTTTTGATCTCTGATTTGCCCCTCAATATCCCGCTGCTATCTGTTCTGTTTTGGCGTATATTATAAGGGTATCTATGACAAGTAGAATTAGAGACTATTAGGGCGTGTTTGGTTAGAAGAAAATGAAGGTAATTATTTTCCCCTTCTTTTTAATTATTTTGCTAATTATAAAATTTTAAAAAATATATAGTAAAAGAAAAGTTAAGCTGAAATTCATTTTGTATGAATGTAATTACTTGATTTAATCAATTTTTAATTTTTATTTTAACTTGAGCTCTTCACTTCACATGGCATATATGCGTGACATGTATCATCCTGTTTCTATTCGAGGATAGATTGGTTAAATGCTTCTTAATTCCTTTCAAGTCCATTTCTTACCATATACTTTTTTTTTTTTTTTTTTTTTTTATTTCTACCATATACTTTTTTTTTTTTTTTTTTTTGTATTTTGTTTTTTTTTTTTTTTTTTTTTTTGTATTTGGAAAAATGCAAATTTAGATTCTATGATTGCAAAATTTGTACCTGCCATTTCTGAAAAATATCTGAATGAACCAAGAGAGTCAAAATCTCATACATATAAAATTAGAGGTTCTCCAGGAGAAATACCATCCAATGGGACAGGCATTGGCATAGTTGTGCAAGAAAAGCAAATTGCATACAACTAAAAGAGAAAAAAAAAACCTCAAATAGAAAAATAACAATTTGGTATTAATTTAGTTAAAATAATAATATACAACTGTACAAATGATTGGTAATAAAATCATTGATCTATAAAAAGTTGAAATTAAAAATAAAAAGTTGAATAGTTTTAGAAATAAAAGGGAGAGGACACCATCTTCTCTCTACCAATTAACCTCATTATTTTCCAGGAGGCAGCAAACCCGAGAAGACAAACATCAAAGAAACCAACCACATCCTCTATCCACAAGGTACATGTTGTCAATTTGTTACTACCAAGGAATGGTTTCTGTTTTGTACTTTCTGTTAATTGTTTTTTTTTTTTTTCCTTGATGTTCTTGTTTCTTCAAGATTGTAGCAATTCTTTGTAGGGTGTAACTGTTCCTTTTCTTTTTTTTTTCTTTTCAAAAAATTCAGAAAGTACAAAACTTGAATTTGTCTTTTTGCTAAGTAAAGGAAGTCCATATTTTTTTAGGCTTTCTGGGTTGATTTTAATGTTTTCATATAATTAGGTTATTCAATTTATTCTGTTCTTTACCTGCAGAAAAGAATTAAAAGTAAAAAACTTTCTGTCTGGTCATGCGGATCAGGAACATGAAAGAATTGTAAATTGCTTCATTTTCCATTTATTCTGGGAATTACATATGCACATTTAAGAGGGTATGTATGTATAAACCATCTTTGCCATTTGATGCCTCTGTTATTTTCACCATTAGAAGGTGATGGATCAGTTATTTAGATTTATATTTTTCCTTCAAGAATCATGAAATCAACTTTCTTGGGTGGGCAAATCTTATTTTGCATTCTTTCACGCCAAAATAGCCTTAGCAAATATAAACAAGTGATCATGGTTACAATTCTGGGTTTGGATATTTACAAGAATTTGTTCGAGTTGGTTTTTTCTGTTTCTCATCATAATATTATATAAGTATAAAATGTCGGTCCTTTAGTATATATATATATATATATATATAGATGTAGGTCCTTTGTTTTGGTTTCTTTTTTCAATTTAATTAGTTAAGAATCCTGGGTTTGGACATTTATAAAGAATTTAGATTGAGTATATTTTTGTTTATCTTTCATGTATATATGTATATAGTTAGGTTCTGGTTTGATTAATTGTTGAATTTGAATTAGGCTGTCTCATAGAGAAAGGGGGATGGGGGATGCAATGGTGGATCAACAATACTGGTGTCACATGTGCTCTAGGACGGTGACACCAGTTATGGAAGCTGATATTAAATGCCCATTTTGTGAAAGTGGGTTTGTAGAAGAAATGGACACCACAAGAGAAAATAATACTACTAGTACTACTAATAATGATAATAGTGGTATTGATTTTGGATCAGAACGTGCCTTCTCTCTATGGGCACCAATCTTGCTTGGTTTAATGGGTGGTTTAGGCTCTTCTAGAGCCCGCATTGCAGCTGCTGCTACTGCTCAACAACAGAATAGTAGCAGCAGCAGCAGCAGTAGCAACGGAAATGCACAGGAAGAAAATGGTGAACTTGAGAGAGAATTTCGATCCTTATTTAGAAGGAGGAGAAGAAGAAGTTCAATTTTTCGTATGCTTCAAGATCTTCGTTCGGGTTCAAATAATTCTGAAAATAATGGGGAGATTAATACTATTAACACTAACAATAATAATAACAATAATAGTAATATTAATAATAATAGTTTGATTTTTGTTAATCCTTTCAATGAGGCAGCATTAGTTCTGCAAGGCCCTTTTGATGTAAACCAACCTGAAAACCCTATTCGAAGTATGGCAAGTTCTTTAGGGGACTACCTTATTGGACCTGGTTTGGATTTATTGCTACAGCATTTAGCAGAAAATGATCCTAATCGTTATGGAACACCTCCAGCACAGAAAGAAGCCGTTCAAGCAATGCCAATTGTTGCTGTTGAGCAGAGTTTGCAATGTGCAGTGTGCGTAGAGGAGTTTGAGATTGGAGAAGAAGCCCGGGAAATGCCATGTAAACATAAATTTCATGGTGGGTGTATTATTCCATGGCTGGAGCTTCATAGTTCTTGCCCAGTTTGCAGGTACCAAATGCCCTGTGATGAATCCAAGATTCAGGAAAGTGGCTCGAGGAGCGATGGAGGGAGAATGGAGAACAATGAGGCCAGGATGGGCAATGGTGTAGGAGACGGAGAACAAGTAGGCAATGGAAGAAGGTATTGGGTTCCTGTCCCATGGCCTTTTGAAGGGATGTTTTCTTTGTCACCAACCCAAAATGGGGCAAGTTCTACTTCAGCATCCTCTCCAGCAAACATGCCAGGAAATCATCTTTCTTCTCACACAGATGAAACTTGAAGATAAATACTTGTATGTATAAAAATGTACTGCTTTTTTATGTGGTCATGGTTTTGTATAGTTCTTATAAGGAATTTGCCTATTATATGTATCCTATGAGCAATTTCATGGTGTTTAAAGAATTAATACAATTTTACTGGTTTTCTTTACTTGATGGCTCTGAATTATAATTCAATTAATCAAGAAATAGGAATTGATGAATTATCTGGCTTTAATTGGGGCTGAAAGAAAATATTTTTGCTCCATTACAAGATTCAAGCAGTTTAAAATGTGTTAGCTAAGAGGAAAACTATTTTCATATATTAAACGCTTACACAAGTTATAAAAATGCAACAGAATTATGAAATAGTAAAGATTGCATTTAAAATTAATTTTAAATTGGAACTCCCTCACAAAGTACATAAAAAAATGTCTAGTATTAAATGCTTACAAATGTTCTAAAGGGAAACTAGCAAAATTAAATGCAGCAAAATCTAGAGCACTTTTGCCTCTTAACTTGTTTAGGGTATTTATCTATCACTGCACGAACAGGATTTTGATCACAGCAGCTGTGTCAATCTTATGCAATGCAACAATTGAATCACCTGGCCTGCAAAGTCCCTTCTCTTTAGCATATTGTAGTGCATGAACAATTGTTTCTTCTGTTGATTCACTATGAGAAGCTTTTATTGAGCCTGAACTCAGAACAGGAACCAGACCCCTGTAAATAAGGCTGTGCCTAGCTGGAGCTTCATCACTGCATGACCACTCAAAAGAATCTGTTTTAACCTCAGGAACAACAACAGACAAGATCGGTATGCTTGGTCGGTACTTAGACACCAGCTTTGCTGTGTTTCCACCTCTAGTTAGGACTAGAATAAAAGCTGCTTTCACACTATTTGCTGTCCTTACTGCTGAAGAAGCCAAACTCTCTAATGGACTCATAGGCATAGGAGCATTTTCCATAACTCTCTTGAAAAGATCTCCATAGTTTATGAAGTTCTCAGCCTCGACACATATTCTTGCCATTGTCTGAACAGCTTGTTCAGGGTAGGCTCCTGCAGCAGTCTCTCCACTAAGCATCACACAGTCAGTACCATCAAGAACTGCATTTGCAACGTCCGTTGCTTCAGCTCGTGTAGGCCTTGGAGACTTGATCATGGACTCTAACATCTGAGTTGCAGTTACTACAGGCTTTCCTTTTATGTTAGCCTTGTGAATCATCACCTTCTGAGCTAAGAATATCTTCTCAATTGGAATCTCCATTCCAAGATCGCCGCGTGCTACCATAAATGCATCCGAATTTGCAATAATATCATCCAAATTAGCTACTCCTTCTTGATTTTCAACCTGCCAAAACATAAACACAAGTAAACATCAGTTTAATGCTTTTTTTTTCAGGAACTTACACAATAAATTGTAATGTTACTAGACACAAAATCACAGTTAGGATTAGGTTTTAACTTGCCTTCGACATGAGAAGAATGTTCTTTGCATGCTCTCCTAGCAGCTTTCTAACCTCTACCAAGTCTGAACCTTTCCGAACAAAAGATAGAGCAATCATGTCAATCTTGTTGGGAATTCCCCATTGTAGGATGTCCTCTTTGTCCTTTTCTGTTAATGTTGGAAGATCAACAATTACTCCTGGAAGATTGACATTCTTCCTCTCACCCAAAACTGCAGAATTTTCACAGCAGCAACAAACCAGGCCATTTTCAATATCACAAGCCAACACTCTTAGTGAAATTGTGCCATCAGAACACAAAATAGTACTTCCTGGCATGACATCTTCAGCCAATTTTTTGTAACTCATACAGATCATATTCTCATCACCCTTCAAGCTATAGTCAGAGGAGATAACAATCTCTTGGCCCTGCTTCAGCTGTATAGGCTTCCCATCCTTCAAGAACCCAGTTCGAATTTCTGGTCCCTGCAATATTTTACAATTCAAATTAATAATGCAATATTTCATCATCAGTCTAGTTATCACTCTCATGTTGTGGCTAGAATTAATCAAAATATGACCCTCAATAATTCAATGCCTATCTATCCCGTCCCCATCTCCAATCAGAATAATTACAAAGAACTTTCAGGGATAACCATCAATTTTTTTATTCTTGGAAAAGTTTAAGAGCATTTATCAGGACATATAACAGGCAAAAGTATTGGAATAGAGAACAAGCACCTTCATATGCATTTCCATTCCCATTAGTCATCTTGCAAAAGGAATTAAGTTTATACCATGAATAATGCTTTGGAATTGGGTTGGCTTACTTTATAATAAAGTGTTCGATTAAACAGTCAAACTATTAATTTTTCAAAAATAAAGAAAGAAAAAAGAAACAGAACCAATGATTTGTCAATAATTAAAAAACAAAAACTTGAAATTCTTTTCTTTTCTTTTCTTTTTTTCTGTCATTAAAAGGAAAAATAACAACTTGATGTGAGAATCAAATATCATTAGTCTATTAAACTACATGCATCATAGATTTAACGTTACTAGTTGCAATACTTCTTCTTATCCAATGCAAATTTCATGTAAGGATCATAACATAAACAAGAAAAAGAGTTCTAAACCAATTGCAAAGAAAGAACAATAAAAAAATGTACCAGAAAAAAGATAGCCAAGAAAATCAAAGAGAGAGAGAAAGACACGATACCTTGGTGTCCAACATAACAGCACAGAGAATGCCAGTATTGTTCATGGCACTCCTGAGATTATCAATAGTTTCTTGATGATAAGCATGACTTCCATGAGAGAAGTTAAAGCGAGCAACATTCATGCCAGCCCTCAAAAGCCTCTCTAACATATCAACTGATCTTGATTGTGGCCCTAATGTACACACAATTTTTGTCTTTGGCCTCTTCTCTCCCCTCACCGCCATCAAACCGTGTCCTCCCAATACTTTCTCCATTATTATCAGAAAGAGCAATCAACAACGCCAAAAGAAGATAGAGCGAAGAAAGAAAGGCGTAAAGGTCTGTTCTTTCTAGCAATGCAAAGCTGAAAACGAAAAGGGTTTTTCAAGCAATACTTTTTGAGAAGGTTTTTGAGAGTCTATAAGGCTGGAATACTAAGACTATAGGGGTCAGGGGTTTATATAACAATGACTCTGTAAGGTTCGCAAGGCTTTTTGGATTACAGGCTGTTAGTGGCGGTAAAAGAAAACTTATGTGCGATTAATTATTTACTTGGGGAGAAAAAGAAAATATTAAATTTCAATTCTTTTTCCCGAGGGAACTGTTTTCTTGGAAGGCAAACAAAGAGAAATATAAATTCGGCTATTTTTTAGCCAATATAATTAATGTCATGGGTTGTAGATTTTTAATTTAGTACTATATTGGACTTTTTAGTTAGTGATTCTTTTTCCTATTCCTATTCTAATTGAGTTTTTAATGCAATTGATTGGGGTCTTAATTTTAAATAAAGATATCATTTATGTTAGGTTTTTTGTGGATTTTTATTAATAAAATCTTGGGTCTCAAAAAAAAAAAAAAAAAAAAAAAATCTAGTACTAATTGGACCTCTTCTCTAGTTTTAGTGATTCTTATTTCCATTCTATCTCTTTATTCTAATTGATGTTTTACATGCAATTGATTGGACGGTCTTAATTTTAAATTAAACGATCATCATTTATGTACCCTAGGGTTTTTTTGTTGGATTTTTTAATTAATAACAATCTGCTGGGTCTCAGACACAAAAAAAAAAAAAAAAAAAAAAAAATAAAATTTGCATAATTGGCGTACGCACTCTGAGGTTAAATAGGCTTTCTATTGATTGACTATTAGAAACGGCATCAAGAATATATTGAATGCATCGATTAAGAATAATAAGCTAAGAGCATAGGCCGAAAGTCAGCGCTCTCAGGACAAAAAAAAAAAAAAAAAAAAAAAAGATAAAATTGCATAATTGCGTAGCCTCTTTGAGGTTAAATAGTTTTATTATGACTATTAGAAACGCAAAGAATATATTGAATGGCATCGATTAAGAATAATAAGCTAAAGAGCATAGGCCCGAAATCAGCTCTCAGGCTGTATCAGGTCAGGGATACCTCCACCAGCTTATGCGAATAAGACTAATTAGCAATATTTCCAAGTAGTACTCACACGCGGTGTAAACAATAAAAATCTACGTCACATGCTAGATGCAGCACAGTTTCGTACAAGCCAAGCACAGGCCACCGGCTTTCGATGTCATGGCTGATGTGCAAGTTGCTGAAGTTTATTTTCATTGTCTTCAGAAATTAGGAGTTTCCATTTTTTCTTAAAAATCTCTAATTTCTGATACTGGTGCATTTGATTTTGCTAAGCGTTTTGCGTCAAGGGTGGACGCGTGGATTTATCTGCTCATTGTTTGCTTGCTTACCATCATCCATATGGTCTGATGGCTATATGTAAAAAATATCCATTCATTACGAGGGTTCTCTACCTTAGTAAAGATAGGCGGTAGAGGTTATAGGGTAATAACATCCTCCGAATAATTGTAGTGATTCCAAATTTTAAACCCGGCTTTGCTAATAACATTTATTTGAAAATACAATTCATTTCCATTAATCTAACCGCTGCAGAAACACAATGAGAAAACATCATAATATTTAAGCCCTCGTTAACTTTCAAAGTGGCCTCGATGGGCTAACTTGGACCATCCATTGTCAATCAAATGTAACAACCTCAGTTTAATCTTTGAAAATTCTCATATTTTCCAAGCTCAGATACTGCCTGTATAGTGTAAGTTTTGGTTTTTATTGTTAAGAACTATAAAAGAGGATTCCCCATTATGTAGCTTGTGGTCATTTGGGCTCCTAATTTAAAAAAGAAAAAAAGAAAAAGAACCTGGACCATCTGCCATAATCAATAAGAAGCTTTATCACAACAAAATATTTCTATAAAATCTTAAACTGCAAATTGTTTGAGAGGAGAAAGGGATCGGCAAAGCTTAAATGCGTTTAAGTGAAGCAGAATAAAAGTTTCAATAATTGAGGTCCACTTAGTGGCATGTGGAGCTCATACCATGAATCTCCAACTCTAGGCAACGATTTATGCACAAGCAATATGAAATCAAGCACATATTCCATGCCTCCTGGAATTCAAAACCATTATATAATGACTAAAGGTATTTGGTGTCGAAAAATGATCGAACCCCCATTAATTTTCTTGTGAGAGTTCTTAACAATACATGTATTACAACTCGGTGAAGAAAAATATCAGATGAGTTCCTTGGCCGCATGTAAGAATAAGCTGAATTGAAAAAATATGTCAGAGACAGTCAAAGGCCCTGGAGCATTTGCATATTGATATCGATAGCCTACAACTCATCATGGCCATCTGGTTGTTCTTCATGCATAGCTTCTAATTTATGTTTGAATTCCTGTCATATCCGATATATTCATTTTCAGCAAGAGAATAAATTTTAAAGGACATGATATTGGCTGCTGATTGAATCAACAAGTACCTCAAGTCTTTCTTTCAGACAAACGACAGATGTTGTCATCACAGCTTTATACCTGCCACGAGCAAGAGTGCAGTGAGATACCTGAATTTTATACATGCGTGTGTATTTGCATAGAAGGATTTAAGGTGAAGAAGAGTATAAGCAGAGCATATATACTCGCAGCGGCTTGGCTCATCCACTTCAGTCAGCTCTGTTTTCAGTCCACACCTAAGTTTGACCTGTTAAAATTCCAGGAAAATATTTTAGAATCATTAAAAAAGTTGCTGCAAATAGTATGTCCCATTCAAATGATAAGCAATCTTTTCAGTTAATTTAAAAGAGTAGACACTCAAGACATCACTATCAACACATTCCAACAACAGAAACAAACAAAATTTCTGGTTAACCATGTCCTGTATTTATGTTAAACTGAACTTATTGTAGCTGAAACATGTATTACAGGGATTCAGACATCAAAGAGAATTTGCACTTAAAATGACACTTAAACTGGAAAAAAGACTTTGAACATCCTCTACATTCATCATGGCTCCATAATTGACATATATAAGAGTTCAAGAAAATCTTCAGATCCCCAATACCTTCAAACTCCTATCAGGTCCATTCCAGCATCTCTCACCATTTGAAAACAGCATAGTGTGATATGAGTTTTCAAATTTCTGCCACTCCCTACACGCAGGAGAGCAGAAAAAGGTAAAAATTTTGATCCCATAGAACAAATACATTAACACCAGCATAAGCAAAGTTTTGGAACTGAACTGCTGGTATTAGGTTCAAAAATTCATGCAAAAAATTTTGCACCACTCTAACATGTGTGTGCATTAAGAGTTCTTAGATTGAGGGTCAAGTTCCGGAGCCTGAGGCTGAGAGGCTCATTACCTTACCTTAAAGCATTTGGCTACTGTCAAACATAGTCCATTCCTGGGAAGACACCCTTCATCTTGAGCAGGCACCAAATAGATTAGCTATATAGTTAATTCATCTAAAAAGAAAGTTTATCACCTCGTTTTCTTGTTAAATTCAATGGTCTGTTTATTTTCTTTCCTTGTGATGTCACATTGATGTGCTTTATTGAATTGCCAAGTAATAGTTATAAAAGAGTTACGCTTATAGGCTTGTCCTTAATGGAAAGCCAATCATCCACTCTTTTAAACTGAAATGAAGTTGTTTCTCATTTAATGTTACATTTAACTCTTATGAAATTATCCTGTACTTCCATTGTCTTCTCACAATATCATTTGTTTCTTTTCCTTTCTTTCACTAATTTTTAAACTAACATCAACATCTCATGGGTATATCAATGTTTTAAGTCTCTATATAAATGTTAGTGCAGATATATGTTTTTAAAAGTTTAATTTTATTGGCGTGGCCAAAACCATGGTACCTCCTATATCGAGAACTTCAATTCAGAAGCATTGCCATCAAGGACAAGCCGGGATTTCAAGTGACAGTTCAAAAAGAGGAAAAACAGAACTAGCGGGATAAGATAGAAGTACTGTTTATATCAGTCATAAAGGGCCATAAGATGTCAGAAAACGAACCCTAGTTGGGTTGTACGGTAGCCCTCCTCCTGAGATGCTTCTTTAAATGGGCAAACTTTATACACATACCTGAAACGAGGAACAACCAAGCCACAAGCAAAACCATTGAGAATTAAGAAAGTTAGATGTGCATATTCCTCTACTGGCATATTCAAAAACATCTAAACCAAGGAAAAAAAATGGCAGGAGTGAGGTGGGGGGAAGAGGGAATTATTACTTGTCCTGTTTGATCTCAAAGCATTGATCATAGAACAAATAGAATTCCTTCTGTGTACCTGGAATCCAACAATAGATTTGAGCACGCAAAAGCAAAGTACCAATCACATACTAGTGAAAAAAATTCTTAACTACTTAATTCATAGTCATTCCTTCTGTGAATTACCAAAGTCATGTTTTAACTTTTCTGTCAAACTTGATATCCTTGCCTCTACGTCAGACAACCTTGTAGTGGCATCATCATACTCCTTCTGAACATGATCTGCGTCTACAAAAGCAAAAACACAAGAAGAATGTATTTTCATGCACCTAACGTAGTCAAAAGCTAGCATATACGAGCTAAATCTTACCTAGTTTATCTACAGAAGGTGGAGAAAACTTAACCAATTGAAATATATTTCGTACGGTATCCTTTATCTTTCTGAACCATGATGAGGTGCTCAAAGTGGTCATCTCTGTAAACATAAAGAAAGAGAACAGAACTGAGAATTTAAGGCAAGATATTTAAAGATCCAGGATATTTTAGCAGAGAGAAGGAAAGACAACTAATACAAGTTAACAAAAAATTGCAACCAGATAAATCTTTTTGCTCTTCTAAGTGAGACTTATGCAAGGAATTGGAACCATATGATTTCTTGTCATTATGGTTATCATATATTCCATCGTTAGTACTCTCTAGAGTCTCACTGCTGCCTCCCTGGTTAGTTTTAGCAGTACCAACTTCATCTGCCAGGTGTCCAGTTTTTTCACCAGTCCAACGTGAAGCAACAAGGCGACCCAGCTCTTCTTTTGACAACCCCTCAGTACTTTCAGATCCATCCTTCGGCAATCCCTCAACATTTTCATGTTCATCTTTCTCAATCTGAAATAACAAAAGCTGTTCAGAGTGAAGCTGAAGCCCCAATTTGTTATCAAGTAAGAATAAGTATAACTAAAACTACTTTAAAGTGAAGATTTATCTGAGATACCAATCTTGCCATCACCCGAACTTAAACTTTCCTTCTGGTCATCTTTATCCTCAGAAAGTAGTTTCATCTTGTCTTCTTTTTCTTTCTCCAAGCATTCTGTTTCCTTCAGTTTCTCAATTTGCAACTTTTGAACTATGAAAAAGGCCAATAAAATGTCATCAAACAGGAAAAACTCTTTCATTTAAGCATCAGAGATAAGGAAGAAAATTTCATTTCTTTAAGAGATAATTGAATTACCATTATGCATTTCACTTCAATTTGGTTAACTATCGATTTTGTAAATGGAAAATTGCAACCGAATCAATTGATAGGTTATCCAATTTGTTCAAATTGAATTTTCAGTTATTTTGCCAGACCATTCACTAATGGAATTGGTGTATAAGATCAAAGAACATGAGGAAGGCTAGATGTGACAGACTGACTGACAGTAGAAGAAAGGAAAATGATTTGCAAGATTTCAACCTTCAACATGCGGAAAGAGCTTGGATGCTACCTTTGAGCTGTTTAAAAATCACTTCAAGAGTTTTCTTCTCATGTTTCAGCTTCGACAGTTCAGTTGTATCTTTGGTTAGTGCTTGTTTCGCTTGTTCAATTTCCTTTTTCCGTAAGGTGATACCTTGTTTATACATGTCAATCTTTTTCTGCAACTTGTCCCTGGTCACTTTGCCAGCCTTCCAGCATGTATTTGAACAATTCACTTTACCATCATATTCATCACTCCCATCACAGCAATCTGCTTTTACGTTACAAATGATCATTGAAAGGCCAAAAAAAAAAATGTTGAGTTTATCAAACAGGTAAATATTTCCAAAATATGCTCAAACATAAATTGCATTCACAAGATTTGTAGCATAAAAACAGCACAGCAAGGAAAAGGTAGCACATTTACCATTATTAAGAAAACTGCAGGTGCATGAACATTTATTAAATAAAGACGCAAAAAACGGATCAAAGATGAGAGGGATATGATTCTCGTTATATATGGAGCCTATGGAGGCATTAACTACATTGCTAACCACAAAATAAGTAAAATCTTCCCAGGACCAGAAGACATGGTTAATTAGTAATTATAGATGCTAATCACTGAAAAAAGATCTAATTTGTTTGCAATCATTAACTGGAACAACATGCTACGCACAACATGAAAACAGATTCACAAGTTATACAACAAACCATACCACATATGCCATCGTTCACCCTAGAGGAAGGTAAATAAGTAGGAGTATGTCCAACATTTAGACAGTAGAACTTTCCTTGTGGACATGCAGATGTTCCTGCATAAAAATTCAAATTATAAGCATCAACAAAGACTTCAACAGGAGTAAAGAACTGGCACATAATGTAAAACTGATATTCCCGGACAGCCTGCAAACTTCTTCTAATCTACAGAACAACAGTCAACAGAAATGAACAAGCAATGATAAGCAAGCGTCAAATTTCTTACAGAAGTTCATAAGAATTTCATTTGTCATATCTCCTTATTAATAGCTAATCAGCATGTTATTTTATTTTATTTTATTTTTTTAAAAAAAGAAGGGCTGAATTGAACTCAACTAAACAGATATATTCAGGTGTCAGCATGTAACTTATGAAAAGCCCAGCCAAGGCCGAGATTAATAATGTCTATTCATAACCTGAGAGTAAAGACAACTCTCCTGCCTTTCACCTTCGCGCTTACCAGCTACCTATCGTCATCGCACCCACGAAGATAAGGAAGACAAATTCATTATCTCTTATAAGAGACTAATTTGACATATTACCACCTGCTATGGCATACGTCACCTTCAAATATTGGCTGTCATATCACCTCGGAAAAGAGACTCTAAGTACTTATACTCGTATTTCTGTAGCAATGACTGAAAATTGCCAAACGCAACGCAATCAACAATCCCGCCCGATCAGCTGAGCATATCAATTGACATCCCTGATAGAGCATATCGTGACTGCTATGTAGAGTTTAAAGCTCCAACTTTGGACTTCAAAAGTTCAGCAAGCATCTTTCCCTATGATATACTTCGTTGTCCCATGGACTCCATTTCATCTATGGCGCCACCCGCCCAACACCCTACCTCCCACCCCCGCCCGCCTCGCATCACCCTCCCACAGCCACTCACCACAACGCCACCACCACGCACACCCTCCACAGCCATTGAGAGAACCCCTAGCCTACACACCCCGACGACGGCGACTAAATGATGGACAGACCGACATGACCTAAAACTGACGGAAAGCTAGCAAAACGAGGAAAAATGTGAGTTTGCAAGATATTCAACTTCCAAACATTGCGGAAAAGCGAGCTTGGATCGCTACCTTGAGCTGCTTTTAAAAACACTTCAGCAGTTTCTTCTCTCAATGTTTCAGCTTCGGACAGTTCAGTTGTATCTTTGGTTAGTGCTTTGTTTGCTTGTGCAATTTTCCTTTTCCGTACAGGGTGATAACCTTGTTCTATACATGTCCACCACTCTCCTCTTCTGCAATGTCCCTGGTCAACCTTAGCTTCCCAGATGTCATTTGAACAAACCTTCCACTTCACCGTCACTATTCCATCACTCCACCATCACAGCACACTCTGCTTTTTACCGTTACAGAATGATCATTTGCAAGGCCAACAAAAAAACCAAATGTTTGAGTTTACTAAAGCGCTACAATACTTCTACACAATCATGCTCAACCACACATAAATTGCATTCCACACAGAGTTTGTTAGCATAAAAAACGCACAGCAAGCGAACACGGGCCCTCAAGCACATTACCATTATTAGAAAACTGCAGGTCGCACTAATGAACATAATTAAACATTAAAACAGCAAAAAAAACAACCGGCGACTCGCGGATTGCACTTCTCGTTATATATTGGAGCTATGGACATTAATACCTCTCTCTCTCAACATCTCTCCCAGCGACCAGAAGACTGTTAATCTAGTAATTATAGATGCTAATCACTGCTCCATAATTTTGTTGCTAATCATTCAACCTGGAACTAACGACTGCTACTGCCGACAACACATGACAAACAGATCTCAACAAGCTTATCACACCACCATAACTCTCCTCTCGTTACTATCCCTTTAGAGCAGCCGTCTAAATACAAGCTAGGCCAGTATGTCCCAAACCATTTAGACAGTGTATAGAGACACTTTCCTTGGTTCGGACACCTGCAGAAGTCTGTTTCCTGCGCATTAATAAATTCAAATTATAAGCATCCGACATATCGACGTTAAACAGAGAGTAAAGAACTGGCACATAAATGTAAAACTGACTATTGCCCGGGACAGCCTGCAAAAACTTCTATCTAATCTTACAGAACAACAGTCAACAGCAAATGAAACAAGCAATGATTAGCAAGCGTCAATTTCTTACAAAAGTCATAAGAATTTCATTTGTCAACTATTTCTCCTTATTAATAGCTAATCAGCATTGTTATTTTATTTTATTTTTATTTATTTTTTTAAAAAAAAGAAGGCTGGAATTGAACTCACTAAACAGATATATTCAGGTGTCAGCATGTAAGTAGAGCTTCCCCCTATTCTAATGAATCATTAATGGATCAAAAACCCCATAGTACGTAAACAAGATAGCCACCAAAAACAAAACCAAGACAGAGTATATTCAGGTGTCATGCATGTTAAAAGTTAAGAAGCTCCCCTACTTCTAGAACTTTCTGCATTAATGGGAGGCAAATCCATAGTAGGTAACAAAGAGTGTACCAGAAACAAATAAACCCATAATTTTGGAAAAATTCAAGCTATAAATAGAAATAATGTTACCATTAAGATAAATAGAAGGACTAAAGGGAAAGGGTAAAGGGGCCTAGACCTGGCTCGTCAGTCCCATCAGACAATCACATACGAAAACTCATCATTCAATGAAGCCTCTAGTAAACTTCTTGATCCATATTTGCCGGTTTATTTTATCCCGTTGAAGTAATCCTCATCTCGGATTTGTTATAAAATCACACATTCTAATTTATAAATACTTCGAAAACAACCCAATTAAAAAAAAAAAAAATAGAATTATTTACGTGCAACATGCATTAACATGGAGACGAATGTGCAAAATTAAGAGGGATTACACTTGAGGGAGGGATGCCTGCGGAGGGACAAGCAGAAGGAGAAGAAAGATTCGATTTGGTAAAGAGGAAATCAAAGAGGAAAAACTTGCAATCAAAAGCGAAAGGCAAAGCCATCATTTACTTTTCATTTCGTAGGCTACTACACTATGTATGCAACTCATATATCTAAACCCAGAAAGCGGGTTAACAAGGAAACAGATATATTCAGGTGTCAGCATGTAAAAGTTAAGAGCTCCCTATTCTATGAACTTTCTGCATTAATGGAGCAAATCCATAGTAGTAACAAGGTAGTACCAAAAACAAATAAACCCATAATTGGAAAATTCAAGCAAAATAGAAATAATACAATAAATAGAAGGATAAAGGGAAAGGAAAGGGTAGACCTGGCTCGTCAGTCCCATCAGGACAATCACAGAAATCATCATTCAATTGAGCTCTAGTAAACTTCTTGGATCCATATTTGCGGTTTATTTTATCCGTTTTGAAGTAATCCTCATCTGGGATTTGTTATAAATCACAATTCTAATGTTATCAACTCAAAACAACCCAATTAAAAAAAAAAAAAAAGAATTATTACTCAACATGCATTAACATGGAGACGAATGTGCAAAATTTAAGGGTACCTTGAGGAGGGATGCCGCGGAGGGAAGCAGAAGGAGAAGAAGATGATTTGGTAAGAGAAATCAAAGAGAAAATGCCAATCAAAAGGGAAAGGCAAAGCACATTTATTTTCATTTCGGGTACTACATATGTATGCAACTCTATATCTAAAACCAGAAAGGTTACAAGAAAACTATAGAAGCAACCAATGAGTATATTTTAGATTTGTGTTAAATTTTCGGTTTCTGGAAGCTATATATTATCATACGAATAATCACGTTGAAGGAATCGAGAACAGAGTGCAGTGCTGGGAAGCAGAGCTCGGAGTTCTTGGCGTCGCGTGCTTCAGAACGACACCGTTGACACCGAGGATTCCATTGCAAATCTACCGGTTTGTCGTTTTCGCAACGGCTAAGATATGTTTTTGACTTAACGGTTTGTCGTTTTTATTACAATGAAAAGATAGTTTTTGAACACAATTTTCACAAACAAGACAAACTATTAAAACGAATCGAGAATTCCTTAAAATGTAAATACCAAATGGTATAAATGAGTTTTGTCATTTATTGAACAATTATTCATCACACATTTATTATTTAGTTTATTACATTTCCACTTCATGATTACATACTGTTCTTTTCACTTCATGATTATGTACTGTTCTTTTCAGTTCAAGAAATCTCTGATTGAGTTTGAAAAATGACTCGAAGTATCATAAATTATTCCAATATCATAAACTTAAAACTCATTAGTAAACTAAATACTGGTTTTTCCTTCTTTACACAATTTTGGACAGAGGTAAAGAGAAAGATAATTGCAAAATTTACATCGATAGTAACATAGAACTGAAACCTCACTTGTCCCAGTACCGAACTGTGGAACGCAGCATCTCAGCTATAAAATAGATATCACCACCAACAAAATTATGAAATGAACCAAAATTAATTAGCATATAGCATGCTACAAAGGCTTATAACGCCTCATCAAGCGAATATTGTGGTGAGCATATACAAAAGCAGGTGCCCTCCCTCTCTCTCCCTCCATCTGTGCACTTGCAACATTGCTTTATATGTGGAATTGTGCATCTCCTACAAAGTAGAGGAACTTCTGGAGCCATGCATCTTTTGATCTTTTGGAGGAGGAGGCAGCGAAGGGGATGAGACTGCTGCGTGGTAAGAAGATGATGCGAGTTGGGCTACCGCTGGAACAGCACCACCTGTAAATTACCAAGAGGCACCTGTAAGTCTATGTGCACGTGATTTTGCAATATAACAAAACAACAGATTGTGCAAGTCCATACATTATCATCTTTGCAATATAACAAAACAACAGATTGTGCAAGTCCATACATTATCATCTTAAATTTTGATAAAAGACTTAATAATATAATGAATCAAAGTCAACAAGTACTTTATCCGGCATTCTTCTAAGACCACCCTATGGTAAAAGTTTCACATGGATTACAAGAAAATGTGATCCTAGGGCCTTCGGTATTGGCACCACAATTTTTCCTCTATATGATGCATATCATTAATTATCACTTCTCCAAATAAATGAAAATGGCACAAATCACCCACATAGTAAGCAAACAGAAAACTAATAGAGAATGTTGCTGACCTACTAAACCTGCACAGGCTGAAGAGAAAACTATTACGGGTGGTGCCTGCATATGCACAAAGAGTTTTAGTGAGAAAAAAATGCACCAAGAATACAAATTATACAGTATATTAATACAAGACAAATTACACAAAGAGTTTGCTGAATGTTTTCGCCGAAGTCATCTATCAGCATACCCAGCCTTAAAGAAAGTCAGCAATGAATGGATAGAAATAACCAGATGAATAAGTATGCAAGATTCCAAAGAAGAAAGCCTCAAACAGGTCAACCCAAAGTATGGATACATCATCTTCTGAAACCTGAGATTCCAACTAAGACGTCTTGAATCTTAAATTTAAGTAGATGATGGGGGTTTTAGACACCGGATGTAATGCCAAAGCTTCAGGAAACCAGCAAAATTGCAAGGAAAGCATTATAATTCTGTGTGTCATGAGTCAATATGCAATAATACATGGTTCAACAGAAAACAAATATTTATCCCTGATTGCAGTCCCATGCTCCAGCCATACAATAATCAATTAGCCTTTAGAACATGTAATCATTCTGAGCTTTTAGAACATGCAAAATCATGAATAGACCATAAATATCAATAGCGAAAAACAATCAAAGGGACAGCCTGACACCCATTTGTTGAAGACTTTGGTGAAAAATCACATCCTTTTGTTCAACACAGAAGCATAGAAGCACCAAACCAGCACGCAAGAAGGACAGGATGGGGAGAGGACAAGAAGTAAAAAACCTATAAATGCATTTGGAAACTTACGCCAATAAGGAAATGCAGCCACATTGGCCCTTTCACCCACTTCCGAACAACTGGCATAACTGCATCAACCAACATAAACATCAGCAAAATGGAAAAAAAAAAATCTTCAATCTCAAAGTTAATGAATCAGAAGAATATTCTAAAACTCTGATATCCAAAGAGAAGAAAACAAAGCCTTGAATGCAAAATGCAGTGATGGTAGATAGCGAATGCATTTTGTAAGAGACTCACGTTCACCATTGCACACATGAGAGGTGAAGAACATACCAAAAGAACTCAATCTTTCTTGAGGTTTATGTTCCTGTATGCATATAATGAATGCAACTTTCATGTTCACATCCATTTCAGTCAAACAGAGTCATTTATTCATATTATAAATTTCAATTTTTTTCTATAGTAGGAAACTTAATAATAAATATTTTAAAAGAGAAAGAGAGAGATGAAAACAAAGGGGTGAAATAGCAAGCTAAAAAAAAAAAAAAAAGAAAAGCCATGTACATTCAACAAATTGAACAAAACAAGAAAATTTAACATTGAATAAAGAAATATAATCAAATAAATCAGCAACAGAGAAGAAAGGCTTAAAAAACTACCATGGTTGAATCCATAGAATGCACTTGTTGTACCACCAACAGCAGAGCCAATCTAAACCAAAACAACAACAGAGAACCAATCAAACACAATACAAAATTTCCCCACCGAAACTTTCTCAACGTTCAAAATATAAAATTTATAATTGAGAATTCAACAATGAATAGACATAAAACCATAATACCATGGAAAAGCTGTCCCTGATTAACGGTGCAACAGTCCATTCGCTAGTTTCCTGCAACCATAATTTAAGATTTAACAGAAATTCAAAATTTACAAAATCCGTTTATTATATATACATATACATACCATCTCCTTGGAAAGAGGGCCTGCACAGTGATGGCATCGCAGTTTACTTTGAAGCTTCGATTTCGAATCGGCCATACCTAAACAGAACTGCACACAATAAAAAACCCTGGAGTATAATGTTTGTGAAGCTCTTCACAGTTCTACTTGGCTTGATGAGCATTAAACCGACACCGTCTCGCTTGTCAAATCTTTATTGATCAAAGGATAAATACTAATTGGTCCCTTAAGATCGATCCTGATTCGTCACCCTTTTTGGGTAATTGTCCAAAAAGGATAGATTTATTGTGAAATTAAATTTGGTCCAAAATCTGATTTCCTTAAACTATTTAATTATTTGATTCGAAAAGTTATTCCATCTTTCACGACTGATATAATATTATTATTTAGGTTTATTTAAATGGGGTTATTTAAAAAAAAAAAAAAGAAGAAAGTAATCATGAAAAATAGTATTTTTCCTTATTTAGAAAAAAAAAAGGAAGTAATGTTTTACTTATTCTCCGCTTGAATTCACTTATTTTAAGTTTATCTGGTGAGAAAAAATAAAAATTTTACTGATTCTTATTAAATTATTTTGATATTTCAAAATAATTAGAATCACATTTTATTATTTAAAATAAAAATACATAATTGTAAATTTTCAACAATAAAATTTTCTTTTTTTAAAGAATTAACCTTTCTAAATAATGAAAAACAATTTTTTTTATTATATTCAAATACAAGGGTGAAAAACAATTATGGAAAACATTCCCATTTCTATAGTTTTTTTTTTTCATTATTTTTCTTCTTTTGTTTTCTAGAAAAATTCGATCTCTCGAATTTAGTATCTGTCTCGGTATTTAATCACAAAAATAGCATTTTTCTTAAAAAAAAAAGTAAGTTAAATATTTTAATATAGTTAAATTACAAGGACGAATTAATGTATTAGAAAAAAAAAAAGAAAGAGAATGAAATAATAATTACAGTTAATTTCGATCCCTTAATAAAAATACGTGGTGTTTAGGGAAATACGTACAAGTATGACGGTTTTTAAGAAATTAACCACGTGTCAAATTCAGATCTTGGTGCTAAGCTGCTAATAAATAATCTGAAAAATAGGAAATTGGTCTCCATTGGATTCAATTCAATTTACCGCACAATCACGACCCGTCTCTCTCTTTCTCTCGCTTATAACAGCTCAAATTCCGGAAATAAAATTCGCTTCTGCATTTTCAATTTTGGAGAAGGTTCGAATTAGAGGACAAGGAAATGGGAATTCCTTCAGAAACGAGGAATTATTGGGCACAAACAATCAGAAACAACAACATGAATAACCATAATACGAATTTTGTTATTCCCTCACCAGCTGAGGATCAGAGGATTTTGGAAGCTAGGCGTTGCACTCAAGGTAATTTCTTCTTCCATTTTTTTGGGTTTAATTTGATTTTTGTATCCTTTTCATGGATCAATTGAATATCTTACAATTTTACATTTTGACCTTTTGAGTTTTACTTTGAATTTTTGCAGAAGGTGTCCGTGCTGGAGCCAAGGCGGCTGCTGTGGCTTGTGTTGCCAGTACTGTTCCTACTGTATGTTTACTTTTTGTTAAAAGATCTTTGCTTTTCATATATTATCATCTGGGTTTGAGCATCGAATGAGTATTTTGATTTGGGTTTCAATAATTGGAAGGTCTTTTACTGGGAAAAGAAAAGCCAAAAAAACAAGCACTTGGTTCTGACAAGTGGATGTTTCCTAGTTCCCAGATTAAAAGTCGATGATCCTTCGTTTGATAACCATTTTGCTTCTTATAACGGAATAAGAGAAGATTTTATTGGATGGCCTGTTGCCAAGCTTATTGACTATTGAATGATTTCAGGATTGCTGCATTTTATCAATTGTTTTTGTCATTTTATTCCTTTTCTCTGAGCAGAATTGACAATATTATATTTATGCACGTTGGGAAATTGGATTTAACCATACATTTTATTAATAAGAGTTTGTTTATTTGGCATTGTTATTTGAGCTGCTATTGTGAAAAGTATCACACAGAGAGAGATGTGGAAAGTATTTAGCTTTAATATAGCTAACTAGTACTCTAAGATTTCTTTTCAACAACATATAAAATGATGATTTTCTTGAAAAACTATTTCAACCTCAATACCAAAAATACTCTAAATAAGTAGATGGAGCGCAATTTTGTTTGACTAGAGATCCCGCTGCTATTATGTTATTGACTTGATTTTGCCTTCATTGATACCTAGTAAACTTGTAGTCTTAGCAACTGTCATATAACTGGTCATCCATTGTTATAGCAAAAGCCTTTCAAAAGTGTGAATCTTGTTCTAATGTATTCTTTTTGAAACTTGAAATTTTATGAGGCTCGCTTATTCCCTTTAACTTTTGTGTTCTCAGTTGGTTGCCGTTCGTGTGATTCCTTGGGCAAAGGCTAATCTCAATTATACTGCTCAAGCGCTCATTATATCTGCCGGTATATTCCTTGGAACTTTGAAAATATTTAAACTAGTGTTGTCCATTTGAGACTTGGCAAACTAGTTCACTAGGATATATAACAGCCAAATGAAAACAGAACACAGAATGATAGGATTTGAAATTTGTATATAGTAGGATTATGTTAAAGTTTTGTTATTCCAGTCGAAAAGTCTCAAATTCTTCATTTTATAATCCATACGAAAACTTAGTATAAGGTTAAGCATGCATGAATTAGTTCATATAATATTGATATGTTGCCATTTTTTGCTTTTGGTACTTCACAGCTTCAATTGCTGCTTACTTCATCACAGCTGACAAGACTATATTGGAATGTGCAAGAAGAAATGCCCAGTATGACAAAACAATCAATGCTGTTAAATCTTAAGGCTGCAATTTTATGTTGCCATCGTGTATTATACCTGTTTGCTGTGTTGGAGTTGTGTTTCTACAAAGAGCCCCTTTGTAACCTTGGTGAGATAAAACATATTCACTGGAAAATGTGTTTTAGTTATGGGCCTCGGCTGTTTACCATTTTTATGCATTTTTTCTGGCAAATAAAATTTTCCAGTCAAGCTTTTGTTACAATTGTTCATGTGATCGGAATTCAGCAAAGAATATATTGCCATAGCAATTGCAGTTGTTCCATGGCTCTTCTTATATGTTGTATTTCATTTGAAGTAACATGTTCTAAAATAGTTTGAAGTTCATTATGTTTCATCTTTTAAAAATTAATATGTTTTTCATTCAAATCCAAATCCATAAATGTTTTGATAATCTAAAAATGGATTTTAGTCAAGTAAATAAATCGTTCATTTTCATGAATTAAAAAAAAATAAAAAATAAAAAGAAAACATACTTTTGCAACGACAGAACAGCAGAGGAAAAATTTTTCTGCATAGCGGAAACAAAATTTCCCGCATCCGGCAGCTGGAAAATTTTGTAACCGGGTAAGGTGGAAATGTTTTGCTGTAGATAAATAAAAGAAAAACGGGTTTTTATCCTATAAAACTCTACACCGACTTGTGGCGCTTCACTCCCCAACGACCATGGCCGCATCGATTTCAAACCCGACAAACCCATCTTCTCTCCCACTCGAAGAGAGGGTAGCTATAGTCACTGGCGCATCACGCGGTATTGGCAAAGCCATAGCAGTCCATTTGGCTTCACTGGGTGCAAAAATTGTCATCAATTATGCTTCCAACAAGGAGCAGGCAGACGTTGTAGCCAAACAGATCAATTCGTCTTGTTCCCAGAAAGATACCCCTAAAGCAATAACAGTTCAAGCCGATATCTCTGATCCAGCACATGCCAAGTCTTTGTTTGATGAGGCTGAGAGGGCTTTTGGGTCTCAAGTTCATGTCTTGGTCAATTCTGCTGGAGTTTTGGATCCTAAGTATCCTTCTATTGCTAACACTTCTTTGGAGGATTTTGACCGTACTTTTAGGTAAATTTTTTAACCTATTTGCAGAATTCTGTGCACTTTTTTGTGTTTGTTTTTGTTAATTTTTGTTTTAAAAAAAAATGGAAGGTGAATTTGATGAAATGGGAACTTTTTTTTAGGTCAGACAAAATTGAAGATTGTGTCAAATTCATTTCAATAGCCAAACACTTTTTTATTTAGCTAATGGATTGATGATTCTACAATTTATTGCATTTTGTTTGAATAATGGAACCAGGTGAAGTTCTCTTGTGTAGTAGTGTATCTATCAGTTCCTAAATTTAACTGTGTGCCATTGGAAGATGAGCAAAGAGTAAAAGAAGCTCAACTTCATACGTTGCTTTTGTTTCTTTAACTTGTACGATTCAACTATTTATAAGACCTCAGAGGAGTTTGATTTGTTAAACTTTTGAATTTTCCCTAATCCAGAATTACAGTCTAAAGCCATGTGACCCTTAGCTTTCTGGTGGCTTTACCCTAAGAAGATTTATTGAAATCATATTTTTAGAGCCAAGTGATTTAGAATTTTCGCCCCTAAAAGATTAGTCTCTTGTCATTTAGTTGAGTGATTTTTGTACTTTAATGATTATTAGGTGTCGAATGTTGGTTTTAGGAGCTCTTACGATCAAAGATGGACAATCTGCTTCCGTCCAATATAACTATGAAACCAACATTTTTCATTATAGTCTGGACAAATCTCTATCTACACTTCTCGTTTAAACTGCGACTTGATTTTTACTCGAACTCTAGTGATTCCCTCATTTTCAGTGTCAACACTAGAGGTGCATTCTTGTGCTGTAAAGAGGCAGCAAATCGGCTCAAAAGGGGTGGTGGAGGCCGAATAATATTGCTCTCATCATCTATGGTGGGTGGGTTGAGGCCAGGGTTTGGGGCATATGCAGCATCAAAAGCAGCAGTGGAGACAATGATAAAGATACTAGCAAAGGAACTAAAAGGAACTGGGATTACTGCAAATTGTGTTGCACCAGGTCCTGTTGCGACAGAGATGTATTTTGCCGGGAAGACTGAGGAACAAATTCGGAAGAACATAGAGGAGTCCCCACTGGGCCGGCTTGGCGAGACCAAGGACATTGCACCTGTCGTTGGATTCTTGGCTACTGATGCTGGTGAGTGGATTAATGGACAGGTTATTCGTGTCAATGGTGGTTATATCTAAAACTTGCATATCCAGCATGCGGATTACTGCAGAGTTTAAAATAAGCATCACAATATAGAATTCTGAAACTGAATATCTGTGCCTATTTTAGCATATTGTAGCTGAAAATCTAGGAAGCTATGAACAAGATAGAGATTGCTTACTACAAGCTATGGTTTCAAGACTTGCCAACTACATCTCTTGCAATAGTTGCTATTGTTTCTATTGGAAGACAAAAACTCAAATGTTGTTTGTGTTTAATGTATCTCATATGTGGAGAGCTAGTCAAGGTAAGTGCAGAGTCTAGGAAGATGAATTGATTATGAGTAGATGAATAGTTGTGAAAAATATATACTAAATATTTCAAGGCATTCATCCAAATTTATAACAGATATGGGCCTGCTAGTGCTAGTTATGGATCATTGGGTCTGAATCCTAATTGCAAAGGTTCTTTTTTATAGGCAAGTTAAGACTGAAGACTAAAGAGTCTTCCTCAAAACACAAAAGCCTGTCTTGGCTAAGTTTACAAGCCAGTGGGTCTTTTTCAGGCTACTAAATCTTCTTAAATTAAAAGCACACTGTAGGCTTAAAGGATGGATTCTTTTCAGGTAATTAGAACTTAGAAGTTCACATTCAATTATCTGTGTTTTCTTTTGTCATCAATTGAACTCAATTTTTCTAATAAATGTCTAATTGGTTTCACTTTTTTATTTAGAATTGAAAATTTTTGAGCACAAACAAACTCTTGGCCAACAAACAAAAGAAAATTAAAGTTAAGTTAGGATGATAGAAGAAAAGTAAACTTCTTTCTTTGTTCCTGTCTTTTTCCTTTTATTTCTTTTTGTCTCCTTTGTTTCAAGAGAAGGAAGAGGGAGTGAGGTATGCCCTAATTGTACATGCAATATTTTTTTTTTCTTTTACCATTGTATTTATGCAATAACTATCAATTAGGGTTTGATTTAAAATATGTTTAATTTGATTCGATTATGTTTTATATTGATTTAGCTATAATATAATATTTAGACAGAAATAGTTTGTACTTTGTCATATTCAAATTCCTCTCTATAATTTTCTTGTTGGTGTCAAAAAATTACTAGACCTAACCATAAGGTATTCCTTTTGGCCTCCATGGATATTCTTGCTTGGAAGGGGCAAGCAAACCAATGATTTTGGTTCTACATACATATCTCTATATTGTAACTGAAATGGAATTGAAATATTTTTATATTACACATCTCTTTTTAACATAAAGGAATGGATGATAGATATCACAAGAAAAGATGCAGTTGGACCATTAAAAAAGAAAAAAGCCCTAGTACAAACACCTCTCCTGTCCACTTGCCAACAAAAGAAAATGACTTAGAATATATGCATCACATGAAGTAGACCTCTCCTTATTGACCCTTCAAGAAAGTTATATATGCATATAGAACCTAAGTACTCATGTTGTCATGTTGAGTACTACCCAATTGGAACTATATTTGGAATGTTAACATGAAATGGATGGTTTGAGTATAAAGAAAGGCCTTATAGTCCTAGGTACAAATTAAAAGTGAACCATTGAACTAATATGCATGGGATCTTCAATTTATTTTTGTATGGTATGAATTTTTTATTTGCTTAGTGTCGGTTTGGTAATATTAGGTACATGTTGGCAGGGGTGGCGCCACACTATGTGAAGTTTTTTTAAAAATTCGGTTTAGTTGTTACAGTAGCTATTAGGTTTTAAATGGCAGCCGTATATAGCGGTTTAAGTTTAAATTAGAAGTGTTCGATAAAAATATATGTTTAATTAATTGTTTAACTTAAAATGACAAAAAAACATATTAATTATTTAATTAGCTGAATTCAAAAAAAAAGGTATCATTATAAAAAAAAAAATTTAATTAAAAGCTAAACGCTAAAAATATTATAGTGTCCAACATTTTATGACAAATTTTTTCATTGTCTAAAAACTATTATACAATCTATATTATCAAATGCTATAATCAACAGAAATAGAATTTAAACTTGTCAAAATTCTAAAAGCTAGTTAAAAAATGTCACCCAAGAGGTGGTTAATGTATTACTAAACTTATGGTTAATAATGGAAGTTATAGTTCCTATTTGCCTATTTTGTGAAATTTGATTATATATTTTTATAAATTCTATTGTTGTCACTTGTTTGTTCATGGGAAAAGAAATGGAATCTACTTTGTGCCAAAAGCACTGCACACATGATGTATGATATGCACAAGAAAAGAATTATGCCATATGTTGTTTAAAAAATTCTATTCTTATTTGGAGATATCAATACTTGATGATAATGGGACCTACTTACTTACTATGCATCCCAATGAATGAAACCTTAGTTTAATGGAGGCTTGAGGGGGAGAAGGTCCCAAGAACAATGACCCTTCTAGAATCTCATCTTCCATGTATGAGGAAGCATGGGCAAAAGTGTAAATGAATCAACCATTTTTTTTTTTTTTTTTTTTTTTTTACGCACAAGCAGATCCTGTGGTCATAAATGTTACTAAACATTATGGTTTAATAATGGAAGTTATAGTCCTATTTCCTATTTTGTGAAATTTGATTAGTATATGTTTATTAATTCTATATGTTGTCACTTGTTCTGTTCATCGGGAAAAAGAAATGAATCTACTTTGTGCCAAAAGCACTGCACACATCGATGTAGTGATATGCCAAGAAAAGAAATTATGCGCATAGTGTTGTTTAATAAATTCTATCTATTTGGAGATATCAATACTTTGATGATAATAGGGACCTACTTACTTACTATGGCTCGAGAGCCGAAATGAAACCTAGTTGTAATGGAGGCTTGAGGGGAGAAGGTCCCAAGAAAGAAGATCCCATGTATAGAATCTCATCTTATCCATGTATTGATGGAACATGCGGCAAAAGTGTAAATGAATCAACCATTTTTTTTTTTTTTTTGTTATTTATTTGAAGATTTGTAACCAAGTAGAAGATGACTTGCTCATTATTTGGTCACACACCTTCTCCTTTCTTCCCCTCCATTTCTTCTCTGTTATTTTCTCCAATTTTAATATTTATTTAATTTTTTTTGTTAATTTCGTGTATATTTTCGCTTCAATAACTCACAAATCTATACGCCTTTTTTTTTTTTTTTTTTTTTTTTTTGAAGATTTGTAACCAAGTAGAGATGACTTGCTCATTGTTGGTCACACACCTCTCTCCTTTCTTCCCTCATTTTCTTCTCTGTTTTTTCTCCTTTATTTATTTATTTTTTTTTGTTAATTTGTTTATATTTTCCTTCAATAACTCACAAATCTATACCCTTTCAAATCTATGGATATTTTTTTCTCATGTTATTGTTAACCTTATTTTATTATTGTTTTATAAAGATATGTCTTCTATAGTTTGATTTTGATGATGTTATATGTTTCTCTATTATCGTATAATAACTTGAAATCATCCATTCATATTATGCGCTTTAAGTTCTTGAAAAAACAACCTAGATAAGAAAGATTCAAAGATATTATTCTATCGTCTAAATTGAACCTTTAATGATTATTTAAAAAATTTATATCTTTTATTGAAATCAATTTCAAGTAAAAACATTAAATATTATCTATATTAATTTTATTATTTAAAAGAATTTAATCAATTCTTACTTTATTTTATTAAAAATCATCAAACTCTATTGATTATAACAATTATTAAAAATTCAGTCAATTTTATTAGTTCTATTAAGCATTAATAATAAGTTATGTCTAATGGGTCATGTCCCTCTTGAGAATTTGAATTTATGAATAAATTTATATTTTTCAAAAAAAATTCTATTAAATATATTTTTAAAAATAATACAATTTTCAGTCACCGAGACAACTTTCAAATTATTATTTTTTTTTTTTTTGTACAAGAATAATTTGGCCATTGACTTGACTCTTTTGCTGTAATGAGGTAAAATAAGAGAATACTATAAAGAAATTCTTAAGAAAAAACAGTCTACGAGATAATTTTGAAATTATAAATATATTTATATGCAAAGCTAAACATATTTAGTTGTAAAGCTAATCTGAAAAGCAGCATATTCATCTTCACTTATCACAATCCTTTCTACCATCATATCGTATCAGGTGATTAATATTCCTTTGCCCTAATTTTTTTTCTTATTTTTTATTGAAGGATAGGGAGAAGAAAGGATGCGATGGGAGGCGGCATCTGGAGCAGGTATTCCAACCCTTATTAGGTGCCTCACAGCCTCCATTACCTATCTTTTTTAGAATCATATTCTTGCAAATCATTAATTTATTTATTTTTTTTTATCAAAAATGTTATTAATGGAAACAAATCTTGCTAACTTTTCATTTAAAATATATGGTATTCGGTTTGTGTATGATAGGGAAAAAAAAATATTCTATTTGCCCTTGTTCATTTTATTTGTTATGATTTGTATTTATATATCAACTTTATTATGTCCTAATAATATAAATACAATGTCTTTTAATCAATACATAGTTCGATTTCCATGTAAAGGGTTATTTGTTTGAGTTGAATTTTGAATGTTAAATCTGAATTAATATTAAGAGTTGATTGCTAGAGTATCATTTTATACTTATGAATCAATTATGTCTTACCATCTAAGTTTTATAGTTTATTCAGAAAAATTTTGACTTGTAAATCTAGATAAATAATTTATTAATCCAATTCAGACAAATTAACTTATTTCATTATTTATTCAAATAAACAAGTTCAAGATTCAATTACCTCTTAATGTAAGACAAAACAAACTACTAGTAAGAGTATAAACACCATATAACTCAAGGGTGATCAGTTTCTAAACACATAACATAGCATAAAGTAGCCTTGTGTGAAAAGAGTAGCATTTTATGAAAAGTTAATCCATGTAATAACGTTTAATTTTTAGTATTTCATGAAAAGCTACTCAAGCAGCTAATAGCTAAACGCTAACGCTACTACAGTTAACACTTATTAAAACAATTAATTTTGCCGAACAGAACTAAGGTATAGAATCACATAACATATAAACAGCTAGCAGTCATGTGTTAAAGTGTGACATAACATATAAACAGCTAACAGTCATGTGTTAAAGTGTGAAGTATACAGGGACAAAAAATGTAGAACTTGAGTTTTCAAGTGGGATAGACAAGAAAGCAAGAAAAGGGCTTAGAACCAAGAATAGTAGTTGTTCCATCAGCCAGAAGAGAGTTGCAAAATGGTACTTATGCAAATATATATATCACAAATAAAACCTAAGCAATCTCTAAACAGGGCAAATATTCTCAACTTGGAAGGACACAACACTAATGATGAATGTCTGAGAAGCATCTGACTATATTAGATAAAGAGGAAAAAAAAAAGATGGTGGGAACCCATTTTTTGTGGCTTTGGGTAGAGAGGAATAACAAAATTCTTGACTTGAGAATATGACTTATTGGCCTTGCTTTGAGTTAGATTCTATCATTCTCATTTTTACAGAATCTACAACTGCTTTTCTTTCTTCTGCTATCGTTTCTTTTTTCCATAAGGAATACATTCCGTGGTCATTTCTCACTTTCCAGTTCCTATTTCATCCGGTGCCAAGGCACGTGTGGTCAAAAGAATGCGACCAATAAACTTATAACACGTATCATTGCTTATGATTGACTAGTCCTTAACATGATTCTCTAATACGTGATGTGTTTCACTTTTCAGAGCTCCTCATTGTCCATAAAGTAAAAATTATAATAACAAAGAATCTATAAAAGGAAATGTAAGTACAAGGAAGAACAACAATCCAAGTCCTCTCTTCCAAAGTGGAAGAATATCATCCACAGAGAGAGGAGGAAGGTGATAACAGAAAGTAAAATGTAAGTATTCTCTTGTATTTCACAAACTTAAAAAAAGAAAAGCACAAGCCCCCTCACATACACACACATATATAGACAGAGAGAGAGAGAGAGAGAGAGAGCAATTACCAATAAGAAATGCAAGTAAGGGCATTTTGCCAACGCCAAATAAGTACTTTAGAGTACCATTTCGAAGATCAATAGGTCCTTTGAGACATGAAATGAAAGTTAAAACACCCATGTTATTCTATTTACGGTTAGGCACACACACTTTAGAATGTCTAACAATCAACTCTCCTCTTGAAACAATAATCTATGCAATTAAATCAGCAATTATATATAGTGCAAAAAAAGAGGAAACATCAAGTATTTAACTTGAATCAGTTTCTGATGAAGTAAATCATACATATCAGAGAAGACAGCAAATCACTTTTTCCAGTACAAAAATAACTACAAATAATGTTCACCTGATGCATTTCTACTTTCTACTTACATTAATTATGCAGCAAGTAAGGATAGAATATAAGTAGCTTTTGATTACTGATATGCCCTTGAACACTTCTACTTTCCATTTTCATGTTATGTACTGATCATCAATGAATTTACAACATCATATAATCCTTCTAGCAAATCCAAGTGGTAACATTTGGTTTATCTAGTGCAAGCAATTTAACTTTGTAACTTGCAAGTTACATTATCATGCCTCATGCAATTTATTCCTATCCACATGCCAGCAAACTATTTAGGAATTCCACTTTAATACTTTTTCTAAAGGCCTTTTTCATGGATTCTCCCAAACTGCATAAAAATATCCTTACAAATCAGAATCAAATTGATCTTCATAAAAAGGCCAATTGGAACTAAGATATTGTTCAAGGAACGGGAATTTTTTTACAGCAAAGCTAAATGAATTGTAATGATCTTTATGAAATTAGGTAATGGTTGTTTTTGACATTTCTTGAGCATTCAGTAAACAGGTATCTGCATGTCAAATAAGTTCTTATATTTGTGAAAAAAATTATTTCTATGTACTGAGGATTTAACGTAAGTAGGCAGATATTTTCTCCATAGCTTAATGTACGAATTTATTCTGCATTAGCTGTTGATCATATATATATTATTCTCTATATTTTAAATAGGTAGAGTATAATTCCTAATGATCACCTCAAGCACAGATACTTCATTGAAATTCAATACAACAGCATAAGCATCAAGAACACGCAGTTGACACATGCATGGCTTTTGGTAATGCAAATCCAAAATAAATCAAATTATTTTACATCAGTCCAATTGGCATTTGATCATGTATCAAGTATGCAGATATCTCTTATCTCCTAGAGGCTAACAGAAGACTAATAGTTTGTATAAGCAGCAAATTTTTTTTTGTAAAACGAACATCATATAGGTATCTATTGTAATTATTTTTTCACATGGTTCTATTGTATTTGTACGTGAAGATAGGTTCACAAAAACAAATTTGTAACCTTTCAAAACCGTTCAGATCCACAAGCGAATATGAGACTCCATGCATGTGTTTACGCATGCATCATATTCCACATATCTTCCCTGCAAATGCATGCAAAATTATAAAGAACAACAAGAATGAGCTCTCATCTGTTCATACAATCATTCAGGGACAGTTTACAAACTTACAAATTACATGACAATGCTTAAGAAGCTTGGTAAAAAAACCACTGAATCAAGAGAGCGTAAAACTATAATAAAATAGAGAAATATGAGAGTTTATAGATTCATACAAGAGAATCTGACCAATAGAGGCAGAAGCCAAGGGCAGGTGGTCATCTCCAGGGTAAGAATTGTCTTTTCCTTCATCAAACGTAAGTATGGAAGCAAGTACAATTTTTCTGTTTTCTTTCATTGGGTCCCAGATGCTTAGGATTCGTCGGTGCGGCGCCGGCTGTCTTATTCCAATTGAAGATGGAAAAGGACTGGGCCCCTCTTCTATATTATACTATGTGGGCTGAATAAGTACCAAACTTACTGAAGGAGACAAAAGAGAATGTATTCCTTATTCCATTCCTTGCCTTCAAACAATGTCCAAGGACAAGCATCTTTCCACCATTTTTCTCCCACTTTTATTTTTCCTTATTTGTATCTAATTCCAAATTTTCCAGGTGCTCTAGTCAACAGAATCTTCTTCTACATTCTCCAAATATAACCAATTAAAACAATTTTTCATGTCCCAATCTGCTATCTGTGGTATAGTTAACAATTAACATTCAATTACACCCCAATTATATAATATGATTAGCTTCGCCATGTATATTGACAACTGAAAAAATGTCTCTTGAGAATCTTCCCTGAGAATGAGAGGGTGAAGAAGGTCTCAACACAACAGAGATAGTGGATTCCCCTAAACCAAGTCAGAAAAATTCCTCTCATATCCTGGAATAAGATTCTTACTTTTGCTAGACGGACAAATCCGAATGCACATAACTTAAAAAACTCAGGTGGATCAATTCTGGTATCTAATGCAAGGCGTAAATGTGTTTTGAAAAGTTAATGTGCAGAAGAATTCAAATAGGCAGGACTTAATATAGAAAGTGGAGTTAGAGGAGAGGACCCACAGTTAAACAAAGTAGGAAGCAATATCTCTTTTCAAGTCACTGTGAATATTGGATTGAGTCAGGTCTTCCATCAACCCTATCCAAGATTCTATGCCTCAGTGGCTTTTTCTCACCCCAGTTGGCTTTATAAAAAGCCAGCTTGAGCAGATCTTTGGTTTGTGAGCATCAACTGAAGGAGAAACGAGATAGGCAAGGGCAGTTGAAAAAATTTTTACTTAGAATCAGAACATAGGACTGCTCCCCGAAGAATATTGCACAATCAGTTCAACATTTTTGGGAGTAACAAATTGAATCAAGAGAGAAAAAGGAAGGCATCAGGTAAAAACCAATTGATCTTGACCACAATAATTACATTGTTTCTACTTCATAAGCTAAACTTAAATTGGTTTTCTAATAGATAGATATGTATCATCATCATCAACACCAAGGGAAGAGCGTCCATTCCTCTTCAAGAATGCCAATCCCTCCTGAAAGGCATTTGTTCCTACAAGGTGGGAATGGCCCTGGAGATTCTGGACTTGTCCTTTCAACTGATGCAAAGCCTAGATTAAAATGGACACCTGATCTCCATGAGCGTTTCATTGAAGCAGTCAATCAGCTTGGAGGAGCAGACAGTAAGTATACAAGAAAAGTTCAAAATTCATTCAGCAAAGTGCAATAATAAGTTCTGCATATTCAACGGCTGTTCTTTTAATTTGCAGAAGCTACTCCAAAAACGGTTATGAAACTTATGGGAATTCCAGGACTTACCTTGTATCATCTAAAGAGCCATCTACAGGTAAATTATGAATAACATATCAGGAATATAATCAGCTGATGGTTCCTTCAAAAGCGTTTTCTCAGATTTAAGTCTATCATATTTGGCCATCTAGCCAATCATGTTACAAAATAAAGGAATTTTGGCCTTTCTATTATATGATGAGCAGCAATATAGCCTGGTGGTCTCACAGTGTCTGTCCTATTCTACTGTTCACGGGTCTCATTTTCTTTTCTGTTAGGCAATAGGGAAATTAAAAAAAAAAAAAAAAAAAAATCAAGTGTCTGTCCCTATTCCTACTGTTCACGGGTCGTCATTTTCTTTTCTGTTAGGCAATAGGGAAATTAAAAAAAAAAAAAAAAAAAGGCAAAGAGCAGCTACAGTCTCGTAAAAAAAAAAAAAAAAAAAAAAGGCAAAGAGCAGCTACATCTCATACCTTTAATTGTTACTAGTAATTAGCAGGAAGCCAAGAGCCTAGGCAAGAAAAGAGCCAAGCGTGAAAATAGCAGTCCAAAATATCCGTTCTTTTTTTAATTTTTTTAAAAAATGCTAAGATAGTTGGATGTTAATTTCTTTTTCTTGTTCACTATATGAAATGCTGACTCTATCTTTGGTTTGGCAGAAGTACAGGCTCAGCAAAAATCTTCATGGACAAGCAAATAGTGGGAGCAGCAAAATTGGTAAGAGCACAATGTTGCAAAGTTATCTTCAAATGTCCTTAACTATTTACTGGGAAATATTAAAATATAACCCCCTTGATACAGGTGCTGCTGCTGTGACAAGTGATAGAATGTCCGAAGCAAATGTTACTCATATGAACAATTTAAGCATTGGACCTCAAACAAACAAGTACGAAGAAAATCAGATTTATGTATTGTCAATTATTTTTCTCATATTGCAGAAATTTTTACAATCGTGATTATTTAATTACAGAAGCTTACACATCAGTGAAGCACTACAAATGCAAATTGAAGTGCAAAGAAGGCTACATGAGCAGCTTGAGGTACAGTACTTAAATGCTGAAAATGATGTTTATAATAGAGCTCATTTTCAACATACTTGTAGTGTTGGTAATTAAAATCTTCGTTAACCATAAATGGGAGGGAAAAAGTAAAGTGTTATTATCATTATGAATTATTTCCTAATGTTAAATGAAGAATACATAATTCTAAGAAACATAGCTAAGTTGAAGTATGGAGCTTCCGGTACATATGCCTTCTCATTTAGAATGAAGGATTTAGCTACATTGTGATAATCTGTTCTAAACTGAACCAGGTACAGCGACATTTACAACTCCGTATAGAAGCACAAGGGAAATACCTACAAGCAGTGCTAGAGAAAGCCCAAGAAACTCTTGGAAGGCAAAATTTAGGTACCATGGGACTTGAAGCTGCGAAAGTTCAACTCTCTGAACTAGTGTCCAAAGTATCCACTCAATGCCTGAATTCTGCATTTTCAGAGCTGAAAGAACTGCAGGGTCTCTGCCCCCAGCAAACGCAAACAACTCCACCGACAGATTGTTCAGTGGACAGCTGCCTCACTTCCTGTGAAGGATCTCAAAAGGAACAAGAAATACACAATACTGGGATGGGGTTGAGACCCTATAATGGTAGTGCTCTCTTGGAGTCAAAAGATATGGCAGAAGAGCACATGCTACATCAAACTGAACTTAAATGGGGAGAAGACAACAAAATGTTTCTTTCCCCAATGGGAAACAATGCAGAAAGGAGAATTTTTTCTTCGGAAAGAAGCTCGAGTGATTTATCCATGAGAGTTGGACTCCAAGGAGAAAGTAGGAACCCATGTAGTGGCTTTTCTGAGGGAAGATACAAGGAAAGGAATGATGATGACAAATTCCCTGACCAGACTAAAAAAACAGCAGATTCAGTTAAACTACAGAATGAGAACATCTCACCAGGATATAGACTGCCTTATTTTGCAACAAAACTAGATCTCAATACCCATGATGAAATTGATGCTGCTTCCACTTGCAAACAACTTGACTTGAATGGTTTCAGCTGGAATTAAGATGGCACTGGAAGGTAAAAGTAAATGGGACAAGTTCAGGAGATGAGGCGTCTGATTCTGATCGCACATCAGAGCAGGAGGGTGATCAACATGACAACCTGCTGCTTCCTCGTTCAGGCCAAGCAGCTAGGAAGCAGTCAATTCAATCTAAACGAAATAAGTTGGAGCAGGAGTAGCATGCATTTAGAACCATGCAGTGTAAATCGATCCAACAAATGTACTTCTTCTATCTTAAATACCATTAAGAGTTCATGGACTTGAGTCCACAAAAACAAATTGAGTTGTTACTCAAATGCTAATTTTATAATCAGAATTTTCAATTCAGACTGATTAAAGTAATTCTAGTTCACTATTCATAAAATAAATGCTCAGCTCAAAATGTCTTACTCCTAAGCACTGCTTTAAATTTCTTGTTTCACATTAATGTAAGCAATCATCACTTGCAGATATCCCCAGAAAGAACCACAATAATATGTTATGGGAAAGAGAGCTCCAAAACCAGGATTCGAGGACTGAACATGAGAACGAAAATAATAATCTCAGACAAAAAAAAAAAAAGTGACTTCTACTTTTCTCAACTTTCACTTTATCTATTTAACATTTCAACTTATAAAATTCAAACTGTCAAATACTCTGGCTTGTCATTCCATTGAATAATCAAACTTATAAATTATATGGATTAAGCAATTATTGTATAACCGAAAAATATGAAAATTATCATTTCGATAATTATATTAACAATACATCAAATCAATATTTTATAGACAAAAGCCAAATGGTATGGAAATATGTGCAATATTAACGAAATTCGTGACTTTATGGAAAGAAGAGGTCCCGGGTGCCACAATGTTTTTTTTTTTTCCCCTCGAACAATACAAAGCTAAATTTATGTATTTGGCAAAAAAAAAAAAAAAAAATGTTTTTTTTTTTTTCCCTCGAACAATACACAAAAGCTAAATTTATGTATTTGAAAAAAAAAAAAAAAAAAAATTAAGATCATGCAAAATGCCAATAGAATGAGACTACCTCATTTGAGGTTTTGCTAGTATATTGGTGTATCAGTGAAAAAACAACACAAGTTACCATTTCTATTTCCCATCAGCTTTCTGGAATTTCACATCATAAAACAGCGCAAATGTGAAAATATCATATAACAAATTGAAAATAGCAATTAACAATTTAGGGTCTTAAAAGAACTCAGGAATATTGCTATTAATTTGCTGCTCATATATTCATACGGCTGTTAACAAGCCAATAGTGGCTTCCATTACTAAGAAATTGAAGTGTCGATAAAGTTGCTGAATGTGAAATTATGTACCAAAAGTTTTTGCTACTGTCAATCATCAAACTCTAAATCACCCTTGCACACATTTCCAACACAAAAGGACGTGTACCTTCGGAATCCGGTGAAGCTCCGGCGTGCATGAAGGGAAGGCCGAAACGATGTCAAATTGCCGGTTTCAGACTTTTAACAATTATAAAAAAAATGCAGTTGAGATTGCAGTCTCCATCAGAGTCTTGGAGGTATCGAGTTTCAAGCATGAATCATCGTCTGGGAAGGGTAGGATTTTTAATTCAACGAGTGGCTGTTTACTGATTTATATTTTGAGGTTATATATTTTGCTTATTTATTAATAGGAAGAAGGTTCAAAATCCAAAAACTTAGGTAGAATTCATTTGAATCTTATTTTACTGGTTTGGTTTGAAAAATAATTCAAATATTCAATTATATAAAATTGATTATAACTACAATGAAATTCTATCAAAAAGCATAAGAACATTTTTAGAACTGAAATGTCCATAACATAAAAAAAAAAAAAAAATCATTTTCCTCTTTATATTTTTTTCATTTTTCTTTATTAAAAAAAAAAAAAAAAATCATTTCCTCTTTCCTATTTTTCATTTTTCTTTATTTGATTGAAAGTTACTATGAGAGAAATTTAAAAAGTATAGAAAAATGAATTTCAATTAGAAAATTATACTCATCCGTCTCTTTGATCTAAAAATAATAATTCCATTTATATTTTTTTTCACTTTACAACAATACTTTTATGTAATAATATATATATATAAATAACTATTATTATTTCAAGTTACTACCAAACCGTATATGCACTTACCACTAAACTATGTTTTGGTGTACATAATTTTTTAATTTTAATATATTAATTATTCATATTTTTTTAAAAATAACTATTTTTAAATTGCACGAAAAATATCGAGACTACAAATTTATGATGAAAGAATATTAAATATAAATTATGTGAAACTCAATTAATTAAATTATTTTAAGTTGTATCATACTTAAATTTATGAATTTATTTGTAAATGTATAATTCATTTACCACAAACAATATATTAAGATGTTAGTAATTGTTTCTCTAATTATACTGTTATTGTAGTTTGGCACTAGTAAAATATTTAATTTTATTTGATATTTTAATTTGCGTGTAATAATCTATTTTAATATTTGAGTGTGTATCAAATAATTAACATCATGTTTAGAAAAAATGAATCATGAATACAAAATTCATTTGTGAGTGAATTAACTTTTAACTCTTATATTTTTTTTTATCAATTGGGTGTTTATTACGGGATAGCTAGAAGTTTATGGGTAGAATATGTCTAGGCTTAAGTGGCTATAAACAAATCGAGTCAAATTAAATTTTGCATAACTTGAATTTAATTTATTTAATTTATAAAAAAATCTACTCATTATCTAATATCTAAAATTAAATCTAAATTTGTTTAAATATTTATTATGTTTTGCTAACGGAATTGAAATATTTCATGTATTAGGATGTGCGCATACCAGTTTTAATCAAAAAAATTAAATTATAATTTTTTTGTTTGGTTTACTTAATTAATTAAAAATTTTATGTTATTTCAGTTGTATTAGACTATTAGTAAAAAGAAAATTTAATTTAACCAAGCTGAAGTGAAATAACTAAACAAAACATAAATCATTTTGCACTATTTACTTTTACTTTTTATAATATAATAAAAAATAATTTATTAAAAATTTATAAAGCTTTATTAATTGAACCGAGCCGAAACGAAATATTTTAATTCAAATCGATTTTCTGCTAGCTAAATTCGGCATGTTTAGGTCTACACTCATGCTCCAGAGAAATTATTTGTTGAAATCCATACGCCAAGCCCACGAAGAAAAAAGTCGAAATATCCTGAAAGCCCAAACCAAAAAACTCCGATCTAGGAGCGAGCGACGTCTCCTTCTTTCTTGACTGTGAACCGCTTTACATCTCCGTCTCCTCCTCTTCCTCATCTACACAGGCAAAACAAAAAAAGAAAAAACCCTAGAAACTGAGCAAGCAGACCTCACTCGCTAAGTCTTCGCAAATAATAACACCATTGTACTTTTTTCTTCTTTGATGATAAAACCCCCGCTAATTCGCTTCACGGTTCTCAAATTCCACAATGGGAGCAAGTCGCAAACTACAAGGCGAGATTGATCGCGTTCTGAAGAAAGTCCAAGAAGGCGTTGATGTGTTTGATAGCATCTGGAATAAGGTCACTGTTCTCCTCTTTTTATTTTTAATTATTTTTTATTCAGTCTTTTGTTCCTCTATTTTTGTCTGCGGAGAACTTGCTAGAATATAACCAGTTCAAGGATCTAAAATCACTTTTCTTATTTGTTTGGACTCTGAACAACTGTCTTGCTTCAGTAGAATTTCTATTTTTTTTTTTTTTAATTGTTCTCATTTTGGTTGCTTAGAAAATGCTGGAAATTGAACGAACAATTTCGAATGTAAAATTAATTTTCCTTACCTATTTAATTAAGGAGTTACATGCGTTCTTTCTTTTTCTTTTTTCTTTTCCTACCTTTTAATATCAATTTTCCTTTTCAATGCCTTGAAAACGCAGCAGAGTAGATAACATAACATTCTATAACTACTAATGGTTTATTTCTGAATGAATGTAAATTCGCCGAAGATGGAAATTCTTATTTTGCTTTATTTACCAACAAGGTGTTAGTTGTGGTGGTAAGTTACCTCAATCTGCTGAAGGCCGTTGGTTATTGACTGTTGTTTTTCTCTTCACACCTTTTTTGCTTTATTTATTGGGGACAATGGTGAATAAGTTCACTTTTTCAAGTTTTAAGTTTACTGTTGTTTTCTATATCTTTGGTGGTGATTCTTAAAACTGAAAATGAATTGTTCAAAATTTAAGAGCTAAATGGTTTTGTTATTGAAGGATTAAGTACTGAATTTAAAACTGGAGTATATTTTATGAATCAATTGTACTGATTTATAAATGTAGTTAAAAGTGGTAAGTAAGAAACTGATAATGTTATTGCCTCATTGATAATGGTGATGGTGATGATGATGATGGATCTAGCAATTATGCTTGTCTTGGTAATTATGGTAATTTTTGTGTGTGAAATAATGGTGCTTCCATATTAGCAGTGGAAATCAAGTGCGGTGATAGTAGTGGCAATGATGTTGATACTTGCATCAAGGGTTCCAAGGGTGGTAATAGTGATGGCTATTTTAAATGACATAGCCGTGGTAGCTGTTCTGATGATAGTGCAAATGATGGTTTTATGGTAGTTAACTGGCGATTGTTGTGAGAATGATGGCAGCAGCTCCAGTGGTGGTGATGGTACAATTGGTACATGATAAAAATCATACAAGTGAATAATGTGGTGGTGATTGAGAGAATAATTATTAATCACTGAAAATATTAGGTAGTTACTGCGCGTGATGCTGGTGCACTAATACATGAATTAAGTGCTGAAATCACATGCATTTTGAGAAATTAAGTGCTGAGAATTTTGATTCAAATGCTTAATCTGTGTTATCAAACACCACCTAGTTATTTATTGGTGACATTGATCTTGCTATCATTGTGATTCAAGATATTTTACTTTTATTGTCACTATTAGGAGGGTTTGTAGGTTATTATTTTCAAATTTTGGTTTTTTTTTTTTTTTTTATTTATGTTCATTATTGCTTTACGTATATGATACTATTGTCCACCATTGTCATTGAAGTTTTATTTTACTTTTGACCATTAGAAGTTCTATTTTATTTCCTTGCAACTAAAATGTAAACTTTGTTGGATATTGGTTTCATAATACGATTGTATCAATGTGTATCACTGCTTTAGGTTTATGATACGGACAATGCAAATCAAAAGGAGAAATTTGAGGCAGATTTGAAGAAGGAAATAAAAAAGCTGCAGAGATACAGGGATCAGATCAAAACATGGATTCAATCCAGTGAAATCAAGGATAAGAAGGTCAGTGCTCTTTGTTTCAGTATCATGTCCATAGAATTTGAAGAATGCATAATATTTATAGAACTCATGAATTCATGAAGCATAATTGGGTCTAATTCCTTTATTGTGACTTAGTTAGATATCAAATATTGAGTCAATTATATCATCATGTTCAGGTTCAGACTAATGCAAAAGGACTTACGTTTCTTGATTTAGTTAAATTTATAAACTTCATGATATTGTTGGTAGTCATTTCTATTCTTTATTATACTTGAGATCATAGTAATTAAAAGCGCAAGGCGCACTAAAGGCCCAAACGGCTGGCGCCAGCCTCTGGGGAAGGAGCATGCCCAAGTTAGTTGAGGCACAAAAAAAAAAAAAGAAAAAAAAAAAAAGAGAAAAACCCGGCACTAAGAAGGGCCCCAAACGGCTGGCCAGCCAGCCTCTGAGGGAGAGGAGCATTGGCCCAAGTTAGTTGAAGGGCAGCAAGAAAACAAAAAAAGAAAAAAAAGAAATAAGAAGAGTACAAACTTGCATAAAATCATGCAAAATTAATATTGTAGTAGTAATTCGGAATACCAAAAGTCGGAAAACCCATGAAAAAAAAAACCATTAAAAAAATAAAGAAAAAAAAATGAACAGGGGCATTTAAAAAGTTTATATTTTAGAATATTGGGAGTTGGGGAAGCGGCGAGGGTAGGGGGAGTAAGAATCAAGAACGGGTTGAAAGGGAAAGAACAAATATAAAGGCAAAATATAGGGGAAGAAGAAATTAAAGCCAAGGACATATGAACCCCGGCTGTTAGCTGGGATTGGGCCAAGGAAGGTGGTGGGCTAAAAGGATAGGTAGTGGAATGCTGGATCCGCAGAGGGCACCATTCACGCAGTTTATTTATTTTGTGGTTTTTTCTTTTATTTATTTATAGGTAGAATCAAGGATGCCCTAGCTAGACCAACTTTACCATTGGGGGGGGGAAAGAAAAACCCACTTGGGTGATTGTTTCAGAGGAAAAATAAAGAAAGTGCAGCAAAAGAAGGTGCACCCCCCTCCCTAACCTCCAACGGTGAATAGGCCTCAAGTTGAGGGTTGTCCCGGGCCTGGGTACATTCGGAGGCCAGCCCCAAGGCCCATTGCACCCTAAGTTAATAATTATGCCCGCTAGAACCCCTTGTTCCGTTTTCAAACTACCTAATCAATAAAAAAAAAAAAAAAAAAAAAAAAAAAAGAGTAAAACTTGCATAAATCTGAAAATTATATTGTAGTGTATTGGATAAAAAGTCGGAAAACATGAAAAAAAAACATAAAAAAATAAGAAAAAAATGACAGCATAAAAGTTTATATTTTGAGATATTGGAGTTGAGCGAGGAGGGAGTAGAATCAAGAACATGGAAAAAAAGAAGAACAAATATAAAGCAAATATAGGAAGAGAAATTAAGCAAGACATATGAACGGCTGTTAGCTGGATTGCAAGAGGTGAGTGCTAGATGGAGTAGTGAATGCTTGATCGCAGAGCACATCACCAGTTTTTATTTTGTGTTTTTCTTTTATTTATTTATGTAATCAGATGCTAGCTAGACAACTTTACATTGAAAGAAAACCCTTGGTGATTGTTCAGAGGAAAAAATAGAAATGCACAAAAGAGGTGCACCCCTCTACTCAAAGGTGATAGCCTCAGTGAGGTTGTCCGCCTGTACATTCGAGGCACAAGCCCTTGCACCCTAAGTTAATAATTATGCCTAGGACCCCTTAGTTCCGTTTTCAAACTTACTATCAATGTGGTCTTTGGTTAACTGCCCACTTGTGATGCAATTTTTAGATGAACTGTTTTTGTACATTTAAAAGGTTCCTTCTTTTCTTAGGGAGATTTATAGCTTTTCCTAAATGTTTATAACTTTATTGTTAGTTTCCTGTCTATAATTCTTCATTTTATGAATATAAACTGGTAGTTGTAGTGTTTTCATTTTGATTCCTTTTGTTTTTGTGTTAAATTGCTTGGTGTTGATACTAAGAGGTGGATCTGTGGTTTATTATAAGTATCAGCTATTTTTTTAGCTTTTGTTAGTTCCTATGTGTTAACTTTTGTTATCATGACATGAAATATGATGCAGATTTTCATTCTTTTGATACATGTTTACATTGATGCTGAAGGTGAGGGCTATCCTTTTCTTTTGATTCATGTTCATGTAGGTTAGTGCCTCATATGAGCAGGCTTTGGTGGATGCTCGTAAGCTTATTGAGCGTGAAATGGAGAGATTTAAGATCTGTGAGAAGGAAACAAAGACAAAAGCCTTCTCTAAAGAAGGGTTGGGCCAACAACCGAAAACTGTAAGTGCTGAAGACTTATGCTGTCTTTTTTAACCAAATTGCTGGTTTGCAAATAGCATATTTTGAGGTTGACTATACCTCCCACTTCCTTTGTTTTGGCTTATGTGATCACTTCTGACAATTTTCTTCTTTAAAGCTACATTTATGCCATCATGTTCCACGAGTCTATTTATTAATCTTATCTAATATTAATGAAGAGTTAAACAGTTATCATTCTTTTCTAAAGTAACAATTTCTTGGTTTTTACTGTTCATGTCTTTTTATTTTTATAAATTTTTGCTGGTTTCTTATTTTGGCAAACTCTTGTAAGTATAACGGGAAGTAGAAAAGCAGAGGTTAAAAGGCGTTGAACTATCTGCAGCAGAGCTGAGCACTTTGAACTGTGTGAATCATTTAGTAATTTAATCTCAATTTTTAAAATGGCTTTTAGGATGTAGGCGGCTTTCATGAAAATCCCACTCATCTTTCTTTCTATTGTCTGAGATACTATATTATCTTTACACCCGCTGGAAAATTATTTTTATGCTAATGGCATCATTCTTCTGGTAGGACCCAAAGGAGAAGGCCAAATCAGAGACAAGGGATTGGTTGAACAATGTGGTATGTAAATTTACAATCACAAGCTCTTGTTTTTAAAATTCACTTCTTTACAAATGAGCTTTGGTGCAATGGTACCAGAGTTGTCTCTAGAGCTATACCATTGCAAGTTCAAATCCCAGAGTGGAATTCTAATTAACTGAACAAACAATCGTTTCCTCCAGTTGATGATATAAAATGCTCATTATGTAGCAGTTACTCGCTTGTACTGTCTGTATACTGTGCATGTTGTGTAGGCATCTGGTCAGCAATGCAATTGCGACAAAGTTATCAAATTTAGATGGCCTAGTAATTGAGAAGGCCTTTTTTCTTTTCTGCATACATGTTATTCTCTATCTCTCTCTGCCCGTTTATTTTTAAATATAAAGGAATGGTGAGCTGTTTATGGGTGTTTTGCTATCGTAGTTACATTTTACAGGAATCAAATTAACCCCTTTTTTATTTCTTATAGGAACCTTTTTTTTTTTTCTGTTTCTGGTTTCTGTAATGTATTCTATCCTTGATTAGGTAGGGGAGTTGGAATCTCAGATTGATAGCTTTGAAGCTGAGATTGAGGGGCTGACTGTTAAGAAGGGAAAGTCAAGGCCACCTAGACTGGTAGGACAGAAATCAATCTGGCATTTTGGAAATTAATTTTTTCCTTATATAATCAGTTATTTATTCATTTATTTTGATCATCAGACACATTTAGAGGCATCCATTGTGAGGCACAAGGCTCATATAATGAAATTAGAATTAATTCTGAGGCTGCTGGATAACGATGAATTGAGTCCTGAGCAGGTCAATGATGTTAAAGACTTCCTGGATGACTATGTGGAACGAAATCAGGTTTGCATATTTCAATTGTTTAGTTAAAATTGTCTCTGCTTATCATAAATGCTATATTTTGATAAAAACATACAATCTAGTGAATATGCTTTGTCTGTATTGAGTGTTTTTTTTGTTGAATTACCAGCATTCTTGATGTGAGATAGTTTCATGTTGTTGCTTTATTGTAACCTTTATTTTGATCTTATTTTACCCCTCTAGGAGGATTTTGAAGAATTTAGCGACGTTGATGAGCTTTACAACTCGTTGCCATTAGACAAGGTGGAGTCTCTTGAAGATTTGGTTACCATTGGTCCTCCTGGCCTTGTTAAGGTAAATTTTTGTGGCATGTACTTGATGTTTCTCGCTCTTTTTTTATTATGTTGGAGATGGAAAATGATTGCATATTACTTATTTCTCATTTTTACTTTTGATGTATCACAGACGGGAAAATAGTCATAACATTCCTAGTTATGTTTGTTTTTTTTATTGGTTAAAATTTTAACATTTTCACAGGGTGCACCAGTTCATACCTTGAAGACATCTTTGGCATCATCAGCATCTCAAATACCTGTATGTTATTCATGCTGAATTGACAATGTTATTGTCTTTTGCTCTCTAATTGTGAAGGATCTTCAGAATATTTAAGCCTTTCTTAAGATTTATTATAAATCCTAACTTGTATGGCTCCTTTGTCTCCGGTTCTATTGTCAATTGGGAGAAAAGTTAAGAATCACGTGCCATCCTGTCCTTGCTTCCGTCAAACTTCGTAATATTAACAAAACATTGTTTTGGGCTTTACATTTGCGGGTTCATGGATTAATAAGCCCTTGACAATTATTTTTGGCAAAACTATTATGCTTGAGTGGTTACAGACACTTATTGTTTATAATCATAGTCTTCTTTGATTAAGACATAAAATATCTTTGTTGGCCCCGCAAAAAAATATTTTGGGTTCATTGGTCTTGTCTGTTCAATATTTAGATGTGTTGTCTAGGACTCTAAATTACAACAAATGGTGACATGATGCAGTATGATGTTAATTGTTCTGCTTTGACATGTAGTACTGGGCATGCATGTCCACAGCATTTATTTCATGATCAATAGAGATTTTTCTCAATTTGTATTGCAATTCGTTTTCATTTCGCACTCAACAACCAAACTATTTTTATTTTCTTTGCTTGTTAATTCTCTTACTTTTCCATAATTTGGTTGTTTGCCTTCAAAACATTGTTTTGACGTGTAAATCTGGAATTCATGGCTTTCTGTCCAGGCTACCGTGACTCCTGCTCATCAGCAGGCTACTTCTGTTCAGGAGCAACCTGATGATACAGCATCTCAGGATAGTAATTCTGATATTGTTGCAAGAACACCGCCTGCTAAAAGCAGTATGATTGGTTCTGCTGCATCGACACCAACTGTGAATCATGCAACTCCAGTTTCTGCAAGCGCTCCACCTCATACAGTGTCTGGTGTGACAACACCTTCAATTCTTCCAACGTCAACTCCAGTTCGCAGTGTGTTGGAAATTGCAGCCACTGCTATTCCTTCATCTCCTGCAACATTGGCAAATTCTGCAAAGGAAGAAGAAGTTGCAGGTTTTCCTGTCCGTAGACCATCACCAGCTCTTTCTGATACTGGACTAACAAGGGGCATCGGTAGAGGCAGCCTTTCTAGCCAGCCCTCTCCTAGTATTCCTATTAGTTCTGCTGCAGTTCCAAGCAATGGAACCCTTGGTGCAGTACCTTCAGTATCTGACATTGCAAAAAGAAATATTTTATCAACGGATGATAGACTTGGAAGTAGTGCAATGGTGCAACCTTTGACTTCTCCGCTAAGTAATCGGATGATCTTGCCTCAGACTGGCAAGAGTAATGATGGAACTAGCATAGTTGATTCTAGTAATGTTGGTGAAGCTGCGGGAATTGGTGGAAGAGTTTTTTCACCTTCTTTGGTCCCCAGCATGCAATGGAGACCTGGAAGTTCTTTTCAAAATCAGAATGAACCGGTATTTTGTTTGTTCTATATTTATGCATTTTCACCCTATTACTTGGGATTTTGTTTATTTTCCATTTGGAAGAACCTCTTCTATTTTATAGGAAGATAAATTTCATTAAATAAGAGAAAGGAAGAATAAATTGGAGGATAAGACATACTTTGTACATAAGAAAATATAGAACAAGCGGCAAACTGCAAAGTTAAGTAAAATAGTTCCATCTTATCTTTCATCACAACACTAGGAGACATTCCTCTGAAGGTCCTTGAAGCATGCTTCTTATGGAATCTTAAGGTGTTAGTTCATCTGCCATGTTTGGTTTGATGGTATTCAAAATGAAAATTCTAAATGCGTAACAGTTTTAAGATTTCATGGAAAGGAATGAGCATGACTAAGCATGTGTTGGTGCAATTATTAGCTAAACTGGTGTCTCAACTGTTTAGAATTTGCATAAGCTTACTTCCGAAAGAAGTGCAAAAGCAGCCGTATGAGGTTAAAATCTCATGTATGGTTTTGTAGAGTAGCAGTATCATTCCTCTCTATTCGGTGATAAATAAAGATTCCTTGCTTTGTTTCTTATCCCTCAGAGATTCCCATTAGATAATGTTGAGTTTTAGAGATCATAGTCTTGTGTACTGGACCTCTTTCAAACATTTCTGTATGATGCTTGACCGTAGTTCACGCAATCATTCACATGCAGGTAATTCTGCAGCTTTTATATTGATTTGCTATTCAAATAGCTTATTTGTAATTATTTGGCTTTTTAATCTACTATCTGGCATTTTTATCCCTAATTAGCAATAATTCATTTGATATATGGCTGATGAACAAGAAATGTAGGCCTAGGACACTATTGCCGAATTTTGATGTTTTTACAATTGTATTCCCATTTTCGTTTTTTTTTTATTCTTTTTGCAATTCAACCCCTACTTGAGAACTCAGTTGCGATCATACCCTGCAGTTCAAAATTGGGACAGAATATTTCAAGAATATTTTATTGTTAATCTAAATTAAAACTAGGAAATTTCAAATGTTATCAAGGAGTAGTTTAAATATGTAGTTCCTGGTGGTGTGTCTATGGTGGTGTTACAACAGTAACAATACAACTAAGCCTTAGTCCCAAACTAGGGGCAATCAACCCCTACTTTGAGAATCTCAGTTGCGATCATTAGCCCCCCTTGCAGTCCAAGAAATATGGGAACGAAATATTTTCAGAGAATATTTTATTGTTAATCTAAAATTAAAAACTAGGAAATCTTCAAATGTTATCAAAGGAGTAGTGTTAGAATATGTAGTTCCTGGTGTGGTGTCATGGTGGTTGTTACAACAGTAACAATACAAACTAAAGCTTAAGTCCCAAACTAGTTGGGTCAGCTATATTGAAATCCCTTGTTTAATGGGGGTGGTGTTAATGGAAGGAAAAGGTCAAAAATGCCTATTATTTAAATGCCAAAATGTAGAAGAAAAAATTATCCGGTTTCGCCATATGAAACTGGGATCACCCGTTTCCATCTGTTCAATGAAAAAGCAATGGCCTGGACAAATTATCAAATGTTATCAAGGAGTAGTTTAAATATGTAGTTCCTGGTGGTGTGTCTATGGTGGTGTTACAACAGTAACAATACAACTAAGCCTTAGTCCCAAACTAGTTGGGGTCAGCTATATGAATCCTTTGTTAATGGTGATGTTAATGGAGGAAATTGTCAAAATGCTTATTTAAATGCCAATGTGAAGAAAAATTATCCGGTTCGCATATGCACTGGATCAATGTTTCATCTGTTCAATGAAAAGCATGCTGACAATTTTGTTCATTAAATTCTAATCTGGTTATTATTGCACTTGATGCCGTGGTGTTTTCAACTTGAACTATATTTTTGTATCAGGGACAATTTCGTGCAAGAACTGAAATAGCACCTGATCAAAGGGAAAAATTTTTGCAACGTCTTCAGCAAGTCCAGCAACAAGGTCACAGCACCCTTCTTGGTATGCCACCTCTTGCTGGTGGAAATCATAAACAGTTTTCTGCCCAACAAAATCCACTACTGCAGCAGGTGAGTTTTCTTATATAGGATTTTCAATTCCTTGGCCCTTTGTTTTCTGTTCTGGCCAACGATTTATGGAGAAACTTTGTTTTATCCAAATATGTTTTGGGATGTTTTTTCATGACTATTTTATTACTGATTGGATAAACCTTAGCTCAGTCATCATATTCCAAAGTTCTTATAAATTTGTTGTAGTTAGATAAATAATTCTTTCTGCAGTATGTTATGTGGAGTGGAAACAAAGTTCATAGTCTATGTGAATTCATTGGCCTAATTTAATATTTCATCAATGCCTTTTAGGATAAAGCATCCGTCTTGATTTGAGAACTAAAGTATTGAATTTTTTTTTTTCTTTTTTGTTGAATCAATGATAGGTTTTTATGTGAATGTATTGAGTATAACCGATTAAATTATTGAAATTCAATATAACAATTAAAGGCATATAATAATCTTTTATTAAATGATCTAAAAGAATGTACTTGTATCCTATTTCTGACCATGCTGATCACATGACTATGATCAACATTGTGTCTGTGGACTTTTTTTTTCTCTTTTGTATGCACTGTTCTTTGATGGTCCAATTTATTCTGCCTTATCAACTTCCCTTGTTTGAAATTAGTTTGATACCTTTTTTAGCTTTCCTTTCTGACTGTGTGGGCAGTTTAATTCTCAAAGCCCATCTGTCTCTCCACAAGCTAATCTGGGACTTGGAGTTCAGGCATCAGGTCTCAATACCGTTACGTCGGCAGCGTTACAGCAGCCAAATACCATCCACCAACAGGCTAGTCAACAAGTCGTGATGTCTAGTGGTGCAAAAGATGCTGGTACTGCTCAGCTTAACTTGATTGGCACGCTATCCTAAAATGCATATTTGTTAATGCCATGAATGATGAATGCAGATGTTAGCCTTTCAAAAGTTGAGGAGCAGCAGCAACCTCAAAATTTACCTGATGATTCAACCCCTGAGTCTGCTCCTTCATCTGGGCTGAGCAAAAATCTTGTGAATGAGGATGAATTGAAAACAGCCTACACAATGGATACTTCTGTATGTAGAATAATTCTCTGCTGTCTTACCTCCTGTACTATGAATTTTGCAGATATCTTTTATGTGTGTGGCGATGTTATTTTGCCTGTCAATTTGGGGATGAAGCCACTTTCCCTCGGATGCTTAATTTTCTTGGTGAATCTGATGGAATCAATTTCAACCTTATTATTTTCTGGTTGAGAACGTCAAGAACTACGAGCCAAAGATATCATCTGGTTCAAGAAATTGGTGGCTTGGCATGATATTGGTTAGGATTAAAATTAAATTATGTGGGACTAAAAACATTATGGACTTTATGCTACAGGGACTAATAAAGTGTTTTCAATATCCTCAGGCTGAATGTTAGTGCTTTGGGATGAAGATACCATTAAAAACATTCTTAGACATTCTATACTATTTAATTTTGGGAGTTTCATACATTTGCAATTTTAATTTCTAATCAACTGCTGCTGAATTATGGAGTTAATATGTGAGGAGTGTTGAGTCTGTGCTGATTATTCCAGGTACTGGATCTCAGAAATTTAATTTCATACCCTACTCTAAAATTCAGATATTCCATTGCACTTGTTTAGTTCTCGTCAGATTTCCTTTATGAAGCGTTTGCATTGCATTTTCATATCCTGTGCCAGTAATTGTGTGTTTAAAATATGATATGGTTTGTCGCATGGTGGTCTTGGTGTTTTATATGCCAGTTTAATGTTCAGGATGATATGATCTAAATTGGTTTACTTTATGCAGACAGGAGCATCTGGCTCTTTGGCAGAGCCTGCCCAGATGCCAAGAGATATTGACCTCTCCCCTGGGCAACCCATACAATCCAGTCAACCTTCTACTGGCCTTGGTGTTATTGGTCGGAGAAGTGTCTCTGATCTTGGTGCCATTGGTGATAATGTCAGTGGATCTGCTGTGAATTCTGGGGCAATGCATGATCAGATATACAACTTGCAGATGCTCGAGGCAGCATATCACAAGCTTCCCCAACCAAAGGACTCAGAACGTGCTAGGAGCTATACTCCAGTATGAATGCCAATTGTCTTGATCTTTCTTTGGCCCTTTTAAACTAAGGACACTCTTTGACTTTATGAGAGAATAATTTTATCCTGTTCATCTTTTTCAGAGGCACCCTGCAGCCACACCTCCTAGCTATCCCCAAGTTCAGGCACCCATTGTAAATAATCCTGGATTCTGGGAACGACTGACTATTGATAGTTATGGCACTGATACATTGTTCTTTGCGTTTTACTATCAACAGGTGATATGGCATACCATGTTAATCAATTTATTTGTTGTACAAACGGCGTTGCTTGTTCTCAAAGTCAGTTGTTGTCTGCAGAATACCTATCAGCAATACTTGGCCGCAAAAGAGCTAAAAAAGCAATCCTGGAGATTTCATAGAAAATATAACACCTGGTTTCAGCGGCATGAAGAGCCCAAAGTTGCAACTGATGAATATGAACAGGGGACTTACGTGTACTTTGATTTCCATATTGCCAATGATGACCTCCAACATGGATGGTATGCTGATTTTTTTTTTTCTAATTATTCAAAAGTCACATTTTATTAAAATTGCATTTATCTGCTTTTTATGCATCTCCGCTTTCATTAAAGTTTGAGATTCTTTTAAAACGCTCCATCGATCTGATGATCTGTATTTTTATTTTCCAGGTGTCAAAGAATCAAGACTGAGTTCACTTTTGAGTATAACTATCTTGAAGATGAACTTATTGTTTAGAAGATGTGCAGTGCTATAACTATAGTGATGCGAAACTGATTTATTGATGATGCTATAACAGTATTAATGCTGCTGTTGATTTTTTTCAAAGTTTTTAATTGGATATACTAGTACAAAAACCGTTTTGTAAATTGCGATTTATTCTTGTAAGAGTTTTTCAGAGCTTATGAAACAAGTATTTTGGGGTATTTGTACCATTATATGAACTGAAACAATTCCCCTTTCTAAGTTATTTATAATTATAATCAACTTTCCTTCCCAAGATATCTGCTAATGCACATAAGGAATATGTCATGTCAGCTTGCAGACTATGAAACTAACTAATATACAACTGTTTATAAATCTAAATAATTTAAGGTTGTTGTAAGCTGATAAAGACCCTAATAAGGAAATTAATTATTTGAACAAGTCTTTGTTGGATTGAATTAGTTATGCTAGTTACACCAAAACTCTAATTACATATTAATGAAAAGCAGTTACTAAAATGGAATGCTATTACTTTTTTCACAATCTGAAGGCAACGCAGGGAGGGGAATGTATTAGCCCAACTCCAAATATTAGTCAAATACAACAGCTTCTTGCCTTGGCCAATTCTGACTATCTTGATTAAAGTTGTTGAACATGGTAATTAATTATTACATAACCTACCAAATTAATAATGCAGACAATTACAATTAACATTTTTTTTTTTGAATGAATATATTAATCGAATGTTTGTTTTCTAAAATAGTTTATCCATATTGAACTAATATATTAATCGAAAGTTTTTTTTTATACAATTAGCATTTTTTTTATTTGTTATGTCATCATTATCCATATTAGTATTTTGAATTTTTTTTCATGAAGAGGACAAGATTTTTAATTTCTTCCTCATTAATTATAATTTTAAAAAAAAAAACAACATGATTTAAAATATTTGTATGATTAGCTTTATTTATTATTATTATTATTTGGATAGAGAAGTCATTATCCTACAACTTCTTTAAATTAATTTCAATAACACACATGTAAATTTAGAATTTTGTTTATTTATCTAATTATTAATTTAATTAAGATCATTCGTTGATTTAAATATATCTTTTAAACCGCTATTTATGAACTATTTTTTTTAGCATAATGTATAATCATATACCTTTTATCTTTTTATTCAATCAAAATTAAGGGATATATAAAGAAAATATTTTAATTAACATCTTAATTGAAATTCCAATTAACAAGGTGATGCACCAATATACTTGTTCACCTTGTGTATGATTACTTTAATTTATTTTGATTATTGGATTTGGCGAATAGAGGAAGGTCATTATCCTAACAACTTCTTTGAAGATTAATTGTCAGATAAGCAGACACATGGTGAAATGTTCAGGAAATCTTGTATCTTATGTTATCTAATTATCGCTAACGTTTAATTTACGAGATCATATCGCGATTTTGTTGGAAAAAAAAAAACAACATGATTTAAAATATTTGTATGATTAGCTTTATTTATTATTATTATTATTTGGATAGAGAAGTCATTATCCTACAACTTCTTTAAATTAATTTCAATAACACACATGTAAATTTAGAATTTTGTTTATTTATCTAATTATTAATTTAATTAAGATCATTCGTTGATTTAAATATATCTTTTAAACCGCTATTTATGAACTATTTTTTTTAGCATAATGTATAATCATATACCTTTTATCTTTTTATTCAATCAAAATTAAGGGATATATAAAGAAAATATTTTAATTAACATCTTAATTGAAATTCCAATTAACAAGGTGATGCACCAATATACTTGTTCACAGACTAATCAAAAGTACAATCATGTGATTAAAGCTTAGTTTCTTTCTTGCAATTGCATAGTCTTAAAGGAGGCTTAAAGGACACAAACGACAATTGTTTTTGAACTTAATGAAATTTTTACTTCATATTGGGAAATAAAAAGTAGAATATTTATTAAAGCCTGAAATGACAAATTAAGTGTGGAATTCTTATATATGGAGAAAATTTTCATTAGAAACGCTTCTCTTTATGAACGAGTATGGAAAATGTGAAAGAGAAGGCAAATTAACATTTATCTAACTACGCATTTTGGAGAGTTCTGCCATCTTCCTCGAAAGAGACTTCTCCATTGTCCATATCCTTCACTTCTAATGCATTTCTTTCTATTTTTATTACCTTATCACTACATAGTTGAGCAAAAAAATCTATTATTATTATTATTATAATAAAGCAAAACTAGTAGTTAGAATTTAAAGAAGAAACATAAAGTTTGACTTTAATTTTCTAATATTAAGATTTTTTTTTTAAGTTTTAGAGACGTATATCAATATATGTAATAATACTCACTCGCTCCTGATGTTTAGGGTTTGAAATATTTTTTTCTCAGCTTACTTATAACGAAATTAAATTTTAATATTAATCTCACATTTCTTTATTTTTTTTATCTATAAAATCTTTCTTTTACTATTAAAATCCGAAAAAACTTTAATATAATCAAACATATTTATTCTTGATCAATATTGACAAAAAAATTTTCCCTAAGGCTAAATTTGAATTGTTGGTTTAGTAGTAAAGCATAGATACAGAAGTCTAACAAAGAACCCCAAACTTTGGAAATTAAGCCCGAGAAACACACCAAACAGGAACTCCTGTTACCACTCCTCCATGACCAAGACAATTCTTCTGGCCCACGGGCACTCCCCACGTTGGCCGCATCTGCGGTGACGGCGATGATTGCCACGAGTAACTCGGCAAGTTTTTTCTCATGCCCGGCGTCGCACAGGCAGCCGGCGATTTTACTTTTAAAGAAATATTAACAATACCGTTCTTTTCACCCCTCACATCTCTCAGTCGATAACTCAAAAAGTTTAAATAGTTTTCTGGGATATAACAGCTCATGAAATCAGAAACGGGAACATTAGCTGTTCCAACAACTCTATTTCCTGACCCAATCTTGCATTGCACTTCTAGGGTAATAAAGCGAGCATGCATTGGCATGCCTATTTCGAGCTTTTGATTCCAAGAAGGATTGCTTCCACCTTCATAATCAGCTCTTGTGGATTGAGAATTGAGAGGATCAACTTTAATCACAACGAAGGTGTCCTTTTTTACAGATTTTCCGGCCAATTTTAGGTTTTCTGCAGATAAGACTGTGATTTCTAAATTGTGATGTAGGGAATCCATATGTAACGGTAAAAGAAATATTGAAGAACAATGGATTATGTTTTGGAAATTGAAATTTAAAGGTTAATATTCGAGTTGTGAAGAATTTAGGGGACACCATCGGTGTTGTTATATAGCATGCGTATGAGAGGAAGAAGTTCGTGAGAAAGGAGATAGAACGAGAGGGGATGTTTCTATATCTTCCAATTTTTCTCTCCTTTTAACGACTGTGTTTCATTCAGTGCGTAAGGGAAGGGGCAATTATGTTGACATTTCAATGGAGATTGTCTAAAATATATTTGCAGATTGGCGCGTTGACTAAGCTTTCGATAATTACTGAATATTGCGGTACGGTTTTAGGAGGAAAGTATGAAGGAAGCAGGACGGAAAGTATTTTGACGGGGTCAATGGTGGGCCGAGATGGCAATCCAACAGACAAATGTTATCAAGGAGTAGTTTAAATATGTAGTTCCTGGTGGTGTGTCTATGGTGGTGTTACAACAGTAACAATACAACTAAGCCTTAGTCCCAAACTAGCTGGGGTCAGCTATATGAATCCTTTGTTAATGGTGATGTTAATGGAGGAAATTGTCAAAATGCTTAATATCAAAGTGAGTAAGTTTAAATCTATGATAGTTAATTCACTGGTTGGTGTGGTCTATGGTGGTTAGTTAACAACAGTAACAATGACAACTAAGCCTTAAGTCCCAAAAAACTAGCGTGGGGTCAGCTATAATGAATCACTTTGTTAAATGGTGATGTTATTGGAGGAAATCTGTCAAATGCACTTATTTAAATGCCAGATGTTGCAAGAAAAATTATCACGGGTTCGCATATGCACTGGATTCAAATGTTTCAATCTGTTTTCAATGAAAGCAACTGCCATGACAATTTTGTTCATTTAAATTCCTAATCTTGGTGTTCATTAAATTCTAATCTGGTTATTATTGCACTTGATGCCGTGGTGTTTTCAACTTGAACTATATTTTTGTATCAGGGACAATTTCGTGCAAGAACTGAAATAGCACCTGATCAAAGGGAAAAATTTTTGCAACGTCTTCAGCAAGTCCAGCAACAAGGTCACAGCACCCTTCTTGGTATGCCACCTCTTGCTGGTGGAAATCATAAACAGTTTTCTGCCCAACAAAATCCACTACTGGAGCAGGTGAGTTTTCTTATATGGGATTTTCAATTCCTTGGCCCTTTGTTTTCTGTTCTGGCCAACGATTTATGGAGAAACTTTGTTTTATCCAAATATGTTTTGGGATGTTTTTTCATGACTATTTTATTACTGATTGGATAAACCTTAGCTCAGTCATCATATCCCAAAGTTCACATCTTATAAATTTGTTGTAGTTAGATAAATAATTCTTTCTGCAGTATGTTATGTGGAGTGGAAACAAAGTTCATAGTCTATGTGAATTCATTGGCCTAATTTAATATTTCATCAATGCCTTTTAGGATAGCATCCGTCTTGATTTGAGAACTAAAGTATTGAATTTTTTTTTTCTTTTTTGTTGAATCAATAATAGATTTTTATGTGAATGTATTGAGTATAACTGCTTAAATTATTGAAATTCAATATAACAATTAAAGGCATATAATAATCTTTTGTTAAATGATATAAAAGAATGTACTCGTATCCTATTTCTGACCATGCAGATCACATGACTATGATCAACATTGTGTCTGTAGACTTTTTTTTTTTCTCTTTTGTATGCACTGTTCTTTGATGGTCCAATTTATTCTGCCTTATCAACTTCTCTTTTTTGAAATTAGTTTGATACCTTTTTTAGCGTTCCTTTCTGTGACATCCTACTCCGAGTCGAGTCATTTCATGGAGTCGAGTTGAGTCGAGTTGAACCAAACCCGGTTGGGGTAGAATGGGTTATTAAGTGGAGTTCCTTGATTGAGAGAAAAGATTAAAGCACAAGGGTTAGGATTGATTTGCATTAAAAGATTGAGCTTGAGTATTAAATTGTAGCCTGTTTACAATTGAGGTACCATTTAGAATTTTTACACACAAATCCCTTGATTTTTGATGGCCTACCCGTAATACACATTTTCACTTTCCCATTTTCATGTTTATCTTCATCTTCTTCCTTTCCTCTTTTTACAATTGAGGTACCACATTTAGAATTTTTTACAGCACAATCCCCCATTGATTTTTATGATGGCACTAAAACTACCCGTAAATACACAATTTCACTTTCGCCATTTTCCAATGTTTATCTTCATCTTCTTCACTTTCCTCTTCCACCTTACTATTCCAATTTTCATGGTAGTTAAGCCTTAACTTATCAACTTCTCTTTTATCCAAGTAAGTAACCTTACTTGAAGTTTCATAATTGAATCATTTGCGTGCTAATTGTATTAGCAATTTAATTACTTATTTATAAAGGTTGAGAGGGAGTCATAAGAGTGTAGAGAGAGAAAGAAGTCTAAACGAAAGCTACAGAGGGAGCTTCAAAGTCTATTTGAAGAGTAAAGGTTTTGCATATCTCTTGTTATTAATTTTTTATTTTCTTTTGTATGAGAATTATTGGTGGTGTGGTTTGCTATAGAGACAAATATTGCTTTTCATGTTGAAGTGTGGAGACTCGGTAAAATAGGTGAGAAAAACAGGGGAGAAAAACAGGTGGAAAGTTATTGAAATCAAAATGAAATGTTGAATATATGAAGTTTTATGGTTGAAACTAGGTGTTTGACTGGAAATTTTTAACCAGGTAACTTCAATTTCATCTTGATTTTGACCCACCATTTAATGTATGGAATAATAGGAAGTGTCATAGAAGAGGTTAATTTTGTTCCTCCTATAGTGATTAAGCTTATACATGGGTATTTGTGAATCATCCAAAATTGGAAAAAAAAAAAGTTAGTATATTGAGAGATATATGACCAAAAGAGTTAACAGACAGTAGCAGGCTGGAAGACGCGCCGAAGCAGATGCCGAATTGCATGAATGAGTTCCGCAGTTGCCCTCTCGCGCTCAAAGCAGTAAATTACTGACCTATAAAACCGGACGCTCACAAGACCTTTCAACCTGAAAACTCTCTTGAACTCTTATTTAGCACATCTCGCGCTCATAGCGACTTTGCAATACGCGGTCGCGACTTGTGCTCCAAACTCTCTGAACTCTCATATTGCACATCTCCACCACTCACGCGCTCGCAGACTTGTGAAATGCGCGCAATCCGCAAGTACTTGGCCTTTTGGCCTGTAAGCGCTCCGCGACCATTCATCGAGCAGCGAGCTCAGCGAATTTTAGCCTTGAGAACCACACTGTGCTGCTTCCAATTTGCACTATCTCAAGCGCTCGCGCGAGACTTTCAAGTAGCGCCGCGCTTGCGAATTTCATTGCGCGCTCGCGAATTTGGCCTGTAAACTCATTGACCCTCATGTGTGCTTCTCGCGCTCGCGACTTTTCATGGCGTGCTCGTCCCTTATGTTTTGATGCTCTTTTGGACCTCTTTTTCTATGCAATTTTATTTCTTTGCTCAACTTATATGCCTACAATCATTTTAAAACAAAAAGACAACATGAGAACATGTACCAAAACAACATGCAAGCATGCAATTGATGTGAAACAAGGTAAACAATATGGTTTATGAAGTTATGAAGACGTTAATATGCTTTTGTTTTGCTATACCAACATTTATGCTCCATTGAGGTTAGGTAGAAACCATGTAGATAAGGCTATGTTCCGAACATAGGATAGCAGATCTGCACCTCATACAGTTTGGGTACTCCGGCTAAGGCCGTTGAGTGGATATTGATTATATGGCCATTAGCAGCCTAACATTACCAGTATTTCATCCAGATTTCATACAGTTTTTCTTTATCACTTCGGTTTCACTTTATAATCTTATTGGGCATACAGATAATCTTGAACATAACATTCATGGAATTATACAGTATTAATTAAACAGTACAAAAGATAATCAAGGCATCATTGAAAGTATTCATAATGTGTGAGGGCTTTATATTTGTGCCATATTGTTTACATGGTTGGTTCTTTCTATATATGTATGTGACTTTAATGTTTTTCTTTTCTGTTGAGATATTCCACTTGAGCCTTTCTTTGGATCAGCGAGTTACCTGGTTTAACTCGCAGGTTTTGAGTTTGGACAGTAGGAGTCAGGCTTACACTGCTGCAGTTCATCTGTAGAAGACTCAGTCTTCAGGGTTAGCTACTCATACGGATGTGTATTTTTTTGTTTATTCCTTTTTCATGGCATGTACAGGGATGTAACATTCCTGTGCGTTGAGTGATCATTTCATAGAGGAAGGTTGAGTTGGGTTGAACCAAACCCGGTTTGGAGGTAGCATGGATGATAAGATGGACTTATTGCATGAAAAAAGTTTGCCTACAGTGTGGGTATTAAGTTGTGTCTTTGTACACTTGAGGTACCAATTAGAGAGTTTACACAGCCAAGTCATTTCTTCTAGAGACTACCCGTTCTTATCAGCTCACTTTCCCATTTTCATATTCTCTTCTTACTTTCTCTCTCGTTTCCTTGCAAGTTTCATGCACGTTAAGCACTAAGTCACCTCCAAGTAAGTAGAATTCCTTGAAGTTATATGTTATCCACTCTTTATTTGAGTTATATTGGAGATGAGTTATGAGAATTCTTGTGTATAGGAGAAGAAAGTTCAAAGGTAGCAGAAAAGAGAAGTTAAAACAGAGCCCCAGCTTTTGTTGCAAGCAAGCTTTTGACGTCAAGGTTTGATATCTCATGTTGTTTATTAGTTTCTTTGCATGTAAATTGTGTGGTGTTGCTAGTGAGATGATATGTTGCTTATTGTTGAGTGAGAAGATTGGATATGATGTGAAAACAGGGGATGACTATATGAAGTGGAAACATAGTTTGCTGGAAATTTTACCAACAACTTCATCTTGATTTTGAACCCTTTTAATGATGGAATTAGGAATTGTCATAGAAGAGTTATTTGTTCCTTTCTGTGTTAGCTTGACACGCGTTTTTGAATCACTCAATTTGGAATTAGCTATTGAGAGTTATGGCCAAAAGAATACAGACTGCACAGAATCACGTCGCGCGCTCGCGCATGCTGGAAAGCACGTCGCGCTCGCAACTTCCCATTGCGCGCTCGCGACTTATGCTGTGACACTCTTTTGCCTTTCATTTGCCATGTAATTACATTCCTTTGCTCAACATGCATGCATCCAATCATTTTTCAACAAAAATACAACCTAAGAACATGGATTAAAACAACATACAAGCATTTATATGCTCAGTGTGCGCATCTCGCGCTCGCGAATCACACAAGCGCGCTCGCGACGTGT